CTGCAATGGTACTTACTCATCAAAAAGCTTTAAAGTCCTTTCGTATCCCTTGATTGTTCGAGGAAGGACTGCCCGCTTGAGCTCCTTATTGCTATGGGTGTCAAGATTGATCACAGGTTTGACCTTTGGTTCTCGCTGTTGTGGCATTCTGTCTAGCTAACCTTGGGCGTGCAAGAAAAAGAGAGATGGAAGAAGTCTAGCAAAAGTGCGACCGTCCTTTTTTTTTACAGAGAGAGCTCACCCATATATGCCATTTTGCGCATTTGTGACAATGCATCTTAAGTTAGTCTGGGTACGGGTTATTCAGGCGCCTGAATCGGCCCCTGAAGGCGCTGGAACGTGGGCGGCAAAGCAGCCACAGGCCAGCAGCGGCGGTGGGTGAGCAGTGCCATATACATGCTGTTGTATGTTTTGTCTTTTTTTTTTTTTTCCATTTTGTACAGCGTACTACAGGGTATTCGATATCGTCCCTGATACGCCCTATACGCCGTATGTTCGGGGTTTCCCCCAGCCAGATCGGCAGCGGGGCGACGACGGGCTTATGCAACCACACGGATGGGGATCAAATCAACCACCATACTCTTTCTAGTGCTACATAATAACAGACTTGCTTTTATAGAAAGTGAATGACAGAGCCCACACATCAAAGGTCTTGCAGGATGGATAACAAACACAGTGCTCTTCTAGACAGAGTGTAGTATAGTCTGGAAAATATGTCTAGCTAGGTAGGGCATCCCCCAGGCCAGGATATTCATACCATGAGCGGTCAGCAGCACTGACAGCGTAGAACCGGAAGAAGCACCTCGCAGCTAACCGGTGTTGAAAGGCCTAGTTCTTGTCCGAAACCTCAATGTGCGCCGCCATACCCGGGTCCTTCTCATCCAAGTCCGCCCCAACAGCAGCAACAGTGTTGAGAAAGTCTTCATCGCCATCGAAGAGCGTAGCGATCTCCTCAAGCGTAAGTCCCGTCGTCTCAACAAACGTGAAGTAAATAATAATCAGAAGAATTGCATTCCACACACAGCTGGGAATATAATACCGCCACCCGATATTATCGATTCCCACGGGGCTCATGTAACTGTTTATGAAGGCCGTCACGTTGATGGTAAACATGGTGATTGCGAAGAAGATGCTTCGTTGCTTGGTCGTCACTGTTTCAAGGGGGTAGGCGATGACAAGGGGGATCCAGCAGATGCAGACGAAGAAAGAACCCGAGACGATCATGACGAGGACGCCGATGCCCAGGTTTACGTCGTTGGACACGGTATATCGCTCGGTCAAGATGGTCCAGATGAGGAAGGTGACGTTCACCCCAACAGCGGAGACGAGGAAGATGGTGCGTCGGCCAACGCGGGGGATCACGAATGCGGAGAGTAGACAGACGACCCAGTTGAAGATACTGATGCACGCATTAATCAGGGTCTGTTGCTTTTCAGTCTTCATGCCAATCTGGTCGAGGATGAGAGGCAGGTAATTCGCTGTGAAGCCGCCTCCAATCGTCTGCGAGCCGACTGCGGTCACTATGCAGAGCCACAACCGGCGAAGGTTGCCTTTCGAGGTGATGATGGCCTTCATGGATTCGAGGTTGAACTTCATGACTGTTTTATCGGACTCCACGCCTGCGATGATTTCCTGCATCTCGAAGCGCACAATGTCGTCTTCGATTCCATTGCCGTGGTATTTGATGAGGATAGCACGGGCTTCTTCGATGCGGCCTTTCGAGACAAGCCAGCGGGGGCTTTCCGGGCAGAACCAAACCATTATCATTTGGTACGACGGGAGGGCAATCTGAAGGAGGGCCGGAAGCTTCCACGACCACTGACTCTCAATGCGGTAGGTAGCAAAAGTGACCCAAGCGCCGATGATCAAGCCAATGAAAATGCTGGTGTTGTATAGTGAAGTGATGAAGACGCGTTGTTTTGGATGCGCAAGCTCGGTAACGAGCACTGGAGCCGCAACCTGCTGAAAGAACGAGCCAAGTCCAATTAGGAGTTTGCCACCAGTGAACATCTCAAAGTTTGTAGAGAACGTTTGCATGATAGCCATCGCAACAATCAAGGCTGCACCACCGGAACACATGACCTTACGACCATATTTCTCCGAGAGCGGACCGCCGATTATGCATGCCACGAGGCCACCAACGGACGCCGACGCGCCGAAAAATCCTAGACGGGATCCACTGGGATTCCCAAAGTTGTTCATAAAGACGTTGACGGACTGCAGACCATTTGTAAGGCTCTGGTCGAAGCCCCATGCGGTCGAGGTGAGAAGGGGAGCGATGAGGAGGAGGTACAGCTTCACGAGACTACCGACTTTGTACCAGGGCGGGCTGTCTCGGATGAGCTGCTGGATGCGTTCTTGATCGAATTCGGGCATCGTGGCGGCTCGCGGGTCGTCTCGACTAGATGGACTCGTTGCAGTGGCAGGAAGCGACGGGTAGGTAGGACACTGGACAGGGAGGTATTCAAGATCTGCCCCGTGGGGATCGCGGAGATTTATTTCACAAACAAGCGCAACCTTGACATCCCTCTCAAGGGTCCTGGGCACCTGATAGCTGTCCCACTCGGTGTGATTCTAGGCCGAAGGAGAAACAGCCGGGCACCTTCAGGCTAAACTCCCGCAAACCTTGACATGTAATGGCCGAGGCATTGCATTCCGAGTTCCAGGCCAGGCCGCTCAGCCTATGAAGGGATAAATAACGGATAAACTCAAGTGCCAGTGGTATGGACCCGTGGGGACCTTTAGTCCGAAAGCTGGGGTTATCTGCGGGGGAAATACGGGTCGAACGAATCGAGAGTTGAAATGACCAACCCTCAGTGGTGAGCGGTTGCAACTACTCTGTATGGACGCCACAGGCCAAGGTCACGTACCATAGGTTTAGCCCACTGCAAGGCGAAGGCGAGTTCACCGTAGCTGTGCCCATAGGTGACCTGGACTTACTGTGTCGGCTTGGCTTACTAGTTAGCTGTTTCTAAACTGTTTATAGTCCAGTCCAGATGACTTTGAACTGGTCCTTAACGTGGCCAACAAGGTGGACGCTTGCACCGAGGCCTTGAAGGTAATACCCAGTAACCGAGCAAGAAGAACATGCTGGAAGCCACGTGCAGCCTGGAAGTGCAAACCCAACCGGGGACCATACCATACGGGTCTAACATAGACCGAGAGAGTGGCCGGATGCGAGGGACTTAGTCCACAGCCTGATTTAGCATTCATCTCCCACCGCTACCTACAACGGAAGTACTGAGGCAAGGGCGCAATGGCCGGCTCCAGACCATCACTGATCGTAACGACACCTCGCTCCTACGGGCAATGGGAAGCGCCATCAGTCATCCAGCCAGTCGGCTGCGACTCGACAGTGGGCAAGCGCCACGAAGGATGGAGGGACTTTCGTTATTCGTGTCCTCGTTGATTACCATTCTTCAGCAATATTATCGTATCCGTACAAAAGTTGCCGTGTTTGGTTAGAGTGCCACTCCCGCAAGGGGTCTGAGCGCCACTCTTGACTCGTCCGCAGCTCCAGCGTTGAACGGCATTTGCTTGGCTCAACCAAGGTAGTGCGTCGGGCTGCCCCTTTTGCCCCGTTCTTGTTCACAGAAAGCGTGGCAGGAACCCGGCTTGAATGCCTGGGGTGATGTGGAAACTAGTAAAGTCCTCGGAGAGGCCCCATACAAAGTTGATTTCCAGGGGACTTATCAGTCCCGCTCATCGAGATTGGATACCACCGTATCTTACTATCCAGAGAATGCCCTGCCCGTCGTATAGCTAGAAGTACTGGAACCAAATGTGTTTCGTTGCAGTAACATCGCCCTTTACAGCAAGTTTTGAAGCGGCACGCCGCCGTCCGTATCTTCTTACCTGGTGGTGTGACGTGCGTTATTCGCAACCGCTTTGTAGTCTCGACTCATACTAGGCGATGGAAGTAATAATATGATCTCAGAACAAGAAGCTTGAAGCGGAGCAGAGTTCTAATGGAGGACATTGGCCGCCTCTGCGCCTTCCCTAACAATGTATACAAAACGCCGAGCCAGTCTATACGTCTATTACTCCAAATCATCATCTCTCAGGCACATAGCCAAGCAATCCTCCTCCAAAGCCCTCGGATCTCATGTAGGACAATCCCCGCACTTATTGCTCATGCCCCTTGACCGTAACAACCGTCTTGGTCGGCCCCTCCTGCACCCCCGTCGTATCAAACTCGAGAGTCCCACTGCTCCCACTCAAACTCCCGCTCCGCCTCGTCTGATCAACCTCATTCGTAACATCAAACTGGCGATGCGCCCAGATCTCCAGCGGCTGCTGCCGCACAAAATGTTCGCCCGAGGCCATCGGATCCCCCAGCGTCGCCGACCGCGACCTCACCCCGGACTTCCCCCCGCCCTCTCCGTCGCGGTCGCCGCGCCGAAACCGCGAGAGGTGCATGGATGCACTATGCAGACGACCCGTCGCCGAATGCGAGTACTTATTCTGGCTGCGCGCGTTATACGACGACGCATGCAGGAACGAACTCCAGTTGAACAGCCGGCGGAACAGCGTCCACGTCTGCGGGATGTTCGCGACGATGACTGCGGTCGCGGCTTCGCGGACGTACCAGTCTATCCACTTCATCCCGTAGGGCTGCGAGATGGAGTAATATTTCGACAAGATACTCGCCAGTATCACGAACGCGCCTAGTGAAAAGACAGCACACAGCGTAATCTTCTTCGACAGCGACAATCTCGCGCGGATTAGGAGCGGTAGCGGAATCGCCATGATCATTACATCCGTCGAGATGTTGAATGCGAGGGTTATGATGACGTGGTTGGTGTACACGGAGCACTGCTGGGATTTCGGCGGGACGGACCAGTAGGCGGAGAAGGGGCGGCACCAGACGGCGAAGAAGAGGATTTCGATGAGGACGAAGGAGAAGATGCAGATGCCGCCGATGATCTTGACGAAGCGGTGTTGCCACAGGCCGGAGCTATCGTGAAACGAGGGTCAGTCTCTGTTTTGAGAAGTGGTTTGCATTTGGGAAAGGGCACTCACGTCATGGTCGAGTAGAGTAAAAGCAAACACCATTTACATCCCCAGACGACGAGCAGCCAGAACTGTTCAGCTGCAACGACCAACTTACTCCCGACGACGCGGTCCGGGAATGTTGCTGGATCGAGGTTTGGGATTTCGTGCGGAGGGACGCCGTTTGTGCCGTGCTTGTCGACTTGGATTAGGAAGACGGTTAAAAGTATGTACATTATCTGGGAGCCAGACATTGGGTATTAGTTTAGCATAGCAAGCGAGCGAAGGTTAGACATACCACCGTCAATGCCATTGCGACGTCTTCCAGCTGCAGGTTTCGCAGAGCGCCCAACTGCAACATCCGGGAGACATAGCGCAGCACCGCTATTCATCGTCGATCAGTATCCATCCTCAAATATCGCTGATAGCAACTTACTGATAGCCAGGACCACGGCCACCCACACCCACGCTTCCACAGTCTTGACCATGCTGAACGGTCGAAGCAAGGTACCAGCGTCGGCAAGCTGTGCACGAACCCTAGACAAATGGACAGCGATTCAAATGAACAATTTGCGAGCAGGACCCCTTTCCAGGGCCCTTCAGTCTTATAAAGGTCCCCATCGTAAACTCTGTCAGGCCTTATCCAGGGTACGCTGTGGAAATCCCGAATGCAGAAAATCCGAGCGGCGGCCGTGACTGGGTGCCGTTGGAAATGCACGGGTCACTGTGATTTATAGCTGACGTTCTCCTGGTGCCCTACGGGTCTGGTACCCAATGGGAGCTTTGATCAAGTGTCTGGTCGAGCCACATTTGATTCAGGATCCAATGGGTCGAGGCCTGCGACGTGGAGCCGCGCGGAACACACGTGGTTGGGCAGCCGATATCGGATATTTTGTTTCAGGTCAAAGTGCAGCGTTTCTTTCAGCCTCCTCGTGGGAAGTGGACAAGAGAAAACGGCAAGCTTCATGATCGAAACGGGAAAAGATCGGGATTTACGTAAGTCGTGCTGGGCCTGGATCGCGCGACGGTTGTTTATCACTTGGCGGCGATATAATTGGTAGCCAGGGCTGCCTGTTTATGCCGGGATGAAAAGATGTCGTTAATTTCTACCCCATAGGGAGCATTTACGGCGCTCGGCGGGGCTCCAGCTCCAGGGGCATTAGAATCGGAGCGTCGTTATCGGAGCCCCGAGTGCAGGGGACGATGATGGATCTAGATATCATCGGTATATCTGGCCCGCTAAGGAACAGATATTTTGAACATGAACAAGGGAAGAGAAATTGACGAGTAACACCATATGCACGATATTGAACCGTGGGAATACATGTTTAAACCCGCCTAATCATCCTGTAGCAGATCTCAGCTTCAGCCGGTCGGACTCGGAGAAATCCCGGCCAGAGGATTAAAGTTTTCGTGCAGCGGCAGCTAAAACAAAAGAAGAATATCGACCCGAGTGCAGTGGCCCCGTCATTCGGCCGTTGATAGTTTGATTATCAAAATCCATCCAAACTCTTCGGCGTCTTAAGGGCCCTTGAACCCATTGCTTCCAATCTGGTTAAACATAATTACGTTCCAAGTCATTAGAGATAATTACAACACATCAAGCACAGTGAACACTCATTGGCCCTCACACCAAAGCACTCACCGGCTACTAACCAACCCCTCACTGCCAAACGTATCCAACGTCCCCACAAATCGCTCCCACAGTTCCTCCGACAGAATCGGCGCCTTACAATACGCCCCAATATCCAACCCATCAAGCAACCTGCCAAGCCTCGTCCCAAGCTCCTCAATACACGCATCCTCAGCACCAAACACCTCGGTCCGCGCCACAATTCCATGCTCTACATAAGCTGCGAGATCACTCTTCACCGCACCGATTTCATATAACCGCAGAAGAACCGGATCGATCTTCCCCTCCCTGCCCTCGGCGGCACCGCCAGCACCAGCACCAGCACCAGCCGCAGCTTCGTATGCCATTCGGTGTCCGATCGCCGCGACGAGCTCGTGGCACCGCGGAAGGATATATCGGTTGCTCGCGGGGCTGCGGAAGTCGCTGCCGCATTGGTCGACGAAGATGGTGCGGAGCTCGGAGAGCAGGGCTGCTTCGTGTTTGGCTAAGAGGGCGTTTCGGTTCAGCGGGGCGGGATGCTGATTTTGTCATGGAGGATGTCGGATGCCAGGCCTGCGTGGGGAGGGATCTGTTAGCAGGGTTGACATGGTGGGTACGTAGGTAAGTAGGTATCATTCAACTCACGGATGCAGAGTACGGTGGCATCGCCTTCGGCAATTTTATTCCCCCTCAACTCGAGCTGCGGATAGTGAGCGGCGACCAATCCAATCAATCACGCGTGCAAAGCCGAGGAATCGGGCGTGAAGGTAAGGACAGTGGAAAGTCAAGTACATGCGCACCTCGATCCGGATAAGCTGGTTGTCCTCCAACAGCCCTCTCCATACGATCTCCTGGCTCAAGATCTGCACCGAGCTTAGTGTGTGTCCCACCGCCACAGTCTTGAACAGCATCGCATACGCATGCCGCAACCTGCTATCCACACGGGGATCCATGAATCGCTCCATGGACCACTGTGCATACTCGGGGACCACGTATGCCTGGGCGATGGTGTGGAAGATTGGAATTTGCTGGGTGCGGAAGTGGATGATGGGCGTGGGAGTTGCTCCAACGGTGCGTTTCAGGGCGTATTCCGCGTCTATCCAGGCACTTGCTTTCAGGGCAGGAATGGCGGTAAGGGAGAGGGATAGCGTGCCGATCGGAACACACCAGATCAATTCCGAAAAGCCATCTTTCCTCACCGTGGTGGCTGTGTGTGACTTGCCGAGCAACGCGGTGCTAGGTAGCGTGACGTGGTTGAAGGTTGTGATGGCGTGGTCGAGGTAATTGGACCCGGCTCGGTATGGAAGCAGCCTGCTCGACGATGGCGTTAGGGCGATGCCTCGATTGTGGGTTCAAGCTGCGATCAACTGATCAACCCATCTTACTTGGCCGTTATCCCAGGCGTCATTCGCTTCCCGTCATTTATTCGAAAAACGAACCCGCGCACTCCATGATCCTGGCCACTGATGTAAAGCCGCGCAAAGACAACGGCAATCTTCTCGATGCCGCTGATCGGTGTAGCTACTGGCATGCATCTTGCAGTCGTCAGCAAAGGGTACAACTCGTAGCACTAGCAAGCAACGCTGGGGCAGGTCGGGGAGACGAAGTTTGCAGCACCCGGCGTGGGGGTATGTAAGTCGAATCCGCCTTCAGGGAGCATCGTGGCTATTGTCTGCAGGTTCCTCACATCCAGGCCATGGCCAAGTCCATGAGCATATAGATTCCGCTAACCAGTGAGTGAGCGAAGCGTTAGCGAGACGGGCATGTATTATACGGCAGTACTGCGGTAGGTCTAGTCTCTCCATGGGGAAAACGGGCAAAACACACGAAACATCAAAGTCCATCAAACGCTAAAGCAGCGGCGCAAGGTCCGGCTGCTGTTTCGCATAGGGAGCAATGGTGCCAACGACGAGATTGTACTGTGACCCGATAAGCATCATCGCTGCTCTCGCTTGCTGGTAATTGGCGCTTATCATCTCGAATTATTTTGACCGCGCTTGCTCAGAGGTGCGGATGGGCAGTTGTGCCAGATCGAATGAGCCGGGTGGTTGGCGCCAGAGCTTGTCATCGTCAAGTAGCTTCGAAGCTTTTGAGATCATCGTGAGCACACTGAAAGGGCAGATCACCTCTGGTCTGTGCAGGATTAGAACCACAAGCAACAAAGGCTGCCATGGCGGGACGACCACTGTGTGTTTTATTTATAGCAGAATCGGCCTAGTTAGAGCCTCGGATACGATAGTAATCACAAAATTCATCTTGTCCAATCACAACAACTCCGGTGCAGTGGGAACTACAGTGATGATCGAACGCGAAACATGGTCTCTACGTGCCACAACGGTTGCTAGTAACAGGACCCGCACAGAAATATAGGATATAAGATGGATTTATGGACAGCGCACTGGGACATTAGTCCTGAGCAGCGAGAAAGGATCAGGGGTAAGGCCCTTGCTACTCAGAAATCAACCCATTTCTGGCTAAAGGACAGACTCCGAGAGCTGAGCGAGTCAGATCTGAGGTGGCAACCATGACGTGGAAGCCATTAATCAGCCCTACTTACAAATTCAGCTTTTGTCTCAGACTCAGGCATGGCCCTGCGGACTACAGATACTGATATCATAATCCGTAAAAACTGCCCGCCAATGAAAAACTTCCCTTTAATTCCGTCCATAAAGTTTCAGCTGATTATGAATCTCAAGTGGGACCACCTGATTGGCTTGGTCGCCAAGGTAACGGGATCCTCGCCGTGAACCCACTCTTCGTCAGTGGGTAAGGCTGCTTCTACCACGTTCCGCATGACCCACATGAACAGCTCATGGATATAGCTGATTACTTTCAGGAATATATATAGGAAGGCGTGCTCAATCTGTGTGTGAATCTGCCACTTGTCAATAGAATACAACTCTTTCCCCCTCAACATGCCAGGCTTTACTCCTCTCTTACCACCCCGCCCCGTAGCGGATGGGACAAACGAGCCCATCCGCGTCCCAACAACACCCCCTCCCATATCCGCCATGATTAGGGACAACATGACCCTCTCCAGCTGGCTCCTCCTCGGCGCCCTCCTCCAAGCTATAGCGATATACACCCTCGGACCTCTTACCGCCCTCCCAGCCGCCGCAATAATCACCTACCGAACACTCGACCACCTCCTCATGGCCTGCAAACTCACGAGAAACAGATACATGGACGGCGTCCTGCGGACCAAAGTCTCCGGACAGTATCCTCGCCCCGACGGGAGCTTTGAGGGTACACCCGCCGCCGAGTCCATCGTTGTTTTCCGGCTGGGCGCCCGGAGCAATCACCCGCTCGGCGTCCTCGCGCCGGGAATGCGGGCCCTGGGGAAATATGTCCGGGAGATGGCGCAAGACATGACGGGGGACGCGGAGAAGTACGGCGTGCTGGGTCTGGAGCGCTGGGGGAAGCTGCAAGACCCCGCCGGGAACGAGACGATGTATCTTTTCTACCTGCGGGATTATGATGGGCTGCATCGCTTCGCGCACGATAAACTGCACATGGACGGGCTGGCGTGGTGGACGACGATCGTCAAGGACCACCCGCATATCTCGATCTTGCATGAGACGTATGTTGTGCCAAGGGGGCAGTGGGAGAATATCTACATCAACAGCAAGCCGACTGGTATGGGTAACACGTGGTTTCCTTCCCGGGACGAGGATGGAGGGGTACGGGAGCTTGTGCATTCGGCGGTTGATGCCAGGAGCGGTGCGCTGCGATCGGCTTCAAAGAGGTTGCAGTTCAAGTGGTTGGAGGAGGTTGAGAAGGAGCAAGGGGAACTTTATGACCGGACGTTTATTTAGGAGATGCTAGAGGGGTTGGTATACTGTGTGTAGTTTGTCAAGTCGTCTCACGGTTGCGTTCCTTCTTAGTTATATGCTGCGCTTCCCAGAATGGCAATGTAGAAGCATGATGCACCGGTAACCCGTTCCAATAGATGTAATAGTACGATTGTTCTGTGGTGTTTAGTCTGTCGGAGACTGAAATAGAGTAGCCTAGGATCTTCCCTCTAGCTTCATCTTTTGGGTCCGTTTTGCGAACTCCTGGTAGTCTGGAGGAAGAATTTTACATGGCGAAAACTCGGCTAATCATGTCTTGAAGTTGGATGGTTTCTAAACCTTACTCTGGTCGCGGCCCGCAACTTTGCCCCCTGGCTTTCGTGTGACACGACGAGGTACATGCAGGAACAATATTTCAGGTACTTTCTTACATCCGACGTGGACCATCGAGGAGAGGAAGGGATATTGTCGCTGAGGTCCGGAAAAGGCAGGGAGGTCGCCAAGAACTGTGCCCCCACGGCAACCTCACCCAATCCTGTGCTCTGATGTGTTCAGCCTCAAAACCGCGATGCCTGAAAATCATTCGACGGCCCGAGCTAATCGAATCTGCTCTCTGACCAACGTACATGTCTACAAACCTTAAAACTGTGGGTAAGGCGCGAAGGAAGCACTACGCGCCACTTATCCTCCAATCACTTCGAGTAGCTCTTATGGGAAAGTTGAGAATGAATGGGCATACGCTCAGCCTTAGAAACACAAAATAGATAAAGGACTTCACAAGCTCTCACACACCTATAACGGCCTAAAATTTGCTGGATGATATTAGACTGATAGCGTTGCGGTTGCAAGTTCGAGAGCCGCCTTTCGTTGGCTGAAGATAGGGCAAACGTGTACCAGAGACAGTTTTACGTCGGAAGGAAAATCCAGTATCCTCGCACGATGCAACCCGCCGTATGGGACGAGTCTTGCGACTGGCCTCGACGGCTTTTACACGTGCCGTCCATGACTTATCATCCGTGGCAGCCAGGCAATATTTACGGAGAGCACGAGAATCCATCATATAATGCCCTGTCATATACATGGGGAAGGTGGGAGCTGAACGAACACCGTGACGGTGATCCAGAACCTGGTGAGCTTGGGAGTGGCCGGAACTGATTGGCCAACACCACGAATAATGCCGACTCATTTCACGGTTGAGGAACTGGCGTCCACAATACGTGCTGCAAGCATCGAATCTGGTGTTCGACCAACGGAGTTCTTATGGATCGATATTGCATGTATCGATCAAAGACCAACGTCCAAAGAGAACGCTAGTGAGGTGGGCAGGCAAGGGAAATTTTTCAAAGAAGCGGACACAGTGTACATTTGGCTTCAGTCGTTTGACACCATCTCACTCGGCGAATGGCTGCAGTATAGCATTGAGCATCTTCTGATTCCTTATCTCCACACCAGCCAGACAGGCCTCGCACGCGGTCGAGTCCTGACCGGTCCAGCCATCCCAGAAGAGTTGCTTGGTGATATCGAGAGGCACATCCAGAGGCTAGCTCAGGACCCCTGGTGCACATCTCTCTGGACCCTGCAAGAGGGATTCCTCCGACCGGACGCCTTCATTCGAACTCGGTCGCCTCCGGGTCCGGAGAGGGTGCTCCCAGACCTGCCTCACGCTCTCGATTGGCTGGGTCGTATTATTGCCGACTCTCAGCGCAGCGGCCTTGCCCACAATAATCCAAGGTTAGGAACGATCCAGAGAAAAGCGCTGGAGCTTGGCTTTGTTGGCGTGGTGCATGGCTCTGTAGCAGGGGACCACGCGGATCCATCATCAGTTGGCTCAGCGGAGAACCCATTCCATCTTCTCGCGTGCAGCGCCGCGAGACAAACCTCGCGCCAGGAGGATCGAGTGTATGGTATCATGCAGGGTTTGAACTTCGGCTTGGAAAATCTGCGGTGGGGGAAACACGAACGGACTTTTCAGTCCAGGAACTCGAGCACCAGCTCGAAGAGGCTCTACTCGCCAAATACCCAATGGCCAGCCAGCTAGTGATACAGCCGATGGATTGCCCGCTTGGTAAAGCCTGGCTAGTTCAGTCTGGCGGCGTTGTATCGACTCCTGGGGAAGTATTCTGGATAGCCCTCTAGGATCGTAATTATACAGTCAAGTCCTTGATCAAGTTAAGCGTCGGGCAATGCAATGGCCAACGCTGGGGTTTTTTCGAGGAACCCCTTGCATCTCTCTCTTCTCTGGCCCAGAACTTTGATATTGGAGTACTCCTTGACCGAATATGGGGCGAGGAAATGCTTTACTACGCTACAGGCAGCGGCGAAACAGTATCAGAAACGACGAGCCAACCGATTCGGACTCCTGTGAATCGCTTCTCCCAGCCGGCTTTTCCCACAGACCTGGAGCTCCTGCGCCAATCTCGCCAGGCCCAAGCGGCTGTTAAGAATTGGGTTACACATCGATTCCCAGCCCTTCAAGTAGCTTTGTCGGGCAGCACTGTGCGGAGGATTGAAGGGGATACACTGTCGGTCAGAGTTGACGGGCTTTGCCTTGATCCCTTGGATACGAGGATGGGGTTTGCGGTACTTCAGCGTGTCGGGACTGCGGGGTTTACATCTAACGTACCTTGCAATGAGATGGAGAATCCTGGTGCTGACGGTATTGACTCTGCCGAAGCAGCAGTCAGTTAATTCACAGCCGTGAGCCAGGGCTTATTTGGGTAGTACATCATCATCGCTTTGATGCGTGGGAGTACCTTGAATAGGCTAATTCCAGCTGACATGGTGGAAAATGGTGTACAAGAGAGATCATGCAATATAAATATCGAACTAGAGCTCAAATGAAAAGGAATATTAGATCTGCCGAATGGCCAAATAGTAGAGAAAGAATGACACTGATGTATAAAAGACCTTCATCACACTTTCATCCAAATCTTGCCTGTGGACAGGTGAACACGAGCCAGAGTATAGAACAATGTCCCTCCCGCAAGCATCATACCCGTGAACACCTGCAACTTCCAATAATTCCCATCCGCCGTCCCAATCAAAGAACCACCAATCGGGCTACCCACCAAGGCCGAAATCGACATGAATGCATACATCGCTCCGGACCGCGTCCCAATCTCGTGAATGTCCGAGATCTGGGCGACCAATGCAGGGCTCAAAGCCGTGTAGGTGCCCGAGCTGAACCCAAATGCGGCAGCGAAGACAATCACAGTCGCGTGCGAGTTTCCGGGGAGCCATAGCCCGAGCACGAATATTGTAGATAGGCCCGCGGCGCAGATCGAGATGTTGAAGTTGCCGAGCTTGTCGGCGGCGTAGCCAGGTAGGATGCGTCCGATGCCACTAATGTTTGATCTTTTGTGAGCGTGTGTGTGTTTTCAAGGGGACAGCCGTAGGGCACTCCTTTTGTTTCATACATACCTTGCGGCATTGAATATGGATACTAGGTACCCAGCAAGGCTAGTGCTCATACCGACATGTTCGCCGTAGGTGACAATGAATGTAATTGGAATGAACATCCCCATGGAATAAAAGAAGCTGGCCAACGCCACCAGCACGAAGGGCACATCGGTAAAATTCTTGAAATAGCTCATCAAGGTCAAAGGCTTTGGCTTCGGCTTCAAGCAAGAGCGCACGGTCAGATTGGTCACGGCCAGCAACCCTAGCATGAAGAAGGCGCATATACGCATTGCCCAGCCGAAACCGTGGCGGTTGATGATGTGGTCAACCAGAATCGGCATGACGACGCCCCCCAGGCTGGACCCGCTTGCTGTGATTCCCATTGCCAGAGCGCGCTTTTTTCGGAACCAAGTCGCGACGCAATTGAATGAAGAGTAGAGCACCATGCTCGCGCCAAGAGGGCTGCAGATGGATTGGGAGAGGATGAATTGGTAATATTCGGAAGCCAACGAAGCCATCATTAGCCCGAATACGTGCAGCAGAGATCCGATGAGTAGAAGCCATCGCGGCCCATATGCATCGAATAGCCGGCCAACAAAAGGTCCCTGCAGGTTTCATCAAGTCGATTAGGTTAATCTCACGGCAATGGGTATTTCAAAACCTTATGCTATCTGGCAGGGGGACGGTAGAACATCACTTACCGTGAGAAACATCATGAACATGGATATGGCTGGAATCCACGAGATTGTGCTTGCGGACATAGTTCGCAGCTGATGCCTTTGATAGTATGCTTGGAAAATGCCAACGCCTGCGCAATCGATTAGTTAGCCAAAGTGATTGAATAATGGCGGCCTGCTCACAATTTGTCCAGCCAAAGCTCGTAAAGAGTCCAAAGAAAGCGCCAACGACTACGAGCCATGCACGAAGACCGCCGTCTGGAAACTCATTGGACGCAGTCTCTGGAGGGCTTGGCTCTTGTCGTTCTCCTTCATCGGTCTCACTTTTTGTGTTCATTTTGGCAAAAAAAATGAAAAAAGGTGTCGGTGGGCGCGATGGATGATCTCAATAGGGGTGGAAAGTATATGACTCCTGACCTTGGATACGAAGAAACTTAATGCAGGGTTTGAGACGAGTTCGTCCTCAGGTCACATATTTATATTCCTTCAATAGAGCTAGTAGCTATCAATCAGAGACCAGGACTAATCCAGCATAGTCCAGGGGAAAGGCGCGGTTCTAATCTAAATTCCCTCTCTGCTCGATCAACATCAACCAGACTGCGCACGTTGATTGGACCGGGGGTCCGCGGTGGTCCGAGCCAACCCCGCATCCAGAAGGTGAGTCATCACTAAAAACAACATTTCGATCATCTCATTAACGAACACCCTTACACTCGAGGATTCCCTTGCAATGTGCTCACGGAAGCGGCCATTCCCTGACCAGGTTGCAGCGCCAAAGCGAAGTGCGTGGCAACAACCAGCGTCATGTGATTTCTGCCGGCTCAAGAAGATCCGGTGTGACAAGCAACGCCCGTGCTCTAGTTGTGTATCTAGAGATACTATATGTGAATATGCTTCAGGTAAGGTCGAGATGATTCAGTTGGATAATGTTTAGAAGTTGATCAAGGCAGTGCCACCAGGGACCCCGCAGCCAACTCTCCAGACGGCACGCTATGAGAGTGCACAAGCCACACACATAGGCTCTATATTGGTAGAAGAGTATGGCCCCAGTGACTAACGATCTCGATCGATTCGGCTAACGGCTGGTCAGGGATATCCAGGAGATGAAGTATCGCTTAAAGCGGATAGAACAGCTGTTGCGTGGCCGACCGGGCCCACCAAAATTCTCAGATCCGAGTGGCCTATATTCTTTGGCCGTTACGCCCCTGTCTGAATCCAAGGCAACAATCCCAAATATTGTCGACCGAGATTGGGACAATCTGGAGTCGATTGCAGCGTCCCCGCAGTGCGAAAATATAGAAAATGCTTCTCCCGCAAACACCAGTCTACTCAGTCCCGCAGCTACGACGACAGCTTATCCTACAAACGCCTCTCGGGTGAATTGCCGAACTCCAGATTCGGTAGCAAATGGACAACTTCCGACGCTTGGAACAGCTAGGGCGCTCCTTGAGCATTACATCCAAGGAGTAGACTGTTTGGGTCGTGTAGTCCATGGCCCATCGACAAGGAATCTCCTCGAAAGCGTGTATTCCCAGCTTTCACAGTCAATCAAGCCGCCCGATGAACGCGTGATCTTCCTTCAATCAATTTTTGCCTCCGCGTCGTTCTACTTAGAATCTGAGCATGTCCATCATTCATCGGATGACTTAGCCCTGCTCACAGGGCAATCGCACATTTGGAAGGAGATCGCGCTCCACCACATGTTACATATTGATCAGGTCTTCTCATCCTCTTTGATATCCCTCCAGTCGGCTTTGATCATTCTATTTCTTCTGTGGGATTCAGAGGGTCAATCAAAGAGATATCATACATTGAAGAGTCTCGCGTATGCTAAGGCAATCCAAGTGGGTATACATAATATAGACGCCGAATCGTCAACCGTTGGGCCAGACTCACTTGAACGGGAGATGAAGCGCCGCTTATGGTGGCATCTTACTTGTACAGATTGGTTAGTCCATGGGTACCTTTTTTAAGAACTGAGTCCATCATACTATACTCACACGCATCTTCAGGTTACTTGGAAGTGCACCCGGCCCTCAGCATGGCATTTACATGATCAATCCTCGTCATACGACCGTCAGGGTCCCTGCCAATATAGAAGACGAAGGCCTGACACAAGAGGGCCCGTGTGCAGACCCGAAACCTGACTACCACCCAACTTCAATGTCATTCTTCCTCTATCGCCTCAAGTTCGCCCAACTCTGTCGCGAATCTATGGACGCAATGGACCACGCAAAAACTATGAGCCCTTCACCAAAAGCCATTTACCAGCTCATACTTGATATAAGCGACAGGTACATGTCTTTCCTGAATGAGCTACCGTGGTTTTTCCGCCTTCACGGAGATGAGGAAAAATGTGCAGAATTGGCCGAGAAGCAGCCCTACATCTCACATCAGCGCGCCGCGCTTCTATACGGCATCTACTCACGGCTCGGCCGCCTCCATCGGCCATTTATCTCTAAGGGAATCACCGACCCTTCCTTTCATGCCTCGTATAAAATCGGTATTGAGTGTGCAGAAAAGCTCCTGCAGATACGTCGGATGACCGTCCACCAGGGCCGACTTGACATATTTGGTCGCTCGCAGAGTGTCGACCAACATACCTTCAACGCTATGCTGCTCCTCACAATAGAGGTCATGGCGCACCCAAAGCTACCCGATTCAGAGCGACGGAGAGCGGACGTAATCGAAATATGCCGGCTTCTGCAAGATAAGCACACGCGGCTGGCTCAGCCTTCAAATAATGGAATCATTCGAGCGGTCCAGTTACTGTTGGATATCGTCCGGAATCCGAACACCCCCCTCCTCAAAGATCGTGGAGATAATACCGCTCTAGTCTTGTCAAATAGTGCGCAAACCAAGGATGGATGCATGCCTCCGGATCTATGTACAGGGTTGACCTCAGGCGAACCCACGGCGGAGACATCACATGAGATGGCCTGGATCGATGAATGCCTTTCGGGCACTCATGGTCAAAGTATCAATGTCGTTTTTGATGAGCTGCGGGGATCCCTTTCCGAGACAAGCAATTTATCCTGGGAGGGATTCTTTAACTGGGAGGGCCTCTCCTAATAGCTTTTATGGCTCCTAGTCGTGCGTGATCTTATACTAATAGAATGCGAGTAAAGAGCAGCAACTAGTCTTTGCCCAGCATGATGCTCCACCTTTCGACGGCAGCGATGCCCAGTTCCAAAGTCGCCGTTTCGCGTGTGTCCCCACTACGTTCGCTTGGAAACGGACGAGTGAACCGAGCCTGCATCGAGTGCAGAGAGCAGAAAACAAAATGTAATGGTCATCAACCGTGTGGTTATTGTACCAGTCTTGGAGTGGAATGTGTATACATGGATAGAAAGCGTGAGGCGATATAGAAATGGCTGCTGGAGCTAGAGAAGCAGGCTTAAGCCTATAATAAACTCCTTACTGGAATCCAACCGTGTCTCTAAGCTTGCCTGGTTTGGGACACGCCGTGCAAGTTATTATCCGTGGCGTCTTCGCTCTGCGCTAATCTGATCTTTCTTGTGTGGAGTATACTCGTTGCCTGTTAAGACAGTGGCTGCGAAACTACCCATGGTAATGATAAACTAGTTCATAAACCTTCGAACTAGTACATGTACACACTCATTGCTTGTTATTGTATACCCGAATTACCTGAAAAAGCGAATAAAGTTGTTTATCAGTCATTATCGCTCATTTGGCGCGTCCTGACGCAGCGTCTCAGGGCGGTTCGAGCTCCCCAACTGCTTTAGAGACCTCTGTTCGGATTGAACTCCGCTGGAGTGGGCGGTTGAAAGCGGGGATGCAGGGGTGGTGGAGTTTCTGTTGAGTAAGCCGGCTAGACCGAGTTATTCCAAGCGTCTCGCGAGATGTGCCCTGGTAAGTGCCGTGTGGGGAAGGGCGACGAGATTGCAAGCTTGGTTATTGGGGGCAGTACAGGTCTGCAGAAACACGCGCCCTCGCGTTCAACGCGGAACAGGCTGATGGATACTTTACTTGCTCCTTCTCTCTCACGGGACGCATCCGGGCTTTAATGATCTGGAATAAGACACTGCTCATCCCGCCCCTTGTTTGGATCCTTATAGGATCCGGATTGTGCGCTCGACTCTGTCTATAATACTGATTGTGGAATGTCAGCTGGTTTACCGAGGCTTTCATAATCACCACTCGATGGACATAAATGCGCTTCAAACTACCGTGATCTAGTAAATATAAACAAACTCATCGTTCTCTCGATCCGTCAGATCCAGGAACCCGCCGTTGGCCGCAACCTCGTCCTCTTCTCCGGCGCCTTCCTCGACACCCTCGGCCACCTCCACACTCCCCATCATCGACCGATCAACAATCACCCTCTCCTTTCCATTCGCAACGCGCTTATCCCCCTGGAGCTTATTCAACCAGACCAAGTTTCCCCACTGCATCAGAACAACAACAACCAGCGCAATGAAAATCCCCAGACAAGCCCGCAACCCAGGCTGGTACGCCGGCGCATCCTTATCATCAAACAGTAACGGGCCCACGATATTCCCCACGGAGCTCGCAGCATTGTACAGCGCCATCACGGCCGATTTCTTCGTCTGCCCTGCTGTATTCGCGACGATCCACGAGACGACCAGTGGGTTGCCGCCGAAGAGGAAGGCGAGGAGGTAGTAGCCGGCCATTAAGGCTCCCTGGACGGAGTCATTCCTGGGGAGGGCGTAGAGGACTGCGAGGCCGGCGACGACGGGGGCCATGAAGATTGCGAGCACGATGCCCTTCATCTTTGCTTTTTGGGTGAGGTAGCTTGACAAGAGGATCATGATGAATTGGAGGGCGCCGAAGGGCATGTTTAGTAGGGTTGTTCGGTACTTATCGAAGCCCAGGCCTGAAAGGATAAGTGGTCCAAAGACATTTGTAACTGAGGCCCCGACGTTAAGCAGGAAGGTCATCCCAAACCAGAGAAGCGTTTTTGGTTCCAGGAAGGCCTCGTAGACCTGCTTGAGCTTGAACTCGCGCGTTCCCGTGCCCGTCTGGTTTGCGCGCAGGCGCTCCATCGCTTGCAGTTTCTCTTGCTCTGTCAAGAACCGCGCGGAGGGGATGTCGTTGTCGAGCCGCCAGTAGACGAAGGGCGCGGAGATGACGGTTAGGAGGCCGACGAAGAGGAAGATACTACGTTTCATTAGCATTTGTTTCACAGGTTGCGGAGGGGCGCGTACATCTGCCACTCCTTGAGGATATCCGACTGAATATGCGCAAGGCCGTAACTCAGCGCCGCAGCAATGATGGTAGCCAGTCCGTTGGTACTATACCACGCCGCAACACGCAGCGGCTGCTCAGCACGCCGATACCACTGCGCGGTGATAATACTAAACAGCGGCAAACACCCCGCCTCAAACAATCCAAGCAGGAACCTCGTCGCCATCAAGCCGCCAAAGCTATGACAAGCCGCCATACACGACTGTGCGATACCCCATCCAGCCACAAGGCATGGTGCCAGAATGCGATGGGGGACACGAACGATCAACCAAGTCGAGAAAGGCTGCCAACATAGCTGCGCGATCGGCGCGATCGAACCCACGAGCGAATATTGGTTGCCCGTCAGGCCTGTGTCCTCTTTTAGGCCAAAGGTCGCGCCATAGCCAAGGACCGTCTTGTCGAGGATTTGGAGGAAGTACACCCAGCAGAGCACGACGAGGATTGTTCGGTCGGTCTTGCGGCGGATGCGTTTGCTGTCTTCTTCTGTGAGCGGGACACGGACGGTTTGGATGTACTGAGCGACGGGCTTTGCGGTGTCGGTGCCTTCATTGTGGGTGGTTTGTGGGGTGGGCACCATTTTGGGTGGCGGATTGATCGTCGATTAGACGAGTTTGACTTGGGAGAAGATGCCGATATAAACGAAAGACAGTGGAAGAGGGAGAAAAGAAGGGATTTATGCCCACACTGTCTACCCCAGATTCCTCGGGAACCCCCACGCAAAGTTGCCGACGAGAACCGGCTATTGTGGATCGGCATCTGATCGAAACCAGTTTGATAATCTTTGGCTGGACGGTATCCTCCGCATTGCAGCCGACATGTGGTGATCCGGGGGGCAACTCTCGGTTTCCCCCACGCGGACGAGTGGCAGCCCCCACGGAACGGGGAACTCCGGGGTCTCATTGGCAGCCCCCACGCTCGATGGGAGCATGTGAGATCAGAGGCGTTCTCCGCTGGGTGGCCGACGGGTAATGATTGATAAGATGCAGTCATGCCACCAAATGCCTACGTTACTGTGATTTCCTTTGGTTTCGACGTTATGGAAGCGAGTGGTGAGTGTTGTTGCTCGATCTGCAAGACCGCGACAGCCTCAATATATTTTGGTGGTGGGGGAGGGACTGCAGCCAAGTCGAGACAAGATTTCTTCCAAGCCACTTGGCAGAAGAGCTTGAGAACATCTGTCGCCGAGAACAGATAAACGGCCACAGCAACTTCAAGGATGCTGGCTAACTCCGCTTTTCATAGAACCTTTTTCCCTGTGTAAGCAGCTTTCTAAGTTAGCTCGCTGTATGCATCCCGGAAAGAGCTTGCTTGATATAGCTTTGATAAACCACATCCCTGCGAGCTTGGCGTACAGTACAGTCTTTTCGTCTATGAGTTTGGATTCCTCAAACAGCACTAACTGAGCTACTATGCACCAAGGCCAGGCAATTTGTGCTTTTCTCGCCCGCCTTGATTCTTTTTTACTTTATTTGTTCCTATATTTTTCCCTTTCAATCAACTTCGCTCCCCATTCGCCGTTGGGCGCAGGCAAAAACATGACCCATCATCAGGAACTCTCCCCTTCTTCCTGTAATTCTCCTCTTACCTTAACACTCTATCTCAATTTCCACTTGACTACGAGCTGGAAAGCTCTAAAAACTCACCGTTATCCATCGCCAAGCACTATCGGTCATCCATGAAGCCGTGGAGAAAGCTGCCTACCACCTAACACAAGGTGATCTGGCAAGGCTCGGAATAGAACAGAAAGAATTAACGCTTGGCGACAAAAGTCCTTCGCACTTCTTCTCAGCGTACAGAGGGAGAGTTGAGGTGCCGCGCGATAGCTATGTCAAAGATGAGTTCCCTCCCCGAGAACCAGAAGGAGGCGATGAACAAGACTCTGCATCCGAGAACGCAATGGCATTGGGTGGGCATCTGGCCGTGTGGTTCACCAAATGTGACCTGCCCGACAAGAAGCAAATTCCATTTTCTGTAGGTCCAGGTAGCTTCTACAGTGCTATCTTTCAGACCCTTACTCACGCCCCCGCATCCAGCCACGGTGACTTTAATTTTCCAGACCTCTGTGACCAGGCCTCCGCTGTTTGCTGGGAGGTCTTTTCTGCCAGGCCTATGCGCGAGCAGAAGACCCCGCACATGTTCGTTCTACTGGAGTCCGCTTCTTCGAGGTACAGTGTCAAGAACTTTCGAACAAATACGGAGAGACTAATTTTAAACCACCAGGTATCAGCCTCGGTGGAAGCCGTGGAGGAGATTGAAAATGGCAAGACGATCAAGCCAGTCCTGCTGTGGTAGAGAATCCAAGGAAAAGAGGTTTTCCCATCGCATCTTCTTGAACCTATCTTAGTTATTGTCTTATTCTCCTGATTCTCAGGCACAGGCACTGGGGAATGTGAGTAACATTCTATTGGCAGTGGGCCCTGCTTCCACCTCCTCTTAGCTAATCGGTCTTAGCACGGAATAATAACTTATTAGCTGAGCAATATCGTTGCTTGTTAGATCCTACTGTTAGGTTGAGATTCACAGCGAAATTATTAAACTAGAGTCAACACCATGGTTCGACGCTGATTCTGGTAAAAAACCAGTCTCACCAATCTGCACCCTTCCTTCATCCTGCACCCGAAGACCTAGACGCTAGCTTGACAAATGCGTAGATCTACATATAGAAAATATACGTATTGAAAACACCCGCTTCCTCATCTAGCAGTCCTATTTCCCCTCCGCATCCGCAGCCCTCTCCGTATCATCAATGGCCTTGGCAATAGCAGGGCGAGCCTTGATACGGTTCAACCAGGCATGAACATGCGGGAATCTGTTCACCAGATCCAATTCCTTCGACCACAAGAGCGTAGCCACCTCAAACCACGGCACAAATGCCGCATCCACATAGCTGTATCTACCGCCAACAAGGTATTTCCTGTTCCGGAGCGACCGGTCGAGCACGCCCGAAACACGCCGGATCTCGTTGACATAGCGCTCCACTGCACTGGGCACCTTCTCGGGGTGGTAGATGGTAAACCAGGCGGCCTGCCCGAAGTAGGGTCCCTGGCCGGACATCTGGTAGTGCAGCCACTGCTTGCTTTCGTAGTACTCCTTGGAGCCGGGAATGAAGCTGATGGTGTGTTGCGTGTCATAGGTGTCGACCAGGTACTCGAGGATGGCGCCGGATTCCCAGATGGTCATCCCGGTGTTTGGGTCGTTGAGGGCGGGGACACGGCCATTGGGATTGATCGACTCGTACGGTTCCTTCTTCAGGTCGCCGAGGTCTACCGACTTCGTCTCGTAGGGAACCTTCAGCTCTTCGAGGACCATGAAGACCTTCCAGGGGTTTGGCGTGCGGGCGTGGCCCTGCAGAGTCCAAACGGTGAGCGTCTTGAGGGCCATGGCAAGTGAATCAACGATTGACTGATCAGGCGAAAGATAGTTTGATACAGAAGGTTGATACAGAGACGTTGATGATCGAGGGTTGGTCTATTTAAAAGCAGCGGTATACTTCAATCAAGGGAGCTTCAGGGTATGCATTATACAGCTCAGCAGGCGAGAAGACCGAACGCTTGGTAAGCCGGAAATTTGATTGTCTTGTAAGTGATGTTTGTCAATGTCAACAGGACCTATCGCCAGCACGGTCTCGAGCCGACGATTGGTCCTGGGCCATCAACACAAACAGCACAAACTATGATACAAACAGAATTATAAATACAGAGCATAGCAAACCATTGCTCACTGTCAATCAGAACAAACAGCACAAACTCAATATATATAAAACTCTCATGCGGCATTAGCCAAATGATTTATAAGCAAGGGGAGCGGGGTCCTCGTACGGATCAGATAGAACATATTTACTTTCGTGGCTTCTTGGAACTTGATGATATATAACAGAATCCATTTAAGATATAAAATAAATACCTGCTGTTGCATAGAGTCAAATCTGCTACATATATACAAGATGGTTTGTTGCCAGCCTGAGTTCGGAATTAGCTGCATAGATCTTAAATACGCTGTTCACATATTTAATGGCCCGACCTCATTCCTTGGATTGTCTGGACTAGACTTTGGCCTTAGACTTGCGTTTTATCAGAGTTCGCATTGCGTGATGTGGATATTGCGTCTTCCCTTTTCTGTGGCGTGCCTTTCCCCGTCATCCGTCGACGCGCCCTCATACCATCGCCCCGGTAAGAACGAATCACATGACACGGAGCTCGTGTTAACCTTGTTTTAGATCCTGCTATTCTCGGTCGCTGCCCCACATCACATCAGAGTCATCGAGGCTTACTATGATGGTGAACGACTTGTTGTTCGTGTGAGCCCGTCGCACTCTATGGCAAAATCCAACCCCGAGCTTTTCTGCTACTCACCCGCTGGTGGCGGGGATCTGCTAGCTCGCAGCCTACCGCGGTTTTTTAGGAGTTCCTTCTTAGCGACGATATGACAGGAAATGAAGGCGTTACCGCGGTTAATGGTTCGGTACTGGTTATTGCGGACTGCGGAGTTTTCTGTCGGCTGATATGGAGTTTGGATGTCATGGGACCACGAGAGGGCTTTGTATCGCCAGTTTTGTTCGTTCGATGAGCTTTTTATAATACCCTGAATTGACCATGATGTTGTGCTTCTACTTACTGCCAGTTGTGACCCCTAATCAGCATACGAATGGATCATTTACTACATCCAATTCAGGTTCAATGTTGCAATGAACAAGTCTCCGTTCTGTTCTTCAAACCAAAGAAGACGCTCGACCGTCAAAGGCTGGATTTCCAGCCGCCCTCCTCTTCAAACAACTTCCCAAGTTCCTTGGCCACAGCCAGCAAGTGTTGATCCCTGAACCTCGGCGCGACGAGCGAGACTCCAATCGGTAAACCATTCTCGCCTTGGAACCCGGGGAGATTCACTACAGGCGTATGAAGTGCCTGCCCAAAAATCCTTATCAGCAAACCTCCACCTAAACAGACGAATAAGTCAATGGAAGAATACGCACCGTCCACATCGAACAAAACGCCGCACTCCCCGTCCCCTGAATCCCCACGGGCGCCTCATCCGGTACGCTGGGCGTAAGAAGCGCCGCATAGCGGCCGGCAATCCCATCAATCTGCGGGCGGAGCAACGCGATTCCGTCGAGAGCTGCAAGGTGCTGCACACGTGTATACCCCTCGTTATTCTCGACGTATCCCGTTAGGTGCTTTGAGATCTTGCTCTTGTCGCGCCGGTACTCGGACAAGAACGAGGTGCGCGCGTCAACGGCCATGATGGTCGCGTGCCAGGCGGGCATGTTGTCGAATTCCGGGGGGAGTTCGATTTCTTCGACGATTGCGCCGTGCGAGCGGAGGATCGCTGCTGCTTTTTCCACTGCAGCGATGGTGCCAGGCCCGGCTTGTGGCCAGACACTCGTCTTGACGAGGCCGAACCTTGCACCCTGCACGCCTTGGAACGCAGTCCCCCCTCCACCATTCACCTCATCATCTTTAACCCCAAAAACCCCCAATATCAGTTCCAAATCCTCCACCCCCCTCGCAAAAACCCCCAACGTATCCAAAACAAGGGAATAAACCTTGAGTCCCTCCCGGCTAACCGCCCCCCACGTCGGCTTCACCGCATAGATCCCGTTAAACGAGCCTGGGCGGATCGTGCTCCCGCCCGTTTGTGTGCCCAGCGCGATGGGGATCTGGTAGTCGGCGACTGCGGCGCCGGAGCCCGAGCTGGAGCCCCCGGGCGTCCGGCTGGGATCGTGTGGGTTGTATGTGCGCGGGCCGTTGGTTGTGCTGGCGAATTCGGTTGTTGTTGTTTTCCCTGACGTTATCTGGTTAGTTTCGGTCGAAGATAACTACACGGTCAGGATAGACAGGAAGGAAGCACACGGTTCGTACCAAAAATAAGAGAACCCGCAGCCCTCAGAATCGCAACGGGTGCCGCATCAACCGGAACATGGCTGTCCTTGTATAGCGGGGAGTTATGCTCGGTGGGCATATCCTTGGTATAGATCACATCCTTAACCCCAACAGGCAGCCCGTGCAACGGTCCCCGCTCCTCAAACGGAACAGCGTCGAGTTTCCGCGCCTGCGCGAGGACGAACTCCGGGTTCAGATATGCCCATGCGTTTACGGTCTCGTCGCGGGATTCGATCCGGGACAGCAGTGAGCGCGCGTAGGTTTCGACGGTTAATTCATTTGAGCGGATTAGCGCGAGGGCTCGCGTTGCTGTCAGGCGGGAAGGGTCGGGGGTTGTGATTGTCATTGTGCGTTGTCTGCTGCGACTATGGTTGTGGGTGGCTGATCGGATGCCTTTAAATGTTGAAGTGAGGGGCGGGGTAGACGGCTATATGGGGCTACGGCTCTCAATGCTCCAACTTTTAGCCAACTACTCCAACAGGGTGGAGACCTCTGAACTTCAGAGTCTGAGCCCTGCTTTGCCGTAGTCCGGCTGTGCGGAGTATGCTTCGGGCATTACAATAGCTTGTTGATCTACTTTCAAAGCCGACCATGATTTGGCAGAGAGACTTGCTTTGGATGCTTGCGTACAAGTCTCTAGGATCTCTGGCTGTCGCGGCTGAATGTGCTTAGCGCGATGGTGCCACCTCGGAGATGTTCCGGCGAGGGTCGGATTGGACATCAGAAGTGATAATAGGTGATTACTCCATACCGTTGCTCGTCCAATTCCGTTGTGATAGTCATGGCACGGATGGCGGATTTGCGTGCCATAAGGGAGAAATTTAAGCCTCGGTCTAGCTGTTGCTAGGTACAATCGTTATACCATACCTAGATACATGCTTCTTAGATTTGTATATAGCGCTGATATGCTTTGCCCAGCAAGCGAACCTGGGTCTAAAATTCTTTCAGACTCATATCGAAATAGCCCCCACGACGCCAGGCACCCATATACGCACTACTCCACGGGTGCCTAGGCGCCTAACCCCACAACCTTGAAAACAAGCGCGGGCACAGAATTTAATCTCAACCTCGCTGTACCCGGTCACAGAGATCACCAAGGCCCTTTATCATCGAGAGAAGAAGAAATCCAGAAGAAGCCTACAACATTCAGCATGTCCACACAGCCCCACCCCTCCTCGACGGAACCGACCTCGCGCCCCAAAACCGCCTTCATCTCCGGCCCCACCGACACAGGCCCGGACCAGGTCTTCTTCGCAAAGCACTACATCCCCTCCCTAAACACCGCAATCGCCGCCGGCCACAACTTCATCCTCGGACCAATCCTCTCAGGCGTCGACGCTGATGCGCTCGACTACCTCCTGTCTTATCCAATCGCCCCATCCCGAATCACAATCTACATGACCCGTTCCGAAAACGTCGCGTGGGGGAAATTATTCCGGGACCGTGGCGTGTGTGTTTATGTGCTCGAGGATATATCTGCGACGACGGCGATGCGCGATGCGAGGATGACGGCTCATAGCGATTATGATATTCTACGGTGGAGGACGGAGGAGGAGGCGAGGGGGTTTTATGGGGAGATGTATCGGGGCGGGTATGTGACGAATACGGAGAGGAATTGGAGGCGGCGGAGGGGGTTGGCGGAGACGGGGGAGTTGGGGAGGGGAAGTATTACTGTGGAGGAGATGGTTGCAAGGGAATAGAATGAGTCGTTAGCTGTTTAAAACAAGTTCCTCAGGTTGATCTATCTGCGGGACTTTTTTGCTGAATGCGACAAAACAAGTATACATCAATCAAAGCACCTTTGTAGCCTTGCCAGGCTCCAACCACAGAACCTTCTCACCAACTCCCTCATCCTCAAGCTCCTTCTTCAGTGCCTCGCCATGCTGCGCGAAATGCGCCCACGAATCAAAATGCACAGGGACGAGAATGTCAGCGCCTAACTCCCTAAACAGCCGCGCACCCTGCTTCCCATCCATCGTAAGCTGCAGGACTCCATTGGGAGTCGAAACCTCTGCTTTTCCAAAATGCAGAACCGCAACGAGGACGTTCCATCGCTCCGCAATCTGCCTGAGTTCCTCGATGTAGACGGTGTCGCCGGAGATATAGATCGCGTTTGGCTTGCCGTCGGCAGCTACACCGAAACCACCGGCTGTAATCACGAAGCCGGTGCATTCGCCGCCAGGGAGGTGCTTGCAGGGCGTGCCGGTTACTTCGAACTCCTTGCCTGCTATCCTCCAGGTGATAGTCTGCCACGGCTGTATAGCGCGTACACCCGGGCGAGGAGCGAGCTTTGTGGCCCCGTCGGGCGTTGTAAGAACATGGCGGCCGTCAAGGATACGGCGACCGAGTTCGTCGAGGTTATCTGGGTGGTCCTCATGGCTTAGCAAAACAGCGTCGATAGGAGGCAGGCTCTCGATGGCAACTGCCGGCGTGACGCTGTTCTTGAGCAGAACGATACCGAGGTCCCATTCATTGCCTGCGGGGGAGAAGAAAGGGTCAGTGAGGAACTTGATCCCGCCAATGTCGATGATTGCGGTGGCGGTTCCGATGTGGGCGATGGTCAGTGAGCTTTTGAAGTTGGACGCCATCTTTGCTGACTTGATGTGGGAAATACGTTAAGGGTGTACGAAGTTACAGTGGCCAGCCGGCGGCCGAGTATCTATCGTCGCGGTGACGTAAGGACGCGAACCGAATTCTGCAAGATGAGTAAGTGCCTGCGCCAAATATCAAAATAAAGTTTGTTGTTTATTCCAACGTCATGCAGGATTTGGTGGAACCCAGAGCCAACAGAAGGTGAGCTAAGCCAGTTTGGCGACGGAAAATGCTGAAAGAGGCGCATTATGCTACCGTGATTGGTTCCGTCATCGCTTCAAATGACCAATTTCCCCACCTATATACACCATACTGCCTGGCCGGAGGTTTCTCGAATCGGCGTTGAGGGGAGTTTATCAACGTGCAAGAAGCGTCAAGAGAGCAACAGCCAAGCTACCTGATATGCAGGAAGCGGCAATCTTGGGGTAGGACCAACCGACCAGCGTCTATAGGTCGGGAAGTAGGTAACTCCGGGCACGACGTAACACGAGTTGGGACCCCGGAGCGCGGCCTCAACTACGCGTTCAGCAGCCTGATGCGTGATACCGACCGCTCAGTGTAGAGGCTCGTGCGTCTTAAATCTTCAGAGTTAAACACTGAAGGAGAGACGTACGTGCGAGCAGGCAACGGAGGAACTGGTCGCGCTTGGATTATACGCTAGAGGTCCCACAAGCCTATCCTGATTTGCATATTGGATTGGGTCGTGAACCCCTGTAAATGTATAGTAGTGAAATAGCTGCCTTAAGCTTCTGAAACTGCAGGCCCGCGTGCTTCAAATCTCCAGGTCTTAGGTCAAAGCACTGCGTCAGCTAGTCAACGCTCAGACAGTTCAGAAAGCGCTGTGGTTTGTTCCATTGGTTCTACAGGAAGACTGCATGCAATAAGGGTGACCTGAATACCATGGATAAAGTTGCAGCTTTCCATGCGGCTATTGCTTCGTTGAAGGAGTGTATGCTATGCTAAACCCGCGGTAGACCAGTCCCACACAACCGCCATACAAATATTTGGAGGTTCCCAGAGAGCGACATGCATTCATTCCCTTCCAGTAAAACCGTCGACTACCGAGATCCGACTCAACCCCTCGTCATTCATTACTCATCATATCCCTGACTGTTCATAAGTCATGAACTCACATATCTGTGTAGGCAATGTTGCTCACGTCTACAGAAGCCCATCAAGCTGCACCAGCACCAGTCAGCACGCATCCCAAAAGACGCAGGAGAGAATAAAAACGTACCAGATCGCCAACAGCGTCCAAAAGGTCCCCCAACAAATTCCCAACTGAGTCCAACAACCCGCCAAGCAAGCCAGCGAGCCCGTCGTGATGGCGACGTGAGTTGTTTATGACGACGGAAAGAGAGGCATACACCTGATGCACAAGGGGAGCCTTATCCTGGCGGACCTCGAGATCCACGAGTTCGCTCTGCTGGCTAGAGGCGCTATCTCCGCACGCCTGCGTGATCTCTGTGAGGAACTGCTCGGACGCCGAACCCGTCGCGATACCGATTTGGGTGAGTGCGTCGGAGAGCGCGTTGAGGTAGTTGGTGAGTTCCTGCGACTGGGACTGCCGGGGACTGATTAGGTCGCGGGGCTCATTCGACACCTCGAGGGAGCTGGCCATGTATTGGAGGAGGGGGAAGATGTTGGTCAGTTGGTTCTGGGTGTAGGCTGCGAGGAGAACGCATGCTTCCTGGGAGGGGACGGCGAGCGTGAAGGTGAAGAGGAAGAGGAAAAGAATGGAGAGCATCTTGATGGCCATTTTCATATTCTTCTTGGTTCTCGTGATCTCGGTTTGCCTGTGCTGCTATGGAGAAGCACGGCTGGAGGAAGGGAGAGGGCCCTTTCATATCTAGGGTTGCAGAAGGCCGGTGTACGCATTGAGTACCTCTCCGAACCGGCTGTGTCCGATTCGGTCACGACAACCCATGTCAAGATCGACAAGGACGAAGCCCTACTAGGTCGAATACCGAGGGGGCGTATCTGCAGTCAGCTTATCACAGCGCCAAAACCACTACCACCCCACCACTGATCCGGAACCAGGCGACCCGAGGCCTGGTCGGCCAGTTCAAATAGCAATTGTCCCCTATCGATGAAGTTGTTGGGAACCGAATGCAGGAAATTCCTGCATTTGTGCGACGGGCTCGTGATAAACCTGCAGGTCTGCTTTGAAGGGACCAACCATCCACTTTCGAGTTCCCTACTGAATGATTGCAACTGATTGACGGACAGTGCCCTTGTATCCCTTTCACTGGGTAAGATGGATGTCTTTCGCCATCCTTTTTCACTGCACGCCTTGGACCGCCGCGGAGTATCTAGTACTGGCCTTGCCCAACCCCTCATGACTGAAGGAGACCAGGAACTTGCGTCAACAATAAATAAGGACTACTAGTGGCTCCCTCGGTCCCTTCGGACCTTGATCATCAGGCTAACTTTGGTTCCTGGAAAGCCGGGGACAGCTAGCGAGAATGACGTCACCCACGCCAGACACTCGACGACCCCCACATGTAAAGCTTGTTCCCAAAGTAGGGGTAGACTTGCATTTCTAAGCAGCAGCGCGACGACCGGCAATTCCCCGAAATCCCTATGTAAGCTTCTCCTTATTATCCGGATCCGACCTCATCTTCTTCCTGCTGTAGCCAACCCCCTCGTTTCGAAAAAGCAACCACCAAACCTGAACACCGAAGGCCCGGAACTTCCTCACAAAACAAAAATAAAAATAAAAATGTCACGAATTGGCATCTTCCCCGCAGCCGGCGGTCTCGGATCGAGCATCCTCACGCACCTATTGGACCTCGTCCCAGCCTCACAACTCACTCTCATCGCGCGCAAATCAAATTCGCTCGCCGACGCTGCGGATGCCGGCGCGACGCTTCGCCATGCAGACTACGACTATCCAGCCACTCTCGACAGCGCATTCGAGGGTATTGATGTGCTTATGCTCATCTCGTACGCCTCGTTTGAGATTGACCATCGGGTTAATGTACCTCTTCCAAACTCCCTGTCTTCCCAACCACTCTAGTACCGGGGATTGTATGCTAATGATGCGCTAGGCGCACAAAAAAGCAATCCTCTCCGCGCAAAAATCCGGCGTAAAGCACATATTCTATTCCTCTCTGGCATTTGCCGGAGACTATACCTCGACCTCCGTCGCCCACGTAATGGGCGCACACCTGGCAACTGAGAAATTCCTCGCCGAATTACACGGCACGATGACGTATACCGTCATCCGCGAAGGTATCTACTCCGAGTCCTTCCCCATCTACACGAACTGGTTCGATCTCCGCAATCCCGTTGATGAGATCTGCATCCCGCATGACGGCTCTGGTCCGGGCGTTGCGTGGGTGAAGAGGGATGAACTGGGTGAAGCGACCGCGAAGCTGGTTGCGCGGTATGCGACGGCGACGGGCGGGAATCCGGCGGCGGAGGAGGAGTTTCCGTATGTGAATCGGATTGTTTTACTCACGGGGCCGAAGGTGTATTCGCTCAAGGAGAGTGTGGATATTCTTGGAAGGGTGGTCGGGAAGGATGTCAAGATTAAGCCCGTTACGGTCGACGAGTATGCGCGGTTTGATCACAAGGGATTGCACACGTATCACGGTGTCAATCTGGCGAGGGAGTGGGCGACGGCGTGGGAGGCGATAAGGAGGGGCGAGACCGCGGTTGTTACGCCTGATCTCAAGGAGATTTTGGGAAGAGAGCCGGAGGACTTTGAGACGACGATCCGAGGGTTGCTTGTCTAGATGTACCATAAATGTGTCTAGAACCACTACTTACGCAGCAATATCCAAGGTGCTGTCACATTTAATACCATGTGGTCCGAAGGTAGGAATTATTAAGCATCTTAGTCGGCAGGCTTCGTTGCATCGTCCACATCATTTGATTGGCGGGTCTATACTTCCCTCTCAAGAGGAAATCAGGTTCTGGGGGCCTTGTAGCTGAAGCCTGGTTGAATACGAGTCCCCCGATGCAACATTACGTCACTCCGATTGTTACCCCACCGACCCCGCCAACCCCTCCCTTAATCCCCCAGAATCAAAACCCCTTCCCCCCCTGGTTCCACTTCCTCAACGTCCTCCCTCTTCTCCATCTAATCCAATCCATTCATTGATTAATAGCCCATAATGTCTACAGTCACATTAACAGCCCGCTGCCACTGCTCCTCAACCCACTTCACCGTCACCCTCCCAAAGTCGTCCCTCCCACTCCCCGCGCATCTGTGCCACTGCACCCTCTGCCGCACAACCTACGGCACACCGGCTACGTTCCATGCGGCGCTCCCTGAGGGCATCAAGCCATCCTTCATCGCGCCCTCGAGCTGGGATAACCTTACAAGCTACCTCCCTCGCGGAAGCAAGGAGCCGCTGTATTTTTGTTCCACTTGTGGATGCCATGTTGCGGCCTTGAATCCGAGCGGGATTTGGGGCATCGTTGTTTCGATTTTTGAGGACGGAAATCGCATTCCAACCGATGATGGCCAGGGGGAGGGGAAGATCTGGGTGATTGATGAGCACATCTACACCGAAAAGGTATCGACGGGTGACGGCGGGATAGCGGAGCTCGTTCCGAGGATCGGTGGGGCGGAGCTGAAGATTTGGAATCCGGAGGAGCCTGGAGAGTTTTCTATTCCTGAGAATCCTCACGCTGATGCGGGAGACACACTCCTCGCGCAGTGCAACTGCGGCGGCGTCTCCTTTGCCATCTCGCGGCCCCGGGAGGAGTTTATCAATTCGCCTAAAAGCGCCGGCTGGATCCATCCCAGTGACGAAACAAAATGGCTCGCGCTCCTCGACGTCTGCACCGACTGTCGCCTCGTCACAGGGTCGCACGTGAGTTCCTGGATGTTCGTTCCTATGGACCACATCACCCCTGCACTCCCATCAAACCTGCTCCTCGGAACAATGAAACGCTACGAATCGAGTCCTGGCGTGACGCGTACATTCTGCGGAACCTGCGGCGCGACAGTATTTTTCCACATGGAGAAGAGAGGAGGGATAATCGATGTTGCCACGGGGATCCTGCGCGCGCCTGAGGGGGTCATGTTGAGGGATTGGGCGGTTTGGAGGACGGCCAAGTTGGGATTTCCCAACGATGGGTTGGAGTATGATAAGGAGTTCACCGAGGGTTTAGAGACAGGCATGAAGGAGTGGGCGAGGAGGGTTCATGGGGGAGTCGTGGATTTTGGGGGGAGTGGGCCGGAGGCGGATTAATCGCTTATTTTCTATGCCGGGAGGAGACTCCAGGACAAGAGGTTAGATCTTGAGATATACCAAGTGAACGCCACTAGTTCGCCTTGAATTGTCATATCTCTGAACCCCCGTCTCGGGGCCAGCTTATCTCGGCGAAGCTCCGTGTGGAGACCGGATATCTCTCCGATGTCATAGTGTGAGCCCTACAGTTGCCGATCGACGACTCCACGAAGGATTTCAACTGGATCAATTGGGCATCGTTATTGCCTGACGTCGATTGTGCTCTAGGCTTTGGATTTTGAAAGTTCCTTTATCTTGAAAACTCTTCGCTCTTCCTTTCTTTTCCCCTTGATGTTCGTCTTGGATCTCATAATGATCCGCATCCCTCGCGTTACATTACGAAGCTCAAGGAGCAGATGATCGGTTTATCCTTGATACACGTAAGCTTATCAAAGAGGGCATTATATTATAACGCCAAGAGCTCGACCGAAATCCAGATCATCAATCCGCCATGGCGACAACGACAGCAGAAACAGCCTACCTAGGCTCCTCAGCCCTGTCGAACGCCATAACCATGGGCACGAGCAAGCTAACAGACACTGAAAAACACCAAACGAGCATAAACACAACCTCACACGCAAATATATCTCGATCTGAGGACAAACCCGACCCGTTCCTGATCACATACACCCGCAACGACCCAGCAGACCCGCTAAACTGGCCACTCTCTAAAAAACTAAAATTCACACTCATCTCCTGCGCAATGGTCTTCCTCACGGCATTAGCCAGTAGCATCTTCGGTCCCGCGGCGTCGACAACAGCATCCGAGTACGGGGTCAGCATCCAAGTCATGAATCTCAGCGTCGCACTCTTTGTCGCTGGGTATGCTGTAGGCCCGCTCTTCTTCGCTCCGCTCTCTCAACTCGTGGGCAATGCGATTCCGCTCTTTATTGCCATGTTTGGTGTTGCGGTTTTTCAGATCCCGCAGAGTCTTGCGACGAATGTTAAGACGATTGTCATATCGAGGTTCGTGCAGGGGATGCTAGGTTCTGGTGTGTTGGCGGTGGGATCTGGTATGCTGGCTGAAGTGTGGAGTGTCGAGACGCGGGCTATTGCGATCGGATTATCTGCCACGAGTATGAACCTCGGTAGTTCCGTCGGGCCCATCGCCGGCTCATTCATCCTCGATCGGTATGGCTGGCGGTGGATCGGCTGGGTGACACTTCTCACCTATGTCGGCGTCGGCCTCTTGACCCCCTTTACAGTCTGGGAGTCGTCGCGCAAGCGCATCCTCGAGCTCCGCGCAGCGAAGATCCGAAAGGAAACTGGCGATAACCGGTACTACGCACCCAGCGAGAAGAACCGCCTCACACTGGGCACCCTCGTTCAGCGGTACGGCAAAATGCCCGTGCAGATGATGGCGCAGGAGCCCATCCTCATTGTCATCACCCTCTACCTCACCCTCGTCTACGGAACGCTGTACCTCTCGTACCAAATGATTCCGTACGCATTCCAGCAGCGCGGGTGGTCTGCACCTAATGCCTCTCTCCCGTTTATAAGTGTGATCCTCGGCGTCCTGCTGGCGTGGATTCTCGTCAGCTTGTACACGGTATATTACTGGCGGCCGAAGCTCAAGCGTCTTGGTGCTACAACGCCAGAAGACCGCCTCCCACCTATGATCCTCGGCGGAATGCTCCTCGTCCCCGCCCTCCTGTGGTTAGCCTGGTCCTCCCGAACCCACCCCTCCTCGCAGATAATAGCATGCCTCCCGCTCGGCTGTTCACTGCAACTAATCTTCATCTCGGGCGTTGTTTATATCATCGACGTCTACATGCCAAACGGCAACAGCGCAATATCAATCCACGTCGCGGTGCGGAGTCTGGTTAGTGCGACATTTCCACTGTGGGGGAGGTTGGTGTATCAGAAGCTAGGGGTTGAATGGACGGGGACGGTTCTTGCGGGGGTCGGGGTAGTCCTTGCAGGGAGTCCGGTTGTGTTTTGGGTTTGGGGGCATAAAATTCGGGGGTGGAGTCGGTTTTGTGAGGTTGTTGATTGAGAGGTTGGGATGGGTGGATGGGAATTGCATGGGATACGGAGGAACTTAAATAGACCAGAATGTCCTTATTGTCCACAGATATAGCATAGTATGGCTTCTTTTAGTAGTTGCCCGCAAAACCGTACAGTACCTACAGAGCTATTCCACATGGTGCAAAGTGTTCGAGGATTCTTGTGAACACGCGAATAAATTCCACCAATACCCTTAACTCAGAAGAAGATACTGGGCTTGTAATAATCCATCCAATCATTAGATTCAATTTCTTTCAAGTCCTTTTCCCCAACGTGGCTCTCAGATCGTGGCCAACCATGGCCGAGACTTGGAGCCGCAAAATGACACCAACCGTGGCTCCAATCATACCCATGCCCGCGCACAGAGCGCCAAGCGTTATCACACAGCTTCAGCTCTCTCGGCTCTGGAGAGCGTACATATGTTAACTGAAGACCCCGTTCAGCAAACGCACTGATTATCAACTCCATCTAAGAACTACGTCGCACACTCAGTGTATCAAGTTAAGGTGGAACAAAGCGAATGGAACAAGGCCAATAATGTCCCTGTCGACACTTCCAACGGAGTTGCTCCTTCACATCGCCACCTACGCCGACAACGAGAAAGACCTGAACAATCTCGTCCGATCCTGCCGCCGGCTCTACACCACCCTGAACGACACCCTCTACAAACGGCATGCCGAAGAATCTGCCACATCGGCGCTGATATGGGCCGCCGAGCGTGGCATGCACAAAACGGCGAAGCGCTTCCTGGCTCTCGGTGCTGACGTAAACGCAACGAATGAAGACCGTTTGACCGTACTCATGCTAGCTGCGGCTAAGGGTCACGAAGAGGTCGTTCGGACGATCCTTGGGGTTGAGGGAATTGACGTCAACGCTCAGCACTGGCTGCATAAGCGGACGGCTCTGCACTATGCCGCAATGGAAGGCCATTACGAAGTTGTGAGGGTGCTTATTGGCGCGAAAGGGATTGGTTTCAATATTCCCGAAGGGAATTATGGCGGCACGCCGTTAATCGCGCTGATTTCCGCTACGGCACCGGGGAAGGAGGAGGTTATGCGATTGATTGTTGAGCAGGAGGATATCGATTTGAATCAGGCAGATACGAAGTGGGAGTTGTCGCCCTTGCTCTGGGCAATTCAGGATGAACAGACCGAAATTGCATGTATACTGCTCGAGAAGAAGACTGTTGATGTCAACTTCGCCGACCCTCGCGGCCGAACACCCCTGTGGTGGGCGGCGAAGCTAGGAGACGAGACATGTCTTCGTCTGCTGCTTGCTAGAGATCATATTAATATCAATACTCCGAACCACAAGGGACAGACGCCGTTATGGGTCGCTGCGAAGCATGGCCACGAAGGGGTAGTGCAGATGCTGCTGCGCGAAGGAGCGGATCCTACCACAAGGGACAATAAACACTATCGCGATGCCCTCATGGTGGCTGCGGTCAAGGAGAGGACGGATGTTGTTTGTCTACTCCTCCGTGAAAAGAACATCAACTTTACGGGGCAAGATAGCGAAGTTGTTCGGGCTTTCGTCCTGCAGGCTCGGGAGAGGGGTCATTGGGAGACCGTGAAGGTGATTTCGGAGACGTTGGGTATGGATGGAATGGAGAATCAATGTAAGGAGAAGGTGAGCAGGATAGCCACGGACGGTAGAAGAGCGCCTGCACGTCTGAGTTTAATGTTGCGTTTAAGGAATGCGATAGCGCAAGGTCAATGATGAGAAGCTCCGTTTTCGGCCATACCTCTCGTATGCTACCCCATTGACATTGAAACTCCGTACCTCATTCCACGTAGTCTACCTTTCACATGTCAATCCGCTCTAGTTCCGAATACCCCGATGGAGACGCCCAAGCGAAACCATACTCCACAGGCCAGATGCGTGATAGGAGTGCGTGAGGGTGTATGTCCAGAATGATTGTTCACTTAATGAGAATCACATCTCGTCGTGCTTTTAGCCTTCCGCTAGCTTCTCTACATTGATACAGGTTAAGAGAATACTAACATCCTTGTAGTCCTCTTCTTCCCGCTCGTCATAGCCACAATTCTACCCCGCGTCTAGCTATCTCGACACATGTCAAGCGTGCGAGGTGTTTTCCAGACCACTCATTGACTAGTACCGAGACAGTCCTGGAATGAGAGATGTTTTTGAGTGATTGGAGCTCTCCTCACTGTTCTCCTCAATCGTCTATCCTCGTCAATAACACATTCCTGGTCGGACAACAAGTCCGACCGCTATAAACCATTGTATGCCCTAGCACTTGAGGTGCAAGTAACAACCATCCGAGGTTTCCCGTCAACTACCAATGCCCTCATCGCCGATTGTCGACTGCTTCCAAGTTGAAAGTGACCATGCTTTCCAATCTGGCAGTGCATGCAGAGGCCATGTGACCTGTCTTCTGGTGTAACCTCCGCGCTCGCACCTCCCACAACACCGATCCACCCATACTCTCCCAGTTGCTGAAAGGACGTGCATTTTCAGCAACAAGGTCCATGACGCGGCCAACATGTTGCGCTCTGCAGCTGGTAGACATCAAGCATCGTTCTTATCCCGCGCAAGACCCTTCTTACCATGTCCTTGCCTCCAAAGCAAGCGCACTCAACACGTTACCACCACAACCACATCACAGCCAGATTCACACCTCTTCCGCTACACAAGCGGCCGCTGGATATGGAACGAAGAGAAACAGCTGCGGTACCGATATTCTCCTTTCAATGTGTCCGAGCTACAGAATGTCGCGGCGCACAGCGTCGGGGCTGACGCTTGTACCGGAATCACGAAATTAGCCGAGGGCAACTTCAACAAGATATTCCGACTGACGATGGACAATGGGAAAAATGTAATCGCACGCATCCCTCATCCAATTGCAGGGCCGCATCGATTCATGACGGCGTCCGAGGTGGCAACGATGGATTTTGTGAGAAAATCGTTCCAAATTCAAGGCCTTGGGTTCTCACATTCTACTAGGCGCGCAGTGTTCTGGGCATTCCAACACCCCAAATCTTCGCCTGGAGCGCCGATCCGAGCAACCCAGTGCAGTCCGAATATATCATTATGGCTGAAGCTCCGGGTGTGCAACTAGACTCGGTTTGGAGTGACCTTTCACTGGAGCAAAGAGTCGCCATCATGAAAGACCTTGTTTCTTTAGAGAAGAAGATGAGTTCTGCGTCGTTTAGCAGGTCTGGACCTCCGACTCGCCCGTCGTTCCATCGCTAACAGTGGCGAAGATACGGGAGTTTGTACTATACGAGCGAGAACATTCCAGGTGCAAAATCGGTGGAGGTCCAAGGAAATGTGTCGGTCGACCTCCGTAACGCAGCTACGCGCCAGTTCTGCCTAGGCCCAATTGCTGAAAGGGAGTGGTGGCGTGGAGAACGCGCAACGATGGATATAGACCGCGGCCCATGTATGTGTCATCCCTCCCTGCCATTGAAGGACCGTGCTAATATCCCGAAGGGGATCATCCGCAGGACTGTGCTATCTCAGTTGCTCACCGCGAGATAAAGTGGATTGAGCAGTTCGCTGTTCCCAAACCAGACAATGACCCTTTGGTACCGTCGAAGACACAGAACTCTCCGGGTAACCAAATCTCTCTGCTCCAGCGCTATCTACAAGTCGCTCCATACCTCCTTCCCTCCGATTCCGACGTCGTCGCCTCCCATATATGGCATACTGACCTCCATGCTGGGAACATCTTTATCGACATTAATACCTGTCAAATCTCCAGTGTTATAGACTGGCAGGGGATTTGGGCTGCGCCACTTATACTACAGGCCCGTCATCCGCGGCTAGTGCAGTATGATGGCGAACTCATCCTGAAACCTCCAACAAGTTTCAAAGACTTGGAAGCTGGTGAGAAAAGCCGGATACGCGATAACATGAGCCGGTCAATCATTCTTTATTTGTACGAGCAGACAATCGCCAAGGAGGTGCCAATTCTTCACAAAGTCCTTCACTTTAGCAATGGCCGGACAAGATGCGAGCCCATTATATTCGCTGGCGACACGTGGGAGGATGATATCATACCCCTCAGAGAGTCTTTGATTCGAATCGAGAAGTAAGCCAACCGCATCCTCCCCTTGTTGCGACCGAAGGCTTTTCCGTCTTCAACTGGTCATTCAGCTAACCATGCGTAGATACTGGGACGAGTTCGGTTTTGATTTTCCGTGCCCCTTCCACTTCACGGAGGATGAACTGCGAAAACATGCAGAAGACAGTGAAGGGTGGAACGAGGTTCAGGACTTTTGGGCTTCGATTTCATCCATTGTCGCTCGGGACGGGTGGACGCCCAACGAGGCGTACCAGGACGCGGTGGCCCTTTCAAAGAACTGCGGGAAACAGGTCTCAAAGTTAAGGCAGGGAAGGAGAGGGAGGATTTCCAAGAGCAGACAAAGTGGGTTGAGAATACGTCCGCACAACCGCGACGCTCTACCTAGGACGGTCACGGTGCGTTCCCTAGATGTGGACTATGCCATGTTCGCAGTGTATGTGTAACACGGCAGCCTACTTCTACACGCAAGTCTCCTCTACTTCTCCTATGCGCTGTCCATTGATTGCAGTGTCTTGCTAGGTAATGCTGTACAACTTCGGCATGACTCAACGATTTTACCCATACATGATGATAAACAGATCATTATTGCAAACTAGTTCGCCGAACGCCGACAATGCGGGAATCGTGAGCTGTACCCGTATCATTCAAATTCCACAACGAGCTTTTTTCCTCGAGCTTCTCCTTTGCGAAGACCATCCAGACCCTTCAAAACCGCCTCGAGTCCCCCTCTGGTTACCGTAATAGCAGGCGGGTTGAGAACATCACCATACAGTGCCGGCAGGCTTGAATAAAACCGCCTCAGAACCTCGCCATCGGCCGGTGTGACAGGAAACACTGGGCCCAACGGCGCCAGCATCTGAAACTGCTTGCCAAATGCCGTGAAAACCATCAGGAACTTGTACTCGACGTCGGGCTTGATCGGTTTTCCTTGATCGAGGAGGGTGATCACTTTCCCACTGGCCAGTACGTTCGCGCAAAACGCTGCTGAACCGCCCTCTGAGAAACAGTCGATGGCTCTCCTGATATTCGGATACGCCTTTGTGATGTCCTTGACGGCTGTCGGGGAGGAATAGTCGAAGACATCATCTGCACCGTGTCGCCTCACGAGATCGAACGACCGAGGCGAGGCGGTTGCAACGACCTTCAAGCCCGCCCGCTTGGCGAGTTGGATCGCAAAGAGACCGACATTCGATGCGCCGGAGTAGATGAAGATCGGAGAACGCTCCCCTGGGATACTCGACCCCTTCTCGATATCCTTCAAGGGAACATCAAGATACTCCAGCGCAAGCACCGCCGTAACAGCCGAGATGCCAAATGTCGCCGCCTGCGCATCACTCACACCCTCCCCAACCTTCCACGCAAGACCCGCATCAACCTTAACATATTCGGCAAAAGACCCAATGTCCTTATACTGCCCCCCATGTACGAACCCCGCGACCCTCTCCCCGACCGTCCATTGCTTGGCAGCATTCTTCCCAACCTTCGTTACGGTCCCGGCATAGTCGCACCCAATGACACTGCCCCAGGGGGAAAGGACGTCGATGTCTTTAGTGTCGATGGGGTTCAGGGCGACGGCGGAGACTTTGACAAGGATTTCGTCGGCGGTTATCTCTGGGGTGGGGATTTCGGTAATGTGAGCGCCTTGGCCGAGTTGGCGCTTGAGTGCGAGGGACGACACGCGTTTGAGGAATGTTCGTTTTGCGACGATGGCTTTCATCTTGGATGGGCGCTTGCGGTTGTAATGCGAAAAGATAGGGCCTGGTCGAGGAAATGCGACGAATTCACTCTCAGAACGCTGGTTTCCGGAGCAGATCTCAGGTTTGTTTCCCGTGGGATTGTGAGGCTGATATAGGACCCTGCCCCACGAGCCCGGATAGACTCAATGCCCCGATACAAGAAGGGTAGTCTGGTATCATTAATCAAGAAGTCCGGCGTCCATTCACAGAGACGGTTCGAGCCTCGGACGACTCCACCGGTCGGAAATATCAGTAATCACGAGGTGGCGTTCCTCGGTTACCCACTCATTTAGCTTTTGGCTTTTGGCCCTACGGAGATCGGGCTGGGCAGCCTCCATCGAGTGGTCTAGAGTGTCAGAACGCAAAGTAGACCCACCGAGTACCTCCTTTAGGAAGTCGTACAACCTTACTAGGTATGGGCTAAAACTTGATATAGATACTAGTCCAGCGGGGCATGGAAGCCACATCCAACCACCTGGCATTGCCTCAAAGAGCCTCCAATCTCACTTCCACACTAGCAGTTAGAGCATTTGGTCTAGTACGTCATACCACTGACTCCAGAACTCTGGATTCATCTCCGCCGACGATAGAACACATATACCCAGCGAGTCGACACTGTCGCAGCCATCAGTGTGTTCCCTGGTCAGGGATTTCACAAAGTTACTACCAACAGCTGGACTTGATTTTGATGACTGGACAGGCAGTCGCAATGGGTCACCCTTCCCCGTGTCGGATGTTTGGATGCTCCCACGACAGGGAAGGAACAACTGGGGATCCTGCCATATCCAATCTTATTACGCCCTGTCGCGCCTTCCCCGAGCACTTCAGACAAAGTCTAGATACGGAAGGTACGTTGTCTCGGTGACCTGGGTCATACCTTCCTTGTATGAGTCTTATAGACATTGCACTCGACTGGGAAGGACCGACCAGCGTGCCTGCCATATTCGGTCTGGGTGGTGCATCGGTCGCACCTTCCTCCTATGCCAGATTAGAAATTACATTTCCGTAGTAACCTGGTTCGTACCTTCCTCGTGGGCTGTCTTCGTACTTGACGAGAAGCTGCGACAGTTGCACTTGCCTGTACGATCAGGCAGTGGGTAATCGCTCTGTGCTTTTGTATATCTCCCACACCCCTCCGGCTCAGTATCGTGAGTTGTCCAAGATACGGCAGTTGCACTGGTTGACTAGTACAGCCTCACTGCCTGTCCTCAGCATTCGCCAGCTCGCTATGAGGCGCAGCCAAGTGCAATCTTGTTTCATTCGCTTTGGAGATACGATATGACGATGGGTCGTTCTCTATCAGTCAGGCTCGAAAAGCTCGAGTCGTGTACCTAGATGCATATCGATCCCACCTCGCAAGCTCGAATCCAGTCATTCATCGGAGTCTTACTATGACGAGAGACGAATGCGATTCGAGTACTCCAGTTACTGTTCATCTCCCCCACGTAATTGTCTCACAGTCAGGCCGCCCGTCAGACGTATACGTATCGCACCGACACGGAGTATCAACTCTCGTATCTCATTGGACCCGTGGATAACCCTCCTCTCCCCATTCGGAACGATGATGCGCCCATCCCAGACAGATCTGAGACAAGGCCACTCCGCATCGCCGGGACAGTCGATCATCCAGCTCCTGAACTTTAATCCGTGCGATAATTATAGTACCGTCATCATCGTCAATACTCGCAAGGATCTTGGGCTCACCCTCCATCTTGTGACTTCGTCCTCCCCAGGCCGTATAAAATGCCCAACTGCTCACCCATCCTCATATACCGGATCCATTACTGGCAACAAATTTCGATAGAAATATCCCTTGCTCTTAGAGTCAGAAGAACCGCCACTCAATATCTCACTCATCCAGCAACGAACTCAAAATGAAATCGTCCATCCTCGCCGCAACCATGACAGCCCTCGTTGCCCTGTCAGCCGCAAGGCCAACAGCAATCGAGGCTGAATCCCGCCAATTCCAAGTCTCCGTGACCTTTTACGGGGAAAACGACCAGTCATACAGCCTCCTCGTTCCGGCTGATCGGACGGTTGTTCACATTGGTACGTCGTTCATTGCCTTTCCGCACCCTCCTTCTATCTCGAAATCGAACTATGGGACGGATGAATATGCTAACTTATTCGGCAAAAAGACAACCCCCTTATCGTCCACAGAGTGACTTCACCCGGCGGCGGATTCTGTACGTTTGTCGGTGTGGAGGGCGAGAGTGTAGTGATTTACGCCGAGGATGAAAAGGTGCTCAGTGTGCCGCAGGCGATGAGTTGGGGGTCATGTGGGAATAACTGAGCTTCTCGTCCCTACGAAATTTGAATCCGGGGCTGGGAGTGATCGTGCGTTAATCTTGATAGGATATCAAACCATATGGGCGATTCCTGGGGACTATGGCTGGGGTGCCGGGACTATCCTGATTATCAAATTCGAGGTATATATGCCAGATATGCTAGCATGATACAAGTATTTGCTCACAAGCATCCGCCTTTTTACCGTAAATATCTTAATCAGATTCCGCAACCACTGAGCTCTCACCATCTCCAACCCCTTCTCTTTCCCCTCGCGCATGGGCTGCGAAAGCCGGTACTTCGAGACTTCGATCCCCCAGAAATTCTGTCCGCGGCAGATCTTAATGCGCAGATTCTCCGACTCATAACTCCGCATGCAAGACGCGCACAGGTTGATGTTAGGACACTCGGTGCAGATGTAGCGCATACCCTTTTCGGGGATTGGCGAGCTGCAGCGGTTGCACTCAGACTCGACTTCGGCGAATGCGGCGCCCGCAGTTTGGTGTAAAGCAGTCTGCTCGTTATAGGCAACAACATGGGGATCCGCTCCATGGTCTATCAAGAGCTGAACCAGCTCATCCCATGCTCCGTGTCTAGCGGCATGATGGAGAATGGAACTGCCGTCTGTGTTGAGCGCAGATAGATCAGCTCCCCTGTCGAGCAAAACCTTAAGGGCTTCCAGGCGGCCATTAGACACTGCACCGAAGACTGCGGACGGCAATTTGCCATCGTGGTTGAATTCTGCCCCACAGTTCATAAGCTCACGCATGGCATCCAAGTGGTTGTTGATAGTAGCTAGGAATAATGGTGTCCTCTGCAACTAATCCACTGCCTCGATATCCATCCCAGCTCCGACTAACGGCTGGATCACTTCGGCCCGACCTGCAACAGCTGCCGTGTGCAGGGGGCTCATAGAACCCTGCTCCACATCTAGCTTGATGTCAGCCCCAGCAGATAGTAGAGCGTTCAAAGTATGAGCATCTCCTTTTTGGGCCGCCAGGAAAAGAGGAGTTCGCAAATGCGGGTCGAGGCCGTTGACACGGGCGCCGGCGTCAAGAAGGCGCTCGATCATTTCTACTGGCACGCCATGACTGATGGCCGTATGCAAGGGTGCGACTCCAGTGTGATCTGTGATATCGGCTCTGGCTCCAGCATCGAGTAAAAGGTCGAGAATCCGCAGAGAATCCCGACGCGCGCACTCATGCAGCGGTGTATGGCCGAATGAATTGGCGGCGTTGACATCAGCACCGGCTTTGAGAAGAAGCTGAACGACTTTAGCATGTCGACCTGCCGTGGCCCCAAGAAGCGGTGGTGAGCTTTGCCTGTCTCTGGCATTGGCCTCGGCGCCAGATCGCAGCAGAAGTTTAACAAGATCTACGCGCCCCGCTTCTGCGGCAATATGCAGGGGGGTGGTAACACCAATGGAAGCATTTGGATCCCAACCAAAGGCCAGGAGCAGCCGTATAGCATCGCAGTCTCCTCTGTACACAGCGGTGTAGATCGTATCTGTGTCTATTTTCTGAGCGGGAGACGAAATATTTCTCCTTGCAGCTTCCAGTAAGACGTGGGCCGCGCGGTAGCGACATTCAAGTATTGCATACTGTAGGGCCTCGATCCATGCGCCATCATCATCGGGGTAGTATCCTGGTGCGGCATCCAAGAGATAATTCAGCAAGGTCAGACGGTAGGGAATAACCGCCATTTGCAGCAGTGACTTGAACTCGGTAACCGGCATAGATGGACTAACGCCGGGTGCAAGAAGCCTCTTCAAAGCTCTAGGCTTGTAGTCCTTCACCGCTGCTATGAAGGCATTGATATCGCCGGAATACCTCGAGGGATCTGCACCTTTTTCCAGCAGCTTGTCGACGGCCGTAATCGGGCCATTCTGCACCGCCAATATCAGCGGGGATGTGCTCGGTCCCACATGTTTGGCGCCGAGAGCGTAAAGTCGAGAGGTGAAAAGAGCGTTGAAATACTTGGCTGTTTGAACTAGGGAACTGAGATCTTTCAACCAGAGATAGCTTCCAATGTGGAGAATAAGCTCAGGAGGAAGATCGCTCAGGTTGATCAGATGGTCGTCCATCGTGTCGATGGTGGAACCTGAGAGGGAGTTGAGAGCGGGGAAAATAGTGACCGGGGTTGTACGACTCCCTCAGCCGCAACTCAGCCTCAGGCAGCAGCCGCTGAGCCGCCTGCCTCTCCAGGAGCCCGCAAACGCCGCCAATGTCGCTAGCCAAGGACAAGTGACTCATGACGTTGACTCACCTTTTATCGTAATACATATTTAGCTTGCCTTGTCTACCATCTTTTGTGTCACAATCAGATATCACCATGGAGGAATACGACCTCCTCATCGTCGCCGACGCGACGGCGTCCATGGGTGGGTACTTGACCTCCCTCAACACATCGCTCCCTCAAATCATCTCCATCTCCGCGATCACCGGATGCTTCTCTCGCATCGGAATAATCGCCTATCGAGACTACATCGACTTTAGCTGCATCGAGTGGTCCGAATGGCTCCATCTCGCGCCGGCTGACGAGACTACACAGCAACCAAACCTCATATCCTTTGCCACGAGACTCACACCTAGCGGCGGCGGAGACTATCCAGAAGCAGCAAAAACTGGCCTCGCAAAGGCGCATTCTGTGATGCGATCCGATGCGAAAACGGTCATACTCCTCTACACCGACGCGCCTCCTCACGGAACAATCCCGAAACCCGACATCAACACCAACGCTGGAGCTGAGCAAGAAGCGTTATCGAAGCCAGAATCCTTCGATGGCCATGGACCGCGATTCCTGGATTGGGTATCAGCCGCCAAGACGCTGAGCAGCGATGAGAAGCAGGCCCAGGTTTTTGCTCTCCTCGAACGAAACATGCGTGAAGCTGCTACAGCGTACTATACTTACCTATGCTCAATGACCGACGGTGCCTGCATCCGCCTGAATGATTCCAAGCCGCAGACGGTATCGAAGGGTACTGTCGATCTGCTCCTATCGTGGATGGGTGTGCAGAAAATGACGGCCGGCTCGGCCACGGAGGCAATCCCTGGGCATCTCTTGCGCTATGATTCAACCGACGGTATTAGAGATCTCAAGGATGAGGGAGATCCGAGTACTCAGAACTTCTTTCCGGTTCCCTACACGCGAGGGCCCATAGACAACATGGATTCGATAGAGCTAACGCCAGATGTTGTCATCCATGAACTACCAAAGAAGTCGACTCCTGCCGAAGATCCCACGCGACGGTGGGCGAACGATTCCGCGTACAGAAACACTGCGTCACAGCATTTGATGAGGATTATCGAAGAGGATCTTCGAGCAATAGCGATCAACCCGGTTTTCGGAGCTCTGTGGAGAGCCGTCTGCAGCGACAGAACATATGCGGGACGAGACGGCTTGGTCAATGCATTCAGCCAGGCGGTGGAAAGGATACGGGATCCAACCGAGAAAGCAATGATGAATGAATGGCTCCTGGAATCATACAATTTCTCGGCTCAAGTTCAGGCGATTATCGACCAAGTTCCGGAGGCAGAGAGGTTCCCTTGCGTGTTCCTCGATCCGACCATCGACTTTGAATTAGTGAATACAGAGGACGATGTTGGTTCGCTCAAGAGCCTCACCCGGTTTGAGCTTCTCGAAATTACGCGATCTTGTGATTCTCGAATCCTGCGCCGGCTTGGACGCGTCCTCACAAGACTCACGTATGTCAAGGACGCCACACAGATGCCAGCACATATTGCAAACTCGAGCGACGAGCAGGTTGCAGCGATACCATTGGCTTTGTCGAAGAAAGAATATGGACGGCACTTCTGGAAAATACTACTTCACACGATAGTGGTCGGAACGCAGTTGACTCCGCGAGGGGCCGCAGTTCTCGCTGCTTTAAGCATCCGCTTAGGCATTGCCTTCTTCACCGGTATCGCCGAAAATGAGATGCTCAGCTACAAGAGCAAGTGGAATAACGTTGAGATACCAGAGACGTGGGCGATCGGCTGTTTGACGCTTCTCCTTGACGCCGACGAGGCATACAGAAAAACACGGAGGGACACGAATGGCGATGACAGTGCAGTAGAGAAACCATTGAGCCTGCTCAAAGACTCTGACGCGCGTCTCTTTGAGCAACTTGTAGCATTCAAAACTCTCGAGCATAATCTGGACACTCCACTCAATGCCCGTGTGCCATGGACGCCAGATAAGGCGATATCAAGCATCGGCCCGTTGGCAAAATGCGAGCAATGTCAATACCTCCGGTCGGTGAGCATGATGGGAGAAAATGGCAAGTGCGGCATTTGTCTCAAGCCAGAATTGACGGCAGAGCAGTACGGCAGACTTGTCAAGCTCCGGGTTTCTCAAGAGATTGATTCTCGCTCGGACGCAGCCTGGGTAGAGTGCAATGTCCCATCCTGCAGGGCACAGTACGTGGTATATGATGTGGATGGGCTTCGAGTTCGCCCAAAGTGCTACTACTGCAGGCACCAAGGGTTGGGCGCCGACACAGCCCGAGGTACCGTAGCGCCGATTGTCGAGTGTACCAGGTGTGCCAACCGAATGATATGGCCAGACGCATATCGGCCAGAATCCTTCAATGCCGCCGAATTCGTCTGCCCGCCTTGTGTGTCGGGACGCGAGACGACTACCGACCTCGAGACATCTGCAAGAGCCCTCGCGGCGGAAAACACCTTGGCCTGGCTGGTACGAGATTCGGAGAAGCCGAGGGTGTCGCCCTTCACAAACAGATCTGTATACCACACTGTCTCCACCATGGGAACTGAAGGATTCCAGCGCCGTATCACGCTCTTCCCCAAGATCGAGAAACCACTGACACAGCGTGGGAAGCCGATCCAAAACACCGAAGGGATGGTATCAACCCTCAAAGATCTCGTGGCCAAGCGCAGGTCCGCGAAAGCCGACTGTTCCCTTTGTTTCTCTTCATTCCGGCCCTCCACCCTGAATCCCGCCTGCGGCCGGAAAGGCTGCCTTCAACGTATTTGCACGAGCTGCTCGAACGGATGGTACGGCAGCAACACAGCTGGCTGCATAATCAACACGGCCGCCCTCGCTTGTCCCTTCTGTCGACGGCTCCCGGCCCCACAGACCCTTTCAAAGTATGGCAACGGTATTCACGGCGTCAAGGATTTGAATCGTGCGATCGAGAACCACGGCTCGTGGATATACGCTTGGTGTTCAGTGTGCGCGTCGGCGAAGGAGTTTGTCGGGCGGGATTGTGCGCGTGGGCAGCCGCCAGAGCTCCGCGGCTGGAGATGCGAGAGCTGTGTCGAGGAGCTGGAACGAGCGGCTAGCGAAACGGGGTATGAGCGAGACCTGAAAATCAAGCCCTGTCCGAAATGCGGAACCATGACAGAGAAGATCTCAGGATGTGGGCATATAACGTGCCCGGTCGACGGGTGTGGCACAGACTGGTGTTATTTCTGTGGGAAGGAGGAAGACGACATTTATGATCATATGACGAATGCGCACGGCGGAATTTATGATAATGGAGATGAGGAAGAGGTTCCGGAGTATGATTTTACTGACCAGATCTAGTAGAGCTTGTAATAGCATCGAGAGAGAGCAACGAGATGTTGTTTTCCCTCAGGCGATGACGCCAGTGCACGTGACCACGCGTTCCATCAAGCAGACAATCATCGAGTCATGCATTCTCCCAACGAATTAGTCCTGTCAAATAGATGCTTGCTTAAACCCCTAATCAGAATAGAAACCGAACTTTATCAAGGTACTAGATCGTCGATCCTGTACCGAAACATTATACCTCGTCTCCCCGACTAGATATCTGCCACGCCTCGTACTATATATCTAGGCAGGCACTCCACTTCAGGAACTGTTTCTGAACATTAATACGATTTTGTTGACTATCGAAAGACCTAACAAGATACACGACTAGGACAGAGTCTACTGGAATTCTCTTGCAAGAGACACACGCATTGCACGTGGTGAGGCGGTGATCGCACGACCATCTTCCCCCGTCTCGAAGACAAACTCGTCTACCCCCAAAGCGCCGTACACCGAGCCATTCACCAGCATCCATGACCTGCACGCTCTTGTAAGCAGCCCACAGCTAGGCCCCGTACCGAATCCTGACGGTCTGACGCTACGGAAGGAAACTCTTCCGCCGTGTTTGAGCCCGGTAGGGAACAGTCGGAGTTCAGTGCCCTGCCCAGGAGGCCCGAGCTGGATCAGTGACAGGGCATCCAGTATGTCTTTTCCGTTGTTGGTCCATTTCAAGATTCGCAAGCCCGGTCCATCGTCTGTCGTAACCTCGAGGGAAGAATTGGTGGCGGTCGAGCTATACGTCCCGGCGAAACAGTCGTGGGCTTCCCGTTTTGCAGCCTCGTCAAGAGCAGGGATGAGAAACTTGGATATGAGATCTGCCAGTGTCATCACTGTCAAAGTGGTACCTTCACCCGCCGCGAGAATTGTGAAACCGACGTCGTGGTCCGGAGACAGTCCCATCATTGCCGAGTATCGCCCAAAATCGCCAGCTTTCGTGTACAAACTGATCATCCTCGGGTGGGTTAAGGAGAATATTTCGAATGGGGCTCCGACGGAGAGGCCTAGTTCTGATGTCTGGGCGAACGGCTTTAGCCATCGCCGAGTGAGTGCTGGGGAGAGGAGCTCATGGTTCAGAATCGCACGACCGAGCCTTGACATGTCTTTTGTGGACGAGTACAGTCCTCCAGCTCTGCTCAATCAGTTTCGCGCCCTCAGAGCTTAATAGGATGAGATGCTTACGGAGTCACGTCACCAATATCCACATCCCAGAGTGTCATGTTAGGGAAGCCCGGAATAATTCCCACCTGGTCGTCTGGCTTACTGACCGACGAATGAGAAAGCCCCATCGGCTCGATCAAACGGCGTTCTATTAGGTCTTGGTATGTCCTGCCCGTGATCGTCTCCAAGGCATACGCCAGTAACTGGTAAGCGTCATTGGAGTATGCGGGACTCGAGGAGGTAGGGACAATTGGGGGCCTGTTGAGTATCCCGGAGATGAATTCTATAACTGTTAGACCTGAAATTTGTATGAGGAAGCTGCCACTTACCAGATCTTGTGCAAGCCGGACCTACAGCACACTGAGGCGCTTCTGATTCAGAGATTTCAGGAAAACCAAGAGGAACCATCAGAGGAGCAGACCCGGCGAGGTCGCCAATACCATCTAAGGGAGATTAGCCGAATCCTTATCAATGGATTGACCACAAACATTGTCTTCCAATTCCGGACAGCTGGCTGGCGAGCTCTCCAATTGTCACCTCCTCCCAGAGAACCTGATCGACTTCGTTGAGGAATTGTGTGTTATTGCCCTGCTCGGCAATTGCGTCTCGCAGCTCCGGTATGTACTTCACGACAGGCTCATGAAAGGACGCGTCGCCCGTTTCGATCAAGAGGAGAAGGACGGTCCAAAGTTTCGAGCAGCTTGCAATTCGAAAAACAGTGTCCTCGTCGACACTGTTCGCGCCAATTGTGTTATTCCTCGCCGAAGTCGCAGTGTGGTAGTATTCGAAGAGCGGTCGGGATTCGTGCGAACTATATACCTGGACGGTAAACGACACTAGGTCCGGATCGATCGCTGGTTCCTGTGAAGAATAATAGTCCGGATGCATCACACTTTTTAGCGCGGTGATGAACTCGCTTGAGGCTTTGTCCAACGTGGTACTACCTGCGGCGGCCGTCGGTGCAGGGTACAGTGGTCCCGGGAGAGGACATACATCACCAGCCGCGTGCACAGCTAATAGCAAACACGATGAAATGATTTTCCACATGTTGGTGCTATCGAGGGCAAGATAGGGTGAAAAATCTCTTGCTTGCCGATGCGGCCACCTTGGATTTTATCAACGCCAACACCCATCGTTCCTTCCACAATTGAGCGCAGGAGCGCAGATTTGGGCCCGGGTTAATTTCAGCGCCTGATCAGTACTAGCCCTGCTAATTGTGCTCAATTGCAAAGAGATTTCGCAAAGTCCAATCCCTGAGGTCCAATGCAGTGCTTCCAACCCATTCCGGTTGTTGGGCGATCAATCCAACGCGGGAGCTTTCAATGCCAATGGCCGCACAGAGCCTCCTATTGTTTCTCGACACCGAGCCTCGAGGACTTGACCCGTCTACCGAGAGTTCTGCGCGCCGTAAAGTCTTGCTCAAATCCTCCAGTCTCACCCCTCAGTCCTGGGCGCGGATTTTGGTAGGGTAACACATACAATTTGGGAAAGATTGGTCTCCGATCGTCATTCAACGGGAACAGCTCTTTGTTCACATCTGCAGCGGACTATCGCGACTAGGACAAAGAACGAAGGCCAGATCGAGACACGACTCGCTGAAGGATGATATTGCTTTTGTTAGGGGCTTTTTCTTGCGGGTATGATTCTCCGCCATTCAACAACCCTTGGTCTCCGGCGCGAGTGTTTGGGGGCAGGCCTCGTTCCCATTAAGGCTCTCAATAGTAACACATTGCTCAACTAACAGAAGTTAGTCTCAAGCACTTAAAAGCCACGACGTGGAACTCAAACACCTCAAATCTAGCGTTATCCTCTTCACGAATGAACATTGTCTCCACGTGGTTAGTACCAGTTTCCCATTACTTTATTTTGCAGCAAAGTACCGAACCGTGCTCGAGGGTTGTATCAGTCGAGATCTCAATATCAGATTAGTGAAACTTCGCTATCATTGGCTCCCCAACTGCGCCTGATTAATCATGTGGTCTGAGCCTTGAGCCTCGTCCCATCGACAAGTTCATATCATCGAGGGGTGATAGGTTAGAATTGGTGCTGATGTGATTTCGCGGAGTACAATGTACTGTGTTCAAGTCAGGCACGGGCTTCTACCAGATTGATTTTTTCCTGCCTAAACCACTTGGCCGGGTGTATCTCGGTCACTACAATCGGCCGGTCAAAATTCAAGTGAAAATATTTTCACGGCTCGAAAACCGGTTTCTCGTCCTAAATGTGGCGCGCCAGCGCACCGGGTTATGCTACAAATAACCCCGAGCCAAATAGATGTCTCCGTTCTCGATCTACAGCGCAAATGTGTGCGAGTCGATATTGATCGTTTCCACTGTCCAAGTCTTCCCACCATCCACAGTCGTCAGACCGCTTGAATCAGCCTCATTAAGGGCCAGAGTATTGCCGAACGAGTTGTCCGCCGAGTCGAGAGTGATCGTGGTGGACAAATATTCTAAATGCAGTCAGCAGAAGCTCCTCAAAGATCGCATGCGTGCTTACGATGAGCAGCAGCTGTACTCTGACACGCATCATCCTGGCATTCCACTGCAGTTCCCCAGCCTTGAGCTTGTCCGGAGCCTATGCGTGTTAGCCTGGGCGTCGCGACTGTCACGCGAAAGGGGTCTTACTGGTGGAGAGTGTGGACACCACCTGCCCGTTGATAGACACTGTCTGGTCATACTCGCCTGTGCTTTCGTTGTAGACGTCTGTTTGAATCAGCTCCGTTTCATGATATATCTCGTGGACGGGGGATGGGGCTCACAGTGCATAGTGATCTCATCGCCAGGGTTCGCTGGGACCTGCTCGCCTCCTAGCTGCGTTCCTACTAGGAGTTTAGTTTGGTTCCTTTCGGCTGCGCGATTTATGTTCGAGGGATACCTTGAAGTGTGCTCGCCCAAGTGCACCACTGCCCTTCACTGGCGCCGCAGTTCCTGCACGCAGTCAGCACTACCTTTCTCAATCACGAGATGATTCTCAATTCCGAATGACTCACGCGTTGGGATCCGCAAATGACACAGCCAAAGCCTGAATGAGATCTCCCCCACTCGTGCCCATACCGGGCCATAACGCCAGACGGTCGAGCAGCTGAGGCGTCGGGATCTCAGGCAGGACCAGAGTAGTATTCGCCTCGCGAATCCATGACTGCGTTGGACCGAGCGAGAAATATGGACCGAAGCCGACGGTTGACTGGGCAGTTGCGGATTCGAGAGCCGCAAGGAGCGCGAAAAGGAGGGGCGTTGTTGTGACAGGATGCATGGTAGGTTGAACCTGGAGTGGAAGTGAGCTGCTGACAATTAAGTATTGTCTGAATGTCCGAGTCTAAAGACAACTGTTATCATTGTCGTGCCAAAGCTGCATTTATAACTTGTTTCTTGGAGACCTCCCCCCTACGTCTCCGAGACAAGATGAAACCGACCCACGGAATAACTCCGTAGTCCAGTTTCAACGATGATCGTCAAACGTGCCTGAGCTTCTCACCCACTAGAATGTCTCCACACGAGCTTGATTCTCGTTAGGGCAGTTGGCCGACGCTCGGTGGAAATTCCCCCCTGTGCCTGTCTGAAGCGACTAATGTTTCAGGTAAAAGCTTGCTTCGTCACCCAGCTTCTGCTTCCCTTATTTGCGACACGGAATCTATGAAAAACCATCACTAATATCAGACGACGAGGACTAACATTTTTGTGCAGGACGGGCTGGGATTCGGGGGTCCAGTCTACAGGACAGGTATGTCATCCACCATAGAAGCACGGTTTGGGTCAGTCTTCAAGGTGATGGATAAACCATCTAACACAAATCCCTATTGTCATCTACTTCGCGTTCTCCGCCGTCGCCTTCTTGACGCCAAACCTCTTCGAAAGGATAACCCACTGGGCAGCACTCACCGCGGCCCTAAACGCAAAGGGGTCCCCATCCACAATCGCCTTGTCAACCACTCCCTGCGTCTTTTCCCAATCCATAAAACCGAGCGCCTCCACATTCTCCTTAGTGACTAACTCCTTCAGCTTCCGGTGCATCGGCCCATCAACCCCATACCGCATAGGCGCGGCATACATCTGCTTCTTCCGCTTATAGATCTCCTCCGTGACAAATGGCTTCACGGCCTCGCGCAGGATGTACTTTTCCGTGAAGGTGCCGCTGTCGTATTTGTATTTCATCTTCAGGCTCGGCGGCAGGCCGTTCACGTACTCGGTAAGATTGTGGTCGAGGAACGCCGGGCGGGACTCGATCTGGTGCGCCATGTCGATGTTATCGCCTAGATAGCGGAGGAGGGAAATCTGGAAGGCGGTCTTCGTCCAGATGTATTCAGCTGAGTGGAGTGGGTGCCAGCGTTTCGCGATCGCGTGTCGGACCTCGCCGTCGAGTGAGTCGGCGAACAGGGTTTGCCAGTCCGTTGCTCCGTACTTCTCAAGCACCCACGAGGCGATGGAGAGGGGAATCATCCCACCGAGATGCCCTGCGACGCTCGTGTTGTTCAGCGTCCGCGTTGTGGACGGAAGGGTTGGAGGCAGCGACCACTTGACCCCAGCGACGTGGTTTGTCCCTGCCTTGTCTTTGGCTTCCTCAAATTTGGTCTCGTTGTAGTCGGCAGGTGTCCAGGAGGGATCTTTCTCCAGGAGCGCGTCGTTTTGGAAGAAGCTGTATCCGGCTAAGTGCTCGTCTGACCCTTCGCCTGGAGTGGTGTTACTTCTGTTATCTCGTTGTGCGGTGTGCTTGGAGATACTAACCAGTTATGACAACCTTGAAGCCTCCATTGTGTGCAACTTCTGCCATCGCTAGCTTCCCGGCGCCGTTGACGTCCGACATGAAGGCTTCACTGTACCAGACTGCTTTTTCAAACCGCTCGGCAAGGATCTCCTCGGTAACATGAACAGGGTTGAACTTGACACCCAGAAACTCCGCAGTACGCTGCGCGACATCTGCAACTCGTCAGCGACCGCTCGATATGCAGACGAACAAACTTACCAGACTCATCCATGCCACTGTCCTTGTCAAACTGCACCGTGAAACACTGGATGCGAGAAAGATCCTGGCTCGAGCTGTCACCTAGCTTTGCGCCTTCTTCATTCACGAGGTGCACGACCATTCCTGCGATGGCGGAGGAGTCAATGCCGCCACTAAGGTAAATTCCCACTGGGACGTCTGCACGAAGACGGACGCGCACTGCGTCGAGAAGGCGTTGGCGGACTCCTTCAACAATTTCTTCTTCTGTCCGGATCTCTTTTGTGAACTACGTCCGTTAGACACAATGGTTGTTCTGATAACCTGAATGAGAGTGTGGTGTACCTTGTCCGGGTATTGCATGTCCCAGTACTTCTTCGTCTGGATCTCTCCATAGTTGCGACTGACCATATATTGCCCAGGTAAGATCTCCCCATGTCAGCGACGATTCTCCCCGAGCCCCAATGAAGCGAACGACAGACCTTCTTCACCCCCTCAAAAACCGTCCTCTCGTCGAAAATCAACCCTTTCTCAACAACAGACCGCACATCCCACTCCGCCTCCCACCCGTACGCCAGAAACTGCTTCATTTCCGTCGCAACAAGCAATCGTCCCCCAGAGATCGTATAATAAAGCGACTTGACCCCATACCGATCCCTAGTTGCGACGAAATTTTGCCGCCTTGCGTCCCAAAGGACCAGGGCAAACTCGCCGCGGAGATGGCTGAGGAAGTCTAGACCGTAGTGTTTGTACAGCGCAAGCACGATCTCACAGTCGCTGTGCCCGCGAAAGTTGTATTCGGTTGAGAGCTCGGCGCGGTATCGTTCGTGGTCGTACAGTTCGCCGTTGACGACGGTGTAGATTTCGTTCTCGGTGTCGACAAAGGGCTGGTTGCCGTCGGGGCTGAGGTCAACTATGGAGAGGCGGACGTGGCCGAGGCCTAGAAATGTTAGCTTGACTGTTGACTAACGCTCTTGTATCAACGGCGAAAGCCAGTGACATACCCACGCGGTTGTCCGGGCTGATCCACTTCCCTGTGGCATCGGGGCCACGGTGCTTCACGATGTGCAGACTTTCGTCAATCTCTTTTCCGAGCTGTTCGCGTCCATGAGGGCAAGGGCTCTGTCCGACAGAGAGGAAGGAAGTGATTCGTCAAAAGTCAACAATAGACAATGTCTGAGTCACCGCGGTGTCAGCTTGACTAACGGATCGAGCAATCTCACAGGGCAAATGATGGTAACTATTCCAAGCACCGAGGAATCACGCCTGTCCAGGCGCTCCATCGCGCTCGGCAGTCAGACGAGGTCATGGGGCGGAGTAACACCATTGGGTTGTCTCCCAGTTGTCGGAATACTTCCAACTCAGCTAATTCACGACGAAGCCAATGTGGCCTCGGAATAAACTTCAGCTAATCCACCGATAGGGCGTCATGGCCCAGCTTATGAGTCTCGAGATGGTGAAGGCGTCTGTTTGGGGTCTGGGCAGTGCATCGCGTGGGGCGGAGTAGGAGGGAAACTGGACGCCTTGCGGCCTGGGGAAGGGTCTTGGCGTGTTCTCTCACTCACTCGCTGATCTGAACGCTTATAGGTGATATTCCAGAAGGGTGCTTGATTGTCTAAGACATTGTAACACTTAGATAATGAGATGTAATCTTTTCAACCATGGATTGTTGCTTGTTAAGTCCTTGTCCCAACAAGCCGGCGACAATATATTCTGGGCCCGAGGTCGATGCAGGGGTATAAGAAATAGGAAACAATGTTGCCCCTCAACTCCTACGTTGTCTTGTAACGAGAGGCTTCCAGAATTTGGCAATGGCTGCAGACTCTATTGCATAATAGTATACAAACCTTGAGGGATAGATGCTTCAGAAATGTAAACAGCGAAGATGACTTCGTTCGCTGGAGGAGGAAGGGGGAGGTATCACATGACGCCAAGCTTGCTGACATAACCTTTCCTACAAAATTTCATTTTTATCCTTTTGTCCCGTTCGGACGCCGTACTCCGTAGAAGATGGCTCTTCCGCTCCAGCCAACTCCGCAGGTTAGGGTGGAATGACCGCCGAGAAAACTTTTTTTTTTTCGAAAACTGGAACTGATAACAGTCCTCCCAAGCTACGGCCTAGATCTAGTAGCCACAGCTCCCACCATGGCGCGAGTTAGGTTTGAGTTCATCATTTAACTACTAATCTCAACCAGGTTTCATCATCAAGTGCTGTCCAGATCTCCTACGAAGTCATGGCCGACAAACAATCAATGAGTTTGAGAAGGGCAGAGGAATTTTGAGAATCCCTGTATGACGCGTTGAAACCAACAGCGCATGACTGGGTCAGACCACAATATTGGCAGCCACTAATATAAGTACTCTAATATTAAAACTTGTTCATCACTCCCTCCTTTGTTCCCTGAACCAGCACCTCCTTTCTGTCATGGTGGCAGAACCTGACCGTCTCCGTGACCACCTCATTCAAAAACCCCACGCCAGCTACCAATTCAACTGCTAGCCAGAACGCCAAGGGCCTAGGCTTACAATAGAGCAATTTATAAGGTCTATGCTGATTGGTTCCTCCTTCCTAAATTAGAGGTGGAACGCTAGCATATCACGGGGGTTGCGGCTAACTAACCATCTGACAGCTATCAGGCCCCAAATCGTAATTCCCCCTCTTTATTTAGACCTTGTAGGATGCTACTTGCCTACATGTTCTTTAAGCGATTTTGTTTGTATTTATCTGACCTAGGCCATCGGAATTGCAATCGTCCTAGATCCTCTGAATTCATTGAACCTTTGTAGCATATTCACCTTCGTTGATATCGCCCACCAGAGCGCCGACGGATCGACTCCGACGTCGCTTACAGGCACGCCGTGGAAACAATATCCATCTCCCATTCTGTTTATTCCCATCATTACGTCACTGCGTGGCTTAACCTGCTGCGACTGAACAGCATACTCATAGTATTATATCTGACTATGACGCCGATACAATACCTGTCTGGCAACCCAAATGTTTACCGAGAATTCACTTATTTCGACGCCGACGAACAGGAGTGGCGCGTTAACTTTGGAGGCTTGCAGCGAATGGTCATTGCTAGGCTTCAGGAAGAACTTGTTGATGAAGTCAGCCACATAAAGAGCGCAAACTTCTCAGTGACTGACCAAGGGATGTCAAAAGTCGAATCAATCCTCATGAGATATAGTAAGTACAGCCAGTTTCAGCATTGCCCTGCATACTTACAATCTTTGCTTATAGCTAATGCCATTCGGGATTGGGATTACATGAATGAACACGCAGAGAAGACAAATGGCGACATTTCTAAAGATCTCTTCATTGTTAGATCTACAAAGAAACTCAGCCATGATTTACTGGTGCAAAAGAATGTGATAGAACCAGAGATGAGAGGCGTGTGCATGCCAAAGTATCCGCAAGGGGGAGAGACATATTTGCCTGGGAGTCAGAGGAGGTACATGAGAGCAGAGAGAGAGATGATACTCAGGAAGAGATCAAAGAAGGAGAAGGTAAAGTTGTTCCTTGTGTTAGCTTTGACTGTCATGCTTTTGATTTCACCAATGCTAGTGATGGTGCTGCATAGAGACCAAAATGTTGCATTAATAACCACATCAGTCTTTACTGTTGGGTTTGCTTTGGTGGTTGCAGTAATGCCTGTCTCATTAGAGGTTGCTATTGGGGTGGTTGCAGCATATGCTGCTATTCTGGGCTCTTTTGTCATTTCAGCACTGTGACTGTTGAATTAAGTTATCTAAAGGACTTTAATAAAATGTTTGTTGTATAGCTACAGTATGTATCATGACTGGTGTCACCACCTAGCGTATGTAAAGCTCAGTCTGTCAATAAAGGTAGTAAACGCCACCATAGTTGGGGCATTTCCGCAAAAATCATCAAGTAGGCTTTGTAGGACAAGACTTGTGCCTTTCCCATTTTCAATATAATACAGAGCTTTGGTAAGCCCGCTATTGGTCACCCTGGCCCCGCAATTCAGGACGCCCTCGACAAGTAAAACGTCCCCTGATGGTGCTGCTGCTGCATTTAATAATTCAGGATCATTTGTTGCACTGCTCCTCATCGCCCCACCGGGCCAAATCAAGGTCCTCGCGGAACATCGCACTTGATAGGATTTCAATACCGCACGTCTGTAGAACTGTCTGCAGAACCCCTCTTTTATTGAGATACTCTGCAGTCTCTCTGGATCCAACCACCTCCAGTTCCGAACCCAGAACCGTTGCCTATTGAGTTTCTGTATGCTATGGGGTAGGAACAATTTTGGGCAATTAGTCCGAGATCAAGATCACATCAGTAGAAGATATGTGTGGTAGACTAAAGGGACCTGGCGGCGGTACAATGGAGCGCCCATCAAATTCACCATTGAAGGCACTAGATACAAGTATGGTTGGCTTGAAATTGACTCATTCCGTTAACGGACTTGCTTGACTATTCCGCTGCTCAGAAGCTATCATTTGCACGGCTATATTGTCCCACGTTTATTGTGACATCAAGCAGAGGGCTCAAGGGCCTCAAGCCTTGATGAGAAAAGATATTTGGTAGGCCAATAATACTGATACTTTCGCTCATCGCTTGCACCTTTTGCTCGGCTTCGTCTCTAGGCTAACTTTGTGTAGACTCGCCCGCGTTGTGGTTTTAGTCCAGACTCTTATATCATTATATTGAATATATAGTCCTAGTAACAGTCTGCAGACCCCAACACCCGCATCATCCGTTCGATAGAGTTCGTGTAGATTTCAACCCCCTGCTCTTGCAGAACAGTCAGCTCCAGTGTCCCCGCTTTCTCAGCAACAAACTTTGTATAATCGTCTCTAACTGTCCGGTTTAAATTCACCTTACGCACTCCACGCACTATTGACTTGAGGAAGAGCTCATCAGAAACAGGATGTGTCCCGTGAAGAACCAAGGGAGTCTCAGCACCAACTGCGCTACCAATGGCACCAAGTCTGGAGAAGTATCCAGTTAGCATAACCATATTGAGTCGACAAAGCTATACACCAGAATGAATCTAGGATATAGGCGAGAACATACCTCTCAAGATCCCACGCTTTTTCTGCGCCCCCAGCCGGATACCCCCCATGGATATTCCCAAATGAAGGCGCTAGAAACTGCACTCCAGTCCGGCGAACAAAAGCCTCTGCATCCTCCGGCCTCGTCAGCGCCGCGCCCATATCAACAGTAGGAAGCCCATCCTCCCCACCATCAATACGGCCCATCTCCGCCTCAATGGTGATATTCAGTTCCCGCGCACGGTCCACGACCCCCTTGCAGAACGCGATATTCCCCTCGTCGTCCTGTGTTGTCGACGCATCGACCATGATCGAGTCGAAAGGAAGCGTTAGCGCATTTTCGACATCTGTGGGCTGGATGCAGTGGTCCAGATGCACGGCTACTGGGACAGTAGCTGCATGCGCGGCATTCACTACGTAGCGGATAAACTCGGGGCCTTGGAAGTGCATTGTCCAGGGGAAGAGTTGTATTATTGCTGCTGAGCGCTGGCGCTCTGCGGCGCGGATGACGGCCATGACGCCGTCGGCGTTGTAGCTGGTGAGCGGTTAGCGGTCGAGTTTGGTGGTTCATTTTCTTTGTCTTTTAACTTACCAATTATACGCACCGACGGCATACTCATTCGTGGTAGCATGGTTGAGGATTTGCCATGTGAGGTTTGTTTGAGGATATGTGTGGTCTGCGGAAGAGCCCATTGTGATTCAATCAATAAATGTGAGTTTTAATTCAAAATTCCCCTCAGATAGATTCCGACTATTATCTACCCATTATTCGCCGCTATAATCGCTATGTGGAGAGACATCGGACTATTCCGTCCTTTCGGCTACGGTCCGAATGTGATCAACTCCGAAGCCCTAACCGGAAATATCCGGTGGGTTGCGGGTGGTCTTACTCCTTCCAGAGCATAGCTGCCATTCAGTGCTCGGGCCAAAAAAAGCGAGGTATAAGACCCAGAGTAGATGCCGCTATCAGAATATCTGTCTCTTCGTTGTAATTTTGACAAAAGCGTGATCCTTTATTTGCTTCTATATCCCCATCTGTCCTTGCTTGATCCTTCCTCCATACTCAAATCGAAAAATCTGCCACTCTCGTCAATCATTTGAGCATCTCTGCATTCCCCTTCTGCCACTTTCCCATTACACTGCCTCATCCACCAACGCTATATCTCGGAAGTAATGGACAAAAGCCACAGAGCTGTATTATCACCTAATTGGCCCCTACCGTAAGATTTAGGCTCGCCCTTTGTTATCTAAGAAATATGAATATCTTCTGCTATTTATATGTAAACATAATAATCAGAGCCTTACATCTCCTTAAACCGTTGTGATGTAGTAGGCATGTCGAGACTTGGCCAACTAAAAATTCTAACAATGACTGACTACTCAATATTATTGAAACTGCTTTTGGAATATATAAAGACCCTTATGTATAAGAGTCGTGCGTATACGAAAGCAGGCGATATCAGGGTATTTGAACCACCGTTGGCTGTTGCATATAGTATCAGAAATGCGCAGTACATCAATTTTCTCGAGGGGCTACAGGTCACTAGCAAACTACGAATAAACTGCGATTTATGTCAATACGATGTGTTGGTTGAGCACACAAGCGTTACAAATCAATAACCCTTGGACTCTAAATTCTCCAAAAAGTTGGGTGGGGGTAATTTCCTGGGGGCCATAATATTAAGAAAGCATATAAAAGTTATGGCAGCATAGTTTTACTGCGGGGTGGATGGCTTATTAATTATCACGCCTGTGGATCTGAGGGTCCAGGGCCTTCTGCATAGCACCGGGGATGGGCTGGAAAAAGTTGACGGGAAGGAGATCCTGACCTGAGCCGAAGGATGTTTTAACCAAGGATCTTTATAGGGCGATGTATAAGGATGTCTCGCGATAACTCTCTCCGATTGCCATGTTTGTTCTATCTTGAGTAATAGGCACCTTGCCCCGACAAAAGAGAAAGTTGCTTCCAAATATACGAAGACCCTTGACCTTCAATTGAATGTGCATCGACGGTAGCATCCAAATCGGTGAAAACTATTATCTCCTGGAATAGTATGTTCAAAGAAGGCAGGGAGGGGTATACAGAATGATGACAACAATATGATAGTCTATTTTGGGATTGAGCTATACATAACCTACGAAGATACTTCTAAAGACAGAGTATTCTCAGAAAGAGACAACGCCGGAATGCCGTACTTCTCAGCAGCCTCAGCAAACATGGCCTTTTCCGCCTCTGCAAACGGAATCCCCTCCTTCCTCCGCAGCTCCCCAAGCCGATACTCCGGTTCCCCAGGGAACAAGACCTCCTCGAAGCCAGGCGCCGGCGCAACACCATGAACCCGCTGAACGAGAGTATCCATGCGCGCCTTGAACTCGTCTATAGAAAAGAAGACATCCGGCTTCAGCGCAATAAAGCAGTGCCCAACATTCTGCGGCCTCGCCTCCTTGTACTGATCGCCCACCTCGCCACCAAATGCAGCCCCTGTCAATACGCCTGAGAGGATATCCATGAGAATTGCAATCCCCGACCCCTTTGGTCCCCCGATTGGCGCCATACTTCCATTCAGCGCAACCTCTGCATCTGTTGTTGGGTTCCCATCTGCATCAAGTGCCCAGCCCAGCGGGATATTCTCCCCGCGCCGCGCAGCCCGCCGGATCTTCCCCTTTGCCACAACTGACGGCGCCATGTCAAGCACGTAGGGAATCTGGGCTCCCGCGGGTGCCCCCGCAGCAAATGGCGAGATGCCAAGTAGTGTCTCCTTCCCCCCAAACGGCGGCATCTGTTTTGCCGAGTTCGTGAAGACAAGACTGATCATGTTCTTCTCTAATGCTTGTAGGACGTATGTCGCCGCCATACCAAAATGGTTTGAGTGGTTCACTGTTACCATCCCGATACCATAGATTTCTGCGCGCTTGATGGCTTCCGCCATCCCGCGTGTCGCGACCACGAACCCGAACCCGTTGTCCCCGTCCAGGTGTGCGACAACGGGGGTTTTCTCTGTGAGCTGCAAGTTCGGGCGCGCGTTTACGAGACCTGCACTGACACGCGAGAGGTACTGTGGTAGACGGGCGAGGCCGTGTGTATCCTGAGTTTCAAATGTAAGCATTATCAAGTCCTGTTATAGGAACAAGGGCGGCGCGGGTTGGGGTAGGATGACCTACCACGCCGCGGATATCGGCTAGCACGAGGCATTCAGCCATTGAGCGCGCGTCATCTTCTGCCAGACCAGCTTTGATGAGAAGATCAGTCGCGAATTCCTCGGCCTCGGCCGGGTTGGCGTAGTATCGTGCCTTGCCATATCATGTCAGTCAGTGTGTTGGTGTTTGCAGTTGAGTGTGGTGGCTCTTACCGGGGAAGCCATTCTATTTTCTCTTTGTCTGGGGATACTGTAAGTGTGTTTGAATGCGAGGCCCAAGATCAATCGGACATGGTAAAAGTAGCTAGACTTATGAGGCGATCAACTTCCGATATCCGGAGCTCTCCATGATTGCTCTTCGGATCTATCCGAGTGTCTTCGGTTACGCGCCGAGACCTTTACCGAGGGTCGGGGTTCTCTACCGGCAACGTCATTTCTAACGGCGTGATATCTGGGGTAGAGAAGAGCAGAAAGTAAGCACGGCTGTTTGGGGTTTGGCATTTAAGATCACATTTTCTACTATTCTATAATAAGTCATGTATCTGTTATGCTACACATGGTCCTCAAGATTACAACATAAATATTATATACGTACACTTTCTCCACCACTTTCAAGGACTTACATGAGAAAAGGAGAGACATCATCTCTTCGGATAGTATACCCACCTTGAGCATAGACTAAGGGATAGCAGTGGGTATAGCTCCTGAGCAGCAGCATGGATATTATAAAAACACATAGCATTGCTATCTATATCTAGCTCAGGTGAGGTTAAAGCTACCTTGTGTTGTCATGTAGTAGGCTAGAGAATTGACTTCGCTAAGCCTATAACGCAGTCGAAAAACAATCAAGAAGATCTGATTAACACTGCTTTTTAGGTAAGCGGGTACTGGTAGGAAGGAGGGAGCGAAGGACTGCTTGGTTGACCTCCACAAGACCTCCCATCTTCCTCCGGGCCCCTCCTTGAGTAACCTTCAGCAACCTCCTGGCTCAGTTGAATAGGATCGATCCTGTATCTTCAAAGTGTACCTACAGTACAACGTATACTCGAAGGCAAAACCATTGTCAGTAACCCCAGGCATTTCCGTTTTGTCTCCCAAATCCCATGTCAAGTACCCAAGAGCAGCACTCATCCTCTTTTGTCACACCCTTTGGTCCTCCATCTCAATAAGTTTGTCGTACGAAGTGATCATGGCTTGGCAAAGTCAACCTTACTGAGGCCGACAGGAGTGAGCAGTATTTACAAGGCCACCTGAGGATATAATCTTGATCCCAAATCATTTATAAAGATCTAATAAGTAACAGTATTAGAAGATGTAAAGGGAAGTAGTACTGTGTTAAGGTCCTAGCGCCAGCCCATATCGCATTCCCAGCTCTATAGCCACATATACTCATCCTCCTCCGCAACCTCAAAATCAAACCGGACCAGATCCTCCTTGTACGGAAACATGTATGTGCTCGTAACCCTACACAGCCCTCATCAGCAACCCAACTCAACTATCCCAAGGTACATACCAGTGATGCTCCTTACTAGCTTGATACTTTTCAAGCTCCTGTAAATTCTCATGTAAACTGACGAGTGCGAATTCAAAGCCTTTACTCCGTTCGATCGGATCGGTGACTGAGGGCCCGCCGACGAGGAGGCGATGGCCCTTGACGCAGTCGAGGTTTTTGAGTTTCTTAAGTTCGCGGACGAAAGTTTCTTTGTGTTCGGCTGTTACTTCGGGGCGGAATTTGAACATCACTTGATCGGAGCAAGAGGGGGGATACTGTTAGTGCTGGCTTTTTGAAGGAGTGGATGGATATGGAGCGAAGCAGCTTACCCATGTGGACGATTGTCATCTTGAGCGCTTGTGAGGAGGGTTGAGCTGTGCTGAGAGTGTTGGACAATTCAAGACAGATAGTAGAGGATAGCAGTGGAAAGAGCCGAATCGCTGTGAGGAGTGACGCGGGCTTTTAGGCTGGTCGATCGGTTAACAAGCGGTGTCCATCCCCTCCTCTCGAAGAGGCTAGGGCTTTGTCCGAACCTGTCGGTCTCCTGCCGCTTCACCTTCGGCTCTGATGCATCCCACGGTCCACATTTCGACCCCTTTTTTGAACTGATAGGCGGAGACAGCACCTGTGTCTAGTCGGGCTGGGTGGCACAGTGTCTCCGTTACCCCATGGGGATGGCAGCTCCCCGGACGGGATATAAAAATGTGGTCTTCCTGCATAAATCTCCTCCAATGCAGCCTTGATATCTCCTGCGAGGCGTCTCTTCTCGTCCATCTTTAATTTTCCTTATCTTTCTGACCTTGTACCCAGTTGACGACATGGAAAATGAAATGGAGCGCGCGGTGAAGCCCTTGGTGAAGCACCATGACCCCGACACCTCGCTCAAAGAGGGCCTCGAGCAGAACCGACTGGCTCCAGCGCAGAATATGAGCCCAGAAGAAATCGCTGTGGTCGAGAAGAGGCTAAAGCGCAAACTTGACCTGCGGTTGCTGTGCTGTGTCTGGGTCATCTTTGTGATGAACTATCTAGACCGGGTACGTCGACTCTTTAATTCTCTGTCCGTCTTCAACCCTCCCCTGCTGGTGCTGACGATTACCATGATCAGAACAATATCTCGGCAGCAAAGGTCGCTGGTATATCGGATTCTCTGAACCTAAGCAGCACGCAGTACGCCACTGCTGTGGCCCTCCTCTTCGTCGGTTACGTCCTGATGCAGATTCCATCGAATATCTTCCTTGCCCAAATAAAGCCCTCAATCTATCTACCTACTGTTATGGCAATATGGGGCATGCTGTCGGCTCTCGTTGGAGCAGTTCATAACGCATCGGGTCTCTACGCGCTTCGCTTCTTGCTGGGCTTTGTTGAGGCCGCGTTCTATCGTGAGTTAAGCAATGAGAGTAGCAGTCCACTAAAAAAAATGCTAATTCATTTTCTAGCCGGAGCCCTCTTCCTAATCTCATCCTGGTACAAACGCAGCGAAATGGGCGTCCGCAGTGCAATCCTCTTCTCGGGCTCGCAACTCGGCAGCGCCTTCTCCGGCCTCATCGGCGCGGGGATAACCGGTGGACTCGAGGGCGCCCGGGGCCTCGAATCGTGGCGCTGGATCTTTATAATTGAGGGCTCCGTGACAGTCTTCATCGCCTGCTTCGCCATCTTCATTCTGCCCAACTACCCCTCCAACACGACCTGGCTGTCACCCGAAGAGCGCGCTGTCGCCGAATGGCGCCTCATCTCCGATGCAGGACAGGTAGACGAAGACGACGAGAAGTGGAGCTACGGGTTCAAAATGGCCTTTGCAGACTGGCGGCTGTACATCTTCGCTCTCATCTTCCTCTGCATCCAGGTCGCGAGCGCGACATCGAATTTCTTTCCAAGCGTCGTCAAAACACTCGGCTTCAGCACAGTCAATACCCTCCTCCTCACCGTACCCCCTTACATGGTCGGGCTGGTCGTGGCAATTGGAAACAATTGGTCCGCAGACCGTCTACAAAACTCCTCGTTTCATGTAATGTGGCCGCTCGCAGTCGCGATAGTCGGCTTCGTCGTTGCCGCCGCATCCCTAAACACAGGGGCGCGCTACTTCGCAATGATCCTCATGGTCGGCGGCGGGCACGGCGCAAACGCCGTCCTGCTAGCCTGGACGCAGAAGACGATGATCCGCCCGCGAATCAAGCGCGCGTCTGCGGTGGCCTTTGTGAATGCATTTGGGAACCTGTCGGGGATCTTCTCGTCGTATTTGTATCCGGATAGCTCGAAGCCACGGTATGCCCTGGCTATGTCTGCCAACTCGGGGTTCTCATTGGGGGTCATTATTCTCGCACTGTTTATGCGGATTGTCCTGCTGAGGGCAAATAAACGCCTTGAGCGAGGGGAGACGACTGTTGCGCAGGAGATGAGGGGGGAGAGTCAGCGGGAGATTGCGGGCGTGTCGGAGGAGGAGAGGGTCGCCAGGAGGGAGGGGTTCAGGTACATTGCGTAGTCTAGCAAGACTTCGTAGGGGAGGTGGAATTGGAAGTTCTAGACGCTTTCCTGATGCTCTGCACTCCGTGCCATGTGTGGAGGAGGGTATTGCTGGTATATACCTACTTGTATTGGATGTGGAATGCTTTCTTCTTCTTTATCTCTCTTTGTCTCTCTCTCTCTCTCTCTCTAGCTTGCTGCCATGTTTGACAACCTTTCTTTATTTGCTTGCCTACAAACTGAGGGCCTATTTAATTTCTGTCAGCGTAACTGCAAACACGCGGCTAGTACTGAATATGGGTTCCATCATGGTGCTCTGGTTGGGATATTCTGAGGACAACTATACTACACCACGAACACCATGCCCAGTTTCTCCTCCACATTACTTATCCCGAGTTAGTAGAGTAACTACATGCGTTAAATAATGCACTGTCAATGACATCTTAGCCATACGGGCTGCTCTGGAAGCAACATCGCGTACAGAAAGAACCAAGCTTACCTCCTCTTCGCCCTACAAACCCATCCCTCCCATTCCAATTTACCACTCCATCCATCACTTGAACCAACGCACACCGCCAAAAGCAAGGCAGGGTCTACCGCCCCCTAAACTCCCGAAAAACATCCTTGACACTCCTCTCCATTCTAATTCCCTCTGCACACTTCTCATCCGCCTCGACAATCCCCGGGATAACCGCGAGGACATTCTCGACAAGCCCAGCCGGAACCCTTACGACCCCATTCAAATCCGCAACAATGTAATCCCCCGGCGCAATCCAGGCTTCTTGGTGCTCTGATTGTAGCCGCACAGAGACATTCACCTCTGAGGGGCGGCACACTTCGCCGCCGGCGGTTGTCCCCACGGATTTGGCGAACAGCTGGCGTTATTTTCGTCAGTTCCAAGGCCATTGGCAAGGGTGGGTAGAATACATACGGGGAACTTCAACGCACGATGCTCGCCCAGATCGCGGACCCGACCATCAATCACAACCCCCGCCGCACCAAGCGCCAGCGCGCGCAGAGTCATGAGCCCGCCGTAGACGGCGTTGACCTGCGGTAGAGGTTGGCTGATGAAGACGACGGCGCCGCGGGGGATCATGTCTATCTACACAGCGACTATCGATTAGAGGATGCCTGGCGTGCAGCCCGGGGAGAAAAAAGAAAAAAAAAAACAGAGACATACATAATTTCCCTCGAGCTTCGGCGCAGCCTCGTCGCTCTTGGGCACGAATTTCACCGTAAACGCCTGGCCCACGATCTTTGTGTCTCCGGACTGGAACTCGGGAGAGTACAGCGTCAGGCCCTCGAGGAAGCCGCCGTTGGGGTATTTGAGTTTCGAGAGACCGTCAGCAACCTACATTCTCTCTAGAGGTAAGTACTAGGGAGTTGAGTGATATTATGGGTGGGGGGACGTACATCGCACGCACCCCATTGCTGGAGGCGCTGGATTATTTGTTCGGCTTCTAAAGGCATTGCTGTGTAGACTGTTTGGCTATGCGATTGTATGCTTGACCGATCCTTGTCCTGGTGGTTTTGAGCTTCTTTAATTGTGTGTCACAAGGTTGGATCGGAGTATTCCGAAGCGAAAATCGGATGCGGGATGACTCCGAATTGAGGGGACCCATTGCATAGACAGTCTCCTCGGCATGTCAGGGGCATGTCATGCGACCTCGGAGTGGGCTAATCTAGCTACTCGCGTACCATGTAGCAAAAGTTCAATCAACCTTAGCTACCTAGGTACAGTCGATTCGAACATGAAAGCGTTATAGGGCAAACAGATGAACCAGCCATCCTATAGGAACAATTTGAAGCGACAATGTATCATGCCCACATTTCTGAAGAGATATACTGCCAGTGTGACCCTTGGTATTCTAGGAGGCTGCAGTAACATATACACGCAAAGTTATTCAGCTGTAAATAAATGATGAAGATTAAAGGTCCCACTACCCGTTCAACCCAGCATCATGTCCACTCGTCTCGAAGCCATCCATAAGATTCGAGTCCCAACTTGCAGGCTGCGCGGTATCCAGCCCAAAGTCATTCAGCCACCCGAGATCGAACAGATCCCGCAAGACCCCAAGTTCATCTATGAGCAGCGACCTGCCTTCGCCATCTACGCCTTGAACCTCGGCAGCCGCACCTTGGGAGGGGTTTCCCATCGGATCTGCCCTCTCCATCAGGGAATGCGGCCCCTCTCTCGTCAACGCGATAAGCCGTGAGAGCTTCTGGCAGGGCTCCTGCGCCACGGACCACCACTGGCCGAGAAAAGAGAGAATCCGAAGCGCTGTCTCGGTTCGCGCGAGGCATTCTGTCATTGGTCTCAGGCCACAGACAGCCGGGTACGTCCAGAGACAATACAGCACGGTGATAGCGGCGACAAAGATCGAGTGTGCAGTAAGCCATGAGCATTCCAGGTTCGAGAAACGGTGCAGCTCTGCACATATTTTGATGATCTGCATGGCACTGTTGAAGCACGCTTGGATGGCGGGCAAGCTCGGATGTGGGATCTGCGGACTCGGTCTGTACAGGAGCATGATGCACTGGTGATATTTGATCTCGAGGCGTCTCACTGCTGTTCCGGAGAGTGGGTTGGGTCCACACGATGGGCGCCCCTGCTGTCTGGCTTGCACCACCGCTATGAGTGTTGTGCATGCGTGCTCGGCCTCTGCCTGCCACGTAGCGAGGTTATCTCCGTCTGGCCAGGGGAAGCGGCTCGGGGAGCGTGAGACGCGGTATATCATCAATTTGATCTCTGCTACTATTCGGTCAAAGCGGAGTGAGTATATGTAAGGCATATATGCTGAGGTAACTGGGTTTGTGTTGTTTCCATCCGACGCCCGGCCGGACGAGCGATGCCATCGAGTAGCTGCTTCTTCCACCTCGTTGCTATCGAGCCCGGGGAAGGGCTGGTCAATCGCTTCATCGCGCAATGTCAGGGGGCGACCGAGAATGGTTGTGAGAGTACGATCCATTGAGTAAGCGCACCAGAACACCTCGGTTCTCTGGCTTTGTGACTCTGTACTTCGGGCATCTAGAAACATTTAGCCACAGTTTGGGCCATGGTTCGGGGAACATACAGCTATCGCGCCGTTGCAATCCCAGATCCAGGCAGCTCGCAATGATGGTGTGTATGAGGTACCAAGCGTTGAGCGACTCTGGGTTATAGAAGCTGTGAAGCACCATCAAGAGAAGCACCTGTACGCCTTCGACAGTATCATGAAGGTTGACGTGAGAGCAATTTGCCATGCCGGCTAGGAACAGATCGCGTGAGGAATAATCAGCCCCAAGTCTGGCCTCTAAAAACCGTGCCCCGAGAGAAAGGACAAGCAGAAGCTGTGCCGAGGCCAGTCTGATCGGAAGCCGACTACACCAGGTTGAAGTTTCATTGAAACGCTGGACCTCGCCAAGCAGCGAATAGACAGCATCCTGGGAAATCAGCGGAAAGAAGGGAGTGCCATCAAAGTATGCCTCTACGAACTGCTGACAGTCCCCAAGCGAGGGTAGATTGATAGGAGGAATGTTATCGAGAACAATCCCCTGCCTTCCACCGTCAGTAGTCGGACGAGGGCCATGCTGTTCCTCATGGAGAAACGACAGTGGCAAGCCTTGCGACTGCGGTACACTCTCGTAGATTAGCCGTGCAAAAGAAACTCCTGATGAGGGCCCTAGGTACTTGGGATCTGTCGTGTTGGAGAGAGAGAGGAGGCCGACTTCATGAGCCAGCGGTTGATCGCGAGTGATGCGGCTGGATACGGAGACGGCTGGAGACTCGGCTGCAGATACAGGATTGCCCTGTTCTTGATTTGGGCGTAGATTGCTCGGTGTAGGTGGATGTGGGGGAATGATGGGCCCAATCTCCAACTGGGCAGGAGCGAACGGGCTTTGGCTGTTCTCGGAACTGTCCGACTGCGGCGTCTGGCCTCCGATTGCCTCGAGTTCACGCACCCGCTGTTCCAAATAATGCAGTCGACTATTGGTGTGTACTGCTGGTCAGATATTCGAGGACATGGATATGCACCTGGGCAGCTCACCTTCGCGACACTGATCCCAACGCTCGTCCCTCGAAGCACTCGACACCGGCTTTGGCACAATTGGAACAGGCCGGTAGAGCGCCATCGCAGCGGACCTTGCGGCGTCGGCAGCGGACGCAGGCGAGTGGCCGCCGCCGGAGAGGGCTCCGATGTGGAGGATTGGGTCCGTTTGGCGGAACTGGCGCGGAACCGGTTGTGAGTGCCGGATCCACCGGATACGAATTGTGTCTGACGTGCTCCATCTTGTGGATAGATCGAGTGGGTTGCTCATTGATGTTCAAGAATCAAGTCTCGAGATTGGAGCAAGAAAGCAGAGACACTGGAGGCCAAACGAAGGAAACAGGCCGCAGCGGAACGATCCGACGGTTGCTTCCAAGGCACGAATGGTTCGCATGGATCCGAGGCCACGGTGGATCATTTCGGAGCTACCCGAGGTCTGCGGAGGAGCCGTTGAATGTCTACAGATGTGAAGAGACTCCCCATGGGGAAACATGTGGAGTTGGACATAAAAGGGGCACATTGTCAGGTGCTCCGAAGGTTCTGAGTGGAACTGACACCAGATCCACAGAACCATGGCTCTGTTCTATATTTCTTCGGTGGTATGTTCCGCATCTCCAGAGTCTCAAAGGACATTCGGTTGACATTTGCAAGATATCTCTACTGCTCAGCATGGCTGTGACCAAAACCAGCGCAGACCTGACTGTTCCCAAGCATGCATGGTACCCATATCTCAGCCTGATCTCCCAGGGTCTCCGCTTCAACTAACATTACCTCAGGGACTCTCACATCCATATCATCGAGCCTGACAAGTTTCCGCTTGAGCCGGATAGAGGTATAAGCAAACCAATCGTCTCAAAAAATTGACTGTAAACTAACTGCCTCTACTTGTCCAGATTACACCCCAAAGACAGCAAGCCGCCAGCAGGCCGCTGCCTTTGAATCCTCTATTGGCGTCGAACACGCCGTAGTCGTTCTTCCCAGTGTCTACGGGTCAAACAATACTATCCTCCTCGACGCGCTCCGTTACTTCAACGGCTCCTACCGAGGCGTATGTGTTCTTGACGATACACTAGCAGAGACCGACAACAAGACCCTCCAGACATTCCACGATGCCGGTGTTCGCGGAATCCGCCTGAACTATGGGAACTCTGGCACGGACGCCGAGATCACCGCCGCCGTAATCCAAGCAGCTGCTATCGCGCGTATCCACGACTGGGTTGTGCAGCTGTGGGTTCCCATCCGCGCATTCAAAGCTCTGCGCGACATTATACCTACTCTCGGAATTCGTGTAGCTGCTGACCACTACGCCCATGCTACCGTCGGCTCGCGCACAAACGACACCCGCAACACAATTGACCCCTTCACAATCGAGGGATTCCGAGAGGTCATCGAGCTAATGCAGGACCACCACCTCTTTGTCAAGATCTCTGCTCCCTACCAGAACTCAAAGCAGGAGCCGCTATATAGCGACATGCGAGTTGTTGCACAGACGCTTATGCTCCATGGACCTGACATGGTCGTTTTTGGTACGGACTGGCCTCATACCGCGAGCAAGGAGGGTAATGGACCAGGCGGGCCGTTGGTGCCTTCTGACTATCGGGATATTGATGATGCGGAAATCTTGGAACAGACGCTAGAGTGGGCGGGCACGCAAGAGCAGGTACAGAGGTTGTTTGTGGATAATCCGCGGAGGCTGTGGGGGTGGACTGATCCTGATGCTTAGGGGGAGCGTGGTCTTATCCGTAGTATGGGTGGATATACTGGCAGAATAATGATATGGACACAAATATGGAATAAGAGCCAGAGAAAGTTGTTCTAATTAATTATCCTGCCCACAAAACGAACGAAAAAAGGCCTAGGCACCAATCAAAAAGACGATATTGACAAGGACCTCGCCACCTCTTCAGTCATAATACCCCGCCAACATCTCATCCGTCCAGTCCCAAAGTCTCTTGGCCAAGTCATGATCCTTCGCGGCCTTATCAAGCCCCGATGACAAAACGCCCCATTCCTAACCCAATCCTTGACACTCGTCGCCGCCCAAAGCTGATTCGGATCCCCTCCACTGGCGTAACCATGTTGTGGAAGGACGACGTCGCCCAGACAAACGCCTGCCATGGCAAGCTCAGACCCTCCACGAGCCCTGTGTTAACGACCCCCGGGTGCACAGATACTCAGGAGCTGTTTAGGTATTAACTGGCCAGCTCGCGTGTGCATAGCAGGTTAGCAGGCTTGCTTTACCTGTAGCGTACCTAGGAACCGAAGAGGCTCTTTTACAAGGTGCGGAGGGTATTAAAGCAGAGCCGTTGCATGGGTGCATCTTGAAGCCAAGGGAGGTTAGGAGGATCACGTGGACGTCGCCTGAAAGGCTTGCCTTACACTGCAGAACGGGCAGCAGCCTCTGAATCAGAAGCGCATGGCCCAGGTGGTTTATCCCAAACTGCACCTCGAACCCGTCAGCCGTTAGACCAGCATCCGTTGCCATGATACCCGTGCTGCACATGAGGATATCCAGCCGCGTCTCTTCAGACTACAACTCAACTACTATATGTTTCGTGGACGCCAGCGAGGCCAGGTTGCATGTAATAAAGGAGACGGGTGTTTTGCTACCCACTTTAGTAACTTTTCTACTAACTCTATCAGCACATTTTGCGTTGTGACCTGTGATATAAATATGTGCTAGGGAGTGTTTGGAGAGTTTAATTACAGCATTTGGGCCAAGGCCGGCGGATGGAATAAATTAGCACTCCACGGGAAATGGATGAGGGGAGGGCTAGAGAGATCCTGGGGACGAACCGCCTGTGACTAGAATAAACTTTCTTTATAAATAACTAAAAATGCAAGCTTCTTGCTCCACTCCGTCCATCAGCTGCGCGTCTGAATATACTGTGAAAGAGGGCGACAATTGCAGCAGTGTCAGCCAGACACAAAAGGTCTCCGAGGCAATGCTCCGCTATAATAATGGAATCATGGCCGACTGCTCCAACTTCCCTGATGCGGGAACCTCGCTCTGTCTCCCCGACACTTGTGATGTGTACACCCTGCAGGCGAACCAGACCTGCTATGATATCACAATGATTTATAATTCGACCTTTACAGTGACGCAGCTAATCTCGTGGAATCCGGATATCAATCGAGACTGCAGCAACTTGGAGGTGATGATCGGGACTCACCTCTGCGTAAGGTAGGGTCTTTCATCCCGTCCTCCATTCCTCTGTTGACGTTTTGGAAGCGCTCCGGGGGATACAGGAGGACCAAGCGTGACGACAACGACGACATCGACCATTGCAACACCCACGTAAGTTTTCTCAGCATCAGTCCACGTCACGGTCGGTTTGCAGACTGATGGATATTCAATTCAGGGCCGCGCCGACCAATGTGGCGAATGGGACCAACACCCGCTGTGCCAAGTACTATGAAGTCGTTCTGGGAGACACTTGCGGCTCTCTAACGGTGATGATGGCCATCAGCCTGGATGATTTCTATTTCTTAGTAAGACCAATGCCCTCCCCTTCCTCGCATGGCACAGCCACTCATATGCTCCAGAACCCCGAGGTCAATAAGACCAGCTGCAGCAATCTCCTAGCTAGCTCATCCTACTGCGTGCAGGCCGTGGGCGATATCGCGACCTACTCCGGATACGGGTCCGTCCCTCCTCACCTACTCCAGTCCTGTTACACTGACTCTATCTGACCCAGTTCTATTCGCAGAGGATACAGCAATCCCTGTATAACAATGGTTCCTCTACCATCCAGCTGCATAGCAGCTACAGCGACAACCACCGACTCCGACTGGACTTTCCCTACCTATACATCCAACGCGACCCAGCCGACCACTTTACCGCTTGCTCTGGGGACCTGGTCCAACTGCTCGGCCTACACGGAATATATTCGGCCCGTCCGTAATACTTCGACTATAAACGCGTGCTACGTGGTGGCAAGCATATACGATGGTGAGAATACGGAGCATAATCCTCCTCCAGAAGTGATACAGCCGGGTTAATTGACCTATCCCTGCTGCAGTGAACGTGACAGAATTCGTCTCCTGGAACCCCTCCCTCTCTTATGATGAGAACGCGGCTGATCCCAACCGCTGTCAACTCAAACCCGGATACCGGTACTGCCGCCAGCTGACCAAAGCTACGGTGACTGCCACCACTACTGCAACTACAACAACGACGACAACAAGTGAACAGGCCACGAGCACTGGACCAAATGGGCAGCCAACTCCACTGCCAATTCAGGTATGTGCATCTCTTCGTCCCATTGCATTCTGTTCCAGAGTTGCAGGGGTCTAAAATTAATCCGACATGTTCAATTAGGATGGAATGACTACCAGCTGCGGCACCTTCTATCTCGTCAAAACTAACGACGGATGCTACGACATCGCAAAAGCGAACAATATTGCGTTAGACCAGCTATATACCTGGAATAAGGCCCTGAGCGGGGACTGTACGGGCTTGTATCCCACTTATTACATCTGTGTGGGCCTGGTTGGTAGCACCACCACCACCACCACAAGTGCCACAGCGACAACATCGTCCGGGGGAGTTTCAACGCCCACTCCCACCCAGGCCGGCATGGTAAGCAGCTGTACGTCATTCTACTACGTTCAAAGCGGTGATGGCTGCTACGATATCGCGGCGAGTAACGGCATCGCCCTGGACGCGTTATATGACTGGAATCCAGCGCTAGGTGGAGATTGCAGTGGGTTGTGGCCGGAATATTATATCTGTGTGGGGGTGTAAATACCTACATGCCTACCCGCATACACTTATATACACAAAGTATAGTAGTAGCCAAGGTACGGGCATAGATAGTACACGCTCAAACGAACCAATCAGTCGTCTTCCGCTGCTGTATTCGAAAGCCTATCTTCTAACCGCAGTAGTAGTTGACAATGACGAGCTACTTCTACCTCCATAGTACGAGGTACCTACGTACTTGCAATTACTGCATTCGAAAAGGTGGCGGCCAAATCCCATCCCCTTCCCGCCCCTCCCACTTTCTATACGAAACCGTGACCGCATGATGCAACTGGCTCAGCTCCGAGGTATACCGATAGGGCTTCTGTTTCGCCTCGCCCTGGAGATCGCGCTGGACCAGCCGCGCAAACAGTGTTGGGATATGTTTGATGTCAACCTTTAGCGCTGGTTGAGCTCCAGTCCCAGCCTCATGTTGGAGTACAGGCTCAGGCTCAGGCTCAGCTAACCAAACATACGGTCTCGCCGTTTCGCGCGATGCGAACGCCTCATTATCCACATACAGGAAGGCGTCACGTCGAAAGCCATCGGGGATCTCGGAATTTGACAGCATTGTGCGAAATCGGCTCCCTAGTGTCTTCGGGTCCACAACGTCGCTCCCTCTATCCTCATCACCTGACGTTGAAGGAACAGCCACCCAGTGCAAGGCGAACCGGGCCCTTGTCTTGTCCTTGATGGCTTTGCGGAGATAGTGCAAGGCGTGGTATATAGCCGTCTCGATCTGGGATTTGTATGAAGCAAGACGGCCTTCTCCCGCTCCTTGTTCGTCTTCTTCATTTTCCGAGTAGAATACTACCAAGCCAAATCGATCGCTTGCGGTCGAACTGGAAACAAGCACGTGGTCCTGCCAGGGGACCTTCATCGCGGCCTTGAGATTCCTGTAATCGTCATCATTCATCGCCTCTCTCGCCGCCTGCCGCACGCCTCTCCATCGCTTCTGAACAGCCATCGCCACCTCTCTCGCAGCCCGGACATCCTCAGTCTCCGCTGCCTGCATCGCTCGCTCCCTGAGGTCCCAGTCTTCAGGACTGAGTCGCGCCATCTCGTTTATGAACTCGAGCGTTTTCTTCTGGACTGCGCTGAATACGCCGACTATTAGGATCCTGGCTTCAAGTTCGCTCAGGGCGAGGTCGGTAAGACTGATAAGATTGTCCTCCTTGTTGTTGTCGTTATCGGTGTTATTGGTATCGTTGAGTTTACTGTTGATTGCTTTGGCCATTAGCTCGTCCATGGACAGTCCACAGGCACCTCGGCAGAGCTCGTCTTCCTTCTCTGGTGGCGGGCGGTTGGTAATGAGTCGGCGTTCGTGATCGGTTAGTAAGTCCGGATCGGTGATGGCGCGGGTGTACAGGGCGCGGGTTGCCTCATCGAGGACTAGAGGCGTTGTGTCTCTGGTTATGGGGGCAGGGGGTGGGACCCCCGCAGGTATAGGGATCCAGATAGACATGTTGGTAGAATGCAGAGTTGAAAAGGAAGGTTGGAGTGCAAGCCCGGGGAGACGTGTAGGTGATCTTAATGGCGGGGTTGTGTAGCACGTGACGGGGCGTCATTGCTGTCTTGGGAAGTTGAGAATAACTAGGCTCTTCCTAGGCTGGAGGGCCCGGAAGTCGAATCATGCAAATACATATTGCTGGAGCAGCTGAGCTACTGAATTTTGTTTGCCTGTGGGATACGAACCTGTAGTTCCATAATCCCATCATTTGGCTCTTGGTCAAAGGATGCAGGCTGGGTTGGCTCGAGACGGCGAGACAAATATCACCTGGAAATACTTATTCTGTTGCCTTCTGGTCTGCTAGAGATTCTTCTCACGCCTTCTATCTTAACATGTTCCCTACGGTCTATCCATCTCCCTACAATCCATACATCAATCATAATCGCCGCTAATCCTCAATATATCTTTGCTTCTAGTTGCATGTGAGATAACAGGAATAGGACCAACCCGCCTAGCAAAGGAAATACCGTTACTTCAATTTCACCAGATGAGCACGAGACATATGATCTCTCAACTTATCCTTACGCGAAAATGCTTTACCACGGAGATAAGTCTGGCATAGGAACGCCTGTGGCGCAACGTGAATGGTCTTGATATGCCGTATCAGATCGATTTCCCGGCGGAAGACGTGGGTTGAAGTGCAGTTCTCCCATTTACAGATGAATGCTGACTGTTTCTCTGGACTGAAGTAGAATGGGATTAGCGGATGGACGAGGTGAGAACAATCGTGGAGATTTCAACTGACCTTGGCGGAGTAGCTAACTCCTGCTGGGGCCACAACAACGGTTGGTCGACTAGTACTTGGGGAGCCTCTGGGAGGTGCATATCGACTGCGCATGTTTGGGGTCGCCAGAAGGTGGAAGAGTGAGCCGTATGCATTTTCTATCGGTGCTTCCATGGTTGGGTCCCGATGTGTAGGTGCCTTGAGCCATGGGAATTCAGGCGCGTCGGTCATATGGAAGGACAGAGTACTCAAAAGTATACAATATATTTGATGGCTGAGGCTTCGATATTCTTAATAGAGGGTCAAAATAGTCGTAATATATATGCATGTATGTCTATACTAACATTGTAAACTATGAACTCTAGATAGTAATTTAATCATGGAATAAATTAGTAACTTAATAGTTCTACTATATCCCTACCTTATAAGATTAGACTAATACCCCTAAATATAAGTATACTATAAATAACGCGCACTGCGCGTGTTGTTTAATTGCTTTGACAATTTCGGTATTCCTAGGACTCATAATAAAACTATATAATAGTCATAACGAAAAGAGATCGCGAGCTGCCAGAGCTCTTTTCATCAAGCATAAATGGTATGATTCTGATACACGATAATCCCCCCATTCAAGAAAAGGCCCTAACTTTGACAACATCCCAAAAAGCCATATCAACAGTCGCAGGTCGTCCAAGGTATATCCTAAATCCAAAGCCCCTCAAAACACCAATCGCTGGATACAAGGCATATGCAGAAAACTTCAAACAAGAAGCGGAGAGCAGAATCACCCCTCCCAGATCATCCGATCATCCGACCTCGCCGTCTCCGCCTCCGGATACGACTCATTATCGCCCGGCTCCCCCTGACCAGGAAGAACAACCCACTCAATCTCCGCCGCCCGATCCACCATCAAAATCCCCATAGCCACACACTCGCGCAGGAACAGCCTCAACCAGCGCTGCCCCTCCTCATTCCCGCGCTTCAAACATTCATCAAGTAACCTGATAACCTCCCCATGCATCACCCTCGGAATCCAGCATACATACTCCGCGCTCCGCCAGTCGTTCCACACGATACACCCATTGAAGCTCGCGCGCTCAATGAGCGACGTGTATCCAACACCTGCCTCGGAGCTGTGGAAGACGTGGTACCAGATGCAGATGCTATCGTCGTTGCTGTTGTAGTAGGGCGTGAAGAGGACTACCCAGTGGTGCGGTTCCTCGTCGCCGAGGCGCGTTGTGACGATCCGGATGGTCATGCGGTCGGTTTGCGGGTTGGGTAGGGTTTGGTCGAGCGGGGGGTTGCCGTTTTCGTCGATGTCGGAGACGACGAGGGGGACTATTGCGCGTGAGTTCGCTGGCTCGGGGGTGCTCCGGGTGTTCCAGACGGTTGCGCTTGGGTCGGAGTCCATTGGTCTTGCTTTGGTATAGTATAAAGTATATAGTATAGTATAGTGTGCTGTGACTGTGAGAGAGGAGAATCATATGTGCTTCCTATGACTTCAGTAGGGGGTTATTGGCAGGTGTACCTGATATATACGTTCCTATAGAGCAGCCTTTTTTGTACACGATTGTTTAGCCGTATAAAGATATCTTTGAGCATATTTGTTTCATAGCTCCTCCGCTCGCAGTGGTTCATCTCCTTGACACTGGTGATTCCCCTCGAAGAGAGGCCCACGAGACATGGTAGAAGATACATTATCCCTTGAAATGCGAAACAGATATTGAATGGTTCCAAGTGTTGATTGTCGAAAAAGTCCAGGTCTTTGTTGTTGAGTCTCTAAACAAAGACGCAGCGAGGTTGAAACAAGGACAAAGCCCCAATGTCTCGTGAGGAAAAAGAACCTTTGTTGCCCAGTAAGATCCAACTCCAATAAGCGCTCCCTCATAGACCTGTTCAAGAGACATGGAAGCATGCATTACAAGACCCATTCCAGCCATGGTGGGCTGTGTGGACATTGTCCTTTCCCTGGCTGAATACCGAGGTCTTGCTGGGGGTTTTACTTCTAAGATTGATCTACTTAGCTTTCCAAGGGCGTGCGCCGGAGATATAGTTTCATTCACTATCTTGGCTCCTTTAACCTATCAATGTGCTGGAAGAGATCAGACTTTTAAAATTTGCTGCAGCTCCGAATAACTATACCCACCTATACAACTCTCGCACAGCGAGCTCAACCCCCTTAAAAGAAACACGTATCATACTCCAAATCATCAACCCCAAGCTGCCGGGCATGCGCAACCGCATCAACAAGCACACTCACCGCATCAACCTCGCGCATCCCCTTCTCCTGCGCCGCCCACTCCAGCATAGACGGCGGAACCATCCGCTCATAGAACTTCGCAATCCCCTCGCCGATAAGCCCGCACTTCTCCAGTTCCCGGAGAACCTCGATGACATACAGCGGACATCGCTGCGGGGTGATGCTGCGCGCGATGGTATCTACGACGGCGCCGGCTTCGATCGGGATTGTGGAAAGTTTACCGGTTATTTCGATGGACGGCGTGTTTAGGGGTTTGTGGGGGGATATGGAGTGGGTGTAGACACTGCCCGAGGTTCGGACGCTGTAGTAGGTTCCGATTGAAGACAAGGAGGGCGCGAGGATTAGGAGCCAGTGTTGTTGGCAGAGGGCGTTGGGGCGACGGCCGAAGGCGATGTAGAGGTCCAGGGTTGGTGGTGGCGGGGGTGGCCGGGGTGTCAGTGGTCGCATGTAGGTGTTGGACATTTTGGCAAAGGATTTTGGTTTGGATGGCCAGAAAAAATGGTTACATAAGATGGGTAGGGGCCTATAATTGGGATATGATCTATTTATGGAGAGACTCCTGCTTTGTGGGATCTATACACAAAGGACTAAATGCTGATTGTCTCTCTGGAGTCTTTGTCCAGTAGGCTAATGTTTGGGCTGAAGGAAATTGAGTATCAGGTTTAACTTCTAATTTTTTTGACTAAAGGCTTCGAGGACCTGCTTTGTCGCTGCATAGGATCGCTCGAAGCAGAGACCAGAGTATCAAAAGAGACAATTGTGGAGCCTCTTTACAGCCAAGGACCGTGCACGACAAGGGGAATCGCGGCAAGAATTCGGCAAACGGTTCGGATTTGCCCTTCCAAAATTAAGATAACCCCTTCCATCCTCTCCATATAGCATATACAGCTCTCCCAGCCTTGGCTCTTTACATACTCACTCGAGATTCTTCAATGAATGCCCCTAAGATATGCGGAATCGAGCGAAGCTGTGGTTATGGGTATAAAGGAACCAAGCAAAAAGGCTCGACATGGTAAGTACTGATAGTGGGTCACAAACTACAAGGCAGGACGAACTGCAACTATCGCATATGGGAGAGCCTAAGCACTTCCTCTTGCATAGCCAGCGTATTGCCAAGCGATGCGTGCACATTCGTAACCGTGTTCTCCAAGATGCGCTAGGATGAGGCCCCCAGCACCGGGCCACGCTGATATCAGCACTAGTGAATCCGGCCCCCAAAACCCTCTATATATCTACGTCTTTGTCCCCAGGCTGGCATTCAGCTTCGCTCGAGTCGCCTCCGCTCCGTCTCTTGCAACTCCAAATTTTGGTCTACAGGAACCTACCACGAAAATGCCCTCCCACGCTAACATCCCCCTCTTCTACCGCATCGCCCTCCTCTGGTACGAGCCCCTCGCCTCGGGACTCGGCGCCTACCTCGTCCTCTTTGAACCAGACAAGTACTTAAACTCCTTCGTTCCGCCCTCGTACGCATCCCGAAGCCACACGGACGATATCCTCCTCAACCAACTCGCCGCGGCATTTGTCTATGTCTCGCTTAGCCAGGGTGTCCTCCTAAGATATACGAATGATATTACGATCTGGAAGATTGTGAATGCGTGTTTGCTCGGGTGGGACTTTATACTCCTTTATAGTATTTGGTTTGGACTCGATAAGCAGGGGAGATTGGGGCTCGCAGAGATTAGGGGGGATGACTGGGGGGTTATTGGTGCGACATTTGGGATGACACTTATTAGGAGTGCGCTTTGTCTTGGGGTTGGGTTTCAGAAGGAAAAGGTCAGGGGCAAGAGGCAGTAAAGTCCTGTCTTGGCTTCCGCGCGTGCAGTCAGGTTGCCAGCTTTTGTATGCCCTACTTAACGGGCTATATATGGAGGGTCAGGAAGGCTACCCATCTGAGTGGAATTAGGCTGTTCTAATTTATCCCTTTACCCACATTACGCTGATGTTATCTGTCTTTATACCTCGCCACGATCAAGGAAATAATCAATCCATTGTATTCATTTTCTAAGGTATACGATCGCACTGACCAAAAACTCGACTCCACCAAATTCTGATGAAACCACAATGCACCTCGCAAAAGCCACGAACCAACTAGAAACTACTCGAGACAGGTATCGTATGTCAACAAACCCAACTCATGTTGCTGCGCATACTGCCGACACTCCTTCAACATCGACGCGATAACCGGTGTCGAGGGAAGCTCCCACGGCCCCTCCTTCATTTGGGTAAGCACCGACTTCTGGGACCGCTCATTATAACGCTCGACAACTCCCTCTTCAATCACACCATCGACTGCTAGATGTCTGAGGATATCAAGGACGAAACCCTGACACCTCTTTGGCTCGATTGCCTGCATGTAGTCCCGGATGTTAGTGCACTGCTGCTCAGTGAGGGAGGCCAGTTTTGTGAAATGCTTGGTGATCGGCTCTAATATCGATAGAGATGTTTCCTCCTTGATGCTTAGCTCATATCCTGTAGCGCCGTATTTCATGTAATACCATGTGCACTTTGTTCCCGTCTTGTCTTTTGGGGCGAGCACGAGCATCCAGTGTTCCGGGTGGTTGATGCAAGGGGTGTAGGGTAGGCTTTCATCTTTGCGCCATAGGACGGTACTATGGTCTTTTCCGAGGACGATGTACAGATCGAATTTGGGCTTTGGAGATTGCTTTGAAAAAAGGTTCTTCATCTTGGCGGTTGGTGGTTGGTGGTGCTGAGCTGACCTAAACATCTTGCTGGAGGGGCTTTGGCTATGCTTATATAGTTTGTGCTTTACTTACTGCTTTGTCTAGTGTAGTGAAAGCACACTTCCTTTTTAATATTGATGATTGTTTTTATCATGGTAGTTCAGTCTTTGCTATAATCACAATGGCCTTTGTCTATAACCCGGGTATACAATGTCCCATTCATGTGGTCAAGGAAACTACCTTTATCATCCCAAAGCTTTTTATTTTCGCTGCAGACCAAGTATTTGCGTTTATGGACATGGATTGTCTATGCTATGTCTCGTTCCGCCAGCAATAGGCCGAGATTTCTCCGCGGCCAAGAGAAGAACCAACCCGAATGGAGCCACCTGATTTCTCATATTACTCCCAAGGTTATATCAACGCAAGTCTGTAGATGCGGTTAGGGATGAAGTTGCTAAATCTAAGGTCTCAGCCACATGCACTGACGAGAACCAGTTCGCCATCAGGTTCCCACTCTTTGCGAATTGTCAATATACAATTGAAAGATTATGACCACCCTTCAGGCTATCACTAGTATTTGATTGTGGCATAAAGCATACAGGGGGAGTCGCACAACCTGGAAGGTGATGTCGATGACCCCAATATCTGCAAATCTCATCTTCAGGGCCACAGCCAGGAGTGGAGATGGCCTTAACCATCCGCCTCGTCGTTAATGGTGAAGCATCAACATGTCTCGTCATATATTGCAGGGAGAAGATCGTATAGGGAACGGGGAGTTGCGGAATCATTACTTTTAACCATCAAGTGATAAGTAAGATGCCATTGCGGTCATCATTTAGAAAAGAAAATATAGTTAGATTTGTTTCAAAACTGCGAAATTAGCCCCAGACTAGACAACTCCAACTCTACCCTCCGGCTACTCCTCCTCTATGATAACGGGCATCCCGCACCTCCTTTCAAACATCTTCGTCGTCCCATAAGGAACGACGTCCTTGGTCTCCAAGGTCCTCAGTATGTCTAGGACATACCTCTGGCTCTGCACCGGCTTCGCATGTCGCGCCGCATCAATGACTTCTCCGAGAGTAACCTCGGCAATATAGCAGATCCTCCGCACAGACGCAAAAGCGAACGAGTCGAGACGCTTATTCGCCTCTACCCTGGCTGTGTAGGGTTCCTTGTCCCTGGTGCCACTGGTTGTGTGGTAGTAGGTGCAATTGAAGCTACCCACCGGGTATGTGATTAGGACCCAATGCTGGGGAGCGTTGGGGCGCGGGTGACCAAAGCCAATGGAGACGGTGTACACGCGAGATGCCATATTGTTGTGATTGAGGTCGAGTAAGTGCTGGGGTTGATTCGGGGGCGAGGAGGCCGTACGAGCGTGGGGAGGGTATAGTATGAGGAGGATTGCTTGGGATTATATAGGGCTGGATTGTTTCTTTCATTCTATTAAGACAAGAAAACCATTATCTCTTTATATGTCTGAGCCCCTTTGGGCTAGGTTAGATGCCACTGTACTGGCTGTTCTGTATTCAAAGAGTTGGAGAAACGCTTTGTTCTTGTGCTTTGTATGCACCCGTCTGTGATTCTGGGGTGGCTTGTGATATTACCAAGACACTTTCTTCCACCTTACATAGGCAAGCAGCAAATGAAGCATAACAAATAACTAAAGGAGTATATATCAGTGGTAGTGTCTAAGAAGGAGCTCTGCAATATCCAATCTGAAGCACCGAGCATCCACGACGATAAAATCGGAGGAAGCTCAGGGAAGAGCATGCACCCATGATCGCACCAGCGCCTTCTCACCGGGCATTGGAAACAGGGATCAGTATAAAATGGAGGGTGAGTGTTGATAAAGGAGAAAATGTGGCGCACCGTGGAATGAGATCTTCTGGATACAGCATTGAATGTGAAAAGGGTAGCTAGATAGGTTGAATAAACTTGTGTGGGCAGATAAAACCAGTGTGACCTATTGTCTACAGAACCTTAACTTCGGAGACTTGTCTGCGGGATACAATATAGGTATGCCGCGGGATGTCGTGGGAAAGGGCAAGGGACTGGAAAAAGATCACAATTGGTGACCTGGTCCAGCATGGGCAGCTTGTCTGGCCCCGGTGAGGCTAAAGCTCCGTCCGAATGTAAGCAAGAGACAGCCGCATCGCCCCATCTAATGAGTCACCGCTGGAACATCATGCAAGAGTTCACTGTTAAGGTTTGCTTTCCAGCGCTCGCAAGCCTAGTGTCTCACCCAGCCACGCATCGCTCCTTCTGTGACTCATCTAGAGACAACGACCACCACAACTCGGCCCAAAAAGCCATCTTCTTTCACCATAACACAGCGGATTAAAACCGTTAATTTCCACTTGTTTCATGGAAAGACAAAGAAGTCTTCAAGAGACAACCTACAACGCAAGTATATACCGTCCGACGATGCACTCCATGGCGAATACATTCCAGTCAAATCCCCCGAAATTCAAACCGCCATTGCAACCGCAGAACACCAACCACAACCGAAGACGACTTTGAGCACAGCAACTACCTACTGGAGAGGTAGTATATTGAGAAAAGTCCTCGCCATGACGAAACTAAAATCCCAACCCGAACCACGGCGACCGAAGCCACTCATCGTCCCATCACGGAAGGAACACACGCACACAATCATTCTCCTCCATGACAAGGGCGACAAGGGCCGCGAGTTCGGTCGGGGGTTCCTCAAGGCAATGAAATTGCAGGATCACGTGCCGACGGTGCGATTTGTTTTCCCGTGCGCGTTTAATGCACCCCTCCCACCCTCAACCTCGGGCGGCAAGACAGAAGCGGGACCGCCGAAGAGGAGAGTCAGTCCAACGCAGTGGTTCGACGATCCTTTCCATGTCCGCGAAGCTGCGAACGCAACGGCGTCGCTCCCCGAGACGGCAGAGTTCCTACAGCGACTGGTTCACGAGGAGGCGAAAGTCCTCACCCAGACTGGGAGGTGTGGGATGCACCAAGCGCACAAGCAAATCTTCATTGGTGGAAAAGGTCAAGGAGGTGCGGCGGCGTTACTGTACCTCGCCGGAAGCCACCGACGCCTTGGTGGATTTATCGGCCTCGACGCGGCACTGCCATGGCAATACCATATGGAAATTGCAGCTCAGCTAGGAGCGGCGGAAGGCAGTGGTGGTGATGACAGTGTCTCAAGGGGTGTGCAATGCGTGCGGAGCTTGCTGGGCTTTAAGCGGCTTGGGGAAGAGGAGGGAAGATTGGCAGACAGATTGTGCCAGCTAGAAACGCCCGTGTGCTTCGTGTATGAGGGGTCGCGAGAGAAAGGGAGGAACCTCGTGTCTTTGTTTGCTGATGGGTTTGGGATGGACATTACCAAGTGGTGGTGTGAGAATGGGGCGAAAGAGTGCCATGCCTTGTCGGATAGTATGGAGGCTGTGCTTGGATTTTTGGAGAAGGTCGGTGTACCAAGAATGTATCCTGTAGGCGAGCGTGAAGGATTGGCGAAGTATTCTTGCGTTGGAAAGAAAGACGTCCAGGAGATGGCTTGACGAACAAGCCGTAGAAGCGAACTACTCGTAAAACAATAGATCAATCAAACACAAACATGCCACTTCCTTGAAAAGCTCCGCATCAGGCATGCGACATGTTATTCATCTAATTTCTAGCAAGGAATCTGTCTGAGCGGTTGCAAGGTGCAGGGGGATTATGGTAGTGATATAACGGCGAGCCCAGCGTAGGGACTATCAAACGTCACTACATAGAAGTTGGAGCCGGAGTGTAAACGGTCTGGGAAGCTTATTTGTGCGGCGATCGGGAACTGAGGGAAACTTTACACGGCATCCCCTGGGCCGGGCGAGCAGACCCGGCTTGGACCATATACGCCCGCTCTCCGAACATCGTATTTAACCCATGTTTGGGATGCAGACGATCCCACTCCGCGTACTGGTCGGCAAAATCAAACTCGCGAACCGTCATAAGAAGGGTGGTGCGAATGTCAAGAAGCGCAAGTGTCTGCCCTATACAGTCTCGCGGCCCATGTTCGAATGGTCTCCATGCTCCGGCGACAGGGTACAGGGGATGGCCGGGCTCCACGAGCCAGCGGTCAGGGATGAACGAGTGTGGGTCGGGCCAGTGTTGCGGGTTACGGTGGTTGCCGTGGTGCAAGACCCATATCGAGAACCCATCGGTTGGGTACACCGTACCTGTTTTGGTATCACGCAAACAAACGTCTGGGGAACCGCCTCGAATACCGTTGGCCGGGGGGTAGAGACGCAGGGTTTCTTTAACCACTGCGAGAGTGTATGGGAGTTGGTTGATAAGTTCTGGACGATCGCGTAGCAAAGACGCAGTCTTGGTCAAGTCCGTACCAAATACTTTGTCATGCTCTGCCCGGACTTTGGCGAGAACACCTGGGTGCTTAGACAAAAGGTAATGAGAATACATGATCGCCACCGCGGTGGAATCGTGGCCAACAAAGAGAAAGAGGCGAATTTGAGCAGTGGCCCAGGCTTTGAATTTCGGTTCAAGAGTCGGCCCAGCTACCGGGCTTGTTTTCATGTGTTCCGCGATGGCGAGCTCCATCAGGGTCTTGGGCGCAGACGGATTCGCGGACTTGTGGTTCTTCCATTCCTGGTAGCGCTTTTCAAGCTCGATGCCAATGTAATGATTCATTGTCCGGCTGTTGTGCCACTGTTTGATCCATCGCACGGGACTCAATCCATCAAGGGGATTGCCAGTCTCAATCTGACATTCTCGGTCGATCGTATCGCGCATGGCGGCAGCAACAGGGTGAAATCTTCGCTGGCTGAGGAAACGGGTTCCCCTAGCGAAAAGATTCAAGGTGGTTCATCGACGGGTAGAGTAGGTAACTTACATTGTCACTTTGCCGATAATGTCCATCACGTATCTGCAAGTGATCTGGTCCATAAGGAAGGTATCCCCAGTTTTCGCCAGGTCACGTAAAACATCAACATAAGCCTCGACCTCCTGCAACAGATATGGGACGTATCTGAAGACCGAGCGCATGCTAAACCCGTGATGGAAAAGTTCTCGCCCCCGCCTTGCCTCGTCGCCATTGCTGTCAAAGATTGTTGGGCCACCGGACATTGGAGCGACGAACGGCACGAGATGGTCTGGTTTAATGAGATCATGAGTTTGACAAGTTTGAATCGAGAGGTCCGCCCCTGTGACGACTAGTGCTGAGAAGCCGAATGGCCACATGTCAACGTAGAAGCCAGGATCGAGGCCAAGTTCGGAGGCAAGCGCCGCAAATGTCATTCCTGCTTGAGCGTCCTTCGGGACAGTTTTCATGAACCTCCTAAGGAACGGAAGGCTGCCGAAAAAAGGATTCCACGGGGGCATCGGCTAGGAAACGATGGTCAGTGAGATACGCTTTGCTCGCAAACGAACGATGGGGTGCGCACCATGCCTCTTTGCCTGAGACGATAGAAGACCAACCGGACTCTCACCAACTTGTAGAAGAAACAGGCCGTGGAGATCACAGCCAACGGCAGGACCACGCGACTCGCAATCCACCTCCAGTCCATCCTGAGAACTTCCGTGACTGTTGCTCTGCGTATGAAAAGTGAAGCTAGTGCCAATGGTCGCATAAGATACGGTGCAATATGGGCTCGGTCAAGATGTTATACGGAGCAGAGCAGTTCGGTAAAAAAAACTGGGTCCATTTGATGGAGGAGGGGTAGGGGTGGGTGGTGGGAGGGGGGTTGCGAAGAATAGGGGACAAAGGAGAGTCAGCCGTCATCGAGCTTCTTCCGTTTGTTGGCCTTACCACCTTGAGCAGATCCCAACCACAAATGAGTGACCGGGCTTTGGAGGTGTGGGACAACATATAAAGAGCCCATAATATTTGCGATTCCAAGGCATGGACAGGAGGGAGCTGGGCGTCGACCTCGTTTGTGGTGGGCAAGTTGAACGGTCGGCGACCTGGCGCTAAGCCAAATAAAGACTAGGCTGAGTCAACTTTCAATTCCCCCGATGGAGTCAACAAACACATATTCGATACGTGATAGGCTGCGTCGCTTCAGTCAGCTGGAAACCCGGTAGCACGAGCGGTGATCAGCGTGCAGGCCAGGCGCTAATGAGCAAATGGCCGATCACCTGAAGATTGCAACGTGCAGGTGTCCACCTCGTCTCAGGAAGCCTGGCACTTCCCTTCGGATGTCGCAAATTCCAAAGCCAACTTGATTCCACCTCTAGTTGCATCCATCATCGCACGCTCCATTCTGTGGATTTCCCACCAGTTTTCGCTTGAATATCTTCAACTCGCGACCTTATACGATGTGACAACTACTTAACCAGCCCGTGGATGATCCGACCATGTCTTGCCAGAATCTGTCGCCCAACACCAATTGGCTGCGAATCCGCCACCATGAGGCCCGAAGACAACGCGGGACGGATCCATAAGACTCCCTTTACCGTAGGTCAACCGCTCCAATGTCCCTTGCCCGAAGCTGACTGACTCAACTAGATTTCCACCTCGTTTTTTTTTGGCCTTGCGGTGATCGGTGTTGCTCTGAGATGCTTCATCCGCTTTCGGGTTCGCAAGGACCGGTTCGCGGTTGATGATGCCCTACTACTGCTAGGGCTCGCCTTCTTGCTTGCTAGCATGATTGTCATGTACCAGAAGGTCATTGACCCGATGTACCTCACATATGCGCTGGTGGCAGGCGTCGAGGGTGTTACGCCTCCGGTGGATTTCCGACACATGTCTTCACAATACCACATTTGGAGCACCATCTGCCTCACATTGGTCTGGCTCTCCTACAGCGCAGTGAAGCTTAGCTTTCTCTTCTTCTTTAGGACACTGATAAATCGCCTGCGTCCGTGGATCATCTACTGGTGGGTCATAACGATCGCCAATGGCGCAGTTTTGACGTATGGATCCACGATCTACTTCGTCACCTGTCCGTATTTCTTCGACGACAGGGAACGTATGCTTTGCCTGCCGCAGCTTGAGGCTTGGTGTCGCTAACCTCGTTAGTGGAATGTTCTACTGGAGATCGCAAACAAGATATCGTTGTGCAGTCGCGCCTGCTCATGGCTCTGGACAATGTGGGCGACGTACTGAGTACGTTCCCCTAACAATTTGATTGAGGGCGATGTAACTCTGACACGGCCATAGTCCTCGTTATTTCCTTCTCCGTCATTTGGAAGATTCGGGTCCGCCTATCGCAGAAGATCGTTCTCGTCTGTTTTCTTTGTTTGACTATTCTTATGGTTGCTCTATCTATCATTCGGGTCTGCGGTCTAGTCTACGGCGACAGCATTGACTCGGTCTGGCAAACCTACTGGCAGTTCCTTGGATCTGAAATTGGGCTGTTTCTCGCCTCCGCGGTTGCTTTTCGGGCATTTTTCATGGCCCGCACTCAGCCCTCGAATGCCGTCCCATATTCCTTGAAGCGGGTGTGGAAAAATCCTCTCAGCGGACCAAACAGGCGGCGGCTTTCGGACACCTTACAAGATTCCTGGTCCCGTATGCCTGAGTCTGAACTGGGCTCTCTCTCACAGGTCGACCATACTGGGCCGGACACGCGACATGGGATTGGGGCTTCCGGTCTAAGCGGGGACGATTTGGAAACCAACTTGTGCAGCCATCCAGCCAACATATTGCTGCCTGCATGTAGGAATGGGTCTGGCTCGCGGAACTCTGGACAGCTGGGGTCTAGATCGTACCTCAGGACACCGAATGATTACCTGTAGAGCTGACCTTGGTGTGTAGAGGGCACCGACCAGTGGGCTCCTCCTCGCAGGAACCCTGTGGTGCGCCGGGATGAGGTCCTCTGAGGTTACCTCGCAGCACAGGCATCCTTCATTGCGATCATCGAGGATGCCCCGCTTACTTGCATGGGGATTTTGGCCTTCTGCTACACTCCGTACACTTGTTTGTTTGTTCGTCTGACAGCGGGGCGCTTCCCCGCCTGAGCGTTTCTCGGGTTCAAGCCTGAACAGTCTGAATTAAAATCTATGAAAACATCGCCTTCTCGCTACTCCTTGCTTTTGAGACCCACAAAGGGCAAATCTCCCGGCTGTGATGGGAGGTCGTGGTCAGTTGGGCTTCGAAGCTATGTGTCCCTGGACCCTTGCCGTGTCATCCAGATAGGAGCTGACGTGCTGCTGTCTGAGAGGGCGGATTGCGCTCGCGAGACATATTCCGCCTCGTTTTTGCCCTGGATCTTGTCGAGCCTGATGGTCTGGTGTCTATCTCTTGTCTGGATATGCACACTTTCATTTCCTATCTACCAAAAGAACGCTAATTGACCCTCAGACGCACAATTATAGCCCGTTGAAAAGCAATCTCCAATGCTTAACCGACGAGCTGTCATAGTCTTCGTCTCGACGTTCTGCCTTACTCTTGTTCTCTTTGCAGCATCAACCTACCTCCCGGTGCGCACTGTGCGCGAGCTGATCGCCTTTGTCTTCGTTTTGTCCATCCCATTTTTTGCGAGTGACATAATCCTGGTCGCAATCAGCCGATGTTTGGCATTTGGTCGCTAACGACGGAATTCTTGACGATCTCCGCGGGCTCCTGGCCGGATTTACAATTCCAGGCCCACATATGGGGCCGGGCGGCTGCGGACTCAAAGGAAGTGCCACTATCATGTCCACTTCTCCATCTGGCTTCTGCGCTGATCTGAAGGAAGTGTGGTGACTTGCCGTCCTCGATGGCTGTCAGCCAAAGGCTGCTCACATCGATGACAACTTCAACGGCCCCATACTCACTCTGTGAATTCGAAATCACCCACATCCAAGTGATAGCTACCTTGGAAAACTTTCACTGGACGCCAGAGACCTTCAATGCTACAGGTTATCGAGCTTGACAGCACCGCGACACAAATCCACCTGGTTATTCCGTCGCGGCTTCTTCCCTTTGGAAGTACTTTGACCACATCCGTGCAGTTTCGAGCAGGTAGCGATCATCCGCCCTGCAGACGCCCTTCGCGGATTGGGCGGTACGTCTCACGTCAGTCGTCTGCGAGGCTTGCGGGGAATGAAGCTTGCCTGCGGTGGCGCAAGGGCCCCCCTCCAGGCTACAGCGGGTCACTCAGATCCCCCGGCATGCGCCCTAAGAGGCTAGGACATCCACGGAGACGCTGATGCGATCATCAAAACTGGGTGTGAACCACGGCAAGATCACCCTGGCATTTGTTTGAATACCGGTCTACGATTGTATCCATGCAAGATATCCTGACAGTCCTGTCAGGAAGAGGTTGGAACCAGGCCCGAGTATGGCTATATGATCTGATGCCTATGGCTGGTGCCAATAAACGATGAGATAAGCAGTTTGTCTTGCTCATCGCAACTCCTACAAGATGTATCTTCATCGGCTCTCAACCGCTCACCTCTGACGGCCCCCAAAAGCTTTGCTTGCCAGACGACAAAAATAACGAACGACGATCACTTAAAAGATGTGCAGATACAGATTCTCAAATTCAGAAACGAGTGTAGACGCTAAGTAACGACATGTCTGTCGCAATGAACCCACTTAACATGCACGATACGCTACTCCATCACTTTCTAGGCCTCAGCGGGAATCCGCATCTCTACTTTCTCGTTCTCCCCGTGTGTATTTATCTTGCTTGCAGGGTTGCATTATCGCTATTTTCCGCTCGACCCAATACCAAATCCAGGTTGAATACTCCTCCCGATGTCCTCTTCCTGACTCTCGTATCAAGAGTAATACCCTTCGTTCTGCTATGCGACCCCCGCCAATTTGTCCTCTCGTCAAAGTACGGCTATCCCTCTATTCTTCTTTCTCCCTACTAATAGGAAGCAGAAAGCTTTTCTAGAGGACCTATCCTATGCGCATGAGCATATTCGGACAGGGGATCTACCTTATCCAAGGTACCGCCAACATAGTGGCAACGCTTCGACAGCGCGATCTTTCAGCATTCACACTGCACGAATATATTCTCCGTCACGTTTTCGGTCTACCCTTAGAAGCTCTCAGGACGTATGAAGCGGACGACTCTGGCGGCGACATTACCCCCAATGTCCACTCCGGCGTTGAGCCACGGAACAGAGTTGAGTTTCACACGATAGGTTCCGTGCGTCGGTATCTCCACGGTCCCGGAGTGACTCACCTCTCCAGGACATTCGAAAACGATATCACGAATCGCCTCTTCTATTTGCCAATTGGTGGCGACTGGGTTCGCCGCGATGACTTCCTCGACTTATTCAACAAGGAGATAACACGCTCTGTTATTGATTCGCTTTGTGGGAAGCACCTTACACAACAGCACCCTGGGTTTATTGACAACTTATGGGAGCTCGACAATGGTGTATGGAAATTACTGCTGCGTTTTCCGCGGTTTCTAGCACATGGCACGTATGCCGCAAGGGATTCTGCAATCTTGGCCATCAGAGACTGGCATTCTTCGGCTGCAGGCAACTTCGATCCCGTCTACATAGACGAAGTTGGCAACGATCCGTTTTGGGGGTCCCAGTTCTTCCGGGATCGGCAGAAGATGTTCCAAGATATGGATGGCTTCAATGCCGATGCTATTGCTTCGCAAGACCTCGCATTTGTCTGGGGGTTTGTACATACCTGGCTGCTTTGATTTGCCTTTTGCTGACTGTTAATGGAAAGTGCAATCAACAACGTGATAGCGACCGCGTTCTGGGTCACTTTAGAAGTCTTCAGAGGTTCGATCTTGCTCGGACTCATCCGCAGTGAGGTGCGATCCTGTCTCATTTACAGCGAAAAGACTCCTGGAATCCGGGGACCAACGTTCGATATCACCCGACTCGTCCAGCAATCTTTCCTTCAGGCTGCGTACGCCGAGACACTTCGCCTCCGGGTGAATGGGTTCTTCCTCTGGCGTGTGCCGCACCACGATATCGATATTCGCGGCTGGCAGATCCGTCAGAACCACTACGTGGCGACGAGCCCAACGCCGGGGCACATGGATCCTACGATCTGGTGTACCGACGACAATGCGGGACATCCAGTTGAGGAATTCTACGTTGGGCGCTGGGTGAAGTCGATGTCATCGCCTGCCGGGTTGCCTGTCAAGAGCGATACCTCGAGCGCCCAGGTTCAATTCACGACTGAATTCGCAAGAGGCGCCTGGATTCCTTTCGGCGGCGGATATCATTCATGTCCCGGACGCCGTTTTGCTAAGATCATGGTGGCGCTTACAGCTGCACTGCTCGTGACGATGTATGACTGTGAATTTCTGAGCAATGTGGAAGAGGTTGGTATGAGTATGAGGACTTTTGGTTTCGGAACTCTAGGCCCCGATCGGAAGGTGCCCGTTCGCATGAGGAGGAGAGTAACCTCAGCCTGAGTCAGAGTTTGCCAGAAGCCGTCGACACTAGAGTGAGATAAGATTTCGGGCATGATCTCAGCGGCGACCAATTTGGCGCCATGAAGAATAGAATGTTCTCCTGCACCCTTTCTTCCGCGGGACTATACCCCCCTTCTGAGGCGCAGTGACGGGGCCACGTACAGGCCCCAGGCCCCAGTAGCGATATGCCTACCTTTTCGAGGACAGCGCTGGTTCGTGTGGATCTTTGTTCAGATGAGCCTCTGCGCCCATCGATTGGCATACCGTATGCAGTCTAGCGCACTCAGCCCTGTCTCCACTCGTGTCTGCACCTCGCGATACTATACCCGAAGCAGTAACCGTGTCGTCGCGAATCGGGTAAGCGTCGTATCCGTACTCTAGCGTCTTCAGTCTGGCCAATGCCGGTCATCAATGAGCGATGGGGCGTTGCTTGTCACGTCTTGACATGGAGACTCTAGAGGAGACTAGCGAGAGACGGGTACGAGCTGAAACCCACAAGCCAGAAAGGTTCGTCATGAGGACGCTTTCTATATAAGGTGCGATGAGCCCGAGCTTTGGGATCCCTCAACTCTCCATCACCGCTGCAATGGCCTACTATCTGTACAAGAAGATCAAGGCATCACGGGCCGCCAAAGCCCAGAGTGAACTCATCCCTCTCGGTAGCAGCCACTCGAGCCCATTCGAGCGGACATCCCAGCAACAGGACGGCCATCCACTGACTTCAAATGATCCGCTTTTGTCAACTTCCGAGAAAACATCCCCGTCTCCTGAACTCGAAGCCGAGAAGCGCCGGCGACGCATCTATCGTTGGAAGCTTATCACCAGTCTATTCCTCCCATACATGTTGGCAACGATAGATCTGACTATTGTCGCGACCGCCGTTCCATTCATCGCATCACATTTTAGTTCGTCTACTCTAACTCTTTCTCGCGTCCTTTACTAACCATGGCAGACGAACTCGACGAGCTCAACTGGATCGTCACAGCATTCACCTTGACATCCACCGCCCTAATTCCAACCTTCGGGCAACTCGCCGATGTCTTCGGTCGACACGCAACCCTCCAACTAGCGACATTCCTTATGCTCATAGGAAGTGTTCTGTGTGCAGCCGCGCAAAGCTGGGGCATGCTCCTTCTTGGACGTGCGCTACAGGGTACGAGCTCCGCCGGCTTGATGACCAACATCATGATCATCCTGGCGGACAATGTTACACTGGAAGAGAATGCGAAGAATAATTCCATCTTTGCGTTTGTTGGTGGGGTTGCGTATTCGATTGGGCCGGTTATTGGGGGGTGAGTCCCCCCTTTCTCTTATCCGAAGTTGATGATGCTAACTTGATCAGGTACTTGACTGACGTATGTCCTTCTCGTTCGCTTCGAGTACTCAACTAACGTGTGCAGTCCAACTGGCGCTACTGCTTTGTTATCTCGATTCCTGTACACTTTCCCTCCTTTCGCTCTTCACTCGCTGCCAGAATCTAACTGATGTTAATCTAGATCGCCTTCGTCTCCCACATAATAATATTCATCCTCCTCCGCAAAGAACTCAAGCCCGGAACATACACCCACACCCCCTCAACCTCCCCCGTCCGCTCCTTCCTCTCCGCTCTCGCGACCCTCGATATCCTCGGAACAATCCTCTTCATCTTCGGCGTCGGCCTCATAATCCTCGGCACTGCCTGGGGTGGCTCAACGTATCCGTGGGTATCCGCCCAAGTTCTCGCGCCCCTGGTCGTCGGAGCCGTCTGTTTCTTCACCTTCTTTGGGTACGAGTACCTACTTGAAAGCGGGAAACTTTCTGGCATTTCCCTCCTCGCGAGGCAGAAACCCATGCTGCCGTATAGTATGTTCAAACGGCTCGACACACTATGGCTCGCGATCTTGCAGTTTGCTGCAGGCGCCGCCATGTATTCTGTCTTCTACTATGTGGGGATTTACTTCACCGTTGTTGAGGCGTATCCAGCGTCCAGGGCAGGTGTGCAGTTGCTTTACTATATTCCTGGCTTAGGTGGTATGTGCTTACTCCCGTCGTTGCTTCATTTTCCTTTCATCCAGTTACTGACCTTATGAATAGCCGGCGTCTACCTAGCAATGTTCTTGTGCAACGTCACCCCCGCGCAAACATTCTACCCCCTGACCCTGGGAACCATCCTCGAAACCCTCGGCCTCGCCCTCGTAACATGGGGCATATCCGCCCAAAAGACATCAATAATTAACGGCATGATGGTCCTCGCCGGCGCAGGCACCGGAATCCGCATGATGCCCGCGAACCTCCACATAGCGGGTATCTGGCCTGATAAACTCGCTGCCGCACTCTCCCTTATGCGCTTTGCCTTGCCGTTTGGTGGGACGGTGGGGATCACGGTTATGGGGAGTGTTTTCAATAATAAGCTCTCCACTTCGATTTCGCGTCTCACTACAGGCGGTGGTGCCGTGTCCGCGCAGGATCTCGGACACGGTGGAACAGAGAGCCTGGATTTCATCGCCTCGCTCCCAGACTCCCTGCAGGCGGGCGTACGACATGCAGGGAAAGATGCCATTATGTGGGCGTACATCTCCATCATGCCGATTTTGGGGATTAGTCTTGTGACGGGATTCTTCCTGGGGAATGTTTGGATTCGGAAGAGGGGGAAGAAGGGCGATGCGGAGGGTCGAGCTCAGGCGCAGGCGCAGGCTGAAGGTGAAAGTGGGGGTGGGAATGGGATCGCGGGTGCGAGTGAGGTTGTGTATGTGCCGTATCTCTATGCGGTTTTCAAGGTATGCGTTTTCTTTCTTTCGTTTGTCTTCTCCTTACTTTGACATTTCATCTTGCCTTTTTCGCACCTAATCTGCTTCTCCTCCTCCCTTTGTTCTCACTTTCCTCTCAGTTTACTCGCATGTCGCGGATGTCACGCGGTCACTGACGGTCGTTCTAGGGTGTTGGGCGGTATAAGCATATCACTCGGCCGGTTCAGCTCGGTGGCTCTGGCGAAGCGAATACCAGTGAGAGGGCTTGAGTGCTCAGATTATGTTGATATTATTGTATAGATAGGATGACTCGGGTTGAATTAATGCTTTTTCTCTAGGGGTGGCCTAAGGTAGACGATCAGTAGGGGGCTCGACTTCAAGGTTGGCATCACTCCTCTTTCAAATTCACTTTCCCCTCACTTTACCTGTCACTGGACCTATGAAACTCTAAGTCAGGCCACTCGGCATCGGTTACCCTATCGCGAAGAACTGCCTAGGCCAGTGTCATTCAAGGTTCAGGTTTCCCGTCATCAGCCCGCTCGTATTCAGCCTCACCCAGCCACCCCCACCCAGCCCTTCATATAAAGGGAACCAAGAGCTTCAGACCCACCTCTGAGATTCTTACTACCAAAAAAAAAAACAGCCATGGACACAGATGCAGTTATAACATTTTTCGACACTCATCCAGTCTCCCGCGAGACGGTTCACGATCGATTGCGCGGGACTATTTTCGGCGGGGCTTTGGGGGATGCGATTGGATTGTATACTGGTTCGTTCGAAGCCTTCGCGCTATGTGGCAATCAGGTCCATGCTGATGCGAAACTAGAGTTTTTATCGAAGGACCTTGCTCGACAGGCGTATCCGGAGGGAAAATTCCAACTCGTCGACCCCGTGACGGAGTTTGAGGCGGACCAACATCGATGTATGAAGGCCTTCTCTACGGGAGTCTATGCTTGTACTGACTGAGGTAGTAAAATTCGTGCAGGTGTGTAACATGTCAAAGGTGGCTGGACCGACTAACGAAACAGACCGGATGGACCGACGACACGGACCACGCGCTCCTCATCCTTCTGTCTTATTTGCACCACAACGGGCGCCTCGATCCCGTCGATTTCGCGCATCGGCTGCAGTTCTGGGTAGAGCAGGGTCTACGTTGTCTCGATCGGCTTCCGCTCGGGCTAGGGAGAACGGTCGGGCAGGTAAATGTTCCACCATCTAGCGGTCTTATTCCATTCTAACCCTCCAGGTCGTATGCGACAAGAACTTCCTCAAGGATCCAGCGGAGACAGCGTATAGGAAATGGGACAAGGCTAAGCGGAATGCAGCTGCGAATGGTTCGTTGATGCGGACGTATCCGCTGGGAGTGATGTGCTTCGATAAGTCGCTGGAGGAGACGTTCCGGATTGCGAGGGAGTTTTCGCTCGTCACCCATGCGGATCCGCGTTGCATCGTTTCTTGCTGCCTTGTGACTGCCTTGATTTGGGGAATTCTCAGAGAAGAAGTGGTCATCGAAAGACATATTGACAAATTGATCGAGAAGTCGCTTACCTGGACAGAATCATGGATCAACGAACAGAACAGTCTAGAGAGTTCTGACCGGTACACCCCCATCGACCGCGATGAGTTCCGCAAACATGCTTTCGCACAGTCACTAGAAGATCTCCAGCTTGACGACGCGATGAAGATGGGATACGTGTACAAGACGCTGGGCTCCTCGATCCTCCTCCTCCGCCTGGGCATGCGCCGTTCTAAATCCAGTAACCCGCCAGGGCTCTTCGAGGACCTGATAACCGATCTGATCATGCAAGGCGGCGACGCAGATACCAATGCCGCCGTTGCCGGATCGCTCCTGGGAACCTGGGTCGGATATAACAGGTTGCCCGCGAAGTGGAGGGACGGGGTGATGCACGGTGGATGGCTTCTTGAAAAGTGTGATGCGCTGGCGTCCACAACGAGAATCGATCCGCTGTCTGAACAATATAATGGCAAGGATGATCCGGATACGGGGCTGGAAGGGGGGAAGCCGCGCTTGACACTTCCTGAGTTGCATCAGCGCGAGAGGGAGTTTAGTGAGCGGTGGTTGAGAGCTTCGAGCGAGGCACTGGAGAAGAGGGCACGGGAGAAGGGGAAGATTGATCAGGCGAGGAAGGACCGCCCTGGCTCCAGGCTGCGCAGGTTCCTGTTTGGGAAGTAGGCATGGCAGGTGGCTCCTTCCCTCGCTGGTTGAGCTGTTGCGATGGCTCCTCAACTTCACTGGGATCTCGTTTTCCTCTTCATCAGTCCACCATTATTCCCTCACTTTTTAATCAACTTTCTTTCGCTGTCTTTTACTTTCTTTTCAATCCATCGTTACTCACTTAGTTTCTTCTACGATCAATCTGTCTTGCTGACTCCCTCTGAAACCATGGTCATTTCCAACCTCGAACGCTCGCTAGGAGTCATGGGTAAGTACAGCGGATTAGACGGCCTCACAATCTACGCCCACACGACCACCGACCCGGTGCTGCTGTTGTACGGATACGACGAGGATTTCCAAGGCATTTCATGGAAGATTCAGGGTGGCACTGCAGCCATTGCGATTGCCAGTCCGCGCGCCGCTCTTCTCATCCCCGTCCCTCCACCCCCGGGGTCCCTGTACCAGGGCAAGCCTTCTTGGGACGAGGAAACCTACGCAGCCCACCTGAAGTTGATTCTAGACTCGATCGCCCCTTTCTTTGACGAGTATCAACCAGAGTACTGGCCTGTTCCCGATCTCGTTTTTCACGTCATAGTCTGTTCCCGCTGCAAGTATCTTCTCAGGGACGTTTATTGGCCGGTGTTGAAGCCCTTGCTGCAGAAATACAATCTCCCCGCCAACGACGTGCTTATGCTACGGGATTTCAGAATGCCCGATGTTCCAGATGATCAGGACATCACCTTCGTTGTTCACGACAAGCAAGGGCATTCTCACGTCTCCTTGTTGGGCGGGCCGGACAGGCAGCCTCCTTGGTTTTACATTGGGGTGGAGGATCTGGATGATCGCGCAGTGAGACTCGGGCAACTACATGGCCGCTCGAGCGATCGAAGTTCGGTCTTTCGCATCCTCAGGGACCGGCCACCGCCTAAGCTCTCCACGGCTGGGTCCCTGGCATCCAAGGACAAGGACAAGGACAAGGCCAAAGAAGTCCACGTGCAACCGCCTGAATGCGCCCCATCTGCTTTCAGAACTTCGACGTCGGAAGGCAAGGGCAAGCGAAAGGCCAAGGAGGTCCACTGGGAATCGCCTGAACGCACCCCAGCGGTGTCCCGGGAGACATGGGCTCCAGAGGGCAAGGACAAGTATACAGAGGTCGAACGCGAGAAAGCCTTGTCGGACTGGTGGGAGAGTACTGGATACGCGGTGCCCGAAGGCGGCAGGACCGAGTTCCAATGGCCAGCGCCTATATCCAAATCCGCCCAGTCTAGGTCCGGAAAGGCTTCGGCCTCGAAAGACAAGGACAAAGGTGTCCAACGTGAACCCTCCCTCGCTAGACCGCAGGTTTCGAACCCCAAGGATAAGGACATGGGCAAAGGGAAACAGGCCGAACGCGTGCCTCCATCTGAACCCACTCCGTTTGTGTCGCAGGTGGCTTCGGCACCGCAGGAAAGGGGTCACCGCGCGCCTCCATCTGAACCCACTCCATTTGTATCGCAGGCTTTGACTCCGCAGGACAGCGCCCAACGTCTCCCGCCCCTGGCTACCATAGGGCTGCCCACTCCGAATGTCAACAGCCAAGGTTTCCCGTGCCCGCCCACTTTGGGGGACATTGGCCAGGATCTGCCGCGCCTGGCCACCTTGTTGCCTCCGGTTTGGACCCACAGGGGGGGCGAAACTCTCCCGCACCTGGCTGCTCTAGGGCTGCCCACTGCCGAGGACAGACCCATAACTCTCCCGCCTCTGGTTACCCTAGGCCCGCCCACTCCAAATGACAATGGCAGAGGTGGCCAACGTGAATCCTCCTCGATTGCGTCGCAGACTGCGATTTCCAGGGGCAGAGGCAAAGAGGGCCCATACGCACCGAATTGACAACAATAACTTTACGTCTCGAGTTTAACGCCATACCATATTTCACCAGGGATCAGAGGACGAAGACATGGGGCAAGAATTGGTGTCTTCGGGTATCTAATATGTGTATTAATAAGTTAGCTAGATTAGAAGAAACGATCAGCTCTCCTTGGCCCAGTTCTGGCCACTCCACATGCCTCCGGTCATGCCCACAAAGTAGTCGCGGCCTTTGAACAACCAGACAAAGAAGCTCGGCAGCTTGGTCCCTTTGATCGCGCCGACACCTTTGCTCCGCCCGATCGGTACGAGGTGCGTCTCGCCCTCGTCTGCGGTCAGCAATCGGTCGTCTCCAGGAGGAGTCTGGCCGGCGGCGATAAGGAGGTCACGCTTGAGATTGGCCGCGAGCACGGGGATCGCGTCCACCATGATGACCACCGACGGACGAGCATAGTTCGACGCGTCACCAACTGCATACACGCGCTCTCCCGCCTTGTCAACCCGCAGCGTCTTGGGGTTCGTCTCCACCCTCCCATCCTCCGCGCGCAACGCCTCGGGCACAAACCCCGTATTCGGAATCGTCCCGTACGCCGGAATATACAAATCAGCCTGCAACGTCTTCCCATCACTCAATTTCACCTCCGTCTTCGCCGTAACCTCCCCTCCCCTCCCCGCCTCAGCAGGCGAAACAGACTCGACACCCACCCCCTTGACAACCTCAACCCCAACCTTGGCCAGATACCCCTCGGCCGTCTGCGCGAGCGCGGGGCGCAAAACGGGGAGGATCTCGCTATCCTTGCTGATGACTGTGATCTTGACCTTTGGATCTGCGAGCTTCGAGGCGAAGAACCCGGCGCGACCGTTCAAATGTTCGCCTAGTTCGCCGGCGGTTTCGATTGCGACGGGGCCGCCGCCGGCGATGATGATGGATTTAGCGGCTGGGAGCGCGGTCCGGAATGCGGCCCAGTGTTCCTTTACCTCGTCTCGGCCGCCGGAGTTCAGACTCAATAGTGGACTCGGCGTTGAGGAGCCTGTCGCGATGACCAGCGCGTGGTACTCGATCTTCACCTCCTCGCCACCATCCCTGGGCGAAACAGTCACAGTCCGCGCCTCGGGGTCAAACCCCGTCGCACTGCCATGCACGAACTTGAACCGGTCACCATACTGCTTAAACCCGGCCTCGAGATCCGTCCACAGCTTCCCCTGATCGAAGAAACTATCCGAGATCAGGGCGCGCGGAAACGCAGGCCGCACGATGATTTCGCGCGAGGACGAGACGAGGACCACCTGGTACGTGTCCGGCGAGGGCAGTTTGGGGATGATGTGTTTCAGTGTGCTGTGTGCGACCCCGGTTCCGGCGTAGGAGCCGCCGAGGATGAGGATTGTTTTTGGGGTTGGAGTGGCCATGGTGGGAGAGATCTTTGGAGGTCGGCTAGAGAGAGGATAAGATGAGCTGGACTCGCATCACGTCGCGCGATGGAATAAGATGTGCTGCAATGTAATGTGATGTGATGTGAAGAAAGTTGCTCCTGGAAAGAGGGGACGGATGTTTGGGGTTATTTATACCCCGGTCGTGACACCACAGCTCTGTCGGTCTGTGCAACTATCCCTGCGGCACTTGCTTTAGCCTGCTCCTGATACGACCTCGTCAGCGAGGATAGCTCAGCTCAAGCTCCATTAGGAATCAATTGTCATCAGCCCAACAGCCTCCTAGGAAGAATCGAAGAGAGAGAAGGATTTCTTGTTGCGAGGAACCCAATCTAAATCTCAGCAAATCCAGCGCTGATTCGCCCATTTTGATATGCCCATCTCTGCCTAAATTCCCTAGCGCAGTTTATTCAATTCGTGGCTTGGATGGTGTGGATTAGATCTGGGGCCGGACGCAGTGCGCACCGTGTCGGCGTCCGGAATTGTTCTGGTCTCCGAGCGTCCTTCGTATTCGTTTGTGCATCGCGATGATCGAGGATAGATTGGGACGCAGATGGGAAACACCAAGATCAATGCCTCGCAACTGAAACCACACGCGCATATACGTCTGCGAGCAAGATACTCATCGACCAAGCTGTGACCCTCGGCCAGCTCGCAGGCCTGGGGGGGCATTTGGCTGGGGAGCGGAAGCGAGCGCTAGCCCCGGGGGCCGCAGCAAAAATCTCGCGGGCTCCGCGGGCCGGGATTCGTCCGTTGATCAGGCGTCCGGGCCTCAGGCCACCACACCAGCTCAGGGAAGCGGAGATAAGGCAGCGGTTGGCTTGGCGGACTGGAGCGGTCGGGATTCTCCGACGCGGACGGGAACAGGAGTCAAGCACACTGAGGATGAGCGATATATACAACGTATCTAGGCGTTGAGATCATACAATTAAGACACAGCGTAACATCTCATTGAAAAGAGATTCCTCTTATCGGCTCTGATTGGTCATGAGGCGAGGCTGATCGTTCGGGCAGATATATATATTTACTCTATTAAACAAGGAAAAAGCTTAGCCATGATAAATAGATGCTTTCTGCATGTTTATAGGAAGACTAAAGCTCTGTAGAAGCGAGCAGGGTATTTAAAGATTCAGATCACGTAGTGTTAGCCCATGGAACAAAGGGAGATTTCCCAACACGATCCGAATGGCACATTGAAGATGTGAATTTGCGATTATTCGCTGGAATGTGTAGAAGCGCCCGTGGACTGAGGTTGAAAGGTACAGGAGGCGTTCGATCGACCTCAATCTCACTATATCGGCCGGCGAATGCCTACATGGACAAGCAAGCGCAAATTAAAACGAGGAGCTTGCTCTCACGGCGAGTCTCTATCTAGATATTATACGTAGTAGTGTGATTAGTACACGAGACCTGTCTAAGGGAGCATTGTATTTCCGAGTCAGGCAAGATAATATTGATGATATAGCCCCCGTCCTCACCGCTGACCAGACCAGCCAAACACACAGGTTGGCGCAAGCCCCAAGCGCCTGTGTGCCCAACTCGGCGATGACGGGAGAGAGTGAGAAGGGTAATTGGATGGCGACGAAAGTGCCTCACCAATGGCAGCCAATATATGCTGCGGCTATGGTCGTACAAAGGTGGCTGCGCGCCCTTCCTGTCAGCCTCACTGGGTTCGCGCTTTTAGAGCGCCGCAATCCCCTCCTTCCCGACGGGAAACGAATTCCCCGCTCAGTCATATGCATTGCGGGCGGAAATCTCAAAAATCACACTCCGCGACAAAATGAGCGATCCGTTTTCCGTCACAGGCAGTGCGGTGGGAGTTGCCTCCCTCGGGCTCACGCTCTGCCAGGGCTTCCTTGCTTACTATGGGCCCTACAAGGCTTTCAACGACGATATAAACGAAGTTCTATCTCGAATTCAGAGCCTGAATCATATTTTGCTGCTGCTCCGTGAGCGATGTGGCATGCTTTCCTCTTCAGAGGAACCTCCCCTTACTCAACCGGAGGCCCTGGTGACAGACCAAATAGTGAATTGTCGCAAGGGCTTGGAGAAGCTACAGAAGATGCTCGAGAAATGCAAGGCGGCTTGCCCATCAGACAGTGAGCATGCGCCGAGATTCAAGAACCATATTGACCGCTTCATGTATCCTTTCCGCCGTGACACGTTAATGCAACTGATGGCAACGGTCAGCTGGTTACAGTCCAATGTTGATACCTCTTTACAGGTTCTGCAACTGTGAGTAAGATGAAATTCAGGCATTCGAGTGTTTCTAACACTGGCAGTGCGATGCTCGACACCGGACAAAGATCAATGAGTCTGGTAGTGTCCAACACATTATCAACTGCATCAAATACTACACAGATACTCGGCGGAATTGATCGTCTCCAGGAGAACCAGTCAAGCCTTGACCTGACCATAGCAGCACTGGCATCACGTATAGGTGACATCGTATGACTTATCCTCTCACTTAATTCCGGTTGTACTCGGCTAACATTGTCCCATTCAGGAAACGCACATCAAATCTAGTGGTGGGCGACCAATTATGGATCCAGGGCTTTTGCGGTCGCTCATGGACAACCAGAAAGAAAACGAGGACACTGTTCTAAATACGATTGGGAATTATAGAAGGCGGCTCCGGTGCAGAGATAGTTCGGAGGCAGCGACTTCCCAAGACAGGAGAACTGAGGAAAAGTTCGGTCAAGCCCGCCGATCGTGGTTTCCGTCCAAGAGGCAGAGCCGGGACATATTATCCCTCGTGCATCGCCACACAGTTTGCAATAGATTTCTGAGATACTCAGTTACCGCGTCAATAACCGTGACCAAAGGGGCAGGGGGGTTCGCCATTAACCCTTCTCTACAGTTTCGCGCGGTGGTCCCGAGGGATGCACCTGCTTTTGAATTGCTGCACAATGTTTGTCATCGGTTGCTCGACACAACGCATCCGTCCGTCATACAAGACACCCACAGGGCTTTGTTCGCGTTGTTTGAAGCTCAATTGGCCTCGCCGACCGATACCTTGGAGGGTGGAGAAACATTGCTGCACGTATGACCACCGACGCTCTTCAGCGGATTGCCACTAACGCGTGTAATGCTAGAGTGTTGCTCATTTACAAGCTTGGAGCAGGACCTGGGATTACAATATGTGGAAAGATTGGCGATGCCTATTGAGGGATCTTTTAAGAGCAGGCACACCATCAGATGGTCTCGACCACAGGGATAGAACACCCGTTGATGTAATAGTGAGCAAGTACGAGTCTTCCGTATCTGACTACGAACAGCAGGATGGGTTAAGGTACATCACGGATGTCTGTCGCGATCTATTCAATCATGGTTCTTGCATGACAAGCAATGCCTTTTTTCGACTAGCGCCTGAAGGTGTGGCAGGGGATTTCCCCTCGTACCTTTACAAGGGGCTCGATGATGAAAATAAGATATACCAGACCGGGCTAGGGGTTATATGGTCGATCGTAGCTAAGGCCGGCCCGTATGGTATGTGCAGGCGCTCCGCTATGGAATAAGCAGGATTATTCAACTAATTTGAGACAGATATGAACATTCCGCGCGAGCTAATTCCCCTCACTTTGAGATCGAGAGAGGATCTTCATTCACTGTTATTAATAAGTAATAACCTGGATGCAGGCTGGGTTGACTTTTATGCAGATTGGCCGGAGGGTTTTGCTCTGCTGCTCGAGCACGGATATTTACCTTCTATCATCGCTCTATATCGAGCCTGCGATAGACAATGTGTCCCAAGCATCAAGATGATTCTCAGCTGCCAGGACTTTTCTCTTGGGCGGGACGTGCTTCGGCTTGCTAGCCATCAGCGCAACTCGCAGATTCGTGGCCTGATTATCCAGGCGTTCGTGCACCGCAGGCGACGCCTCCAGGGACTAGCTGAGTCTCACCTCTCTATAACCGCCTATGGTGCCATTAAGTTTCAACCAGGAGTGCTGTTGAATTACCATGCCGCAAGAGCGTGCCAGTTGCTTTCGGCTGCGGGTCTTGACCTTGGAGGCCTGCAAGAGCAAGAGGCGTATTCGGTCTACTCTATTAAGCCACGCGGTATTGATTTTTGGAACGAGCTATGGGACCACGGGTTCTGTGATGTCGATGAGACTAACCTGGAAGGAATGACACCGCTCATTCTGTGTGCAGACCTTTGGCCTGACTTACCGCTGCTTCATTCCATGCTTCAAAGAGCAGGATGGTTGATATCTAAGGGGGCTGACCTGTCCCGCAAAGGCCCTCGGGGACCCGCTAGCCATTACCTTGCTGAAGGAATGTATTACGAAGTAGCTCGAGATCACGAGGGTCTAAGCTTGAGTGATCAGTGTATCTCGACATTTCATGCAATACTCCTCGACAGCACCTGCGACGACTGCAACTGCGCTTGTTGCCCCGGAGGGTGTATCGCGTTCGTTAAATTGCTGGCTATGGTCTTTCTTTATATCATGGGTGAGTCCTATGGGACTTCTCCGCTGTACCAATATGCACTATCAAACGTGTTTGAGAACATCGCCAGCACCTTCTCGGCGCAAGACGAACGGACCTTTTATGATTGGCTAGCGCCCAGGCTCCTTCGATACCTCACTTTCTGCGAACTGGATATCACTCATACTTGTTCCCTCCCGCGCACGCAGCTGGACCAGAGTCAGATTGACGAAATCCATGATGATGAGGCGGACTCCATTGCCGAGCTTGACTTGCTGGTAGACGAATTCATACAAGGATATAGTGAGTCCTCAATGACCTTTCACGAGTTTCTGCGGGAGGTCTGGTCCCCTAGAATGGAGAGAATTCTGTCGGAAATGCCCAGTGAGGAGGAGATTGTTGAACTTCGTCGACTTGGAGTGACGCCGCGGGCGCCACCGGACCGCGTATCGTGGAGGGCTCATCTGTACCCTAGCCAAGGGACTTTGGACTAGAGCAGGGGACGCAGCACAGAGCGACAATTGACATGGAGAAGCACTACCTAATTATCTCCACAATGTGCTCAGTTGCATCCGCACCATCACTTCCACACTCGGCACCTCCATAGGGCATGGATACCTCCGGCGCCAGAACGCCTGGGAGGTCTCCTGGTATCCCCAGCAGAAATGCGCCTGGGCTACAGCTAGGACGAGAGCTCATTTTATCTCGGCCCATTTAATTGACATGATTTCATTCTTACATTATCTAAGTGCTGATTCTATCAAAATTAGAGAAAAACAAAGGTGTCTCTCTCCAACTCGGGTAAACTCCCTTTCTTAATTCGTACTCCATCGTGGGCCCTTTAGGAATAATAAACATATCCGGCCAGCACTTTGTCCAGCTGCCCAAGGGCGAAAAGTCATCACGGGCTATTTCCACTCTACCCAAACAAAGCCCACGGCGCCCGCTCATATCCCCTCGGGATTCGATCATATTGTAGCTTTCTACCAGGTCTTAGGGTCTGTGTTACCCCATCCAATAGAATGTCCGTCCAAATATATAGAATTAGGTGTAAAGGAGGTGTGCTGAGCTTGTTATAGTCGCATCTACTTTCGGTTTAGGCCAAATTCGCGGCCGTGCTTGATTCTGGCATCGGCGGTTAGTCAGTGTGGATGCAGAGCCTCGCGTCTCAGTAAATAACACACCCAAGACCAGTCCCGAGAGGAGGAGGACATACGAAAAGCAGTACCTCGAACCAATTTGTTACGAAAACACCACTGGTCGGTCGCGAGGCGTAAGCCTGAGATGACTACTGGGTGTCACTCGCCGTTTGGCTTGTAAGTATTTATGCGTCGCTTTTATGTGGTCTCTGCTGGCGCGGGAGTCACTGTGCTGTTAGTTACTTGCCTTTAATTACGTCATGCAGCAGATTCAGAGTACTAGTATCAAACCCGATCCATCCCCCTTACAGGCTTGCCGACAGTATCATGGTAATCCCGATGAAACTGGTCATGATATGAGGTTAAGGCACGTCAAATCCGGCCAATGTGGAGGAGCATAATAGGCTCTCTATGATTCGCTGTTCGACGTCAGTCTCAAACGTTGGGCGCGCTGCGACCAATGATTAGGGCGGACAGTCCGCGAAGTGTGCGGTACGATGATAGCCCTGTTGAGCCGATCGCCATCCTGACTGTGATGCTGGTTTGGCGGGCTCGGTTACGTGGGAATGTAGTTTGATTAACTACCTATAGCGAGCGGATGACAATGGGTATGGTGCTGTGACTTTACCCCACGGGGTGTGATATGGGACTTTTTGTAACAGGCGTGCGGGTGGACAGTTATTATTCCTCGGAGAATTTTTCGACCACGGCGATCTCAAGCGGATCAGATATTTCTTTGTCTTAATATTGAGTTATCAAATTTCTGGCTCGTTCCATGAGAAACAGTAAACAGGGCAAGAAAACACCCCAAGTCGTCAGGAATGACGCAGAGCGCGACCCTCAAAATGCGTTCTCGGTATAGAAGTCCGGTGCTCGACGAGTCATACACCACAACCCTTACAGCAACATCGACCCAGCCCGTGATGATATCGAGACCGCACATTCTCAAAAGGTCGGCGTCACACAATCTTAAAACCCCAGCTATGACTAGCTGGCCTTCCGCGCGGGTTGGCCAAGCACCATCCAATCGCGGGGGCTCGTGATATTAACGGCGTCGATCCTTTGCCGCGTTGGCATCCCTTCGCCACCTACCGTGACTTAGCGGACCCTCTGTGGCTTCACAGGGTCAAGGTGTCGTCATTGCATCCTGATCATCGAAATTCGTGTTTGACGCCGCTGATATCGATGCTTTAATTTGGTTTGTTGTGGGATCGCGCGATGAGGGGATGCGAAGCGAGGGATGGGATATCGACATGATACAATGCCTTTCATCGACTGACGTCACTGGGATCCCTTGTCTATATAGTACACTGTTTTCAACAGCTGGGATATCCCTTCTCCATCAATTCAGCACATCGTATCAATTCAATCTCCACAATAAAACCAACCCAAACAAAACCAACCATCCACCTACCAAACAAACAACCACCAAAATGCCCCTCTTCCACCGCGACCACCGAGACTCCATGTCCTCCTCTTCCCGCTCCAGCATGGAAGACCCCAACATGCACCACAGTAGCAAAGGCGGCATCTTCGGCAGCCGCCGCCGCACATCCGCCAGCGGCTACAGCAGCGCCTCGAGCACTGGTAGCCACCGTAACAGCGGCACCTACGGACACAACAGTCGACACAGCGGCAGCGGCAGCGGCTTCGGGTTCATGAACCGGAACCGCCGACACGAGGATCCGGCGATTGCGTCTGCGCGCGATCGCGTCTTTGCGGCGGAGGAGGCGGAGAGAGCTGCTGATCAGGCGCTTTATGCGAGTCGACGGGCGGTGCAGGAGGCGAGGAATGATGTGAGGAATTTGGAAAAGGAGGCCAAGGAAGAGTAAGCTCCCCTTGTCTACAGATTTTATGTTTTGAGATCGAGGAGGGTTCAGTGGCTAACGATCGTAGCGCCCGCGCTGCCAAGTTCAAACAGAGCCAGGCAAAGGATATCTCGAAGCGCGTCAAGCCTCTTGGTCGTAAGTGATTGGTCGTTTCCCAGAAGGACTCTGCGCGGAATCTGATTCTTTAGGCCGTCACTGAGCGATGATATAACTGTATGATATGGCACCGGCAACCCTTCCGATACCCGACACGATATGACCCCCTTCTTTAAGACAAACCTTAGCGAGCGATTTCCTTTTGTTTCAAGACAGATATCCTTGTACATTATCCTGACGGGTTACGACTGTATACTAGTTTATTTTCGGTGTCTTTGTCAAGCGGGAGTGCGGGTTGGAATTTACTCTGTACATTATCTCTCGAATACCAGAATGTATTTTTCAGGTCGGTTACTGAAAGTTCAAGCTCCAGTGTATCAAGTTGCTCTAGGAGACGACGTTGATGACCTAGAATATACGTAGCTGATCCAGTAGGCATAGAATCATGTGCTCCGTCAGAGTCGCGGGGGATCGAGCTAACTGAACTCATACTACGATGTACTCCGGAGTATAATCTCGCTGGTTGAAAGTGCTACCGAACAGTGCTCCATATTCGACTGTCCATCTAATGTCTGGGCACATGTCAAGCCGATACACCAACCAGTAGCCAAGTTGCTCAGCGAGCTCGGCAACCTCAACAACAACAACCAACTCCACATAACTCACACCCAAAAAGCTCATCTCATCCCTCATTAATCGCATCTAAACCCATTCCTTCAACTCTCACTACCGGGCTCAGCTTAATCTTTCCCTTTGCTAGCTTGTCTCTACACCACGTTTCCAGCTTATACTAGAAGTCTACTAACCATTCTACACCAAAATGCTCTGACGCCATTAGCCTCTTCGCGTTAGGAGGGATAACTAGCGCCGATGGGAATTCCTCATAATTGTCATGTAGAAGGGACAGGTGGTAGAGATTTTGTTACTCATTTCCTGAGGCTATACCTACGTCCAGTCGTATCGAGCCACTTGGCGATTGTGGAGAGGAATCTGGAACTTGGACTCGAAGGTAAACTCGCCGCCATAAATGCCTTGGGATTCCCAGTTTATAGCCCATAAGAGCTTGGTAGTCAAATACGTTTATCTCCGTGCTCTCCAACATATTCCGTCACGACGTATATACGAGGCGCTGGACTAGAGTTGTTTGGTGCTTTGACGCCTTCCCTGTCCGCGAGCCCGCACGTCAGGCACCCGCGGTATGGCGGATAACCACTAGGCCGGAGCGAATGACCACCAACTGCAAAGTCTCGACGCATGAATCCTGCGGCCTCGCCCAGTTCGGATGGCCTCGTATTCGGCCGGGCGCTTGAAGCGATACTTATATCGTTAGGCGCGCAGACTTGGCTGACTTGCTCATCTATTTCAACCCGGCCTCTTTCCTCACCCTCTGACTCACCATCCATTCCCCCCTCATCCACCAGGATAACACACAACCACCACAATGTCTCCAACCACCGGGACAATCCTCTCCCTCTCCATCTCCTCAGAACACACGTTCTCCAAAACCCCTGTGGAATCAATCACCCTCCTCCACGGCCTCGGCATCGAGGGCGACTGCCACGCCGGCCAAACAGTCCAGCACCGCTCCCGCCTCCACATAACCCCGCCCCCACCGAATCTCCGCCAAGTGCATCTGATCCCAATCGAAATCCTGCAAACGATTTCAGAGACGTTATCGGAAAGTGAAAAGGCACAACTCCTCGCCCCGGGCGCGCTGGGCCAGAATATCACGACGCAGGGAATTGATCTGCTATCGCTATCTGCGGGGACGGAGTTGCGTTTCGTCGACCCGTCGAACCCAGGTGCAACAGCGAGCGCGGTTCTTGTTTTGACGGGCCTCCGTAACCCCTGTCCGCAGATTAGTAAATTCCAGCCCGGGCTCCAGGAGCGGTTCATTGTCCGGGACGCGGAGCGGAAGATCGTGCGGCGCCTCGCGGGGGTCATGGCGACGGTGAGCGTGGGTGGGGAGGTAAAGGTGGGGATGGGGATTCGGGTTCTTGCCCCGGAGGACCATGTGGCTCTTGGCCCCGTGTAGAATGCTGAATAGGCGAGAGCCCGTGGTTGATTCAGTGGGGTTGGAACCTCTCTCCCTTTGTTCCATGGGGGTAGCACCACGTGATCCTGGCTTCGTGTAGCCTGCTCGCTGCTAGATAGCATAGCTTCATCATTAACACACACAGATGCATCGATCTGTCATGCCTGAGCTTTCTCCTGGTTTCCACCCGCCTGTTGTCAAACGGTGCGGTGTCATGGTGGCGTGGCCTGGCGGGCGCATTCGCGGAATGGAGACGGATTCATACTAGATGCCTAGGCTGCCAATGCTAACTAATCAAATATTACAGATGAGACGGTCAGCAAAGACCTTGAAAAAAAACAATGAAGGCCTGAGGAGCTGAATAGCTGAATAGGCCATAGCTGAGCCAGCTGAGCTGCGCTGCAGAAACAAAAAGAGGGGCTGCTGCCCCGCCGCAGATCAGTAATCGAGAATCAGTCGCGACAATTGGATCTGCTCAGGAGATAAATAGCGATTTGTCCTCCTCTCTTTACTATCCCAGAGCCAAGTTCAGATACCCAGAATTATCAACATGTCCATCCCCGACTCCGCACTCTCCGCCCTCCGCGACAGCCTCACATCGTCGCTCATCATCACCCCGCAGGACGAGGGGTACACGGACGCCATCCGGAGATGGTCCGATACCGGCATTAAGCAGGCTGTACGCCCATTCATTATCCCCCCATCGATTAATTTGTATATTAATCAGAATAGGGCGTGGTCATCAAGCCATCAACCGAAACCGATATCATCACAGCATTAAAATGGTCGCAAACACACAACATCGACCTCGCCATCAAGGGCGGCGGCCACTCGGTCAGCGGAACGAGTTCATCTTCGGGTGGTCTGGTCATCGACCTCACGCGCCTCAACTCCGTCACTGTAAATCCAGAATCTAAAACAGCCACCGTCGGCGGCGGCGCAGTCTGGAAGGACGTCGACGAGGCACTCGCGACACACGGCCTCGCAGCGGTCGGCGGCACAGTCAACCACACGGGCGTCGGGGGCCTGACACTCGGCGGCGGATACGGCTGGTTGAGTGGGATGTACGGGCTGACCATCGACAACCTTCTCGCCGCGCGAGTCATTCTCGCCGACGGCTCGATCGTCACAGCCTCGGAGAGTGAAAACTCCGATCTCTTCTGGGCGCTCCGCGGGGCGGGGTATAACTTTGGTGTCGTTGTGGAATTCACCTTCCGCGCGTACGAGCAGAAAACACCCGTGTACGCGGGCATTGTGGCCTTTACGCCGGATAAAGTCGAGCATGTCATCTCCATCCTGAATGCGCTCCTCCTGGAGAAGCCGGATCCCCGCTCGGGCGCCATCACCATCTTCGCCCAGCCACCCGGCGCACCCGTTCCCATGGTCAACGTCCTCGTCTTCTACAACGGCACGGAAGAGGAAGGGCGCGCGCGATTCGCAGACCTGTTGGCCCTCGGCCCCGTCGCCAATATGATCAGCATGATCCCGTATTCCCAACTCAACGCGCTGCAGAACCCAATGGCCACCTACGGCGACCGGAAGAGCTTCAAGGGGATCTTCTTCAACCCTCCCCTATCGCCCTCGTTCGCGAAAACGGTTCTCGCCGAATTCACGGAAAAGGTCGCAAGTGACCCGGATCTCGGCGCGTCGGGCATCCTCTTTGAGTTTTATGATATGGGCAAGATTAATGCGGTTCCCCGCGGTGCGACGGCGTTTGCGAGTCGCGGCACGACGCAGAATGGGATTATTACGCTGCGCTGGTCGGATGTCAGCAAGGATCAGGAACATCGTGGCTGGGCGAGGAAGGTCCAGGAACGGTACAAGGAGGAGTTGGATAAGGAGGAGAAGGGGAAGGCTGTTGGTGACGGTGGCGTGCCGCAGTATATCAATTATGCCGAGCGTGAGTTTCCCCTTTCTTCTTTCCGTGATTATTTCCTGCTCATGGTGGTAATGGGTACTAATGCAATACAGCTGGTGACTCGGTCGTGGGCAACATCTACGGCGAAAACTTTGATCGACTGAAGGAGCTGAAGCGCAAGTATGATCCGACGAATGTGTTTCGCAAGATGCATCCTATTACTCTGGACTAGACATCCCTACCGCTCAGGCTGGCACATAGCCGGCCCCCCTTTAATAAGGGATTTTTTATACATATCCCTCATGATCATACCATTGTCACTAGATGCGAACCCAACACACTTCCGTTGCATACATCCATACAATGTTCTATAAAAACATGCACCATATTATCCTCAGTGGGACACTTGAACTCACCATGGATACTCCAAATCAAGCGGTGATTTGAGGTGACAATTACCCTACTTTGCAGGCGGCGTAGGACCCGGTTACCAAGTACGGAAACGCAATGTGGGGAAGGTGTATTTTGCCTGAACTGTGTTGTTTGTGAAGACACATGACATGGTAGTACGGACCTTCGTATCTTGATTCCGTGGGCGATTGTTCCAGGCCAACGAAATTATGTTGAAATAGTTGGCACAGACTCGCCAGGGCCACTTTGGCGCTAGCCGCGCCTCGGGTGTAGACGTTTCTGATTGGCTAAGCCATACCTACATCGATCACTGCACGAGGACATGAAAGGTCTATAAATGCAGGCTGTTCCTCGCTACCAGCAAGAACCTCTGCAACTTTCGAACCCGGAGCCTTAATAGCAGGCCTAATCCATCCAGAATTCCCGATCAACACCTCCTAAATACATCCAACCTATTGCCAAAATGCCCACCCACCTCGCCGCCATCGCCCACGAAAAAGACACCCCCTTCACAATCCTCCCCCGCCAAACCCCGAAACCAGGCCGCGGCGAGCTCCTCATCGCCGTTAAATCCATCGCCCTCAACCCCGCAGATATCATCATGCGAAACACGGGCCTCTTCATACCCCCTTCTGCGTACCCAACGGTCCTCGGCTTCGATCTCGCGGGGGTTGTGATTGAGGTTGGGGAGGGCGTGTCCTCCGCTCCTGTAAATGGTAGCAAAGGTCCAACGTCTGGCGTGTTTTTCGAACCAGGTAAATCCCGCGTCGTCGCGTACGCGGCTTCGGCATGGAAATCGTGCAATCCGGATTACGGCGCGTTCCAGGAGATGTGTCTTGTTCCCTGGCAGCATGCCGTCCCCCTTCCCAATGACCAGATCTCCTGGAATGAGGCCGCGACACTGCCTGTGTCTGTTCAGGTCCCGCTTAGCGCGTGGGATGCGTTGGGTATTCTACGGGTGGGTGAGAATACCGTCTCGTCTCGTGTTTCGGCCCCGGGCTCTGCTGGAATCGCTAGGAGGGAGAAGAGCGAAGCACTACTTATCTGGGGCGCGTCCTCGAGCGTGGGAACCATGGGCGTGCAGACCGCGCGAGTTCTGCGGGATGATCCGAATTCGAATATCGGGGCTGTATATGCCGTCGCTGGAATTGCAAATCATGCGTATGTTAGCGCGCTCGGAGCGGACCGTGTCTTCGATTACAAAGATCCCAATGTCGTCGATGCGATCGTTTCGGCGGCGAAGGAGGTTGGCCTGGTTATTCGGCATTGCTTCCTTGCCACAGGGGAGCTGGGGCTTTGTCAAGCTGTGCTCAGGGCATTTGGCGACCATCGCTCTCCGGAGGGGAAAGGAGATGTGACGGCGAAAATCGCGTCGGCCCCGCCCATTCCTGCTGACGCTGAAGAAGTACCAGGGGTGGAAACGATCTTCGTGATGCCCTCTATGACCGACGAAGTCGAGCGGTTGGCGCAGTTCGAATACTGGTTATGTACGTGGTTACGGGAGAGGCTTTCTGAAGGGAGTATCACGCCGAGTCCGCGGGTGAGGGTTCTCGGGAAGGGGTTGGAGGCTATTAATAAAGGATTGGATGAGTTGGCACGCGGGGTCAGTTGCGTAAAGTTGGTTGTTGAGGTTGCAGAGTGAAAGCTTTATGTTGATAGCTGCTTGGTATATATGTTCTGGCTACGCGAAGCTGTCGAGAGGAGGCATGGCTATGTTTCGGGTGCTACAATAGAAGCCAAGGGGCATACTTGACGAACCCGGAGATCTGGACATTGCCAGATCATAGTCAATCCTAGCTCCATTCATCGATTACCGAAAGGCGAGTCCCTATGAGCCTGTATTAATTTGAGCTACTTAGATACCCTGATGACCAAACGACTAAAACCCTCCGCCCGCCAGAAACCCATCCGACACGTCGAATGCCCCATCTGGCATAAAGTCGAAATCGAGAAACGGGACGTCGGAGATGGCATGGTCCAGCTCAGGTGGAGTGATTTGATGAGATGGCACAGTGTACGCCATGGAGGGCTCTACATTGGGTTCTAGGAGTTGTATCGTTAGAGGCAAATGTCACAGATGGCTGCGGATGGTTTGGTGGGGAGGCAGTTACCAAGAGCATTCCACACTTCGCCTAGCTTCTCCAGACGACGACAACATTTGCTGATGGTCGGGTTTCCCACGTCCAGATGCTGTAGAGGTTGGATGCATCCGAAGAACGTCGTCTTGAGCGAGTACGTGGAGTGTGGAGCAGGTAGGCTGATGAAGCTCGATCGTTTGGCGAGCAGGAAGACCGTAAAGATGACCAACGCCGCGTCGAATGCTAGTACTGTTAGCAGCTGAACCATCCCTCGCACTGAGTTAGGGGAGGGAGAATAAACGCACTATGATACAGCGCACACCACCACACCCCCAAAAGGCCCCGCTGAGCCCACTGCATCTCAACGAGGCTCCGAACAATACCAATCATCTCCGTCGCAGACTCAATGGAGATATACACGGTGCTTCGCGCTATATCTTGCAAGACAAGCGTGTCGGAACTGTCTACGTCATCACAGTCATCAATCAACTCACACAGCCTCATGAGGATGGCGCGATGGATGAGTAGGCGCAGGTTATGATACCGCATCGTAAGAATAATGCGGAATCTGTCGATGGTGGGATTCTTCCCGATGTCTGTCATGCACTCTTGCGCTTTGATTAGCGTCATGTGTGTGGGAAGCGGCGTGGTCCATTCTTCTAGGGACTGTCGTAGGCGCAGAATGCGGGTTATCAGCTCGTAACTGGGGATCTTCTCTTCTGTGCCGAGGTTGCTGTCGTAGATGAGGTCGAGGGTTCTGGACAGGACGCAGGAGAGGCGGCTGATTCGTTAGTCAGTGGAATATATCTATCTGCTTGATAGTAAAGAGGCAGCTCACATGGTCGCATTAAATGAATCCGTGCTATATCGACACCGCTGCCGCGCCTCAATCTGCCTCTGCCGTTCCTCAAACGTATCATAGTAAATCGGCAATTCAAGACGTGAATAGTGCTCCGGGATCGAGGGCGGACGACCGAATGTCATACTCAGGTTCCTACACATCGCATAACAATCAGTACACAATTTATCCAGTGATTAATCTCGCAGTGACGTGACGGCATACCGATCAAGGACAACACACCCAAACCACGTCCGCTTGCGCATCTCGCGCTCAACAGGCGGGAGCCGTTTCGAGGTTTCGGCGGAGTGAAGGCCGAGTTGGAGGGCGACTTTCACCGCGAGCCCGTGCGTCGTCCAGGTTTGGTTTGACGATCGGGTGCCTTGCATGTACTGCGTTACGAGGAGAAGGTATTGGACTGTCGATGTTAGGAATGGGCTTGTCAGGGATAGGGTAAGGTGTCGTACCGATTTCCAGACTCGCTCCGTTCATCACATGTTCTGCGCAGAGGGCATTCGCGCGATGATAGAATGCTTCAGCCTCGACTCTTCTCTTCTCGCCGTCGCCAACCGGGAGGACCGTGCTGAGTGTGGCGAGGGCGAGAACGATATTGAGCACGCCGAGCCAGGTGCGGCGCGTAACTGTATGGTTGCTCTTTAGCTGCGCGTATGTTTCGCGAAAGGTCTCCTCGTGAATGTATGGGAAGAGCATGCCGGTGTCGGCGAAGTACTGATCGATAAGCGAGAGTGTCTCCTCGTCTGGCGGAAGATAGAAGATGGACGTTGGTGTGCTCTCCAGATGTGAACCATTCGCAGTCCACGGTGTCGGATGAGCCACCGGCGAGCTTGGCCGAGATACTCGCGCGATGTGCAAGTCAAACAGACTAGTGTGCCGGCTGCCCGGTGTAAAATTCCCGCGGCTACGCGAGAGGCGCTTGAGTGTGCGGGATATATCCGATGTAAAGGAAATATTTGACGATGGTCCTGGCGGAATTAATCAGTGTGTCAGATAGAGGGGCAGGTGTGGCATACCAAAATACGCGCGATCCTCCTCGTCACCAAAAACGAGGACACCCATGCCATCCGCGGATCCCTGGTGACCAATCGAGGCACGGGTCACGCCATCAGACAGCGTGGAATTCGGTGTGGGGACCGTACGATGCGTAGACTCGACATCGCTATGGGACCTTTTAGTGCCACGAGGACTCGATGAGTTCTCTCGAAGCAACGATTCGAGCTGGTTGAGTCGATTCTCGATAGCCTGAAAATGCCTGGGCCGGTCAGCTAGATTGAAAAAGATGGAGAGGGCCAAGTTACTCTTTCCCTACGACGACAATATCATGACTATTCCCCGTTGAGATGTATTGGCAAGTCACGCCCAGTTCCGTACACGTGCTGCATGTTGGTCGCTGGCCACTGCACTACTCCGGATTAGCCCAGGCCCAGACACGCAGACTCAGAGTCCAGCGGGAACCTACCCGGGACTTCCGCGTTCGACACGAGACGCAGGCTTCGACAGCGCGGCGACGCTTCTGTTTGGGTTCCTCCTGTTGGACGGGATCGGATTGCGGGGCGTCTGCAGCCATGGTCGTTGAGAACGGTGAGGTGTTGTGGGAAGCTCAAGGACGCAGAGTGGGAGATGGAGATGGAGTTGCCGCGGAAGATGCCAGAGATGCCGATAAGCAGCCCCAATGGGGCCAAAAAGGCGGGTTGATGATTGGTCAAGCCGCCCTCGCATCGGATCATTCCCGTGTTTTCCGGTGCACCACTTGCAGATCGATCACTGGCCCCACGCGTAAATTTACTGTGGTAGACTGGTGTACTGCTGGGACTCCATACTTTGTTCATTTACAATATTGGTGTCTTGATGGAATAGCGTGCTTGATCGGGGCCTCATCGTAGGGTTCTAGTGGAAGTCTAAAGGAACGAAAGAAGTAATGGCATTGGTATAAAGACCGTCGGAATAATCCATGCGGGGAAGCCTACATGGTCTGAAGGCTCAGAAAGTAAAATGATATTCTCTCAAGGCTGCTATGGGCCCGTGACTCTTCCTGGCAGAACCTGGCTGGCCTATAGACCCTACTATGCCCGTATATATATAGTACTCTGCATGCAGCCGCCCGGAAACAGGACCTATTTCCTACGCAACATGGTTTTGTGAAACGGCACGGACACAGTACGTAAGGCAGTGCATACATAAGGTAACGGACTATCTTTCGACAGCTCTATAGTATACACTCCTTCAAGTTGTATTTTTGGCTGTGTCAGCCGCCACATTGTGGCTGAGACGGAACATCAGTAACTCCGAGTGCGCTTGGAACACTTTGTTGCTTTTATTCCACCCCGAGCCTCTTCATCACCGCCATCTCCATATTTGGCCAAGGCCATGGCCCCAGTATTTCGCCAAGAGCTGTTGGACCGATATGAGGACTCGGAAGTCGCGCTGCAAATTGTATCGTCACCATCATGTGCGTCCTCTTCCCGGGTATTCAGCCTGTCCCCGAATCTCCTCGCCAAGCAATATGACCCTTTGGAGCTGGAAGATAGTCTAAAGGCTTCGGCAGTCGCTAGCCAGCTCGGAATCCGCGTTCCTCTCGTACGGAGAGTAGTGCAGAACGAAAAGAACGCGTATACCATCATGGGTCGGCTCGAGGGAACCACGTTGGACGTCAGCTGGAAGGAACTAGGCTGGTTCACGACAGTCAAGCTTGCTCTGCAGCTCCGTCGCTTCGTGAAACTCCTTAGATCGGTCACCTCAACGACCGCTGGGTCGCTTGCAGCGGGCGAGTGCAGATCTTTCTGGCTGGAAGATCGCTACGGTCTGCCGGCGAATTCTGGCCCAGGCGAAATCACCCACTTCTTCCACTTCTGGGCCAACTTCACATCCATGAGGCGAGCGATGCAAGAATCGAAACAGCCTCGGGTGCTAAACTCACCAGAGCCAACCACCGAGGTGCAACTCACCGTCGAGCCATTCGTCTTGACGCACCATGACCTGACGCTGCGCAACCTGTTGATCTCGCCCTCCGGTCAGCTTACGGTCCTAGACTGGGATTTGGCTGGCTTTTACCCAATCCCGTTCGAGTACGCATCCATGTACAATTTAAACATCCCCGCAGACTGGGGTCTGTTGGCCCGTTGGCGGTGGAATCTGTTTGCCTGGATTGGAATTGGCTACTACGAGGCTGACGCCCGTCTGCTGCGGAGCATGCGCTCTAAATTTACACGATTCGCCATCGGGAGAAGATACGAACTGTTGGCGCACGGAGGACCCTCGAGATACCCTGTAACCTGATGTTTGTGCACCGCATGCGATCTATGTTACTCTCCATATCAATACGATCCACCTCGACCATTCAGCTACGTCGGGACTTTGCCGGAGATGCCGACGAGATTTATAATACACCGATGAGGATATACAGTGGCTACCGTATATGTATTCGGTTTGTCTACTATTTGTTAGAGCACTATCTGCAGCCAGAAACCCCTGTTTGACCAACACCTCACACTCTACATACCCCTCCTCTACATATACTATCAACATGGCTCCCCCAAAACACACTCCCCGCTCAATCCTCGAAACCTTCTACGCCGCGGAACGAATCTACATGTCTGCACTCCCCTCCTCCCGAGACTTCACGACCCTAGCCGCCGTCGTCTCCCCCACCTTCCGCCTCGAACAAACCTCCGCGCTCCCCTACGCAGGAACCTACATTGGCCCACGGGGATTCCAAGACTGGGCGACGCGCATGGCGGACTACTTTGACGTCGTGGACGTGCGGGACCCCGAGGTGTTTGAGCGCGACGGGTCGAACAAGGTGATGGTTCTGGCGAATGTGCTGTTCCGCGTGAGGGCTACGGGGGAGGAGTTGCTTTTCCCGTTTGCGCAGGCGATTACGGTGGATCTCGAGCTCGGGGTGATGACTGAGCTCAGGCCGTTTTATTGGGACGTTGCTGCTGTTAATAAGGCGTTGGGTGTTGGCCAGTGACCCATGGTTGGGATGACAAGTTCAACCATACTGTTGATAGGGCAAGCAGCCGAGCTGAGGCTGGTGGATTCGTTTAATCATAATTCACTCTTGATTAACGTTTCTTATCCCGTGCCTAATAGTATTTAACGACTGTTCGAGTAGCTAGGAGCTAACAATTTTTCTGCTGTACCTACCCATGTAGGATGTAGATAGCATCTGACTCTGAAAGCGCCACTCGTCCCAATTGGCGTCCAGTATGTATATGTCAAGCAAGAATACTAACCACGTTTCCTCGCCAGTCAAGGGAGAAAGAGTCCGCGTGATTGCCCTCAACTGACCCATTCGAGTTAAAACACCTTCGAATAATGTGGTTCATAAGAGCCCCCACACGAACCACCCACTCACTCCAGGCCGGCATTCAGTTCCGCTTGTAACGGATCCATCAGCTCCCCCTATACCTTGCCCACACATTTACCACCTCTGTATAGATACATAGTGTGGCCAGCCTTAATATCCTCCTTTCTCTCCTTGGGTACCTCGCTATCATCCACAGTATTCCTCTGAATACCTAGTTTGCGAGGGGAACGCGTGATCCGGCCCTCTGCACGGGAGTATAGACCTCGTTGACGAATCGGACGTGGTCCGCGCGGTATCCTATCAAAGACCAGTACATGACAGATGCGGGGAAGAGGTTAGTCTGGCTGTTCATGTGCCACTGCAGGTGATAGGGTTGAATGCGAAGGGTGGACGGTGGGCTTGCGTACGTCATGGCTGCGACTAATGGGCTGTGGATGGGGCTCTGATAGGTAAGGATGAATAAGATATACCGGTCTCTGTACCGGATGCGGAGGAACTGTCATAGCGGCTAGGAGAATTGGCGGAATCTTGATCAAAGTTCCATGGTTGAGAAGACAACGCACGTGTGCAGAAATTGATCTCACCAGAGCTGACGCGAAATCCCAGGCAGAGTCTATCAAGGATATCTCATTCAACTGCTACAACCATCTGGATTGAGACTAGAATGTTACATGACTTCTTATTTAAGGAGTAGGTTTCTATATGTCTCATTGATCCCAGCACACCACCCGTATTATTACTACAGCAGCCATTGTTACTTTGTTTAGTAGTGGTAATTACCCCCATGTAATTCGCCTTTATTCATGCTGGATTTGATTCATGTCAGCATAAAATCCATATGCTCAGGCATGTGTACATGAGCTTATCAGTGCCGCTGCCTTTTGCTCAGCCAGGTAAACTAGTGCTGAAAGCTGGAAGATAAACTTGATTTAGTAACCTGCCATATAAGTACATCATATATACGAAGGATCTAAATAATATAACCCACAGACCTTCTTTAGCTATTAACCAATCCCGTACCCTCAAGGGTACTACAGGCTGTGACATGTATATCAAGTAAGGTCTAATCTAAAACCCAGAATGTTGGCCTGGCCAAGGCCGACCCCAATCCGGGGCGTATACTCCTCGTTCATGCAGTTGATGTGGTCGGCTTTGTCCTCCGTGAAGAGCATTTCCACACTGCAAAGGGAGAGAGAGCGTAAGAGGTTAGCGCGGTGCTTGGGTCTGACGTGGTAGATGAGAAAGCAATAGATCGGATGCAGGTATCACGATCTCTACTCCACCAGGCATGGAGTGCATGTCGATGGATGAGTCTTGTGCCATGTCAGGGGGTGTCCTGGCCATTAACCCGTCTCAGCCCCTGTTAATGAGAAGCGAAGACGGGGAATATACCATTGTCCTAATCATGTAATAGACTATCTGAGAAATATATCCCATGCTGCCTTCAATCCTTAGCTCGCTCGTCTCGTTCAGGCCGCGACATGCAGGCAAAGATCTAGGCTGTTTTCCCATCCGCACGAATGCCGGCAAATGATCACCCCCTTACTCCGACTCCGCGAGGCTATCCAACTCCTCTTTTATCTTCTCCATTTCCTCCCCATGAACCATCCCAATACAATCGTGCTCCTTGTACAAATACATGGCGTGCTCGGGGTCAATCCCCTCCTTGACCTCCCTGGGAAGCTCGGGGTCACTCAGCGAAATCCTGCGGAATTGCGCCGTGCCAGCATTTGGGTCTGCATGTTCGGGAATATACTCCTCGTGTCCCCACTGGAAGCGAATGTTGGGCTCGTGCCTCAAGATGCGTGCGGCACTAGATGATAGATGGGCTTAGCGGTGGCTTAGCGTAGTGGCCGTCTGGCTTGTGTTGGTGGCTCGAGACAAGTAAAGGAATGGCATTGGACGGGCGGGGATTTGGGCATATGTACCTCATGATTGCGGTTAATACAAGGGGGCTGGCGTGTGGAAAGTGGGTTGTAGGCAAGTACGATGTACAGGTTGTTCTGGTGCGTTGATATGTTGCGCGTAGCCAAAATCAGATACTCGTGAAAGCGACAGCGTGGATGAAGGGGAGCGGAGAAGCCCTTATTTATACCACGAGGATGAGACAATGCATCGGTCAATGTGACGTGTTTATGCCTAGAAATCTAGAATGCCGTGACACTGAATCCGTGGTGGCGTACACGAGGTTCCGTGGTTGACGTCGGTATGAACGCGGGGATTGCTGCCGCGGAATGCCGATGGACGTCATGGAAATATGCAATAGAGCGGGAGTCCATTAACGGGTGTTGCATGTACTCCTCCAACGGTCTTGGTTGGAATATTACATCAGCAGCTCGTCTACATAGCGGATTTGAACATCCAGGATCCATAATCTCCGCACGGCACCCGCATCCGGGACTTGGCCTCCATGTCTGACTCGTGGCACGTGTGCTTACTGTCCGCGTAGTGCTGGATTATGACGTGCAGATGCTGCTGTGCTATTAATGGGTTTCGTGGTTCGAAACGAAGCGTCTCTGCTGGCCATATGTGCCTTTTATACTTAACGCTTCATGACGGTTCTTTGAAATCTACTGTCACTGTGAGCTTTCAAGCAGGTTTTCAATATCTGGACGGAAACGGGGAGAAGGAACGTGGTACGTAATGACTCCAAGGATTGGAGCTATCCAAGGGAGTTCGTAGTGTTGAGGCAAGAGAGAACACTCTGCACGGGCGGAGAGCAAGTGAGATGGTCACATGTCCAGACAGAATACAAGGCGTGCCATATATTTGGATACTGGTTATGGGCTATTAAGGGGAAGGAAGGAATCAGGAAGGTGCTGGAATGCGTCCAAAAGGCAGATTTAGTGAAGAGGCTTCTGGGAGCAGCGCCACCGAACTTAAAGCATTGGGATCTTGCGATTAGGGTTTCCTCGACGGCCAGTCGGTGAAGATGCAAAAACATTAAATAAAAGTAAACCTGGCGTCGTGGACGAAATTGTCTGGCTCAGGGCCTATATAGAGCTGCAGGCTCGAAGGACGTCGCAGCACGAAAACACAAAACGATGAGGAGAATAGGAGCGAGTGTAGGCTTCTCTAGTAATAAAAACCCTACACACGGGGCCTGCAGTGGAAATAAACAGTGCTAGGTTGCCAGGAAATGGATGATACTAGCTCGAATACGTTGCGTGGGAAAATCGATTGAGTACGCTTCATAGCCTTTCACGGACACGGGCTCCCTGAATGGCTGAATGATTGGAAACTCTACAAATCTGAGATGTTCAAATTTATATTCAGAGTATTGTAGTTCTGGATGGTCTCGCCAACCTGACGACTTGGGAATGGGGAGCCATCTCGCTATTCCTGGGCGGCAAGCAGCAGAATATTCTAGGTTGTTTTATCCTTCATGGTTTCTAACTTGGTCGGATGCAACAATAACTGGGAGGGTTCGAAGTCAAATGTAGCCCTATTAATTAACTTTATGAGCGACCGAATGGAGTAACGTAGCCGTTGTCTTTCGGCCGACCAGAATTCCCTTGGCCTTTCCACCCACTCGTAAATCTCATTACATAGGGGCGGAGTATTCTTCCATAGTACGTAAGGCTGTTGCGCCACAAATATCAACTTTAAGTCGAACAAGATTTTCTTAGTACCTCCGTCATCAGTACTGCCTCCGGACTTGAGTGCTCGTCCACTGTCCATCTTCATCGGCCAGATGTATACGAGGTCTGTTCTAGGGCACCTGGGGCAGAAGCATTTGTTGCTGTAGCCATTCATACAGGTAGACTGACACGGTATACATACTCCGGGTCGTCTCGTCTGTGCCTCTCTGGGAGGCGCTGCTGCCTAGACGGGCATAACAAAGTTTTCCACAAGATTATACTGCGCCACGGATAGCACCCTTCCTATGACATTCGTTGTCGGACACCCTTTCCCCCGTCAGGCTTCTCTAATCCGCCCTATTTGTGCCCCCCGTTGCTTAGTTAGGGGCAGATGAAGCACGTCCTAGAATACGCCATTTCACAGTGGATTTACCCGTGTACTTCCAAGATCAGTCGTATGCACCTCGCTTTCCGGGCCCATCTCCGGCGAGGTTGTGGCGTAGTGTAAATAAGTTTCGCAGAAAAACTTGAAAAAACTTAGACTTCGAGTATGCAACAAATTTCCGTGACCGGCGAACTCGTCTGACGGAATAGACTTCCACCACGGGTTGAAAATCTCTTCGTCTCAGAGTCCAGAGTACGGCTTTCCCATCCACTTGCACTACTCGCAGTCACACTATCTACCATTACTCTCACATCCAGACATCACTTGCACCGTTCTCAGAGTCATTATCATCATATTCTTCTTCTTCAACACACTATACCTAGCCACCTCCTTACTACACGAGAAGAAATGGTCGGAATCCTGCAGCTCGAAACACTCCCGTTGGGAGGTAAGTGAAGAGGCAGCAACACCACCCTCTCCATCCCTGACAATACTTCAAAACATTAGGCCCCAAAGCAACCCTCCGACCCAACCGGCCCGTACCCCTCAAATCAACCATTACAACACCACTACAAATCCCTCCCGTCCCCAAGCCGAACCACGACCCTAAGGCCCGGATAACCGCATCCTTCGAAAAGACGACAGTCCGCGACAGCGACACCCCAAGCTGGCAGTGGGTTTCAACGACCGAGCAGGTAGCCGGCCTGGTTAGATCCTTGGAGGGACTACCCAATAACCCCCCGGCACTGTACATCGATCTCGAAGGAGTGAATCTCGGACGGAACGGGACGGTTTCGATCTTGCAGATGTATGTTCTGCCGCACGACAGGACGTACCTGATCGACGTACACACACTTGGAAAGCGGGCGTTTGCACGAGATGAGGTCGAGGAGAACGATTCGCAGGGTGGGGATTGTTATCCTGGCCAGCCTCACCCAGAGCACACGACAACCCTAAAGGACATCCTCGAGAGCGCTACAACCAAAAAAGTGATCTTCGACGTCCGCCACGACTCTGACGCCCTCTACGCTCATTTCGGAATTAAGCTAGCCGGGATCGAAGACTTACAGCTCATGGAGCTCGCAACGCGCGGTGGTGAACGGACACACGTCAAGGGCCTCGCCCACTGCATCCGGTGGAACATCCCATACACCGAGTGGGAAGATGGACAGGCCAGTATCGACAAGTGGCTCAAGACGAAGGAAAAGGGGCGGAAGCTGTTCGCTCCAGAGCATGGTGGGAGCTTCGAGGTCTTTAATCAGCGGCCGCTGTCTGAGGATGTATTGCAGTATTGTGTCGAGGATGTGAGGATGTTGCCGAAGTTGTGGAGTGTGTATGACGGGTGGTTGACGCCCCTTTGGAGGAAACTGGTTGATGGAGAGGTGGACAATCGGATTCGGTCGTCGCAGTCGGCCAAGTTCAAGGGTGGGTGGCATATGACGCTGGCGCCGGTGGGATGGGATGATGTGGAATCTGATGAGGAGCATACAGACCCTGGTGTTGACGCCGACGGATGGAGTGAGGATTATTTGGGAGGGGAAGATGCTTGGGATTACCAGAACTACTCGTCGGATGATGGCCATCAGGAGTACAACGACCCTGGAGATTTCGACAACTACGCACCGCTTGGTGGTTATCAACTCCCCAACTCCCCTGCGGATGCTCAGATTTACTGGCCTGTCGATGGTCAGGAGGACTACAATGACACATGGGAGTATGAGAATTACGCGCCGCTCGATGGCTATGAAGGATGCGGGGATTTTTCGGACACTGAAGGATACTGGCCGGTCGATGGTTACGGCGTCTACATTGATCCTTCGGGTCTACACATTTACGCGCCGTTAAATACTTATCAGTCGGAGTTTAACGATTCTTCGGATTCGGAGAATTTCTCATCGGGCGATGGCTATGCAGGGTACGACGATCCTTGGAAGGAGTACGATTTCAGAAAGTATCTGGTTGGAGGAACGATGGCTTAGTTTAATCCATGTGGCTTGAACCACACGCTGTATTTAAACACACAAAAAAAACGACAAAAATCACATACCATCACCTTGTTCATAACCCCGTGGTCTGCCATGTGTGTTTGTAGATCCCACGTACAGTTCAGCGGCCTGCCGGACAGCTTCTCCATCCTCCACGGAGCCCCTCTTGTTCAACCACCAATATCCCTGTCAACGGCTCGTCTCGGGTTACTCTTATCAAGACATCGTTCAAGGACTCCGTATTGTCCGTTTCCCAAACAGTACATGATCAACATTCTGTCGGCGCCTGTGCATCCCAGACACGAGGTCCCCCGTCCCCCGGTCAGCGAGCCCTACAGCAGCGCATGCACTGGCTCGGACATTTGATGCGACCATCACCCCCACTTTCGCTGGTGACTAGGGTTATTTGACTGCTGGTTCATATGTGGGCGAGTGGCCAATAATAATGAACCGCTCTGCGAAATGTGCTCAAACTCCCGCACCAAGGACTGCCAAGCAGCCAAGTCCGTATGCACGACTCCCATCGCATCAAGATAAGATTCCTCAGTCTTGTGGCCATGGGGGTTGAGTCATGTCGGACAGTCTGACAGTGTTTGAAGCATATACTGTCAGCACTCTCCTATATTACTTCAAACGGCGGACCACATCATATGCTCTCGCCTTGTGTGTAGGGAGAAGCTCATCTGGGGTGAGGTTGGATTAGGGTCGATGCCCGTTTTGACCAGCTTGTCCGATATCAAGCATCATATTGCCACCCCACTCGTGAAAGGATTCTTCTCATTCCCCATCAGAAGTTTCACTTTGATGTGGGACCCAATCCGGAATTTTCTAGCGATGGTCTGATTGCCCACACGATAAAGGTCGCTTCCTCGCTCCTCCCTGCAACCTCGTGGCCAAACCGATTTATTCATGAACTACACTATCAATCTCCAGCCATGGACCTTAAGCTTGTGTCATCGCTATGGGCACTGCTCCTCCTCATCGTCAATCCCGCCCTCAGCGTGACTGTCGGGCGCGCCGGCCATGGCTTCATCGGGTATGGCATCAACATGTACAAGCCCACCTGTCCCTACGCCTGCAAAGCAACAATTAGCAACCCGCTAAACTGCACGATGGATATGACCGATGAGCATATGCACATGAAGCGTCACGGCCACTCGCACGAAGAGGTCGACCTTCCGAAGGGAGACGGATGGATGGTGACCTCGTCCCCCGACGCAGAGTGCTACGCGAACAACGACGCCTTCCTGCAGACGCTGGCATACTGCATGGTCACCCAATGCACGGATGTGGCCAACTCGACACTGCAGAAGTTCTGGGAGATGGACGTTGTGGGCCGGATCCCCGGCCAGCCACTCCCCAAGATGAGCTATCAGGATGCCTTTCATGCCGCCACCCACGCTGTTAATGGCACTCCGCCGGTGATTGCCAACTCCTCTGTCATTCTCTATTCTGTGGGTACAATACCGGATGAGGCATACCAGACCGAGTATCGGACACTCTTGGTCTTTGAGCGGCTGGAAACCACGCATGTGAGATATGGGTTTGTCTCCGAGTGACTGTCTATCTTTCGAAAAAAAGGTGCTAACATACATTGTTTAGCCTCGTCCTCCTCCTCACCGGTGCGATTTTCCCCATCGCATTCTCCCTGCTGCGCTTCCTCCCCTTTCGAGAAGAATGGATTACCCGTTTCGAAGCCAAGTTCGTCACTCCTCCCACGATCGGGGCCCGGCACAACGTCCCCTTCTTTTGGCACACGACCATGATGCCCACCCGCGGGCAAGCCTTCTTCATCGCATACATCATCATCATCAATGTCGTCCTCTGCTCCGTGGGGATTGAGTCCGCCCGCGAAAGCACATGGTACAAGGATCGCCCACGCGAGATCGTCTCGTACGTGAGTAACCGCGCGGGATTTCTCAGCTTCGCAAATCTCCCGCTCCTCGTCCTCTACTCGAGCCGGAATAACCTCCTGCTATGGGTGACAAACTGGTCGCATAGTACATTCCTCCTTCTGCACCGGTGGATCGCAGTCATCGCGGTCATCGAGGCCTGTCTGCACTCGGCCATCTACCTCCAGATCTACGACGTCGACGGAGCCCACGCAGCCGAGTCTCAACTTCCCTACTGGTTCTGGGGTATCATCGCCACCCTCGCCATGGTCGTCATGGTGCCCGCCTCGGTCCTCCCCATCCGCCAGCAATTCTACGAACTCTTCCTCGCTTGGCACGTCTTCTTCTTCCTCCTCGCCATGGTGGGCTGCATCTTGCACATCTGGTATCGGTATGCGTGGCAGTGGGGGTATGAGAACTGGATCTACATGGCGCTTGCAATCTGGGGGTTCGATCGGATCCTCCGAGTTCTACGACTCGCGCGCCATGGTTCTCGCTTTGCAAAGGTGACGGTTGTTGATGAGGATTATGTTAAGATCGAGGTCCGCGACGTCAAGGCCGAGGGGCATGTCTATCTTTATTTTCCCACGCTCACCTGGAGAATTTGGGAGAACCACCCGTTCTCTGTTTTGGCTGACACGATGGTGTGTCGCGCGGATCCGTCCAAGGGTACACACTCCGGCTCATCGAGTTCGTCCCCTTCGCTGGAGGACAAGGAGGCGAATACCGTCAAGAACCCCACAACCAACATCGTCGCAATCGACGATATGAAAATCACACCGACCTCCACCGCCCCATCTCTATCACCGACCTCCCACACCGACCGCCACCGCCATGACGGGCTGACATTGTACCTGCGCACCCACGAAGGTATAACATCATACCTCCGCGGCCCGACCACCCTCCCCGTCTACGTCGAAGCAGGCTACTACCCGCGATCCATCCTCGGCGTCGAGCCCGCGCACGCATCAAACATCCTCGCCTTCGCTGGTGGCGTCGGCGTCACAGCGGTAACCTCAACACTACTCCAGCACAGAGGGTACCACAAACTCTTCTGGGGCTCGCGCAGCGACGCACTGATAAAATCCGTTCGGGAGTCTCTGGGCCACGAGGAATATGCCCGCTTGAATCCAGTTCTCTTTACCGGGCAACGGATGCATATCCCGAGTATCCTCGAGGACGAGGCCGCGCACGCTTCTGGTGTGCCTATCACGGTTGTTGTTAGTGGGCCGGCGGAGATGGCAGATGAAGTGAGGAGGGAGGTGGCGAGGGTTGTTAGGGAGCGTGGGGCTGTTATGACGTTTGTTGAGGAGTCGTTTAGTTGGTAAATTTTCATACTGGTAGAGTAACTGGTTGAGTATATAATGAAGCATGTTTATTGAGGTGATAGGAAGTTAATAGCCGGTATGGGGGCACCTTTCATAGCTGACCCATTATTGAACGGTCCTGAAAGAGGGCATGGATGATGGCATATGCCCAAGACCATTTCTGGTGATAGAGTCGATTATGGCGAGGATGCTCGTGGCTCGTGACGATCCAAGGTCCTGATGGGGGCCGTTGGGAAGGCCTGCGTTCGTCAGGAGTGCTTTCTCATGTATCAATTCGCTGACAAAAAATTCATTCTCTTGTGATATGATCAACACAAAGTTTAGCACAGAGCTCCTCTATGGCACAGAGCTCTCGAGGGATATTCCTCGCAAGGTCGGCAAGATGCTAACAGCCGCGCGGCAAATCAGACACCAGAACCCTTGGGATGTGTACATTAAGCACTACTGAAGGGGAAGCGGGTTCCGGAATAGAGGTTCAAGAGAGGAGGAAGGGATGACTTTGAATGAAGTGGCTTCATATCGAGATACATGCAGTAAGAAGATACTTGCTCAGGAAATGAGCTCTTGGAGCAATCATAACGTTTCCGAGTAGTCCCATAATGCCTTGCCCAACAATTCTAGAGATCTAGAGTTGGCTCGCTCGCTTAGTCTACGAATGTTGTATGAAGATGGGTCTCGTATAGCAATCACTGGAGAGGAATGTAGGGATGGTGCGTGGTTTCCGCTGTTCGATATCGGAATCGCCTACTAATTGGTGGCTGGGGGTATCGCTAGCTACTCGTCCTCGGCGAGATCACATATGCCCGTCAGGTAGCAATAATTTCACATATCCCTCAATATCGCCCTCCGTTCACTCCGGGCTATGCCGTGCAGAGTCTCGCCTGAGCTTCACACCACAAGCAGGAAGCATGACACTTATATATTCTCCAACCCTGATCCTGATCTGATTGCCAGGTCCTACACTCTACTGTTAGCCCCCTCCCTGCGCGGCCCGTGGGGTCAGAACTGAATAAACTTACCGCCAGACACGTTGGAAAGAAGGAGTACAAAAACCACCTGATTAACGCCATCCTTCCTTTCCAGGTCATCCCACTATGCCCGCGAAGCACGTCACTAACAACACCCTTCGCGTATGTCGCGGGGGCATTGTCACCGACGCAAACTTCTTGCCACATGCTAGCTTCGCGATGTTTGGAGCTGGGGTGATAGTATGATATTTCGGGCAAGTTAGCGTGCAGTGTGTTGTCAAACATTTTCGACGCCACTATACTGGTCATGATTGTGACGACATTCACTCCGAGAGGGGTGACTTCAACTGGGAGGGTCTCGCTGTACATGCGGATGGCTGCTTTTGAGGCGTTGTAGAATGCTAAGAGCGATTAACTGGGCTCGCGGAAGTAACTCGTTGGAGTGGAAACATTGTCCCCCATGGTACGTTCAAAATTCCTGCAACAGACGCATTATTCACGACCGTTCCTTTGCACTCGATCAACAGCGGCATAAACGTCTGCGTAACATGTACCGTGGCCCAGAAATTGACATCAAACAGTTTATTCGCGTGCACCAGGTCCGTGTCGAGCGCCGGATAGATCAGGTTCTGCCCTGCGTTGTTCACCAGGCAATGAAAACGTCCTGTGCAGCCCGTTGAAGCGACGACCGTCTTCAATGCTTCTTCGATACTTGACTGCGACTCTACATCGAGTACTATGAGGGTGATATTTCCTGGATGGCTCAGGTGCGCCATCTTCGATGCCGAGCGCGCTGTCGCGAAGACGTATTTGGATACATTGAGGACTTTAGGCGTGGGCCTGCGCTGATCCTTGGTGTGTGGATTATGCTTCCACGACGGACGAGGGAGGTTGCGCCAGGTGCGAAGGTGCCGTGGGAGGTTTCGTTCACGTTCGTGGTCGGACAACTTGAGACGCTTCACAAGGACCGATTATCGAGGCAGATCTTGGTGGTTGACTAGTCTTGTCGGCGCCTGTGTGGGACGGCTCAACTTGGGTGGCTTGCGATATATATCTTTAGGTGAAAAGGATCTCACCCGCGATAAGAGCCCACAAAAGGCGCAAAACAGAGACATTCAGCCAAAGGCAAGGTCGACGCGAGGCCCGACGGTTAGCATCTGGCCGAGGGGAGTCGGGGGACGAGGAGGAAGGAACGAAGGGACGAGCTGGCACTTTCCCTGCGGCCGGAGGAAATGGGATTATCTTCATCCCAACGTCAACCTGCCATCTCCTCCCTAAACTTCACTCTCAAGCCTCACCACCTCATCTATTATCATCACTATCTCCATATTAGCTTATCAGTCATCTATTATTCCATCTACATGGCAGCCGAAAACCTTCGACGATTCTTGTCCCCTAAGGGGCCGAGGTGGACTAAGTGCTGGGTCCAGGAGTACGATCTCCCAGCGTTTTGCGATGCACGCCATTCCCTTGCCGCAATTCTAACTCACATCACCACAGTGCCTGGCCATCAAAGTCCGTAACCATGATCCACTCCGGTGAAGGGGCCACGCGATACGATGTTGAGCGCGAACTCATCAGAGGAGCCGCGTCGAAGTACATCATTGACCACATCGAGTACGGTTGGAATACGAATCCGCACGGAATCCTCGAGTTGACGGCGTTTGATAACCAGACCATCGAGTCCGTTCTTGAGTACCTGGAGAAGTCATCGTACTCCCGCCATGCACCCAACAAGCCGTATCCGCGGGCCACTCCGGCCTCCGGGCAGGGTAGCCGGCCGCAGCAGGGGTTGAGTGACAATAGTGAGACTTGCATAGCGCCGATTCTGAGGCAAGACCCCTGGAGACCACTAATCAGTAACAGATGTAACGCCTTCATCGACGCCTTCTCCTCGCCCGCAGACGGAGCTGCCTGTTGGCCCGCCGCTCGCAAACCCCTCCCACCTCGCCAACGCCCGCCAGTCAGAGACTCCTGCAAGCTCGGCCGCCTCAGGCTCTGATCCTAAAAGCCCACCCTCTGCCGAACGCCTGGTCACCAAGAGTCGTCGCACGCCAGAGATTGTTGTGCACGCCCGGGTTTACAACTTCGCCCGTACGAACGAATTCCCTGCACTTGCCGAATACGCACTGGGCCGCCTCAAGAACAGACTCGTCTATGAGTTCAGATCAAACCATGAAATTTTTCCCGATTTGGATACCGCCGTTCGTCTGATCTATCGCCACTGCCAGAAGTTTGATTCGGTCGACGACCGGGATCCAGCAATGCTCTACCTAACCGAGTTCGTTGTTGAAAAATTCAGGTTGCTGGACCGCCAGGCGCTAGGAAGCCTATTGAGAGAAGTGGGCCAGTTTGCGGTCGATGTCGCGTGGGGACTCTTGGATGAGGTCAGTGTTCAGGAGCAAAAGATACGCAGACTGGAGATCATCGCTAGCCGCTGCAGCGCCGTGACGATGATGTTAGAGAAAGTCAAAGGGACACTGATGAAGGCAAAGCAAAGGGCGAGGGAAAGGTTCCGCCGCGGACGGCTGTGACTGGTGAAATCACGTTTACACCTCCGGCTCCTGTTCAAACTTATCAACATGCATGACCGTCTTGTTGCCTTTAGTGATGGAAGATTACCTATACCCGATAACTAGAAGCGAACTTAGAAAAGTTAGATAGTCTCATTCAGTTGCTACGCTTGCTTCTCTCTACTGTGATCGCTGCCATGTGCGCTCCTGTCGTCGCCAATGTAACATGGTGCTATGGTAGCGTTTGCATGATTCCTATCACAAATACAAATCCGAACTTTGTAAAGGACATGGTGCGTGTGGGTGTTGCCAGTGCAGCTCTCTAGTCTTCAGTCGCTGCTAGATCAATGTCAAGTTCGTGACATGGCCCGCAACCATATATTGAGTCTGGGTATTAGTCGCGTACTACCTAATTACGATCTATCAACAGACTCGTGGGCGCGAAAGGTCATTCGATGACATGAGTGTAATATGACATAATAGCCGCTGTAATATAAAACGAATGGAAAAGATCACACCATGGCGCTTCCAATCTGTACTAGGGTGTGTAACCGCCGTTTCCTACTCTGCACAAGACGCTCAAAGCCTCATCATAGTCCTATACAGGGCTCGCCCAAGTATATCCTTCATACCCGGTCGGAAATGTGCAATAGCTGTAGGTGGAGACACAAACAAGTTTATCAGCAGCTTCCCACAGAACAGTATATATATATATGGGTTTCAACTACAAACACACTCACACTTACCATTCTGAATAAACACATCCTCCGGTCCAGTGAGCTCGAGGTCTGGCATACGAGTCGAGATATCATCCATGTCGCAATGCCTCAGATTTCGCACAATCTTAAAGAAGAACCATAGCCTTTCCAAAGGGAAGGACATGAGGAAGTCATGGACTTGGACCCGCACAGTGGACCTCTCCGCCTCGGATAGACCTGATCTGTTTAGGGCGCCGTCGAGTTTTGCCTTTAGCATTACGAGGCGACTTGCCTGGTCGAGGTCGTACCGGAATCCTTCCACGCTTGAACCTGAGAGACGATTAGGCTTGGGGCTGTGATCGGGTGGGTAGTCTCTGAAGTCCGATGTTTAGATATATGCGTACCTGGCTTCAGAAGGATATATTCTCGGGGTAGGGACCCAGGTGGTTGTTGACTACGGAGAATTTGGACTCCGACTAGGCGGCCGACGTTGAGTGCCATATGGATGCGCACCGTCGCATCTGCAAGACCGAACGACTTGATCTTGCATGTGGCAGAGCCTCCCAGGGTGCGGAGTATCAGCTCCAAGGTGCGCAAGTACAGACGCCTCCTGTCCTCGAATATGTCGATGACCTGTTTCAGTCCAGGTCTGTCGTCGACAAAGTACCTTTCGATAGCGGCTTGAAGGGCAGTTCGTGAGTGATACACAATCGAGGAGGTCTGATACGCTTCCTCGAGGAAAATATTGTTAATAATGGAGATATGGGAGGTAGAAAGCTTGAAGCACAGAAACTTGAACTCGTCATTCGCATTGAACGAGGCGGGAGAGTCAATATGTGGACTGTGGTATATTTTCTTGCACGGTCGAACGGGGAGGTCTTCCAAGACTGATCCTGCCTGGTCCGGGTGTATGTGGGCCGATTTGAGTGCTGCTGCGAATGATTGGCGAATCTCTGTATAATTACCGCTGTCCCCTGGAAATGGCAGTATACCACTTCTCAGTATAATGATAAGGCGAGGGGCCAGTGGGGCGAAGTTGTGATACTCCGTATAGGCAACCGCCTGCTTCTTCCCGGCCAGGATGTCATGCCGCTCCGAAGAAGGGCCTTCAAATACCCCGAATGCATTTTCCGTGAGAAGGAACTCTTCATCGCCATTTGCGGGTTGGCAGAACGCCATGTAACTGTGCAGGAGGTGGAACTCAAACATCAACGCGTCATCGGGATAGATCTGCCCCTGCAACGTCCATCTCCAGTTTCTGTGAGGATCCATCTCGAGATCCAGCATGTGCCGCAAATTGTCAAACCACACGTCCCGTGGCTTCGAGAATCCTTTCGCGACCATGTACTGTAGCATTCGCGGTCGATCGTCAGAATCATAGTCCTGGGCGTCATCATAGTTATACCGCTCAAACATCCCGCCATTCCGATATTTCATGAGAAAGAGGAACTTCCGAAGAGTGTCGACTTCAGGACGTTTTAAGCTAAGGACAGGTGTACGTGCAAATGTTTCAGCTGCTTTGTTAATGATATCACTGGCTTTGCTTTCGAGTCGCGACAGCTTCTCTTCCAGGTGGTATGGGTTTTCGTCGAAGCCGGGGTCTCGGTACATGTCGACGAGAGCAAACTCCGTTGACACCGGGCGCTGGGTTAGGATTGAGCTCTCCAGATCGATCTTATTGACGAGGAAGTCGCGACCGCGAGGCTTTCGTTTGGACGAAGCAGCTGGCCATGCGGGGGGCTGGTCCGCCGGAGCGAACTTTCTCAGTATAAACCGAGGGATGAAGTGGTGCTTTTGTTCCTTGGGGGATGTCATCTCTCGTGGAGGACTTTTGTGCTCCAAGGGAAGAGTCGGAGACTGTTTATTCGGGGGCAGCGCGGATTTCTGCCAGATATATTGCCCCCCTTGTTTTCCATTTGTTTCACGCGGGCTGTCAGCCTCACCAACACCAACACCAACACCAACAGAGGGATTGGCTCGTAGCTAGCCAACAATACACCACCCTCTGTCCCGAGTCCAAAAGGATTGGTTGGGACAACTCGGATCCTGGGCGATCCCTGGTCTTCTCGGCGGCTAATGGACGCACGCTCACTACGCCGTACTCGTGCCAGCGCATCGTATTAGCTCCTCTCACACTCAAACACTTGACCAGGAGCTAGTCAGATATATCGCACACAGACCATCCTACCTAAGACGACGACTCGCGGAATTGCGTTGGATCCTTTCTGCCGGGTGAGAGTCAGATAGAAGGCACTCTAAGCAACAAAGAAACCTTGAGGGAGCCTTGATCTGGGTTCCTCGGTCTGCACATAACAAACCCCTGCCAACCGCAACTTCAAAATTGCACACTGAATTGTCCACGAATTTCCTTTCACTGCTACAGAAGCACAAGAATGACAGAACAGGAGACAAGGCGGCTATACTGAAGGCGGATCAAAGTCATAATACCGAGGGAACCTCGCTCCACGACTAGAGCGTGGGGACCTGTGACAAGAGATGTTGAAAATAACCACTCCTCAGGCTATAAACTGCCGCATTCATATTTGCAACGCTTAGCGCCGCTGACCTCTCCTCTGTCCTGCTGCGTATCTAGATGAATGCAGTGCACTCATTCTGATTTTACCAGGTATGCCATATTGTCAAATGAGAACAGCAAATTTAGGTAGGGGGTTTTGACAGCTACTACCGTATCCCATAAACGTCATCGTATTTTGGACCTAAGGCGCACTTGATCAATCGGAACAGTTTTGACCGAAAGCATTGGTATTCGCAGCTGAAGCCCCGCCTATAGTGGCTCTGCTTGAAGATGCAGATAATAGGGCGTTGTGATCAAAGGCCAGCGCCGTGTGGGATTATTAAAAGAGGACCTATTCGCCATCGAGACGATGAAAGGCAAGGACTTGTATGACGAACGGACCCAGGAAGGCGAACCAGTGTGGACGGAACATCCGGGATTCCATAATCCCTATCCTGGAGCGAGCTTAGGCTGTTGGTGGATTTAGTGTGTAATGTGTGTGTAGGGTAACGCAGATGTATGTATATTGATAGTCATTATTCCTTGGATGTTAACGCTAGTATATAAGGCTCTATCATCCTTCGCAGAGCCAAAAATCTTAACCATTGACGAGTAGTGTCCCAACGGATCCCCAGCCCAGTATCTGGTCCGTAATGCCGTAGAAGTTGGCCTTGGGATCTCTTGATTTCATCAACTCAACAACCCACTCAAATGGGAAGCTTCTCAGCAGAGTATCGTCAGTAGCATCAGTGTGGAGATAATCCGCAGCGAGCTCATTCAGTTCATCCCAGTAAATCACACGCTCCCAGGGACGCGCCAAAATATGAAATAGTCGGTCCCCAGTCTCTGTAAGTCGCTTGGCTTCCCACTCTTCCTGCTGAACTTTGGCGGGCAAGCGAATCTTGCCCGACCATAAGAGGCCAATGAGAAAAGCAGATTTCTCCCATGTGAGCCATGAGAGGGATGCGTTGGCCACGCCAACAAATGCGATTGTATCAGGGTTATAGATATCGAAAATGTGCTGATACAAACCAGGTATGCGATAACCTGCAACAGGGGGTGGACGGATCTTGGATGATAAGAATGGGTAAGTGTAGAAATAGCCCGTTGCAAAGACCACCGTGTCGATGTCCGTGAGGACCGTCCCGTCGGTCAGATGGACGGTATCCTCCGTGAAATGAGATATAGTAGCCACCACCTCGACGCCTGGACGAGAGAAAACCGTCGGGAATCGGGGGTGGGGGGTTCTTTGAGATACATACACAGGGCCCCTGGCGTAAGGAAGAGATTGCAAGCAGACATCAACCGCGCTCTCGCTAGTACCGACGATGAGGATTTTCTATCAATAGAGTCATCAGTGGCGATCACGGCGAATAATACAGTGTTGACTGGCAAGGGACAACGTACTTGCTTTCTAAAGTCTTCCTCGGACCTCCATGTCACAGTATGGCGCAAATTGCGGGACCACAGTGACAGACCCGGTATATCTGGCACTCTTGGGACTGAGTTATGTCCATTTGCGACGATCAAATGATCAAACACTTCCTCTGACCATGTATCTGTGTCTTCTGGATTCTCGTGCCGGAGAACCAATTGCAGCCGCCCATTCGACAACTTTTCCACATCCTCGACGGTTGTATGATACCGGATGAGATGATCAAACTGATGTGCCTTCGAAGAGACGGCCGCAGATACTTCCGCCCCACTTAGAGACGGAATCTCAGCATTCTTGGGGGTGGGAAGTTCAAATACACTCCCTCCTCCCATGACCATGTACGGAATATTGCCTTGCAGGTTGGCGTATAATGGAGTGGTATGGAATCGTTGCTGCGCTGAGCGTCGAACCGTCAAGGGTAAAGAGCCTTCTGGCTTGCGTACCGGTGGATTAATTACTGCATCGTCAGTTGCAGGAAATCGGGGAACCGCAGTTGAGACCCTGTCATAGACCCAAGAGCCACCGGGCGCTCCTCAGCGTTCGTAGAGCTGGATATCAAACCCACCAACACGCTGCAGGGCTGCGGCGGAAACGATGCCGCTGATTCCAGCTCCAATTATGGCCACCCGCTTTTTCTTGCGCTCAGAAGCAGACGCGGATATATCAGTTGCCTCAGAGATCCCAACTTGTGTCGACCTGTAGGTGGGATACGTCGTATAGCCTTCTGCACCATGTGTGTAGAAAGTACTCCGATCGTATGGGGTCAAGGGGTATCCGAACCGTAGGCGTTCCACCAGATCCGGGTTCGAAATGAAGCGTCGACCAAATGACACTGCATCCGCTAGATCTTGCTCAACTGTGAGAATCCCAGTCACAGCAGTATACCCACCAGTCCCCACCAAAACCGTTGGTGTGAGGGTAGGATTTTCTGGAAGGGTTTCTCGAAGTAACCGTCGAAATGGGCGCAAAGAGAGGTCGTCTTGCTCGATCCCTTTATCAAGCAGTCGCTTGAGGTTGGCTTCAACATCAAGATTTCGAGACACGCGAGCCTCTCCAACATGGAGATAAGCGATGCCACGAAGGGCCAGGTGGCGGCTAAGATGTAGTATTTGCTCCAGCGGTTGAGAGCCATCGGTCTCGTGGAAGCTGGACTCGAATCAGGGATTATGCTGCTTTCAGGATCAGGGTGAAGGGGACTTGGACAATTGACTGACTTGGAAAATGGGCTTACGCGCACACCAATGCGCTGGTAACCAACCACTTCTGCAACAGCGTCCACGACTTCTAGCACAAAGCGGGATCTGTTCTCAACACTGCCGCCATATTCATCGGTACGTTGATTGATATTGTCATGCAGAAATTGGTCAAGTAAAAACCCATTCCCCGCCAAGTCCTATCGTCATGAAACATTAAGAGAAAAGTTAGTACACCATGCGGAGAGATGATCAAAATCAAAGGTTCATAAATCCGTTACCTCAATGCCATCTGCACCAGCATCCACGGAGCTTTGGGCCGTTCTTTTATAGTCATCTCGAATACGATGGATTTCTTCGACCGTTAGAGGATGCGGCTCACCAAAAGGCTCTCCAGAGTGTGTATTGATCCCAGACTCTGCAACAGCCGATGCCGACACCCCACGGTATGAGTATGGAGGTGGGTTTGGCAAACCTGCGCGGTCTCGCGCCAGCTTCACGAGCGCCGGGGAGGTACACCGACCAACATGGAAGAGCTGTTGGAACCAGTATCCAGACTTCTCGTGCACGGCACGGATAGTCCGAGAAAGCGCCTGCTGCTGCTCTGGGGTGTCCAAACCCGCCGCCCAGGGCCAGGCTGCCCATTCTGCCCCCACGCCAGTTGCCTGCGATATGATTAAACTGCCAGGAGTCGTGCGTTGGCTGAAGTACTTGGCAGCCAGCGGACTTTCCATTGAATTGGCACTGCGGGATCGACCAAGCGCGGCGTGGATGACGCGATGTTGAAGGGTCAAATCACCGACGCGCAGAGGGCTGAAGATCGTGGCTTGTGCTCGGTCAACCTCAGGAGGAAGCTGGACATCATCCTCGTCGGCAACATCTGTAAACCCCGACGTTGGACAGAGGGCCGTACGTCCGACGCGAAAGACGGAATAAACCCCGACGAGGAACGCAAATTCCAAACCTGGGTTGCAAGCACCACGTCGCTGGTCATCGACGCGCTCAACACACCCTCGCGGTCCCGATCAGCCGACACACGCACCGAGATAATGGCCAATAAAGTCCGCGACTTGCTCGACCCGTTCGTGGTCGTTGACAGCGCAAGCTACGAGCACGAACTCGGTCGTATCCTTGAGGAGGCGCTGACCCTAGACAGAGAGATCTGCAGACAGATTGCTAGGATCGAGTGGGTTTTCCCTCAGTCAGATGGTAAGGAGGTGCTCTTTGATAGCGTGAGAATGCGGCTGGGGACCGGGGAGGGTGCGGCGAAGGGGCCGGAGCCGCAGATTGTGAGCTTGGTTGTTTGTCCTGGGATGAAGAAGCGGGGGAAGTCGACGGGGGAGGATTTCACTGTGGAGAGCTTGCTTCTTTCGATGGAGGTCTCGTGTGAGGCGATCCCTGCGCCGGGTGGTGAAGGGAGGGGTCGGAGGTGGTTTATGTAGCGCGTTTGTTGCTGGCAGCCCGCGTTATGGAATACTTATGCTCGCATAAAGCAGGTTGGTCATCCTCTTATCGCAATTGAGGGCCAAGAGACAGGATGAGAGATCCAGGCAATGCCTAGCATGGAGCACCCATCACGTAGAAAAATGTCCGCCAAACTGCGGTCGTCCCTGGTGATCGTTAAGGATCCTGGCTCGCACCTTCCTAACACTACTGTTTGAGTCCTGATTGTTGTAGAAGTAGACCGAGGGACATCAGGGCTCGGACTGGCGACTTTCCCAAAGGAAACCACCCTATCAATGCAGGTGATTGATTGTCGGAGCCTCTTCTTCAACCCACACATCGCTCTAGTCGGCAGAATCTCTTGCTAAGTGGGTGGAGTTTCCACCAGATCGCCAGCCGTGCCCGAACCTCTCACCGGGTATTGTACCTACTGGAGACCGCTCTGTCGGGTCTTTGCACGGGGAACTTTCGGTCCTCGTGAGCAAACAGCAGAAGCTGGCTAGGATTGCTTTTTCTCCGGCGCAAGAGCCTCTCATGCATTTGGCTGCGCCTCACAGACTGCACGGGGTCGACCAATCGATGAGGTCTTGCCTTGCGGCGTCGAGACGGAAAACGCAGATGCACAGCCCCATCGCAGTGCGTACGCTGCGCAATTGGCAATCTCCCCGGAAGACCGCAAGGCTCCAGCAACCATATTAAAGACGCGACCTTAGCCTGCATGCGGCATAATGGCCGTGGGTGTCAGACCCCTCCCCCCCAGAGGGATATTTTTCTGCGTCCTAGACTCATTCTACCTGGGATCTTCACTCTAACACAGGGATCTGACCACTACCGCGAATAATTCTGTGGATATCCCAATGGAAGCCTCTGAGCTGACGACTGCTGTTGATTCAGACTCTTCCCACGAGATACCTGGGGCCACTGTCCTTTTTTGGATGGTTTGCTTTGCCATCAATTCCATGACCCAGCCAACCGGAGAAGTACTTGGCATCCGGTACAAGCACCCGGCTATACTTCGAAGCTCGCCTATCATTTGTGCAATCGACGCTATCGGTGTTCTCGTCACGTGGACTCATCTCGTCCTGAACCCCTTACTGAGGTTGTGTCGAACTTCACCGCGTACGTAATATTTGGTACACCGCCAGAAGAATATAAAGGTCTGATTCATTGAATCAGCAGTGAAGCTGCACTAAATATAAGAGAAACAGGGGTAATCTAACTATCTAAAAAAGGAAAGAGAAATAATATAATAAATAACCAAGCAGGCGCTAACTAATGGAAAGTTTAGTATTAAAGCAGAATACTAGTGGTTACTAAAGGTTAACACAATCCCTAGTATTAGCGAGGCCATGTACAGTCCAAATAGGTTAAAATATTAGCTATGTATAGGGATGCCTATTTTAGTCTATAATAAGGCTTTTTATATTAACTAAACCAAGTATCTTTATAAATTCTTGGTGTCAGCAGGACCCTGGACGCCCTGGCGAGTCTAGTGAGCGGGGTCAATACTCGCTTTTGGGTTCCGATTCTATGTAAGCATAGCTAGGATAGGTGGGCTGGACTCTATTACTATGCACTGCGAATTGGCAGCGCTGACTATCCAAACGAAGGAGAAGCAGGACAGTGGTTGAATCATTGTTTCCACGGAGTCATCAACTTGCCTCTAATCTGACCTGATATAGTCGACAGATTTCACAGATTTCTTGAACGAGCCAACAGCCAATGACATGATGCGTAGACTCTTAGACAGCAGTGCTAGCAAGGAGCTATGTCCTATGAGGAAAACAGTGGCGTCAAGGATGCATTGATGATAGGAGGCGCTGATTGGTTAATCCTGGAACGGGACGGAACTCCGGGCCTCCAGGCTCCGCCGTAAGAGATATTGCCTTAATTGGGAATAGAACAAAGAAAGATGACACTATAGATTGCTGGATCTCCCCAACTGCCTGATTTGTCTGAGCTGCAAAGTTACACTACAACGGAGACGTGGAGTCGTCTACTCCTAGTTTAGCGGTACGATGCTTCATATAAGGTAGACCTCTAACACTATGTTGTCATGGAAAGAAGGTGAAGTTTTTACCGTCGTATTCTGTTGCTGCAAAGGTAATTTCCTCGGATTTTAGAGGCGCTTGACACTTGAAACTAGCTCCATTTGTGCCTGCAGGGCTTTATTAACATCGCACTTTTGATAAGAGACATGGTGCCAAGCCCTCGTATTCGCAGGTAAGCAATGCACTGTGCAATGCTCCGTAGACACGTGATCCAGGTGCAGACAGAGGCATTCTCTGCAAAGGCTCACTCTACGTTTGACCAGGAAAGCGAGGGCGTGTGACCAGAACTACGCGGTTAGCAATCTGATCCACCAAAGGCCCGCCGGAGAGTGGTCCTCGCTGAACTTAACGCAGACGCATAGAGATTATGACAATGCTTGGACAGTATTTTCCGTGCACTCACAAAACATGAGCCTAGCACATAAAAGACATGGCCTCCAGGAGCCCATAGACTGGGTGCAGAGGAGCAGTTTGATCCCTCAGACACGGACAGGTACGACGCAGGAAGATGACACGGTTCAAGGACGGTCAAAATTGATCAACTACCTATCGCCGTCTTCCCCGTCCCGAACCCAAGAGATTGGAGCAATTGCGTTGTTGCCCTTTGATATCAGTTTTGAGGACAAGCATCTCCTGCACACTTGTCAGTCAGTAAATCCCGCAACCACGAACGCACTAACAACAGCAGACGCCCTGGCAGTGTCGACAGCCGTCTATGGAACCTCCCAGACGCCATATTTTAGCTCAATCCGTGACCTTGTCTTCCCAACCTGTTACTTCGCCCCGCTCGTCCTCCAATGGCCCCTGATCGAAGCCGAAGCTCATGTCCGTCGCCGCCGCCATCAGACAACTACGACCACAACAAACACATTCACGACACAGCGCGCAATAGCCGCCTACCAAGCCATGAACCGCTACAGAAATACCTGTAATGGCAACGTCACTGATGAGCTTCTTAGTGGCATCATCATGGCCATCGTGGCGGAGTTCAGGCTAAATGGGGCTGCGCTCGCACGTGTCCATATGCGAGGGTATTAATAGCTCGTTCGGATGCGGGGTGGAATAAAGCAAATCCTATTAAATGCGCCAGAACCCCTGATTCTGGCGGGCCAGATCATGCCATATATCATCTGCAAGCCTGACCATAGTGTTTATGGGCCAGGGGGAGGAGGAGGAGAGGGGCTAGAGGTTAGTGTTAAAGACGCAATGCACGCCTTTGGGATCGACGTGTATAATCAGGGGTTCTGGGCCGTTCTTCAGGACGAGCAGGTTTGCGTGTTGTTGTCGTCGCGGTGGCTGACGCCATACCTAAAACTGAAGAAGCAGGGTCCTGCAGCAAGTGGAGCATATGGAGATTTCGCACCGAGCACCTTCTGGGAGGGATTGGAGTAGTTATCCACCAAAAGCTTACTAATGTCTAGCGCCCTACCTAATTATGAACGTTCTCTGACGGTTTCGGGAGGATGTCGAATACGCGCGCTTTGCTGTTGCGCAGATCCACTGGGCAGTAGCAAAGAGCGCGCACATTAATGACCATGGGGAGATCTCGCTAATTATTGGTGGATTTATGTTGGCAACTATCAAGGCGCTGTTTGATGTGGACTGGGTGGTTGAGAGCACGCGAACAGTGAAGACGCAGCAAGCACAGGAGATTATTTCAGCGGTGGAGGCGCTAAAGTTTTTCAGGGCGATGGAAGACCAGTCGAGGTTGAGGACTATAGCGTATTTTTGCAGCCTCCTGAGCCTGTAGGAGAAGGCCGATGTTTATTGAGCTCGGTTATGAACGACCCATGGAGATTCTGTGGAGGAACGCTACGGTACTCTGTGGCACTGGTGCACATATACACGATGCCAAAGCCGGGCAATACTGGCAAAATACACAAAAACATAATGCCAAAGGTTCCAAAGCAACATCCCGCAACCTGAAAGATCCACTGTTAGCCCGCCCATTCTGCATCGAATGCAACCATAGACAATATAATATTCTAAAAAAAAAACCTACCTACCAGAATACTCCTAAGTAATGATTCATTGTAACTGCACTGGGCCAACCGTATCGTTTTCACGCTTCGCATCGTGTGTCGCATTGGGGAAATCAAACAATCAGCTGCATGGGCTCATCCAAGTATATCTAGATCCGTTCTTGAATGTCCACCATATACATCAGGCACATCTACTACTGTCGCTCCAAGCCTACTATGTCTTCAATAGGGAAAAACGAGCCTGTGATCTAACTACTGCGCCTCCCCATTGGCTCAAAGGGAAATACGCCCGCTACAATCGCCATGACGATGTAGAGTGCTGCGCAAATATACAGCGGCACCGAGGTTGAGGTCTGGTTTTCTTAGCGCGCATCCGGAGAAGAACGAAATAAGGAAGGTGAGAAAGACCTGGGCGAGTGCAATGAAGGGGAAGAGGGATCAAGGAACTTACATCCGCCTCGCGACCGACAATCGCGCTGACAATTCCCATGATCCGATTCAGACCGATCGCGATACCGTTTCCTGTGCCGCGGTGCGCGGAGGGGAGCACCTGTCCAACCACAACATTAGCTCCACATTCATTCGCAATTTCGTCTCGGATGGGGATATGGCGATACATACCTCCGGCGTGTACGCGTAAAGCGTTCCATAATAAATGTTCAAACAGAAATTAATCACACACGTAAACGCAACGTTCTGATCGGCGGTCCGCACAGCCGTGTAGCTGAAGAAAAACACCATGGTGACCAGGGCGCCGATGATCATCGTCCCGCGTCGACCCCAAAACCATCTCGACCGACACATGAACCCTGCGAGGATGGGACCGAAGATCCCACACATGTTTGTGATGGCATAGTTCCGCCACGTGATGTAGGGGCTATCTTCGCCGAATTGGGCCCCGCGGGATGCGAGGTATTGTGGGAGGAAGACGTTGAAGAGCGGATATGCGAGGCCGATGAGCAGCCAGGAGAACCAGATTAGAGTTGTTGAGAGGCCCATTTTGCGGGTTGCGTAGAGGCCGCGGAGGTGGAACGATAGTTCGCGCAACGAGATGATCTTCCAGGATTTCTTGGTACTGGATGTGCCGCTGTTTCGGGTGCGCGTTACGCCGCAGGCGGAGAGACGCTCGACGGTTAGACTGCAGGGCCGGTTATACTTCCTGGCGATATTCTGCAGGACGGAGACGACCTTCTCGTCCTTGCCCTCTGAGACAAGGAACTTGGGTGTTTCTTCCAGCCGTACGACGGTGACGCGCAGGATCGAGAGGACAAAGACGAATGCGCCCGAGGTGTACCAGACGTACCGCCAGCCCTGGTTGTTGTCGCGCGTGCACGAAGCAGCGTCTGCGCACGAGTAGTTGGGCATAAATGCCCAGGCGAAGAGGCCTGCGACGAGCTGGCCGACACCTGCCTCAATTAGTATGAAAGATAGGGAAGGGCGAGAGAGGTTGTTTACCCCACCAGGCCGCCATGAGCGTCACCAGCCACGAGTGCGTGCTGGGAAGGTACTCGAGGAAGACGGCTGTATCCAGCACGAGGTTTCCTCCCGCGCCGAACGCGCTCAGACACGTGAATAGACCGAGAACGATCCAATTCGGCGATGCGCCTGCGACAATGGTGAACACGGAGGAGATGAAGAGCGAAACGTTGAAAGCGAAGCGACGACCGATGACATCCGCAGAGAATCCCCAAAAGAGTGCGCCGACCAGCATACCCACATACACGGCGATGGTGAGACCGGTGTCAAAGCTTGGTCGGAACTCGAGGACGGCTTGCGTCGAGACGATGGATTGGAGGAGGAGGATGAGCGAGTCAACAGCATACCCGAAGCCATTGAGGCAGAAGAGCTTCCACTGGTGCGGGGTGAAGCCGATCTCGTCGATTGCCTGCAGAAGAAGATGGTTAGTAGCCGTGTAAAGGGCAGTCGCGCGTCTGTCGCGAGGATGTACCGGGCCGATTGAATCAATTGCTCAATCCTGCCGCTTGTCACGCACGTCGTTCACCAGAGCCATCTTCGCGGTCAGCACCGCGTCTAGCTTCTCTCCTCCGAGCAAGTCGCTGTCGCCGACGTGGACAGAGCGGTTTTCTGAGACCGATGGCGCATCTTTATTCTTGTCGTGGTCTGCTGCAGCGCGGGCAGCGGCAGCTTGTTCAACGTCCATTTTTCAACTCGCACTCGAAGAAACCGCGGGAAAACCACGAAAAAAAAGACAGGGGTATTCGGTATCTCCCGAGCTCCTCGAGCTCTGCCAGGGTATTTAAGGGACGAGTCACGACTGAAACACACTGGCACCAGGGCATCCCGCTGCAACGCGGGGCCACGATCGAGATATGGATCGGGCAGTGGATTGGACGGCGCAGCCCCACCCCCGGCAAAGACCAGCCACTGACCTCACACAACGCTGCAGGTGTGCACGCGCTGGATTCCTGTGGGCTGCCATTCGCTCCAACCCGGGCAGCTGGGCCAATCATTTCCCCTCGTGGCGCGGCCCTTTCAAGGGAGATGACGATCTCTGTGCAACGTGCTGATTTGCAGGTGCTGCAGAAGTGAAGGGCTCGACAAGCACCACGAGATCGAACATGTGCTAGGACTGATCTCAGCGTAACACCCGGCATGATGCGTATTATTCGCGGGCTTCAAATTGCCCTCCCTCTCAAGAAGTTTGAACCTGGAAGTTCCAGGGCAGAAACCCAGTTCCTGGAACCAACAAAGATCGCTTCAGCTTAGCCCCTTGGCGAACTTGGCACACGTCTTGCCGAGGATATGGCCTTGTCTTCCACGAGAGTTCGAAGTCAAGGCTTCACGTATATAAATTCGAAGAGAGACCTGAAGGAAAGAAGGGAAACATATTATTACCTGTTGCCGTAGCGAAGTTGATCTTGAACGAGATTCGAAGCGAGATGGGGGCTTTTATTGACGTTGGCGAGCACCCTTCGCTTCTTCCCTAAGAATAATGTGTACCATTAGGGGAGGCCCAAAGGCCAAAGCACTGTATAAGTACCATATCTCGCGCGGAACCTCTAGATCGCAAATATCTAAAAGCCCTCTTACTAAAATCGCCGGAGCATCGACGGGGGGTAAAGTGAGGGTCAGCCCAGGTCCATGAAGTCACTATATATCCTCGCAAATCCGGTGTCATTCCCGGTCAACATCGCTTCAGGAGCCGTTGCCGATGTTGGATATGTTTCCGGAGAGTGCTGCACTAGACTCAATGAGTCTTCTACCCGAGATCACAGGCTCCTCGCGGAGGCCTTTGACTGAGGTTGTAAATATCCTTTTCGAGGTCCTTGGCGTTTGCTCGGCGAGATCGTGGTGCGGAGGTCTGGCGCCTTCAGGCATTCAATGAGAATGTTGAATAACGTCCTGTCCGTGTCAGCCCAGGTTTCAATTTCACTATAACTTGTCAAAATACTCCGACTCCTGATGCAAAGAAACCAGTGTGCCACGAGGCGCAAAACCCGGTCCGCCAAAGTTGAATAGTACAGACCCCTTCTTCGGCTCCGGCTCCGTCGCTACTGGAACTCGCAGGGGTTGGAGATGGAGGGTTGCGTCGGACTCTGGCTCCATATAGCCAAGAGGGACTGTGAGGCTTGCACACTGGAGACCCGGAGCTTCGAATTCGCTCACCTCATGTTACGCGGTCTGTTTGTCGCGAGTCGGAACGTTTGAAAGCCGATGAGCAGCGAGGCCTGCAACACGATCGATTCCCAGCTCATGATGATCCCTGATTATTTCTGAGGGCCTTGTGGCTGATGAGATTGAATGCCATATTTTGCAGCGCGCAATAATTGTTTATATCGCCATGCCAGGACGGACTCGGATGCCATATTCCCTCCCTCAGCCGAATGTTCTGTCGGTCGGGCTGTGGGCAAAGGACGAATACGTGGACGCATCACGGCTCATCCGCTCGAACAAGAATTGCTATGCGCTGACTCTCGTTGCTAGTCTGTTCTTGTCTCCATTATTCAGCATCGTCGCTGTTCAGCCCTACCGGCCGATTACCCTAAAAAGCTGGATGGTGCGCTGTTCCGAGTCAGCTCGCAGCACAACCTCTCGGCACCAGTCCTCGTGGTATAGCGACTCTCGTAATCTCCAAAATCTCCAATCTGCTGATTGATTTATCCTTGCGCGGGGGCTGAAGTTTGAACTCCCCATATTGAATGTCAATATCGGCGGAGGCGTCGGCGAACACGATCGCGCTCCGACGTCCGTCTTTGCACCATGCTCTACGATCGACAGCGATTATTGATTTCCTCATGGAGGCAAGTGAGTCCAGTATCGCCACGCCTGGTAGATGCGGCTCACCTCATTCTCTGAACTTGGAATGCGCCTCGTCATAGGTACCCTTGCGGGAGCCGACCCTTGTCCCCACCGAAGACTGGCAGTAAGCGCCGGATGCCCAGTGGGGAAGTGGTTGTTAGAGTAATCACTGTACCGTAATCAAATGCGCCGCGGGCTTGGCCAATCATACTGTTGTCTATATATCTCTCCGGTATACGTAGCGGAGCGTATACGTTCCTGGGAATATTGTTTCCGACTTGAATTTCGAGTCGGGGAATGCATATAAAGGGCATCGCAGATCGCTGTTGGCCGCATTCTGATTCAGCATCTGTTCTAAAATAAAAAAGACACTATTATTTCTTCTCTTTCTGCGAAATGCGTGCCACGGCAATCACATCACTTCTCCTGGCGGCTTCGGCTGTCCATGGGCAGCCTACACCCCATAAGGAGAACCAGGCGATCTACGTCTTGACCAACAACCATGAAAATGCAGTCATCGGACTGCCTATTCAGGAGAATGGCCTGCTAGGAGAAGCTGTTGCGACCTTCACCGGTGGTGCTGGAGAGGCTGGCGTGGACTCCGATGGAGTTCCTGCGGGCCCAGATTCGCTCTTCAGTCAAGGCGCTGTGGCTGTTGCCGGCGAGGTACATACCCCCTCTTCCATGTGTTATGGGCCAGTAGCATGCTGATACGTAAATGCAGTATGTCTTTGCAGTGAACCCGGGCGACAGCACCATCAGCCAACTAAAGGTCAACCGACATTCCCCTTCGAAATTAACCCTGCTCGACACCGCGAAAATCCCCGGCCAATTCCCCAACAGCGTCGCCGCAACCGCAATGGGGAACCTAGTCTGCGTAGGCGCAACAGGCACAGAGGCCGGCATTTCCTGCACCACATTCAGCGATCATGGCCTCGGCGACTTCGACGCCCTCCGCCCCTTCCACCTAAACCAGACCACGCCCGCCACGGGACCACCCAATACACTGTCTCATGTCCTGTTCAACACGGATAGTACAGCACTCTATGCGCTTGTAAAGGGCGACGGTACACCTGAAAACCCAGGCTTCATCTCTGTCTTCCCAGTGCAATACGGGTGTAAGCCGAAGAGTGCTGCCCAAGTCTCCCTCGACGGGATCCGCTCCTCGCCCGCGGGAACGGGTCTCCTATTCGGTGCGGCGATCGTTCCGTCTAGTGGTCTGCTCTTCGCGACGGATCCGGGATTCGGTGTTTCAATTCTTGAGGTTAATACGCAGACGCATACTGCGATTTCACGCGCGAATACTAAGATACCAGATCAATCCGCTACGTGCTGGGCTGCATATTCACCCAAGTCCTCAAGTGTATTTGTGACAGATGTGAACGTCAACCGCCTCGTTGAGGTTGATGCTGAGGATGGTAAGGTTTTGTCCATTGCGAACCTTCCAACCGAAGATCCGGGGCTCGTGGATCTGTGGGTTGTCGGAAATTTTCTCTATGCACTCAGTCCGGGAAACAGGACGACGGATGCGGCGGTCGTGGTGTATGATTTTGACACGGAGAAATTGGTCCAGAGGGTTAGTCTTGAGCATCTTGGCGCGGGCCCGAGTGCAATGGGGATGGCGTATATTAGAATTTAGCCGCGATGGTACATGAGCGTCAGCCCTGGACGGGGATTGTTTAAGGCATGGAATGGCCAGTGCCCGTTCGTTAGCACCGAGATTGTAGAAACTCCTGTGAAGTCGGTGAAAGACTAATTAAGATCAACTGATGCATGTATTTCTAGTTCTCGGGCGCGATCTAGGTTGATTAAAGCTTACATGAGTGACTATCAAGCACAAGAAGGTGGTACATGCTAGGAGATTATCCAACACAAATCTCCTTTTGGCATAGCCCAGGGTTTATCAAGTCTAACCGCCCATGAGCGTAGCAAGAAATGCCCGACGTCAACTGCCAAGAGGACTTGGTCAATAGCTGAAGCATGCCAAAACGCGGCGTGAACGCGTCAAAAAAAACGCGGTTAGCAAAAGCCTGTCAAAGGTGTCACTCCGAAAGATAAAATGCAACGGAGGAGATCCCTGTATGACGTGTGACCGATCCAGCCAGGAATGCCTCTACAGAGCTGAAGCTGCCCGACGGAGAAGGCACTCTCTATCACCTCCCCGCTCGCCGAATGGGACGCAGAACCCTGTATCCGTCGTCATACGATCGAGCCCACCAGTCATTTTCAATGGAAACATGCTGCACACAGGTCTACCTGTTCAGTGCCACGAAACAGATGCATTAAGCTTCTATGGTAGTTAACCAATCATCTCATCTAAGGGGCTTGTGACACTGACTTGGCACTTGGCTCGTAGGATCCTTATCGAACCACTGTGTATCCGGCAAAGTAGGCTTTCGTCCCCAAAAGTCTTCAATGCCTCGATGAACGGTCCAGCCTTGCTCAATCAGCTGATTGCCGAATGCGCTCCTGAGATCCTCTATGCTCCAGTAGGACAAATTCCTGTAATCCATTTGTATACCAGCGAACAGCTTGTCAACTAGGTCTTGAAGGTCAATATCAGCATGGATCTTCTCCATGAACGCTGGGCCGAAGGAGATCTCTCCTGTCGCAAACTAACAGCCTGGCTTCAAAACAAGGGCCAGGTGGGTCGCTGTCTCGGACCAGTCCTCGGTATCTTGAACCCCCTGTACCACAGCGATAGCATCGTAATATTTATTCGGCTTGTCATCAACATACTCCCAACGCCATGTACCCAGCCTGCCATTTTTACCTGTTTCCCCTGCGAAGCACATGTTCCGAGCCCGCTCGATAACGTCAATGGATTCGATCTCGGCCTCTGGAGGGAGGCGGCTTGGAAGATCTTGTACAAAGCCGCAGCTTTCATTAGACTCCCCGATCAACAGCACGCGTTTTGCGGATGAGAGCTGCAAGCGATCGTAAACCAATCTTTGAGATCGGCTACCTGATTCCACAGATAAGGAAGCCCGCCGCGGAAGACAGCAGCACACCATCCTGCCTGATCTAGAATCACGTCTCCAAATCTCTCAGCATCAGGTGGCTGCAGGGCCGGCCATTGATTAATCAATGCAGACTTGCGCATTTTGTTGCAAGTGACTCACGAGCCCCTGGATCTTTGATCAGTAGCAGAGTCGTTTATAAGAATAGGGTTCGCAGCCGGGGCTCTAGTGGCCCTTAAATAAAACAAAGAGACCAATACTTAAGTAGGTATAGAGATGTACCTTAAGTGCCAACATAGCCACGGGAGATAGGAGCTAGGAGCGTGGCGGTGGCTTTTCCAGGGTGGTGGGTATTAGGGGGCTGCGGGTTGTTCAGTGCCATCCTTTCCGGCTTTGTCGGCCTTTAGCCCAGAAAGCTCCGAGCGTACTAGCAGTGGGGTAGGACTTGTTAGAATAGTGGGTAAGCAATTTTCTAGGTAAAGGCGCCCTCCCTTTTTAAAACCATTGAAGGGTAGGAAAGGGAAAAAAGGAGAAACTAAAAAGTCGGAAGAGCGGAAAAGTGTGGTAGATATGGCCACGCGGCACTGACCTCCATCATAAAGATTTAGAAAGTAATCTTGCCGCGGCCATATTTTGCCTTGCGTGACCGAAGTGGACAAAACTACACGAAGACTACCGTAGCCATCGAGAAATCTTGCTTTGCTAGTTTCATGCTCTCCACATGAGTCTCATAGAGGTGAGGTTTATTTTTCCCGTCTTTCAAGGTGGTATGGTATGACATTCCGTTAAATCGCCTGCTGTCAGCCGGGCCGTTGATCTAGGTGGAGGATCTGGAAAAGTTGAGAGGTCTGTCATTCTGAATAACTGGGGAAACAGCACTATTTAAGCACAGGAATTGACTAAACTAAATAAGGAAACAGGGGCTATCCAATATTACTGCTCCAATCGCTGTATCTCGTGAGTCCTGAGAGGAATGTTCGATGGAATGGTGAGAGGAATGCTTGCGCGGGGTCCGGAGCCAGGGGCTCCGGCCGACACCTGCACTGGTCCCTAATCTATGTCTGTCAGGCGCGTTTATAGTATACTACCGCCATTCACCTTAAGTATCTGCCCTGTAACCCAAGCGCTATCGTTTGACCATAGCATACTAACCACCGCTGCTATCTCTGCTGCCTCTCCGATTCTTTTGAATGGGTTGTGGCTCGCGAGCATCCGAACCTTCTCATCGTCCATGGCATGGTAAAGGGCGTCTCTACCTGTTGGTCCAGGGGAGACGGCGTTGACTCGAATGCCAGCAGTTGCAAGGTCTCTCGCCAAGGCTCGAACTGTCTGGTTCATGGCACCTTTCGTGGAGACGTACAGGAGGAATTGTGGTAGAATGGTGGATGAGTCGGTCACATCACTCGAAATGAAAATAATAGTACTGCCAGGACTCATATGTGGTACGGCTTGCTGGGCGGCAGGAAATATGTCTGTTAGCTGATGACTGGCGGGAAAGATAGTGATCATGATTAATGAATATAACGTGGGGAGAAAGAAAAAGCAAGATAAATCAACAGAAAAGATTTTTTTGACGGCGAAAGGCAAAAAGGTTAGTATTTCTCACCTTCGCAAGGAAACAAGGGCCCTTCACGTTAACAGCGAAAGCTCTATCAAAGTCCTCCTCAGTCATCGTGCGTAGGCTGCAGTTTGGAATAAACGCGGCATTAGGAATTAGGACATCAATTTGTCCAAAGCGTGATATAGTTGCATCAATCAGCCTAGCAATCTCTTCCATCTTGGCAATATCGGCTTGAAATGCGAGTGCATGATCATTCCCAATTTCCACAACGACATTGTTGGCCGCTTGCACATCACTCAAGTAGTTGATAACGACGTTGGCCCCTTCCGCAGCGGCTTTAAGGGCAATGGCTTTGCCAATCCCCTTAGATCCACCAGTGACAACCACCACTTTTCCTGAGATAGTCATGGTTGGACAATGTTTCGGTGTAAACCCTGTCCAGTTGAAAGGCAATGATGGTAATGAATCGGCAAGCAGATTGTGAAGAAACATGGAACAGGGAGAGGGCACAATATATACCAGGTCTTTAACAGACTCCTTGCTCCGAAGAAGGCCGGTCCCCCTCTCCCTATTCTAATATTCCTCTTCTTTACACCGAGCGTCGGAACTGGAAGACAAATTTACATTAGCTGTTTCACGAACTCGAAGTAAAAGGGCCTAAGGATTACCGATTGGACAAGAGGGGTGGGTTGATCGGACACTCAATGGCCGGGACACCGAGACAGTGAGCGCATGACCTACTGGGCCTGTGTGTTTCAATGCTTTTCCGTTGCTATCTTTTTCCCATGGACCCCGCCAGCAGTTTGCTGAAGCGGTCCGGAGGACATCCTACACCAGAAAGAGAAAGGCGCTGCCGACTTGCTCAAACAATCCGCCTTTTCAATCATCAACTTCTAAGTACTTCTACTTCGATAAAATCCCGCAGTGGAAGTATTGGATATTCACCGGAAGTTTACTTTGGTATTGAATTTTTGCCAAGTATCCGGGTTCTCTACATATTGTACTGAAAGCATGCCCGCCAGTCATTGAACATTCCGTATTTCTTCCCCCTGTCGTTCTTCTATTTTATTACCCTAATTCAGTGGTCTCAAGGCTTACATCGTATCTGCGTACCGTTTAAGTGCATCTGCCAAGAGCACCTGAAGCTTCCATACAGCGCGACGCTCAAAAATCAGAGCCCATACGTAAACCAACCTGGAGTGGTAGGGTTTCTCCGAGGGGGCAGGACCTAGGTCGACCTCTAGCAGAACCTCTTGGGCCAATTTGAATGTCTGTCGCTCATGGAGGGACCAGTCAAGCTCGTGGCGACCTGAGTCTTCTTCAACCACACACACGAAAACAGGCCTACAATGTGAAGTACCGTTCGTCAACTGTTTTTTGTTTCTATCTCCAGTAATGGTTCAGTCATGGGAGATTTGTACTCACAGCACTCAACTGAGAATATGAAGGCTTCCAAACTTTGGCAACAGCCAACCTGGGGTACTTCTAGTGCCATACCCAATTTAACGCGTGACTTGAGAGATCGTAGTGCATGAGCGGCAATATTGGACGCCGCCTCGACCCGTTCAATAGGGATATGTAGATGCTCCATGCTTTGAGATATCCTTCCTGCGTTATGAGAGAGGATGGCAGCTCGGACTGGCGAGAAACCAGCACCACACCACATGTACGCCAAGGAAAGCAATGCTGCTGAGATTGTAGTTGTAGCGTTGTGCGGTCTGCATGAGGGCAGTGAGGATTCCAGGTTGCCCTCCCAGGCGGCCTCCCATTTTCCAAGAGCTTGACTGACAGTCTTCAAGCAGGACGCGAAATGTTCAGCCTCCAACCAAATATTTTGTCGCAGGGTCCAAAGGTTTTGCTGAATTGAATGGAGCAATACATAAGATCCAAAGCCGCTAACAGTTCCACATGGTCGAACTGAGTGAGGGAGAAGGCTCTCCAATGCTTCCTTGAAGCGGGGTTCGTCTCGGCACTGGCCAGTCCGAACCTTGGCCCATATCTCGGGAGTCCTGCTGGTCCAGTCCGCTTCATCAGACGGAAGGGGAAGATCTCTCATTTCGTTGGCTAGGAGTAGTGGCGGAATGTTGAAGCATATAGTCAAAAGACCCAATGACGTATATGCAGCCCATTTGGTCCTATCAAACCAGTTACTCTTAAAATTTCGCAGGATTCCATAACTGCGAAACCATGATGAGGGATGCAAGAGCTATTACCGTAATATTATTTCATGCTCAATCCACCTGGCCCAAATCTTGCGTACCTCCTCGCCGTCCCTGCCGGGGTTTCTTGCACCTCGGTTGCCGCGGACGATCTGAGGGAGTTTCAATCATATACTTCAGCACAAAGGCCTGTGGTGGGGGGGTAGTTTACCGTCGAAAAGGAAAAGGCACTCACATTAGCCAAAAGCGATGCCCATGATAATGCCTCTTGAAATTTTCCAAATTCCCCACTTCTCATACCGTATGTTGTGATGATCAGGATCGATTGAGTAACCCATGTAGGGTGCTCTGAGACTCCCGGAGACTTTCCTGCAATCTATAGTCCAGTTAGCTAATATAAAAAGCGGTTGATAGCGTTGATTTGCATTTTTCGTAAGCGCACACATTGCTGCTCTGTACAGAACATGAGCAACGCGGTGCTCCTGATAATACTCTGCACCCAGAGCGGCCATGCTCAATAGTAAACAAGGCGGCGCATTTTCAGCCTGCCATGTCGGAGCGTGGGTAAAGGGAAGATAGTCAAGCAAGCAGTCAAAGCACCCGCCAAGGAACCTTTCCAGCCTCAAGCAGGAGGGGAAATTCGAGAAATTCCACGCCCCCACCTATGACAACTTTGATCAGTTAAAATACGGCGCAGGGAACACAAACGCAGATGGTAGGAACAGAAGTCGGATACTTCACCTGACGAGAGTTTACTGACCAGCTCTGGCACCCCCTTTGCCTCCGCCAAAAGTCGATCTCTCTTTCTCTGTGACACCTCAAGGGACCCATGCCAGGAAAGCGGGTCAGATACCAACTCAGTGTGATCGATAGGAATTGAAGTGCCTGCGCTGGAGAGTAGGTAGCTGTTCTGTCAATTTGTGCAGAATGGATCTAACCTGGCCAGGAGTCCGAGAACGTTGCGCCCAATGCAGATGGAATCTCTGCATTTGGGAGTAAAGCATCAAGTACGAAATTCTCCATAAGGCGGTCCTCATCATTCACACCAGCGGTCACGGACATGTCAACGGTGTTTCTCCCTTGGGTGTAGCACAGATCGGGAGGAATTTGCGGCCTTGTTGCTGGGTTGTTGGACGTGATCTCTTGAATCGCAGGTTGTTCAGGCTCTGTGGCTGCCTTTATGGCGCCTTCCGCAAGACATTGGGGTATAGCAGAATGGAATCGGAGATGGTGTCGCTTAATCACATCTTTTCGGCTAAAGGTAGCATCACAATAATTGCAGCTAAATGGTTTCTCCTTACGATCTGATAACAATCAGCGGACGGGAAAGTATGGCCGTAGGTATGAAAGCTGACTGACGCGAACGCTCATGTCTTGTAAGATGCTCAGTGCGTGAAAATAGGCGTCCGCAATAGGAACACCTTAATGGTAGGGCCCCTGGACCTCGCCTCTTACTGATCAAGCTCATCAGTTTCTCGATCCAGAAGGAACGACGTTGTCTTCGCAATCGAAATACTTCCAGGGCTTGTGGATTATTGTGGAATACACATGGCAGCTCCAATTAATGGAATTTGCCTGGCCGTCCTTCGTCCGCAGTTACAGACATTACTCGTCTTCTGAGCATGATTGCCTCATTTTTTTTGGATGGACTTTCGGGTTTTGCGGCTTTTGCTTTCATCATCTACGGGTTATTCTGCAGCAAAGTGGGGCGCTGCTGGACGAAGCGTCCCAGTCAAATGCCAACGCCGACGCCGACGCCGACGCTCAAGGCGAAGGTTGCGCAATCATTTTGGTAGTTGTCATTTGTCTATGACAAAGACGACCAGGTTAATAAAGATTGTGTTGAGGAGCAAGGTATCCTTGGATGAAAGACGTGGTCCTTTTGACATTAGTACTCGTGAAACATGCCCTAGTTATGTATCACCAAAATGCGACATGGTCCAACTTGCTTTATTTATTATACACTACCTCTAAATATATAAAGACAGAAATAAAAATCATGGCTGCAAAGCAACCCACTTTCTTCATTACTCTACCAGGCTCATTGACGTGGGCTTCTAATATTCTTGCTGACATACATGATATAATGCTAAATTTTCTGTCTAGCATCACACCGCTGGAGTACAAATTCCAGGGAGTCTCTCTTTTCTTCTTCTTTTCTTTTCTCCCCTATACACAATATATGTAGTTTCGCCGTGGGCATGGAAGTGATGCGGATCTTGTTCAAGATAGAGTCTCGTATGAACCTTTCTTTGGCCTAGAAGCCACCTTTCTTCATCATCTCAACGACCTTCAAGAAAGCTTGCTGGCGCTGCTGCTCCCAGCTATTAAAAGCGATAGTAGATAGGCCGATGGGAATCTGTTCATCCCCTGCCAGGAGCTTTTCCATTGCCTGTATACCGAAATCAGAACCTGAGGACCAAGGGGGCATTGCAAAGGGTGGCCCCGTGCACGGAAGATAAGACCAGAGCACAATAGAAAGATACACTTACCTCCTCAGTGAACTGATCCGCTGGGATGCCCATAGATTGCCCGTGTGCGCCCATGTCAGGCTGGTGCTTCGCGTCGTGCAGTTCGGCTGCAATCCAGGTGAGTAGACGTCTTATCAATTGTGAGAGGTTCGCTGGAAAAGACTAAACAATACATACTCTGCACAATAGGCGGGAAGATCTCAATAACTTTGATATTTGATCCCTTCAACTGCTCACGTAGGCAGAGTATCCAGTGGTGGAGAGCTGCTTTGGACGCGCAGTAGTTTGAGCATCGGAGGATCGGAACCAGGGCTAGATTAGATGAGGTGCTAGATAATTGTGTCGAGTCTTTAGTCGGCGTTTCATCGAGCATCGGCTTTTGTGGGCCACAGTTACTTACAAGATAAACGACACTGGTGTATCCCGTTTGGACATAAAAAAAGGTAGAAGCTCCTTGGTTAATGCGACATAGGAGGTATAGTTTACCTGTACGAAGCAGGGATGTTAGACCTATACTTTTAATGACGTTGCATTTTATCCTCAGCCGGCGCCATGCTTCTCACCGTCAGTTCGTCCTGGATCGCCTTTATATCAATTTCACTTGGCTCGCTGAAGACCGACTGCCGCTGGATTCCCGAGTTGATGAAGACACAATCCAGATCAGGATGGGAGTCAGTCACACTAAAGAAGCCCAATAATACAGGCCATATTAGTACAAATCAATACGGAACTCCAAAACCCTCAGGCTCTTCTGACGACGCACCTCTTTGCAAAGGCGGCAATAGCATCTAGCTTGCTGATATCAAACTGGAATGCTGCGGCTTTCGCCGTGCCATATTCCCGTACGAAAGAATCCAGATTTTCCTGGCGTCGACCCACTGCGATAACGAAGCGCCCATTTTCAACAAGACTTCCAGCTAAAGCGCGGCCAATACCTGCGATACCCTGTCAGTGCCTCATATTGTCAGGTGGCGGTATCAAAGCTTTGCGGCCAAGGCCGGGGTGGTGTAGCCTATGGATGTATACCAGAAGTAGCTCCGATGAGAAGTATCTTCTTATAGGGAAACGCCATTTTGTCGGATCGCAGTGCGACGAGTTTTGTGATCACAGAGAAAGTGCACTTGGACCGGACTGATTTCAAACTTGCGACTGAGCACCTCCTTTTATGACGGCCGTGAGCTGACTTCTCGGTGTAAGGTGGATTTTACCCCCTCCGCAACTGCTGATTTCTCTTCCAACCACTACAGAGGGCGAGCCCCCCTCCGCAAATCCCTTTACCCCAATTCGACGATAAAGATCCCATACAAAACTCTTCATGTGCCTCGTTCATACTTTTTTCGTCAGTCTTTCATCGACCACTATATCCAGAACCTACCCTTGAATGCGGCACTCTGGAAAAGGGAGCCAGAGAACAAAACAATGGCGTCCTGACTCGACATACTTTCTACCCCACCAGCGGTCAGATCTTATTCTCCTGCACGGCTTTTGGAAAATGAAGAAGTAGCCACTTGCACTTGAAGACGGCTCTATCAGTGGAGAAATGAAGTCTTCGGATTCTGGATTAATTCACACCGTGTACGTTCGGCTTTAGGAACTCGTAAACCCGAACACATCTGTCCGCTTCTATTTTATGACAGGGCCGTAGCTGCGGAATGAAGCTACATTGGCTTAAAATACATTCCCCAGCGGAAGTACGAAACTTATGCGTTTATTTTCGACAACGCTCGGAATTGTTTGATAGGCACCTTGCACTGCGATACGATCTCCCTCAGCAACCCGGGTGGAACATTTGAAGAGGGCTGAACGTCTAAAAAGGTGGCCCACTAAACCAGCTATATCAACAAAGGCTTGCCCTGCACTCTCAATAGCAGTCGGTGCCCCTTTCGAAGGACTTTACCAGTAGCGACCCAGGGATCCGCGGATGGGTGGTACTCAGGACGCAAACTTAGTCGAGATCGTGGGCACGGCTGAAGGGTCGACTAAATGTTTTCCTACGGTTGGACTAACTGTACTGAGGGCCATGTCAAAAAAAGATGTGTTATATAATTATGGCCAACCTCTTCTTCTTGATCATTGTTCTTAACCTTCTCTCTTGACCCAGGTTTTCTGGCGCTGAGTTTGTTCCATCAGGAAACTATCTGCCAGCATATTTGACCCGGGAGCCCGATTACTTCTGATGATATTGGAACCTCAAATGACAATAATAGGCTTGTTGACGCTGGGCATGCATGGAGATGCTCGGTTTGGTACGGAGGCCGCTCATGGCTCCTTCCTTGTCAGAGTCGTGCAGCCGGTTGGCAGCTTCAAATTCCTTGCTTCTAGGATGCCGATTCACAACAGCAGCTAGTAGGCATGTTACGTCTCTTCAGGTTCTTCGCCGGCTGCGCAAGTTCGGCTCCCCTCATGATTGGCGGACGGACATTTGCCGATATCACAACAATGTAGGCCACAGGCTTGTCTTGGGACTTTCCTCTCTCAGCCCTGTCTTTGGACCTTCCCTTGGGCTCGTAGCCGTCAGTTTGGTTGCTACAACCGTAGGGTGGCGATGGACCTTCCATATGCCTGTCACCTATGACTACCAGCCCTCTCCATAATTTCCATTTTACCACTATGTGACTAGGACACGGTCAATTCATGGCACTTTCTGTCACAGCATTAATATTCATGCAAGGCACGAGTATCAACCCCGTGTGCAACGTGAAGGCACAATCCACGTTCTCCAGATGCAGCTCTACCACGCACTGCATTCGGTCCCCAGCGCGATTTGCGGCTCGTCGCAGCACAATTTAAACCATTTAGACTGCTTTGTTTGCACCTGTAATGCTGCTGCTGAACTTCGCTGTCACATTTGCCCTCGGTACCTCCTTCCTGTTACATACCACTTTTTCTCCGTGTTCCAGCAGCGATATGGCTTCTTGACCGGCAAGAATGGTCATAGATGTCTCTAATTTTCATCGCTACGAGCAAGGCGAATCTCTCATAGCCCATTAAAAACGGATAAATGGTCCAGAAGTCTGAGTGGCCGTAATGGCGTTCTTCGTTTCTGCGATTTCCGCTGGGGTTTTCCTTCTAGATGCTGGTCGAGCTTGACTTGCTCGACGCTCTGGAACACGAACCTGCCGCTTTCTGACTGGCCTGCCTTACAACCAAATCCCACAGTCACTCGCAGCGAGGTTTTTTTGCTCTTCTCTGGATGGCTTTTGTACAATGTTATTAGGCTGGGTTGGGGAATAGTCTCCTCAGTTCGGCGACCCTCTTGCATGCCAAGGTTGTTTCCACAAATACCTGGCTCGAACCTTGTCGAATTCAAACAAAGCTTACTTAATAAACCTTTTTCTAAGGTGGCAAGGCTATCTGCTATCTCCGAACATGCGGTTGCAAATTTGGTGGTATTCCCTGTTTAGCCCAGTTGAGGGGACTGTACCTAGGGACGTTGAAACACACCTTCCGGGAGCAGACTAGTTAGTACCAGCTTTTTTTTTCTCATCCATTCGACTTACAATCGGCGGATCGGATATGTCGGCCCTCCGATGCTCCGATAGCCCCGATCCTATTCCTGTGACCACCTTTGTTGGACAGGAGAGGGCGGGGAAGCGAGCTGCAAGAACTAGTTCATTGGCTGCAGATCATGCCTTCTGACGGATCTTAGCCGGAGAGCGAGACCCTGTCCTGTCTGCATTAACCATTTCAGGAGACTGAAGCGCGTCACCAAAACGCAACGCCGTTCTTGTATCAGAGCGGCACTTTTGAGCGAAGAGGCCGCTCGCAGGTACTTATGTACACGACGATACTCGCAACAAGTCCAGGTCCTCAATCAGTCACAGTTATGTCTCCGGCTTTGCCAGTTCGATTGACCTGCCAGCCTTGTGCGAGACGCAAAGTAAAATGCGACAAGAAGAGTCCTTGCACCAACTGCCTGAAGCACAAAATCCCGTGCGTTGCCGTTGAGCGCCCCCGTTGCCCACGCGGGCGTTCAGGGAAACGCGCAACTAGCCATCACGAACAGTTGCGCGATCGTATAGCGAAGCTGGAACAGAAGATACAAGACTTCCTACCATCATCAGGAGAAGGCAGCGCTGAGATGATCAGCGATGGTTGCGGAACTATCACGCTTCAAACTGGAGGGTCACCCAATCCCTTTTCGGAAACCGTGCAGGCAACTCGAGACTTGGCGGGTCCAAAATCGGTGAGCAGCGCGTCTTCACGCTGAAAGGCAGAGCTGTCTAAGCATTTGAATAGTCACTGATTCCATAGCCCGCCGCCAATGGTGACGATGCGCAGAGGATGGAGATTGCAAGTCATGATGTGACGCATGGGGAAAATCTAGGTGATTTAGGAGTGCCGCTTTCGGAGCCAGTACGTCGGAAAGTACTCCTCGATGTTTACCTTGTTCATGTCGACCCAATATTGAAAATCCTGCACCGCCCATCTCTCTGCGCCTATCTCAATGACAGAAAAAACTATTTGGGATACCCACGAGAGCATCCTGTGCCTGCGGCACTGGCCGCTGCCGTGTTCTATATGGCAACCTCGGTCCTCTCTGAAACCCAGTGTCTGACTTTTCTCGCTGAAGGAAAACAGACAGTTCTGACCAGGTACAAAAGAGATACAAAAACGGCCCTTGCACAGGTCGATTTTCTTGTGACTACTGATCTGACAGTATTGCAAGCATTCGTGCTTTCTTTGGTCAGTTCATTATAAATGTTTGAATGACTACAGGGCTAACTGCAGGCGCAGGTGGCTGCACGCACTCATGACCATAGCCGACGGCCATGGACAATGCTCAGCCTAGCCCTCCGTATAGCGCAAGGACTGTCATTACACATGACTGATCCCCCATTTCCAGTGACGCCTTTTGAACGTGAGATGCGTCGCCGCCTGTGGCAGGTAATTGGCTGGTTAGACCTTGAGGCCTCGTTGTACCACGGAACAGAGTGTATGATGCAGTCGGCGTGGATCATGAGCCATACCCTCACTAACGTCAACGTAGCGACTTGGGATCAGTAACAGAAGAGCAGTTATCAGTTGTCTCAAGCGGACAAAGCGAGGCAACTCTTCTCAGGATTTTCGCCTACGGTCAATGCGCTCTACGCTCCTTGGATTTGTCCAACTTTACCGAGCCAATTGTTACCGACATTCACATACGCCAGCAGGTGGTGGATCAATTCCGTCACCTGCGGATGGGCTGCTTTCCGGCGCTGATACCGAGAATATTGATTTTCACTGGTTTACAAACCGAGTTAAGGAGCAGATCTCCGGTGTACTGCAGCTTATTGCTCTCCGACCTCTCCAGAGAGGTCCAAACTTCGTCCCAGCAGACCAGCCCAGCCCTCAGATCCTAGCCATTGCAGCCGAGATTTTAGAACAGCGACAGAAACTTCATAACGATCCTCGGTCACTGCCCTGGCGCTGGATCGAACCGTTGTACTTCCCTTGGCATGCGCTCGTTGTCGCCGTGAGTGAGGTGTCCGTCTGCATGGATCGATCGCTGATCGACAGATACTGGCCTACAATCGAGTATAGTTATAGCTTTTTCCAGAAGCAGGCCATCTGTGGAGATTTCGACCGGGTTCTGACGCCCATGGAGAGGTTGATGAGCAACGCTCGAGCTGCACGGGCATTGGCCTTTGCCAAAGAGTCACCAGGCGGTATAGTGCCCCATATGGATGTGCAGATGTCGCCCTTCGAAGGCTCTGTGCTGTCAGGTACTCTGCCAGCTGGACTGGCCACGTCCTCCAGAGAGGCGCAGGGGATTTTTCAAGTACAAGCTCCTGACATCATCGCGTGGGCGCCGTATACGGGGTTCGATGAGAGTCTCTGTTAGATGAATACCGGTCTGCCAGTGTGCGCGCCGGTCTACCTGTGATTACTCACGACCATCAACGACATGAACTGCTAGTTGCATGATTAGCATCCTAGAAAATGTAACATTACTTTAACTCATCCCCCGTAAAGTGAAAGTGATTCCCGCCACCATAGTCTTTGTACCTAGCTCAGCCTAGCTAAAGATCGACTACAGAGAACACAGATCAGTGCAATGCACGGTTGACGCTTACTCTGGTCGCCATCCATCTCGGTTTGGAATAAAGCCCGCAACTCCTTCGCCGTAACCCTCCCAGCCATCAAATTCAGTTACATATTTGATCGCCGCTCTCAAATAAAAATCATCCTTGTGACCAAATGTCTCCTGAAAGACTTTTGGGGCGCGCACGACTTTGAAGAAGTGGGCATCCAAAGCCCACTTATGAGCTAACGCGGTTTCAATGACCCAGTCCCAGTTGCGACCATGCAACTGAACGTCTTCGATCCAGTCGAGGAAGAAGCGAGGCCGTAGCTGACAGATATAAGTCATGAGTCCAAATAGAGAATACTGCTTCAAGATTGAGACGCGGCGATCTTCCGGGAAGTAATGCCACAACACTCGCAGAGCATGAGCAACAGTCATGATGTGGACATTGAAAAAATCAAAAGAGTCCCGTGGATTTCCATTACTCAGGTCAAGTAGAACAGATAGGTCGCAACACTCTTCCAGGTGGGCCAACAGCTCGGTGGGGGAAGCTTGCCAGGCATTCCAGTGTTCGAGCACAACAGCAAGATTCTGCTCCTGGCAAAGGACATCGAGGTTGGTGATTCCAGGGTCGACAAACAGGTCGTTTAACCGTGAATCTTGTCGCACATTCTCGAATATCTCCGTCAGGGACGGAGTTTTATATGTAGACTTGTCTGGATGTTCCCGGTCAAGGACAATATGCATGGGATTATACTCCGTGCAGCCCTGGCTAAGGGCTTGAGCCGCCACCTCCTTGCTGCGGAACTCATATGCATAGGCGAGATGGATAAATGGATGACCTACTGCTCCTCGCCATCTGGGTCAGCCTTGCTGCTTGCCCGTGGCAAGAGATAGCAGTGGCGTCACTTACAGCCTCCAGTGAAGCCATTCACAAGCGGTGAAGGCCCCGAGTAGAGATATTCTTCAAGAACCTTACCCCAGTTTCCCCCTTTCTCCTTGATTTCTTTATCAAAAAAATCCTGATAGGCCATGGTGTACCTAATTCAATTGTTCAGCATTCTTCTCATCCTATATAGCAATGGAGCGAAACGAACAACGCACTCTTTACAAGCCAGGAAATCTCTCCAATTTTCCTTTGACACAGCCTGGCCTCGGATGAACCCTCGGGCGATGGGGACCAACTGAGTGATTTCGTGTTCGTATGTCCTGGTCAATTGGTCGCTACCGGCACCTAGTGCATACGCAGATCCAAGGAGCTGAAAATCGGAGGAGTCAATGGACCAAGCCCGACAAACTATTAACCGTGACGCAGTGTTAACAACTTACATGGGGCAAGTGGCTGTGAAGAATCAGCTCGGGGTCACGCAGCGGTGCGACCGTATTATGGCCTTGAATTAGGAGCTCCCGCAACTTCTGGGTTCTCTCATCCGGGAACTTGGTCACATCATAGATGGGCACTGGTTTGAGGTCTCTCGACCTGGAAGCTGGTGGGAGCCTGATCGATTTCTGAGCAGGAACGGGAGTGTTAGAAGCCATTGGTGGTACTTTGGACATTTGAACAGCTTGAAGATGTAACTTTGCTGCAGAGCGCTTCGAAATATATGCTTTGATCTCAAACAGTCGACTACAAGATATGTTTCTTTGGGTAGTCGACCACCGTTAAATACCGCCGTCCTCCGGCATTAGAGGTCTTCTGACCTTGCTCGCAAAAACGCACCCTTTGACATAGCCTAGGATATCTCGGCTATACAATCATACTGGGTCAATGCTGCTGATCCTTACCGCTGAACAATTTGCCTCGGGCTTTGCGGCACTCACTATGCCCGAGCTGGTGGGGTAAGGAGGCATGCGCGATTCCACATATTCTCAATAATATCCGGACTGGCTTCCGTACCCAATTTAAAAGGGTTCTCTAAATGTTTTTGTTTTCGGCAAGTTAAATTATATATAGATTTCAGATGATGGTTTCGGAAACTTCAGTATATGATCTAGGGTGACGAAAAGGGAGGTATAACAAGCGTACGTGAGGAGAGACATCTAATACACTTGACTTCCGAAAGCGCCCAGGATTCACAGCGAGGCGAAGGTCAGTGCCACAATGTGAGCAAGATGATCAGATCATGCATCAGCAGCGAGAGACTAGCACATTTGGGAGCTGCACCATGTGTAGGCCAGAGTTATTCCGAAGTCGGGAATATCGCAGGGGCTAAACAAACACCGAAATTTAGTGAATAGCCCCAGTTTGAGGCCAGTGTGCGGCTTGGTGACGTTGCGAAAGAGGCCATTGGGCTTCCCCTCGAGAGCCAGGCACACCCGGCGTCCATTTCCCGTCATCTTGGCCCACAAGATTTTGGTCGATTATCCCAGTCGTTTCACAGTCTACCTTCCCGGTGTGGTTGGATGAATTTCGATCCCTGCATCGTTAGGCTCGATCGTTACCCCCAGAGGTACCAGATATTAGCTACTGCCTGAGGGGCCATTGGAAATGAATATTTGTACTACAGTACGCTAGCATGTCTAAGTTATATATTATATAGCTATTAAAGCAAGCTTCTTAGCAGCTACCTAAGGCTTCGCCTTAGTACCACCACCACGGCCTAGGGCAGCAACTACGTTCCTCCCCAGCGCTTTATCGCTAGGTCTAACACTTGGTACCCTGGCTACTAACTCTTCGCAAACGAAACTCGCATCTGCGTCCCATCAACCGGCTTCCCAGTAACCTCCATGATCTGCCGCAGTCAGTACCAAATGCAGTTTGCCGGTTCCAGGTGCGAAACAGAATTAGAAGAAGCACACATACATTGAAGAGGTCCTCTTTGACCGCATACTGCCCAGACTCCCCCATAACCGGCTCGCCATGCCTATCCCTAACAACTTCGCCAAGCCCGACTTTGACAAAATCGAACCGTCTTAGCGTACAAGCGAGTACAATCTTCGCCTCGAGATTCGCGAGTTCTTGACCGATACAGTTCCGGGGACCGCGCTCAAAGGGACGCCACGCTGATGCAGGTATCCCTTTCCCACTACCGTGTTTGCCTTTGAGGATGAGACTGGAATCAATATCACGCGTGGTGTGTGGATTCGTATGTTCAAGCCACCGCTCCGGCACAAACGCAACCTTCGTGACTCCGTAGACTTTCGCATCGCGCTGGATAATCGTCTCACAGTTATGCAAGATCATGCCGTCCAGGCAGAGACTCTGCCCGTCTGGCAGCGTCACATTAAACCCCGTTCCATGCGGCACGAACCGCCCCGTCCCAGCCGGTGGATGGAGACGCAGCGCTTCTTTGACCGCAGCAGCCGTGTAGCTCATCCGCCCTAGCAGACTCTCCCCGCGTGGTGAGAGGAGTTGTTCGCGAATGTTGGCGGGTGAAGCGTTGCGTCCAAGAACCTCATCGAGTTCATTTCGCACGGCCCGCAGCGCATGCGGCGTCCGGCTGAGTTCGTAGAATGCCCATTGCAGCAGACTACTCGTCGTATCGTGTCCCGCGAACAGGAACGTCTTGAGCTGGTCGCATGTGGAAGCGAGGAGGGTCTCGTCTAGGTCCTCGACACCATCGAAGCTCAGTGCAAGGACGCTCTTTGATCTTTTCGCGGCTCTGTCTGTGGTCGAACGGGCTCTCCAGTTGTAGTAGTGGTCTTGCACGTGTTGGCGGAGCATGTCATCAAGTTGTCTGGCGAGCCTCCATCGCTGGAATTTTGTTCTTAATTTGAACTGATCCCACGATGCGCTGCCGCTCGCGCGGTACAGGGATACAAGCTGGCGGAAGGTGGTTACGATGGGGCTTTGGGGGCCGGGGTTTCCTTGCGCGTGCAGGTCTGTGTCCATTGTTACGGTGCCTATCGCGTCCCGTAAGATGATGGTGTTTCGATTTGAATGGGTCGAGATATTCGAGGGAGAGAGGGGGCGTACCGATGATATCAAAGGTAAGATTGATACAGGGCTCATCAAGCGCAAAGACCTCGCCCGACTCCGCATGCCCATCCAGGATATCCGTGAAGCACTGTACTCGGTCCAGTATTCCTGGTAGGAGCGACATGAGATGCTGCGGCGCGAAACCAGGGTTAAATCTTTTCCGGAGGGCTTTCCATTCGCTTCCCTATGTATAATCAACTCTCGTCACATTCTCCACGGGAATGATACACGATGTACCTGCGCAGAAAGAATACTCCGCCCCCCAATCAGCGGCTCAAAATTCGCCAGGACAGCGCCCTTGGGCAAACTGTACGGAAACGCCTTTGAGCTGCGCGAGATCTGCTCCGCGACCTCGTGGCTGCAGACCACGCAGATGGAGTAGAGGACTGGTCGCAGGTCGACGATGAATAATGGGGGCGCTTGCAGCTTTTCGTGAATTTCGAGAAAGACTTGGTCTGTTCATATCCGCGGTTCAAGGATATTAGTGCACGGTTTTGGTTGGTGGTGGAATGAGTGGTGGGCGTGCGGGCGTACCGATATGTCGCCGTCTATCGCCCTCTCCCATTACCTCGTCGAGGGCTTTGATGTGGCCCCATACCAACGACGGAGTGAGTTGTGGGAAGCGGGCGTATTGTTTTAGCCGCAGGTGGCGGGTGCGCTCGAAGAGGTAGAGGATCAAGAGGGGAATCGCTGCCACAAATGCAATCCAGAAGAGCATCGTGGGTGCGTTCGCAGAGATCGCCATTCCAAAGCTGTAGGTGGTCCCATCATGATATGTATTCAACATGGGCTGCTCTAAAATACTGAGCTTCCAGGACAGCACATGCTCATGCTACATGTCGCCCCATCGGATCTCTAGGATCCGAGTCCGTGGCCTCAGCTTGGACGCGGTCTACCCGTGTATCCAGTGGCAATGCGTATCCGACAATTGAATACGACGATCGACATCCAATCATTCTTCTGGGGAGACCGCGGGGAAGATGGTTGGCAGCACGAGCCGATGCCGAGAGAGACATTCATGTGCATTTACGGCTGAGCCAGATACTCAGTCAAGGAGCATTTCACGGATTAATGCTCAACCAAATGAATTAAGGCGTCGAATAGGTTCCTAATAAACCTGGCTGTGCTAACCGCATCCTACTACGCAGACGCGAGGCCATCTTTGGAATCTGCGGCTCAAAAGCTCTGGACTCCAGCCGACAAATTGAAGTGATATCGAGAGAAGAAAGCATCGTATTCTGTATTACCAAAAATTACACCGACCCTTTACTAAAAGTACAACAGTCAAAACCACACATAAGCGCATCACTGAGGGACAAGAACCGCCCGATAATACACCTCGCCACGATCCAGTTTATCCATCGCCTCCGCAATCTTCTCCTCCGTCATTGGAAACGTCTCAGTAATTGGTTCAATGTGATGGAAAGCCGCGAACTCGAGCATATGCTTGTGCACCGCGCGTGCAGGAATCTGAGATCCCACGACGTGGATGCCTTGACTGATCAATGCCATGTACGGGATCGAGAAGTTGCCTTGGTTGACCGTGAGCGGGTAGATGGCGGCGCGAGGGGCGAGGACGGGGATGAGCAAGTTCCAGTCTGGGGGGACGGCAGCTGTGACGAGGAGGCGGTCCATACGGTTTGACACGGAGAGGGATGTTGCGCCCTTTGTAGCGATGAATTCGTGGGCCCCTAGTTTGAATGCTTCTTCACGCTTGCGCTCTGAGCCGGAGAGGACAACAACGCGGCAGCCCATCTTGGCAGCAAATTGGATAGCCAGATGACCTAGCCCACCAATTCCAAGAATTCCAACTGTATCCGTTGGCTTGACTCCCTGCAGAGCCTGAAAGACTGTACCCCCACCACACTGAAGCGGCGCAGCAGCAACATCGCTAAGCGCCTCGGGAATCCTATGCAGGAATGACTCGCGCCAAATAGCGTGGGAGGCAAAACTCCCCTGGTCAAAATTCTTTTCCGTGTACATCTGGCGCTGGGAACAGTGGACCTCAAAGCCTTGCAGGCAGTACAGGCAGTGACCGCAGCTGTCAACCTGGTAGCCCCAGCCAACGCGATCGCCCTTCTTTAAGTGTCTGGTGTGGGGGCCGACGGCTTCGACGATACCAATGCCTTCGTGGCCGAGGGCCATATCAGTGTGGCGCTGGTTTTTGTTAGCTTGGAAGAACAGTACTAGGGTAGTGAGGTCGTACGCAGTGTAAGTCTGTGCCGCACAGACCAGAGGCGGTTACTCGTAGAAGGACATAGTCTTCCGTGAGCTCGTCGGGCTTGGTGGTGGTGCTCTTGACCGGGTTGCCGGACTTGTGGCCTTTGAAGACTGTGAAAGAGGGCATTTCGGTTCAAGGTAGTTTTCGTCAACGGTGTTGCTCTCTACGGTTGAAGAGTGTGGTGGACGACGGTGTTGATCCTCCTCCAAACGGGCCCAACTTTGATCGACTTATATATTTCATCTTGCGGACGTTGCTTAGGAATCGCCCGCATCTCCAGAAGAATCTACAAGGATACGGAGTCGAAGATTCAGCCCTGAATCAACAAGCTGCTGAAAAGATGACAAACGGACCGGAGCGACGGAGTCGCGGAGTTCCTGTTTGGGCGTAGCCTCCGCAATCTCCTTACGGAAGGAGCTCCTTCGCTCCAGATCTCCAATTCCTCGCTGCTTTCCCTGGCAATTCTAGTGCAGTTATCCTGCTATGTAGCACATGCAGTATCACAGCATGCACCAGTCCCTTGCCGGAGGCCACCATGCTAAGGTGTCCTGCTACATCGTCCAACGACGGCCATGGTTGCAGGTAAGCCAGGGTTGTGATTCGATTGCTTGAGTGAAAATGGAACAAACAATGGTCTCTTCACGCGAAAGATGGAAGCACAACTAACTAATGGCGATAGGCCATTGCTTTCGCACCATTCAGCAGCATCACGTGGAAGCTAACAGCTCTGTTATTATCGAGAAACCACTCGGTCAACCTTGATTTCTATGATACTTCGGTCTCGACACACGTTCTTGGTGCTATCTCTGATGTCTCCCAGAATGATGGAATGATTAGAATGATATTCGTAGGTATAGATATTGTCAGCCGGGCCGTTGTTCTAGGTGGAGGATCTGAAGAAGTTGAGAGGTCTGACATTCTGAAATAACTGCGGAAACGACACTATTTAAACACAGGAATCGACTAAGCTAAATAAGGAAACAGGGGCTATCCAATATTACTGCTCCAATCGCTGTATCGCGTGAGTCCTGAGAGGAATGTTCGATGGAATGGTGAGAGGAATGCTTGCGCAGGGTCCGGAGCCAGGGGCTCCGGCCGACAGATATAAACTCCTTTCTGTGGATAGTCCTGGGACATAGTGGCCTCCTCCTTTGCCATGCAAAGTCTTTCCGATTCTATCCGCGGCTGATATCTAATTTATCCCCGAGCCGCCTGGGTGGCTAAATGAAAATGAAAACCACAACAGGGTGACTGAGACGTAACAAGCTGCGTCGTAATCCAACTGACCGAGGTAAAAGCGCAACTAGGGATTTTCCCTAGCGCCGATTCCACTTGGACTGCGAATGCGGACTTCTATGCTCATGGGGATCTATTTAACCCGTTTCCCACTCCTGCATGGGGGCTTGGTTTAGATTTGATACTTTTCTTGTCGCTTCAATTATCAGGACGATGGTGATCAACGCTCTGGGGCTGACAGGACACAGTAGCGGGAGACATATATATTGACGCCTAGAAAGCCGCACACCCATTGCCCACGGTGAGATCGCTGGTGATAGAACAAGAGACGCAATTGCAGCAACGATTAAAACCATATCTTCTCTTGCCGAGGACGTAGCTAAAGACTGAAGATGATCAACGGGTGATCAAGTCTCTTATCCTAAGCGAGGCTCGCTTAGAGGAAGATATCCAGGATTGTCGGCGCTTGTGGCGCCCTACAGAAAAGCAACCAGTCAGCGTCCATTGCACTCCCGCGCTGTTCCTGGTCTGCGCGTTATGACGTTCAATGTTGCAGCAATTCCTCATCTTCGAAATTGCCTTCTAGCAGATGCGCGCGGTGAGTTGCGTGTCCCGTCTTTTTTTGGTGTCGCCATTATAAAGACTAGAATCGCCTTCAATATATCAGAGATATCGCCAATATGATCACAGATGATGCGATCCAACAGGTAACGGGCCACGCATGTGAAGTATATAAACCCTCGGCAACGAGTCTCTGGCAATGTTGATCTCACAAACAAACTCCTCTTCTACATCTCCACGGCTTCATTTCACCGAATATACCTCGCGACATGCAGCGATCGTTTGTCTGTCGAAAGCTGGCGACAGCTGTGACGGCGCTCTGCGCAGTTGTAGCTAACACCAATGCTGCACCCAGGAGCGTTGCAAACCCCTTAGCGACCGAGGATCAACGAGCTCTCGACACCCTTGCGATTGAGATCAACAATGATCACAGCTTCCCGGTGTTAAAGGCCTCGGCCAAGGCCGCCTACAAGACGGCACATGGTCTCCCGGTCAGCGACGAGGCCTCTTCCAGCCTGGACGCGGCCATCGATGAACTCGCCTTTAGCGCCATCCAAAAGGCGGTTAACAACGATCCGTATTACCCAAAAGTCTATGTCGTCGACGCAGGCCCACGGGAATGGTTTGGCCTCGACGTTCCTGGCGGGCGATATTCGTACGATAATCCGGACTGTATATATCGGACGATTCCGATAGACAGCAGCTTGAGCTACATTGTGACGGGCAAGCGATTCACACCGGGGCCGACCGACGTGACCTTTTCTCTCATCAACAATCCGAATTCGCAGAATACGGTGGCATACTTGGCCGGGGAGGATCTGGTCCTCGCCAGCGACAATTCATACAGCATTACCATCAACAGCTCCTCTGTTGAGGGGGCCACAAACCACATCCAGTCGACCTCGGAAGCGACCCAGCTCCTGATTCGCAATAATCTCGGCGACTGGCAGACTGAAACCCCTGACGAGATCTCCGTCATACTAGTTGACGATGCATCGGACCACGACCCTATTAGCAAGACCCAAATCGTCCTTGACGCCACCTCGAATTTGGGACAATCCATCGTGACCTACGGCGTGGGCGCCCTGGGCCTAAAGACATCCATCAACCCGGTCAACACACTCTCCGACCCAAGCCAATCTAGCAGCCTGGGAACCCTCACAAGCCAGGCTAGTTCGTTCGGGCACTTTAAGCTCGCTGTCGACGAAGCCCTAGTCGTTACGGTGAATCCAGGCGCAGCTAGCTATTTCGTCGTGCCTGTCACAAACCCCTGGATGGTGACCGTGGACCCGGCAAGCCAAATCAGTTTGAATAGTGTACAAGGGGAAGCCAACGCCGACGGGACGTACACGTTCGTGGTATCGCTGCAGGATCCGGACGTTTATAACTGGATCAATACCACCGGGCTCACCGAAGGCACGATCATGGCGCGCTGGCAGGGGCTGCCGACCGAGTCAGAGTCGTCTTCCACGAGCGATGTTGCTGTTGATACCCAGGTGGTTTCTCTGTCTGAGCTGGCGTCTGTTTTGCCCAGCGGGACTCGCTATGTGACACCGAGTGAGCGGGCGGTTCAGCTTAAGCAGCGTGCGGCAGGGTATGCTAGGCGGCTACAAGTTTAGGCACGTAAGTAGAGACGAAGATGGCGGGAAGATGTTCATTCTCGTGAACGTTTGGATATTAGGACATACCGATAGATAACCAATCAAGACGCATATCTTCCATTCCAAGTATAAAGGAAGGCCTGCGCATCAGCGCATCGAATGGTTTCAGCAGTCAGTAAAAGCCCTAACGTTGCAAGTTTACGGTGACACCCATAGCTTAGAAAAGCTGTGGATTCACGCGGGACTTGTTATGCAACACCTGGGCCGTTGCGTTGGATAGCCAGAAATTGCCTCAACTTTCATCATCGTTAGAATAAGGTGCAGAAAGTACATAGTGAATTGAACAGCGGAAGACACAACCGAGACCCTGGCTGGACCCTGGAGACCGGCGCGTAGTGAGACACGCACTGTTTGGGAACTGCACGTGCATGCGGTACGTCACATCAAAGCATTCTATTGATTATTGGTCAAAAATAAGACTAGTAAACGTTTGTCCGAGTCTCCACAGTGATGGGGCAGGTCTCATGGTGGTCTAATGTATGCATCTTGACGCTCCCATCTGTCTACCACATGCTGGCTGCAGAGTACCGCTGATCTAATGCAATCTAGTTTCTGACAGATTGACATTTCCTTGTGAAGAGGGGTTTTATCAGCTGGTAAGAGTTGCCAGTGGTCCTGGTCTTCGCGCCTGTCGCTTCTCGAGGACATCGATGCCCAGTACGTCGTTTCTGAGAACGAATGGGGCCACCAGAATGCCAAGTTTCCAAATATTTCGATACATGATCATCACATCTGCTGGAGCTTAGTTTCAACAAGGATAAATGTTAGGTGATATCGAAGCATGTAACATCCTGCTCTGCGAGAACAGAGATGCGTGGACGGCGGGGGAATTCTGATAGGTGGAGGGAAAGCATCAGTACCCCGCTCAACGCCCTCGCAAGCGATGAATAGGTCGACTCCTGTAGAAAGCTGACACCCAGGCCAGGTCTGCTGCATGCGGATTTATGGCACCATATTTTCTGAGCATGTCTACCTATGTTTGGATTGGCGCGCACTTACAGTCTGGACCTTACGCCGGATGGGAGGGTCAGGAGCAAACACCCAAGATCTCAAGTGCCGGAAATTAAACAGGACCCATCCAACATTCGATCAACGGTCAGCGGTCTTAACCAGTAATGACAGACTCTCAAATTGTCGAGGGGGTTAAATCGATCCTTCGGTCCAAGCGTTGGCCCAACCGTTGGCCCCCACAGGATTTAATGAAACGTGAGCAATTAGAATTGCGGGATCCTTAAATTTACACACTGGCCTACCCTCGGAGTTTTCGGGATATATTGTGTCAGATCGGGGATTTTGAGGCGACTGGACCAATCGGCTAGCAATCCCTTCCAACAGTTGGCGCCGGTGGCGTGTGCTTGTATAGTATACCACCGTTATAGTATAGCTACACCAGACCATGGGACAATCTCCGGACATCTTATAGATACCTCATTATGCCGTCAATGTATTATCTTTGGCTTTTCTATCCTTCTCTTCAACCTTGTAGTTTACTACTCTTCTTCGTTCTATTCTTTCTATTCCTTCGGCCTGGTGCTTGAAGCCCCCACGCTCCTTTTCCAATTATACACTCCTTTTGATTCCGACTTGCCAAAATGCCTTCTTTTGCTCACTATTTTGGCGCCAGCCTCTTAAGCGTTGCTTACTACGCCTCCTCGGTCGCTGCAACCGGCGTCATCCTCCCCCTCTACACCTGGCCGAGCGAAGGCGCCTGGGACCCCGTCTACGATGCGCTGGCCGCATACCCCGAGGTGGACTTTTACGTCATTGTCAACCCGAGCTCTGGTCCTGGTGACTCGTGTAAGCTGCCACTCGACTATAGCACCCGTTGTGCATTTCACTAATGCGTATAACTGCCGTCCTACAGCCCCTCCCGCATCCGAATACATCACCGGCGTCACAACCCTAAACAGCTACGCCAACGCGCACACCGTCGGATACGTGCGCACGAACTGGGCAGACCGCGATATCAATGATGTAAAACAGGATATTGATGTTTATAGCCAGTGGGCGTCGTACAGTGGCGGCTCCACCTCCGGGAGCAGCAAGCGCAGCCGTAAGGCGCGCAGGTACAGGTCTCCCTGCTCGAGTCAGGACGAGACCGAGACAGACACGGAGCCCATTCCAACCACCAGTCCAACTGGGTTTGTTACCACAACTACCTCTTCGACACCTACTTCCACTTCGACTTCTATTTCCACGCCGAGCAGTACTTCGAACCCCACAAACCAAAACACCGGCATCACCCTTTCGGGAATCTTCTTCGACGAAGCGCCGCAATCGTCCGACGATACCCAACTATCTTACATGCAAGAAGCAGCCGAATACGTACAATCGCACTCCGCATACTTCCCGTCCGCCTCGAACTCAACCCCAACAGTAATCTTCAACCCCGGCACAGCCCCTGACGCACAATACTTCAACTACGCAACACACATCGTCGACTTCGAGAGCACATATGATGCCTGGCTAGGCAGTGAACAGAAGTCCGGAGCTGGAGGATTGATCGACGGCGTCAATGAGGGCGATTATAGCCAGAGTGCTATTATCATCAACTCTGTCCCCAAGGATGTGGACTATGCGGCTGTTGTTGCGGCCGCGGTTGACAGGGGTGTTGCCATGGTTTATTTGACTAGTGACTTTGATTACAAGGCCCTAGGTTCTGTTGGGGATGTTGCAGCGGCCATCTCGGGAGCTTAAAAGGCGTTGGTTGCCCGCGCTCTGTCCGTATCAAGTGGTATTGGTTCCGCTTGTTGTGGTGGGTAAGGATGATAGTCCTTGCTCAGGTGTAGGCATCCTGAGGCAGGTCCTCGTGATTAGTAAATTGGATAGATACCTTTCTGTACAGAGTGCTCAGCCTTTGTAGTTCTAGAGCCCCGCTCTGCCTTTCTGGTGCCTTGAAACATCCTCAGTGTGGCCTGATCACCGTTCATGCCCAATAACTTGGACTCGGATCCCTGAAAGCTGGCCCATAAAGACTGCGCGCCGGTCTGGAAAGCGCTCGAATATCTGCTAGCCCCTCCTGTAGACAAACGATCCATCGCCTCTGCGCAGAAGTTTTTCCCGATTGCGAATTCCGTTGCGAACCGTCCATTTTCAGCGACGGATCTGGTTCTCTGAGGTGCTGCTGCGTCTACGAGCCATGCGTGTCGGATTGTACGCGCTCGGTATCCCAACCCCTGCAACTAAATCGTATCTTGAATCAATGATACCGGAAATGGGCTGTGCCGTGGAATCCAAGACGAGACTTGGATTCGGGCCTACTTGGCTCGCTATGTGGGTAGGGCTTGCGTTGGCAAATTTTCGTGGAGAAAGAGCGTTGGTAGCCGAACAGTGGATGGGAATTATATTTCAGTTGAAGTAACGAAAGTAGAAGAAGTAATTCTGGGTTGGCACAGTTGGCATTCCTCTATATTAATTCGGGCGCCTTCGCTTTAATCTTGCTACTAAACCCCGCATCGTCGTCGATTGAAAATTCCCTGACTCGTTCGAGCGCGACCTGTCATCTGGCTCGAGCCCTTGGGCCGCGCTCTTGGGTCCGCTGCGGTAAAAGTGCCATCGGTTGGGATTTTCTTGCAGACGTTGCGCATTCTGAAGGGACCGAGATACCGACTGCAGCAGATCTTGCATCCCCGGCACGGCTTGCCCAACCGCCAGCGCTTGTCGGTATGTCTCCACCGCTTCGCTAAACCGCTGTTGCTCGGCCAGCATGATTCCTAGGGTAGCAAAGACACGCACCGCGAGGCTAGGATCACGATTTGCGTTTAATTGCAGCAGGTCCCGATAACACGACTCGGCCTCGGAGAGTCGGCCCTGCGCAGCCAATATGGGGCCGAGCTGGCTCATGGCGTCTGCAGCCGCGATATCGTCTGTTGGTACAGCCTCCCGCACGAGCTGTATGTATTCCAGGCAGAGAGCCTCTGCTTCCTCAAGATTACCGAGCTGGCTCAAGACAAAGATGAGAGCCTTGATTGCCTGGAGAGTCTCAGGGCAATTCCGTCCCAACGCGTGCCGCCTCCCTATGACCACCTCTTTAAGCAACTCGCATGCCTCTTCGTAACGGTCCATGCTAAAGAGGAGCTCCGCGAGCTTTTGCATGCTGGTGAGGGTGTTCGGATCTCGAGGGCCCTCAGCCGTCGCCCGCTGGCGGTATGCCCTTCGATGAAGTTCCTCGGCCTGGGTGGGATGGCCCAGCTTGAGCTCCATATCAGCAAGATCAGAAAGGGCAGCCAGTGTTGTTGGATGAGTTTCACCCAGCACTTCCACATACGTCCGGTACGCGCGGTCCTGCAGCTGGGCGGCAGCCTCCCAGTTTCCCTGTTGATAATATAGCTGGGCAAGCTCACAACGAATCTCGGTGGTTAATGGGTGATTATCCCCGAATTCTGTAACGCTCCATCGAATCCTATCGAAATACACCTCGTACGCCTCAGATTCGTGACCGCGTGAGCCAAGCAAGACATTCAGCCCGATTCGTGCTTTGCCTAGCAACTCAGCCACTTCTGGGTTACCTTCATATTCCGCCAAGATCTGCCGATACATCTGCTCCGCTGCTAAGACTCGGTTGCTGCCTTTGAGAGCTTGGGCTAGGTGAAACATGGTTCTGGTCCTTCTCCATTCACATTCCACAGCTCCTTTCAGTGTATCGCATAGTTCACTGGCTTCCTTCAGCTGTCCACAAACGATCAGAATGTCAGCCAAAGCCCACTTGCTCCTTACGGTGAGTACGTCGCCTGGAGAGGTAAGATGGCGCGCCTCCACAACAGCGCGCTGCTTCATTTCCGCCGCTCTATAGTGGCGTTGAGCAGCAAGTATGAAGCTGATTGCTTCCAAGCTCTCGATGGTGTCCACATCCGCACCTCCCAGTGTTTTGTAACGAATGTCGTAGGCCTCTTCGGCATGCTCAAGGGCCGTTGAATTCTGAGAACGGAAATTCAGGAAACGGGCTGTGTGAAGTAGTAACGTCGCCCGGTTGAGTGCAACGTCTTTACGCAGAGAGTCAGTGTTGGAAATATGGCTAAGAACCTCTTTAACATGGGCAGCTAGTTTGTTAAGCTGCTCCCAGTAGCTCCTGGATCCATAGATGAGTGCAACGGCGATACGACTTGATCCTTCTAGCAGATATGCTTCGATGCTACCTTGACGAGTAATATATCCATGTACGGCTTGCTGCACCAAGGGATGCATCAAAACAGAGCCGTTTGCGCCTAGGGTAACCATAGAGAAAGATAGAAGTGTGCCGAGTGCCGTTGTAAATGCTAGGAGGTCGGAGCCTTCAGACCAAAGGAGGGTCTCGGGGACACCTAATGCGGCGTCAAAAAAGCTCACGCCAGCCAGGAGCTTCGCCGCGGGCAGTTCACTTTGGTGTAACTTTCCGAAGGAAACCTCCCAAGTGCGGAAGACTGAGACCGGTATATCCCCATACCGCCGTATATCACGGAATTCCAAGTCTCGCAGCCGCTCGGAGCTCGACCGAATGTCCTGTTCAAGCACCCGCTTGTAGTGGGTAACTGTTGTGCGATTATGCTTGATGAAGGCGAGAGCCTGCGTCAGAGCCAACGGGAAACACCCCAGCATCTCTAACATATCGTCAAGGTCGGTCTGACCGCGTCTTTGCTCGGGCAGTAGAACGGCCTCGACCTCGGGCGTCGCGCATCTCCAAGGGAGGAATTGTGATCACGTCTTGGTTTATGCAGTCCCAATCCGGAAGATACTGTGTCACCCGCATGTCGCGCGTAGTGACAATGATCGAACCTGAGCCAACACGAGTCATGGGGACGAACGCCATCTGGGAGGCAAGTTGTTGCCCGTCGTCCAGATTGTCCAATACCATGAGCCAAGGGTCGGCAGTCTCCTTCGATAAACGCACGTGGACTTGAGCCTTGAGATCTGCTTGAGGGTTATCATATCCGGGAATACGCAAAGCACGGGCAATATCGGAATAGCTCTGATCAAAGTTGCTGCTGTTGCTGGCGTTTACCCAGAATACATGCGCCGTGGGCTTTCTTTCTCGGTACAAATAGCAATACTGGACGGCAAGTTGCGTTTTGCTGCGACATGATGTCAGTCAAAGGTATGAGTAGTATTAGGTGGAACGTACCCAACTCCGCCAATCCCGGCGAGAACCACCGGTTCCTTCGCTTGCAGTTTATCATCGATCACACCAAGAATTTCGTTTCGCCCGACAAAATTCGGAGTCGCGGCAAACGGAACCATGAAACATTTACCGGTCGGGCGCGATAACGGACCTGGTATCATGCTTAGGAGTTCCTTTGCGTACGCCGCTGCGGTAACTGCAGCGTAGTCCTGCCACGCTTTATGTTTGTGGCTGTCGGAATAGTCACATATACCACGGATGACAAGCGAAGGAAATTCTCTCATCAAACCTGCTGCTTCCATCTCAAAGCAAAGAACGTCGTGCTCTCTCTGCAATTTATCCCGGGTGGCTCCGTGACGCATGACCTGGTTCCCGGAAGCAATCAAGCCATAATGTACAACCGGGTGTGTCGATTGACGAGGATCGCGGGTAACGCGTTGAATAGGATCACACTGCCCACACGAGACTTCTTCTGGTGGATGATCATAGCAGGCAGCGTAGAGGACGTCCGACTCCTCGCCTGGATGCAAGAAACCAGGGTAGCGAGAAGTCATTTTGTCGATATATTCTTGGATTCTCTGCTCCCCCAAACGGTAGATGGATTGCAGTTTGGACACTGCAATCAACAAGTTTTGTGGTGGACGCTGACAGTCCTGCGTGCAGATGAATCGACCTCCCTGGACCGTCTTGCCCATGTCGTATTGGATCACGCCACTGTCGGCGACTACCACATCTCCCAACCTGATATCATGCTTCTCACTGGGGACACCACCCCCAACACCAACTACAAGTCCGATCCCGATGCAGCGAAACGTCGACTTCATTCGCATTACTGTAACGGTCGCGGGAACAACGCCGGTTTCCCCGAGGGGCAGACATGCCAGGACAACGTTGTGCGAGCCAATCCGTCCCAGGGTATAAGCGTTGCAGTCGATTGATTCAGCCGGAAGATCCTGCTGGATCTCATCAAGCATTCCTCGCGCGGCTGCCAGTTCGCGCGGCAAAGCGCAAACCCAGCCGACCGTGTAGTCTTCGTGAGTTAGCGTCATGGTACATGACGGATCAAATTCGGGCGAGCAATGAGGATGAGGGAAAGGAAAAAAAAAGAAGGGGTGGACAATGATTGCAAACGGTGGAATTTCAAACTGAGTCCCGCCTAGGCAACGTGTCCGGATACCAGGGTATTTAAAGGGCTGCCTCAGACTCTGCGGGCGGTTCAGCCTCGCCTTGGCTGCAGTGGCAGCTGACCATGCAGTGGTGGGGGTGCAAATCAACGTTATATGATCAACACATGGGCCTGAGCTCGATTCACCGTCCATTACTAATTCATATAACCACGCTAGCTCTCAGTGTGATGGAGGCACCAACTTCAGTACCATCTGCAATGGCCGGTGTTGTGCGGTACACTCCAGGTGCTTGTTTGGCCTTGAAATGGCCACATCCAATCGGGTAAAACTGCCCCATGACTAGATCCGGGATGATATAAATAGTAGCAAGCATCCAATCTTCTACAAAGCCCATTGGTCGAAAAAAGTGCCGTTGACGTCCGACCAATCGAGATCCGCATACATCTCAGCCGACACATCGATAGAATGGCCCAGGATACCTCCAATCTCCGCGGTAGCGCTTCCCATTCCCAGCTGCGAAAGCCAGTCAATTTCCTGGGTGTTTGTTGGAGAATTCGGCAGTGTCTGAAATTGGGAGTTATCATAGGGCTGGGCTGGCCCTGTGGATGCTGGTTCGCTAAGGGTATTCTGAATAGAAGCTTTGTCCGTCCTCATATTGTTTCGTAAGCGGTCGACCTTGCGGCTTAGATCTCGCATTATCGTTGCCGCGTTGGTAGCGACCGCGAAACTGTTCCCGAAATGCTCAAAGACAGACACTGACAGGTCGATGGCTTCTCGAGCAGCGGCCGAGGACGAAGTCTGCGGAAAGGCCAGCACGTATCCAACGAGCGTCATTGAGACATTCCATTGCCATTGGAAGGCCTCGTGCCAGCCGTGTAGGACAGAAGACAAGTTGAGCACCTGGTACGTTATGTGTGTGAGGGCAATAGCGTGGGCAGCACATTTTGACGCCGCTTGTTCCGTAGCGGACGGCGGGGCTCCGTTGAGAGTGAAGCAAATGGACGATCGGTAGAGATTGGTGGACATGCAGTGGTATGTCAGCTCGAGCAGGAGGCGTTCGCGCTGGAGCCACCCGGGAGTGAACTGCTCAATCTGTACTGGTGAGAGGTCCGTTGAGAAAGGAACACCGCCGTTCTGTCGCGCTGTCTTCAAGGCTTCGGGGACACCCTTCAGCCACCCCTCCATGATCGCCGCGATGGCTCCTGTATCGCCTATCACGACAGCATCCGGCGGCTTGGTGTAAAAGCTCATGTATGCCTTTCGCACCGCAATGACGAGTTTTGTTTTGTAGAGACTCCATGTCAACCAGGTGATGTTCTCTGCGATCGGAGCGAAGCTAGTGCCCGAGCTTCTAGCGATCTCCCTGTCATCCGAAGGCAGGGAGCAATAATATGACGAATCTTGAAGAATGAACGGACGACCCATCTTCATGCTTCGGTTACTCTCCAGAATGTACAAGCTCCACCATATACGCTTCCGTAGCTCCCTTTCCCGCTGCGGCATGCTCTGGGGAGGTTCAAGATGCAAGCCGAGCATAAAAGCGGTGCGAACTGCGAGACCGCAAGAGTTATCTGTCATGTTTTGAAAGCCAGCGTTGCATAAGTATATCGAGCAGAGGATATGACATTGCAGTGTGGACAGAGTTGGGCTTTCTAGTTGGCTCGACAATAGCGCTAGACAGCGGCGGTAATGCCAGCGACCAGCGATAGTAGAGTCTGAATCATCAACATTGCCCTTGTTAGTGGTGGTCAACGCGTGCCGCCGACCTGGCTGTCGAGCCATACCATACTGCATGCAGAGAGCCAAGACCATGTCGACGAGGGCGGAGGGTTTTCTTTCTGTCGCCCCAGCCGTCCACAGAGATTGGTAGTGTTCTTTGAATTCCGCTTCATCTAGTATTGGAAAGGACGGATAGTACGATTCCCAGAAGAGGTTGATGAAATACTCTTCCTGCATTGAGCTGAGCGATTCCGCCGGTCGGATTGAATCGGCAATTGGAGCGGCCTGGCTGGGCTGCTCGCTATGAAGATCCTCTGCCGGGCCATCAAGGACTGTACTGGCAGATTCGGGCATCATACCTCTCGCCGAGTGATTTTCTTTTAGAGCCGTAGCCAAGAACTTGTTGATGCTGCCGATGAAAAAGAAAAGCGACGATGCACCGTACCACGTCTTGTTTGGAGATCGAGCTGTGCTGATATGAATGCCTTCCCAGAATTTATCCTGACTTTGTTTTTCAGTCTTCGGAGCATTGCCCTCGAGTTCATCCTCTGGGGTCGCGGGCGTTTGCAGCTGCCAACCGGAGGGACGTTGCCGCTCATTCTGCAGCTCGAGTTCGAGTTCGCTAACTCGCGCTTTCAACCTCTCAATCTCGCGATAGGCTTGTGGGAGTGTAACCGATCGCGTCAGCCGGTCGTGATTGCACTGTCCACCTCTCTTCCGACAGTTCGCGCAGGGATATTCCGAGTCGCACTTCAGACGGTGCACGCGGCACCAGTTGCAGGCCCTGGCCACTTGGCTCCTTTTTTTTGGGTTGGATGATGGGCCTGCAGGTGGCATATCCACAATAAATGTTGGAGTGGCCATTCCGACTCGTAATTCCGATCAGCAAGATCCGTAAGCAAAGCTGGTGAGACGAGATGAAAGCAGGCGCGGAGATGCGGAGCAGCTGTTGTTGATCATCTGTTGCTTGGTAAGCAGCTTGGGCGCCTCGTTGTTCAGGCATCAGCCCAGCATCGCTTCCTCCGCACACGATAACGATAGGACATCACCAAACTGAAACGATAGAACCAACCAAGGCGGTGACAGCGATTTTGCTATGAGAGGTGCTAGGGAATGAACCCAACAAGATGACTTGGAGTGCATCTGGAAGTGGCCATCAGCGAATACAAACCAAGAATCATGGGCAGTCACATGACCAGAACGCACCTTCCAACGGACCATCCTGGGCTCATGTGAGAGCTTCCTCCTCCAGCGCAAAACTAAGCCGAGGGTCATGAGGAGGTATTATGCCCGCTGCTACGTGATGTGTTTACCCAATGACCGTGCTGCGTGGATTGATTCTAAGTCGGCGAGATCCTGGCTGAACATGCAAGATATATAATCGGGCTGTGTATGGTGTGGTGACTCGGCTCTACATCATACTACTAGTATCGGCCGAGGGGCAAACGACTATACTTCGCATAGCGCCAAAAAATTGTGCCTGTAAACTGGAAGTCCGAGTGCTTGCCCGCAACTCGCACCGGAACTCGCACCGGGAGTCGGCCATGCAGGGCAGCCCGGATATAGTCCCCACGGCCCAGTTCTCCACATCAAGCACGCCCAAGAGGATCACGCAGAATATATGAGCCGGCACATAATCCCTCTTCAAGATCCAATCTGGCAGCTTTTCGTGTGCAGTACGATAGCAATCCTTCCATCCTTCCTGACGACCCCATTCAGCCCGGCCCGATCCAACTCAAGATAGGCAAACACTACCAAACGACAATGTCTCACCCAAAACACGACCCCCGCCCCAACGTCCTCATCATCGTCGCAGACGATCTAGGCTTCAGCGACTGCGGGTGCTTTGGCGCGGAGATCTCGACGCCGAATATTGACGCCCTCGCCGCCGAGGCGAACGCGCTGCGCTTTACGAATTTCCATGTTGCGGCTGCGTGTTCGCCTACGCGCTCTATGCTTATGACGGGTACGTATTGCGCTTCTTTCCTGTCAAAGGGCGTCGAAGAAAGGCCGTCTGAGACTTAATCGCTAACACATCTGTGGACGTTACAGGAACGGACCACCACATCGCAGGCCTCGGCCAACTCCAAGAAATAACCCGCTCCTCCCCCGCCCACGCCGGAAAACCGGGACACGAAGGGTACTTGAATTCGCGGGTTGTCGCGCTCCCCCAACTCCTCTCTGACGGCGGGTACTTCACCTGCATGGCCGGAAAATGGCACCTTGGCCTAAAACCCGAACACCACCCTATCGCGCGCGGGTTCCGGCAATCGTTTGCGCTCCTGCCCGGTTGCGCGAATCACTATGCGTATGAACCGCAATATGCGGATCCATCGACGGAGCCCGGACGCTTCTTTGAGACGGCGACGCGCGCGCTGCATGTTGAGAATGACCGGTTTCTGGGGCGGTTGCCCGAGGGGTTCTATAGTAGTGATGCGTATGCGGAGAGGCTTGTGGAGTACCTTGAAGGGAGAGATGAGGAGGAGAAGGCGATGCCGTTTTTCGCGTATTTGCCCTTTAGCGCGCCGCATTGGCCGCTGCAGGCACCGAAGGAGGTATGTGAGAAATATCGCGGGGTTTATGATGAGGGGCCTGAGGTGCTGAGGCAGAAGAGGTTGGCGAGGTTGAAGGCGCTCGGGATGGTGGATCCAGAGGTTGAGGCACATCCCGTTGTTTTCTCCGATGGGAGGACCGAGGGGTGGGAGGAGCTGCCGGAGGAGGTGAGGAAAGCGTCGAGTCGGGCGATGGAGGTATACGCCGGGATGGTGGATCGGATGGATTGGAATATCGGGCGGGTTGTGGACTATTTGAAGAAGATTGGGGAGTATGACACTACGTTGATTCTCTTCATGAGCGACAATGGGGCGGCGGGGGCAAGCTACGAAGCTGCTCCGCTTCTCGGGGATAACATCATGGCACATGTCCACAAGTACTATGACAACAGCCTGGAGAATATCGGGCGGGGGAACAGCTTTGTCTGGTACGGGTGTCGCTGGGCCCAGGCTGCGACGGCGCCATCCAGGCTGTTCAAGATGCACTCCACGGAAGGAGGGTGTCGCGTGCCGCTTGTTGTCAAGGCACCGCAGGGGTTAGCAGGGAAAGCGCAGGGTGGGATCACGGATGCCTTCTGTACAGTCATGGACATTGTCCCGACCGTGCTGGAAATGGCCAACCTTGGCCACCCAGCACAGTACCAGGGCAAGGATGTGGCACCGCTGCGAGGGCTAAGCTGGGTTCCGTTTCTTTCGCAAGTATGGTCGACGGCTGGATCAGAACCATCCTCAGCGCCTCTCGATCAGTATCATCAGATTCATGGCCCTGATTATGCTGTCGGCTTTGAGGTCGCGGGCTCTGCAGCCTTGCGAAGAGGCGACTGGAAGATTACGTTTGTTCCGGCACCCGACGGCCCACAGAAATGGGAGCTATTCAACATCCGAGAGGATCCTGGTGAAGTTCATGACTTGGTAGCGCAGAAGCCGGAGTTGCTAGATGAGATGCTACAGCTCTGGAAAGAATACAAAACGGATGTCGGGAGTGTTGGGGTGGCAGGCGAGTTTGAACGCTCTGTGCAGGGGGCTGGGACTATGCTGGACGAGATGGACGATCCGTATGCGTGGATCAAGTATATTGGCAGACCAGAGATTACGCCAGAACGCCTCAAGAGCGTTGTACCGCGTGTACCGAAGTAGCTGAATCCGGGGGAATAAAAGAAACTGCGGATCGATTTTGCTACCCACTTCGTAGCCCACTTGGGTGGATAGTGTCCCACGGCGGCCATTCCCATGATGGCAAAGCGTCCATCGAGGTCCATGCAAGGTAGTCACCCATTTCCTCTGCGGTTCGAATGTAGTCTTCAACCGACGGCTGGCCTTCCGCGGGAGGATCGGGGTCGGGCAGTGAAGGCTCCTGTCCCTGCACGTGGGAAACAAAATGCGACGCAATCTCAGGATCTTGGTTATTAGCTTGCGGACGGTGCTTTTCATAATGAACCCTCTTTTCTGCCCCATACGCGGGATCCAATAAAGGACTCAGGAGCCCGGGTTGTGAAGACCCGCACGATGAAGTCCTTGTAATACCAACATTACTTTGTAAAGCCTCTATCTCTGCCCTGGCCCGTCGGAAGAATGCAAAGTTGGTAAGGTGATGCATCTCAGGTGACCCCGTCACATAGACAGACTCGTCAAGATCCCTAGGGGTCATTAGCATTTCCGTCGTTGAGCTTGTGACATGGGGAAAGTAGTCCAACAGATTGGTTCCATTAAATTCGCGCGTAATATCGTCGAGTCCGAACAGCATGCACAGTGAAAGAATAACGCGGACCTAGTCTGCTTAACAGAATGTAATAGTTTGATAAGGGCGGGTGTGTCCTTACACATGGGCTTCGTTCTTCTTTTCCCGTGTGGAGAAAGGCAAAAAGATCGAGATGGGCTCGGAGATTCTGTCTCACCATCTCCTGAGTGTGCGTATCGTTTTGTACCGTTGCCGTAAAAACAATTTGGATCTTGGCGGACTCGAACAGTACCCCGGACCACAGCGGTTGATCAGCAATCATGGCTTTGTCGGGAAGGACTTTGCGGACCAGATTGGAGACCTCGTGGGCATGATGGAAACACCGCCGCTGGCAGTCTTGCAAGAAGACAGGTGGAGCTCCGCGAAATCCAGTGGCAAGAGGGAAGCTGAAGCCGGGCAGCGATATCCTTGTGAGATCGAACATGGCGGCGTGAAAGAGAAGATGGAGGAGCAAAACGGCGCTGAGGATGTGCTGGTCCTTGTGCATGTACATGTTTAGATCGGTCAAGTGGTAACGATCGGGTATAGCATTGTAAAAGGATTCCAGCTTCAGCAGTGTTGCACTAAAGGGTGACGAGTAACTCCAAATGGGAGCTGCTTCGTTGGGTGTTGTACGGATGATCCTGATTGTCGCGTTGGCCACAGTAAGAGTTAACCGGAGATTTCAGACCTACCTCAGCACCGTTCTCCGTAGCCTGATAATAATCGTAGTTAAAGCAGGGAGGTTAAGTGTCCTGACGGTGGAGAACCTGGGAGAACTCTCGATAGTGTTGAGAGAGACAAGACTTCCCGAGGTTAACGCAAGAAAGTCTTGATCAGAGCGGGGGAGGGGGATGCGTGGGTAATTATCCCGCCACGACGAGTGCTTGTCTACACCAGGCGCAATGAGCGAATCAATATGGTAGGATGCCCAGACAATTCTATTTGCCGTCTCCTGCCTTAGGACCTCCGCCTGTGTCTTCGCCATTGGTGGATGTGGCGCATCGAGCCCCAGAAGACAGATTGCTCGAAATAAGGAACCAGACAGGGAGAAGATGAGTGCGTGCTGATTCGTTTTGGAGGCGTACTCACAAACAAGAATCATAGCCTGGCCAAGGTTATTTTGTGCCGTGAGAAAGATAGAAGCGGGGGATACTCACCACGAGGTCCTGGGTGGTCGGGACATGAGCCGTGAGCAGCACATGCTGGCGTGCTTTCTCTGCCCACGCATCCCCAGGAGTCTGGCTATAGGCAGCATCTTTGCACAGCGAGGGGATTGAGTCCAAAGTGATCAGCCTGCTGAAGTCAATAGAAAGCCACCATGAGGGCCGTGCTTCCGCACCTTGCGCCGAGAGCACATATGATGTGCAGGGTTGGCTGGCCGAATTCATCGAGAGCAGTGCCACGGTCCAGTGCTTGCATAAGGGATGGTTTGTGGATAATACCAGTATATCCCATTGGCTGAGATCTCTGGAAGTATGTATTGACCAGACATCGTAAGGTGTCGCCCTCCGGAAGGGTGCTTGAGTAGAGTTCTGATAGATGAAGTTCAAACCCGCCAACCACGACAACGGCACCGGCAGAGTAGAAGGGGCTGTCTTGCTGCGGACGTGCCTGTGGTGGTTTTTTGTCCGTGGCGCGATAGACACAGTCTATCTTGCGCAGCAAACATCTCTGACAAGATGGCCTTGTTCGAGTGCATTGATCCTTGGACGCGCGACAGGCCTCGCAAGCTCCCATACGACGTCGCTGCTTGCCTGCAGCTCGAAAGATTTTTTCCGTTGACTTCAGAATGTCCCTGCGAGAAAGCGCCCTGTGATCGGTGCTGTAGCCCGGACATGCAACACTGAGGCGGGTGCAGTTACGGCAGGAAGGGAGGGACTTGTCGCATCGGACCTAGTGACGGTTAGAACGCATAGACAGCGCTTAGTGCAGGTGGGATACGCCGTGTACCTTTCGAGAACGGCACACAATGCAGCCTGGAATATGCAAGTTAGATGGCAATTCGTCTCAGTCAGGGGAACACGGGAATACCGGAGGCTGCTGAAGGTGACCGCGACATTACCTCTGGCAGGGACAATTCGCGTACAACGACCAGGGGACGCTGTCTGCGCAGTTGGTGGTGGCCAGAGAAGAAGGTCGGTCCTGGGGACAATTTGCGGGGGACGCAATCGCGGCCCACAGTGACGAGCTCAGCTTCTCGAGTGATGATTGGCCAGAAACCACAGCAGACCGGAACTCGCACCGGAGCTCGCAGTTTTTTAGTACACACGAAGATTAAGCCAGCATCACGACATGAAGCTGAAGTCGAACTTGGGTGCAGAGAATGAAGCTTGGGAAGGAGGCTCGGGTATAAGAAGACGAAGCATGCCGCACCTGCCAGGGGGTTGTCCCCCCACGTACCTTCCCCGAGCTCGCCCAAAACATCCACTACGATGGCTGCAGAAAAAGTGGACATGTCGTTGGTTCAGCGACTGCGACATCTGAATCCCATGCTCTTGTTTCTTATGGCGTCTGTTCTTCTGTTCTTGCTGCATGTGACTCGCGCTAATCAATTGTGCAGCTACATGTCAATGTGCTCTTTCAACTTTGGCTATGATGTTGGCGTCTTTAGCGGAGTTCAGGCCATGAACAGCTTTGGACGTCGCTTCGGAGAATACAATGACAAACGTGGAGCGTGGGAGTTACCAGCATGGCTCTCGTCTGTCATGACCTCTACCCCGTTTATCGGAAAAGCAATTGTGCGGCACCAGTGCGCGCCTAATGGTCTGTTGCTAACGGAAACCTAGGGGAGTATCTGCTGCGGATACATCGCGAAGAGATGGGGTCGACGGTTTGCAATCTTTTGCCTGTGCATTCTCTGCGTCGTGTGGGTTGCCCATCCCAACTTCCATTAGTCTGCGCTAACCAACACCCCTCATAGAGGCGTAGTGCTGCAAATGGCTGCGGTTAACTCGGCCATGTTCACCATCGGCCGCATTATCACTTTTGGCATGACCGGCATGGCCATCGTCGTTGTGCCCATATACAACGCCGAGACTTGTCCCCAGGTTCTGCGAGGAATGTTCAGCTCGACACTGCAGCTAATGATCTCTTTGGGCTCGTTGGTGGCGAGCTGTGTCACGTATGGAACGAAGAACACCGCAGGCGATGCAGGGTGGAGAATTCCCACTGGCCTCCAGTTCATCATGCCTGCCTTCCTCCTGCTACTATACCCTCTTATTCCTGAATCCCCTCGTTGGCTGCTTCTCCATAATCGCCGCGAAGATGCCTTGGATAACCTGCGACGACTGAGGCCTGGTACGACGGAGGAGGCGTTACAGTTCGAGATAGACGCTCTGTTGCGCGTACAGCAGAATGAAACCCAGGGGAGCTGGGCTGAAGTTTTTAGTCCCTCCAACAGGGTGAGCTTCTTAACCCCCCGAGGAAACCAATCCGACCTGCTCACATCTTGTAGGTTCGCACCGCAGTCGCAGTATTTGCCATGTTTGGCCAGCAGATCACAGGACAAGCATTCACGAGTAAATACGGCGTTGTCTTTTACCAGTCCCAAGGCTTTGGTGACCAGGCCTTCCTCTTCCAGATTATTTCCGGCGTGATCGGGCTCAGTGGGATTGTCTTCACATGGCTGTACTCTGACGGCTTGGGCCGTCGGCCTATCCTGATGATCGGAGGTTCTCTAATGGGCGTGTTCCTCCTGATTCTTGGTGGAGTTGGTACAATTGACCAGGGGAGCCTGAACTCCAATGAAAAAGGCCTCATGGTGGCATCACTGATGCTGTTTGGTTTCTTTTACAGCGTGTCGTGGGCGCCCATGTACGTGACTTGATATGGCACCTTAGAAAGTCCTTGCTAACGCGGAGGAGATCGTATGTCGTCGTCTCCGAAGCCGCTGCTCTCCATGTCAAGGAAAAGACCAACGTTCTCGCCTGCGTGATCTCGGTGCTCACTACCTTTGTCACCTCGTTCACGATCCCCTATCTCATCAACGAGCGCTACGCAAATTTGGGCGCAAAGGTGGGGTATGTGTACGGGTCCATTAACGTCGTAATGGCGGCCTTGACGTATTTCATCATCCCGGAGCTGAAGGGTCGTACCCTGGAGGAGGTGGATCAGCTTTTCGCCAGCGGTGCGCCCTTGAGGAAGTTGCACGCGGTACAGACAAGGAATGCGCAGGAAGTATATCAGGAGGAAATAGACCGGAAGGTACGGCAGAATGGGTCCGAGGCAGGTGCTAAGATAGTACTTTAGTCCAGTGCATCCGTAGAAAGAAAGGCTGAGTAGTGAACAGTTTCCACTCTGTGATAGGATTCAGGTAGCCCTCAATGATAAGTTGTCAATCTCTGCCTGTCAAACTACCTCAGGGCCATCACCTGATCGTTACGCACCTGTCCCCTTAGGTATTTTATCTCTTGTCCAGTTTCTCCCAAGCCCCCTCATCTCAGCACCGAAGCCGGTCCGCCAAAATGTTTCCTGAGCTTTACCCAACAACTTAGCAGCTCGTCCCAGCTCTGCAACGCTCACGCTAGTAGCTAGCCCTGTTCAATCACGATCATTAGCCTCGTCACCATCAGATCTGTCAAAACCCCCAATATCATATTCTTCAAGCCCGTGGCGAAACACCAGAATTTCGATTTTGCAGGTGTGTCCTGATCGGCCTCGGTACTTACGGACTAAACCTCATTCTGGTATCCCGACTCCGCCTCCATCATAGTTAATTGGGTTTAGCTGCTGACTCAGGCACGGCCTAGACTGACACCTCGACGACGCTGAGTGATTCATTCATAGCCCTCTCCCATTCCCCATTTCGAATGCTTTCCCGAAGATCTGAAGGTATCGATAAATGACCCCACAGGTGCTGAATTCCTGTAGTCTATGCGCTCTGAAGAAGAGGAAATGTGACAGAGCATATCCCGTCTGTTCAAGGTGTTTTCGGTGGGCGCTCCTCTTCCCCCTTTACAATGGGGACTCTCGATTCTAACAAAAACAGGTCAAAACGCGAGAAAGAATGTATTTATGATAACCCATCGGATAAAAGGGTGGCCAAGTCTCTTTCTGCTCAACGCTCTGAGCCGGGACCTCTCAGGTCCACTGGCGCCTGCGAAAGATGCAGAACCAGAAAGCGCGCCTGCGACAGAGAATATCCTGCATGTTCGAGCTGTAAAAGGTGTGCGGGCCTCTTGGGGCTGTTGGCTTCTCTCTGACTAGAAGCTAACCTTGAATTTAACTAGGCTTGGTATTCCCTGCGAATATAATAAGCCCGCCGCGAGGCAACTCACCCATGGTCTCATCACCCAAGCACAACAGGCTCTATTTGGGCGACGGCTGCTATCCTCGTCGCAAGGGATAGACAATCTACAACTCATGCCACAGTATCCGATTCCTGCGCGCAACCATTTCCCGTTGCTAATCCATCACTGTAGGTTCCCCCAAGAACCGTTTCCCAATCTCCGGGACTTGTTCTGAAAGCGTGGTGACAGACTGCGTGGCCTCCCTCCTACCAGAAAGCCACCGATTACCCAATAGCCTCACGACACACCTCCATACGACGTGGATGATCCGCGCAATGGCAGATCCCTGTTTATTCCACGCAACGCTCTTTTGCGCCTCGGCACATCTTGACCTGCTGCAGGGTAAACCACATAGCCGCATGACCGTCTTTCATCAGTCATGCGCCATGATGGCTCTCCGTGAGCGATTGAAGGGCGGGAAAATTAGTTATGAGACGGCCGCTACAGCTCTTGCGTTGGTTTATTATAATGTAGGTTCCACACTTTTCGACTCGCGTATTTTTCTTATGGCTATTTGTGTTTTCTTTTTCCTTTTTTAACACCCGAGCACAGATGACGGCATTTGACACTGAAACCGCCCTTATACACAAGCAAGGTATATTGCAAATGCTGGTGATAAACAAGGATAGGGGACCGGACTTCATGGGCCTTGCAGGCTTGGTGAACCTGTGAGCATTTTAATCCCTCTCGATAAAACACGCAAAGCTTATTTATCCAATGGGACTATACTAACTAGTAGGGAAAGAATTCTCCTAGGTGTCGCAGTGGTGATGAACCAGCAACCGCCGGAAATTCTGGCAATTAGCGATCCGACGGGGTTGTCCCTCTCGACGGTTCATGTACTTGCGCGCCCATCAAACCTTCTAAGCGTGGGATTAATACGAAGCCGGAAGAGGAAGAGTGGTATTCTTACAAATACTAGCATGGGTCAGCTACAGAATGTCCTCAACTTTATTATCGCAGCTGAAAACCCATCATCACGCGCGGACGCACCCCAACAACAGCGTTCCTTGCACCTCATAAGGCCACCGGAGCCCGCACCGACAGCGCCAGACTTCGGCGCCCCATCCACTAAGCTCACTACCATCAAGACTGCGCAAAACATCAACCATTGCGTACATCTTGTATGCTCCATATTCTGGACTCTAGTTCTGCACGGATTACAACCTGCTGAACCTGAGGTCTCAGAACCATCACCATCATCATCATTCACGAGCGACACAGTTCGTAGAAGCCCTCTGCGTGCTCTGCACGGAGTAATCAGTAAAATAGACCACATATCCTGGCAGAAGCACGCGCCAGAATTGTATATCTGGATTTGCCTGACCGCTGCCGCAGCATGCGACACTCCGTCGGCGCGAATACCCTTCATTGCAGCAGTCACGCCTATCGTGAGTGCCTCGGACTCGGCAGACCTCCTTCTTACGAGGGATAGTTGGCGGTATTTTGAGTGGTTGGCTGGGTTTCGTTGTCGAAGTTGAGGTATAGGCCCGATATTTCGCAAGTTGGTTTTTTTCCCCTTCTTTTTTTTTTTCCCCTGTCTTTATTGGACCTTGATGTACATACTTCTTCCGTGATATACATCTGGCGGTCAGGAGTGGAAGTTGCCCGGCGTGTCATTCCTTTATATTTCTTTTGTACTGGGTTCAATTGCTTTCTTGGCTTTCAGGCGTTCGGGGAGGTAGTAGTCGGGCAACAGCCCCCGGCATAGCTTAATCATAGGCATAAATAGGCTACAGAGGTAGGATTACCACTACTACAAATGGTTCTTCTAGATCAGCAAGTTCGTATGCTTGATCAAGTTTGTTGTTTATTGTGGCCTCTCAAATAGCAGTAGGGAGTGGTGAAGCTAAAGCTTAGAGCGCCTCATGCCTCTGCAAACAGATTATAGAAGCTTTTGAAAAGTTTATGGACGCATAAAAGTATTAGTATTGTCTAGGTCATGCTAAAAATCGGTGCAGCAGCTACGATAATCGCAATGCCGGCGCTTAATGAGTGGTCAAAATGCATTTGCGGTGTTGATGCTCACTGCAGATGGTAGAGCGGACTAGCGGCCAGCCACCCTATTTTTAGGAGCTTATCTAACCTCTCGGCCCGTGCAGCCCACGACCCCCACCCAAATTGCCAAACTCTGGACAGGTTCCACACCTCCACCACCATCACGAAAGCCTCAAGTTTACCCTGACGAGCCAGCAAAGTATCTGACAAAAATGCGACTGGTTTCCATGCTCCTGAAACGTCTCCCCTGGCGGAGAGCGCCAGACCCTGCATATCCTGTCTTTCCCCCGCCTCCACCCGAAAAGCTGCTTGCCGATTCTGACCATTATCGCCTACGTCTCGGTCAACGCGCCTGGCGAACCCCCAAAGGCGAAACAGAGGACACGCCACTTTACTCATTGTATAGACTTTACGAGAGACTGGTATTGAATGACAACATTGGCCTGCGCAACGAACTCGAGTACTTCTTTTATGCAAAGTGGCCAGTTGCCTCGATCCCAGATCCGCGCGACTCCTCTGAATCGCGCTATGCTGTTCTTGCCGCGATTCCGGCATTGTTGGTTGAATCTTTCAATGAGAGAATCGGCCTGGGACTTCCACGAAAAGCAGATCCCATTGTCTCACGTGAAGAGTTGGAACAATATCAAAAGGAGGACAAGATCTTCGAGGTGGTCCCGGACTGGGCGAACCGAGTTGCGCGGCTCAAGAAGACTTTGGTGATTCCTCATGAGGACGCTGAAGTCCTAGAGTCCTTCGACGATGAACGAGCTAGCCCTCAGCTGGCAGCCAAGAATATCCTCCATTGGCAACCGCACATCCATTTCATTTAGAAGCTCGAGCGAGGCAGCAGCGGTTCACGTTGCGTCCTTGGACCAAGTCTGAGATCCACAAAGATCGCGTTTTTATCCTCGCTTGACAGCCCGCTCGGCGCAAAACCAGCTTTGGCAACGAGCGTATGTGCTGGCTGTTCGATATTTTGCTTCGCGGTGATCTTGGCCCAGAGAACCTTCAGAATTTCAACCACGCCATACCATCCCCAGTGCATTTGCCGTTTGTCAGTGATGGCTTGCATACCGTCGTGCTCGATATTGGAAATGCCAAACGCGCCATGGATATGCCCACACACAACCATCTTTGGCTGCACCTTTCGTATCTCGCGCAAGAGATACCCATATCCTTTGACTTTGTGCTTTCCCGTTGGTCCGTTCTCGCCGTCATAGTCCCCATACCGCGCCGGGGGCCCGTGAGCCACGAGGATACCGGTGTCTGCGGGTATTAGTCCAGTCCAGACGTCTCGAATGGCAGGGTACTGAAAGGCCCAGCGACCGAATTCGGGAGTCAATGGAGAACCATAGATCTTCACTTGGCGACGACGCGTTGAGTCACGCCCTTCTTCCACACTATCAGCGGCAATGAGCGGTTCAATTTCCAGTATGACTGCTTCGTTTTGCAGATATCGGATTTTGCCCCAGTCTAGTTTCTTTTGTTTCAAGGCGCTGTTATCCTCGCCGCGTGTAAGGAACTGATCGTCGCATGCTTCATCGAGAATGAGGTCACGGTTGCCTGCGAAGACGACCTTGTGGGCATGCTGTCGATGTCATTGTTGGTAGATTACACCAGGGTCGTCAACACTCTGTCACGTCTGCAAGTCCTGTTCTGGGAGTTCAGAGGGAGATGTCATTTGTCAGACCTATTATATAAAGCTGTTATACACGCGGGTCTCTCATTTAACGCCAGGCCACCCAAGTAGCATGCCGAATACGGCCCGGACTTGTTTATCTTTAAACTCCATCACTGCTCGATCTATTGCCGTGAACCCATTACTGTCCATCACCAGACTATAAATGCCCACGTCCAATTGCATCAGGCAGTCAATAGCAGCTTTGAAGACCGGAATGCTGACTCTGCCCTGCCTGGTGCAGTATCCCCGAAATAGAAGTTGGATCGGTACTCGGTTCTTCGTATAGATTGCCCGATGCATTGGGGTGAGGCACGCGTGGTTCTTACCGTTTAAACGCATGCCCTCACTGATCAGCAACTGGATCATCTCCCTGGCGCTTGCTGAATTGGCCGGTTGAGCTGAACACAGGTAGTGTAGCGCGGACCACCCTCCTTCATTCGTGAAGTGTAGCGCGGAGGTTCCCCAGTGGGCCAGGTCCACCACCAGATTGAACTGCTGCTGTTCATAATTCGGCGCTTGGCCCGCGCACTTCCATAGAAGAGAGTTGATGTGGGCTTGCGGCCATGGTGGTGGACACTTGCGAAGCAACGTTTGTGCGCGGTGCGTATTGCCCCCTCTTATGATATCCTCAAACATGCGTGCCCTGGTATGGTTTGGAATCGCTGTGTGTCTGCTGCGCTCGAGGAGGATATCGATTATTTTGTCGTTCTGATGACGCTCCAAGGCAATGTCTAGAGGCGTTTTACCATCGGCATCAGCGACGGACATGTCGGCGCCAGCGTCGAGTAAAGAACAAACAACGGCTTCGCTTGAATGCCTCGCTGCATGGTGTAAAAGCGTCCATCCATTACCATTCTGTAATGAGATATTCCCGCCGGCGCCGACCATCTGCTCAATCAAGAGCAGCGTTATTTCTTCGTGGCCGCATATCATTGCTGCTGCCGCGGCAACATCTCCATCACTGTTTGTATCCAGTGGCTCGACGCCTTCGCTGATCAGGCACATTGTGGTCAGCTTGTTTCCGACCAATGCTGCAAGGTGAAGCGGGGTGTCGCCAAATTCATTTGGTTTCATCACCTCACCTCCAGCCTTGTGTGTGGCCTTTATGACTAGGGAAAGCGCGTTGGGCGTGCCTGAACAAAAGGAGGCGGCATATACTGTTGACACCCCGCCTGAAGCCTCTGAGAGAACATTTGCACCTGCATCGAGCAGGCGTGATACAGCCTCGGCATGTCCATACGTCGCTGCGTATTGCAATGGGGTCCATCCGGATTCGTCCCGCGGGTCAGGATCCTCAGTGGAGACGATAACTAAACTCAAGATTTTCACATTCCCGGTCATTGCCAGCACATGCGTCAGCGGCAGGATTGCAAGCGCATTGGCTATAGGTGAGATGAGCAAGGCCACGTAGGCGTGGTGGTGTTTTGGAAGAAAGTAGCTCATGAGCCATGGGGAGGACCAGGTATGCACACAGTCCTGCATCCGGCGAGTGAACACGCCTCGTGGTTTCATCACCCTCTGTTGGAGCCACTCGTCGATATCGGGGGTCAATCTGAGACCGGCATCGTATAGCTGCGGTGTGAGTATTTGGGCAAAGGATTTCCCCGCTTGGACGAGCGCATTCAGAGAACACAGGTCCAGATGCGATCCTACTTCTAGGATTATCTCTGGTGGAAGCTCTATGAGGCTCATCGCTGATCGCTCATCGTGGAAGCAGTGGGAATACGAGCCCGGGGGCAAGAGTGGCGCGTCGATGTTTATGTTGTTGAGAGCATGAGTCAGTTGTCGGAGCGCCTCGTGTTCGTATTCTGTTCGTTGGGATTCATTCAGCGCTAGAATCACCAGACTCGAGCTGATCACGAACCTAGAAGCAAGCATGCGACGAGGGTCCCTTGAAGCTGGCCGATTAGCTTTGAAACAGCCACCGATGTCTCGACGTTCGTTGTTTCCATATTGCGACAGTCGGATATCGGCTCTTGATATACACCAGCCTTACGCCGGATGGGCCGCGCCGAGGATTATTCTGAGCGATAGAAAGAATGGACAGGATACAATTTGTGTTGTTGTATAGGAATATTGATGATATAGATGGGGTTAATGGCTGTTTAAGAGGTCGGTGAGGCGAATGAAATCACAACCACCCAAGCCGTGCACCTGCACCCTTGGCACCTTCCCCAACTAGACATGAGCGTGCTGGCTATACCAACTCGACCATCTCTGCACCGATGTAGATCCTAGGTCAACCAATTCCCCTCCGCATCCTCCCATCCGAAATCCTGCGCAGTCCACCCAAGTAGAGTTTCCTTCCCATCGACCACGCGCTTCATCGCCCGAATATTGTCCGCAATCCGCTCCTGGGCGATAGTCCGGTGCGCATTATCCAACACGCCCATGGCAGTATCATCCAGGGTAACCAGCCTGATATTTTCGTCAAGCCGATCAAGCGAGCTGCTTTTCGGAATAACCGTTATCCCCCGCTGGACCGCCCACGAGAGGGATACGACGCCCGTTGAGCATGCATGCCGTTCGGCTATCTCCTGGAAGACAGGATGGGTGAGGATTTGGCCTAGTCGACTACTATGCTCGGCACCTCCGCCCATTGTACTGCGACAGTCAGTCTTGTGACTGAGTCAATGTTCTTCGAAGGGTGTATCTACCTCCAGCTCATGACGTGAATCCCCTTCTCCTGGCAGTACGGCACTAGACGATGATTGGGGTTAAATGCATGTAACTCGACCTGATTCACGACAGGAACGATCGTCGCCTCAGCCAACAGCGTATCAAGCGTCTTCTGCGTAAAATTGCTGACTCCGATCGCGCGACATCGGTCTCCGACACACGCCTCCATCTTCTTCCACGTCTCCACAAACGTCGGAGACTCGTCGATACGCAACACACCTTTATTGTCGGGTGTACTCGCGCACGGCCAATGCATGAGGAAAATATCAATGTACTCTAGCCCCAGCGCATCGAGCGACTTTTCAAGCGCAGCAGCCGGATCGTGGTGCCAGTCGCTCCAGAACTTGGTGATGACGGTGATTTCTGAGCGGGGGATTCCCGATGCCCGCACCGCTTCGCCGACAACATCCTCGACAAAGTAGTATTGTGCCGTATCGATGAGCCGGTAGCCGTTTCCTAGAGCGTGGATAATCGAGTCGCGCAGCTTGTCATTGTCGACCTGGGAACCGGAGCCTGGTCGCGTAAGCTCGAGCTGCTCTTCATCTTCTGTTTCATTCACTTACCTTGCCATGTGCCTAGTCCGACAGCGGGGATATGCGTGCCTGTCTTGTTAATCGAAGTTTCGGTATCCGGACAGTGCTTAAGGAGATTACCATTGTTCAGTGGGAAGGTCTTCAGGCAGACTTCGCGTGCAAATGCCATTATGTAGCCGATGAGGGAGATGGAGGGTGTGCTAAGGAAGAAGTTGGAGAACAGAACCCCGCGGTGGGACGCAATTTATAGTGTGAACTGACCAGTCGTGGACTGATTTCCGTTCCCCACAAATATTCTCCAGATCTCTACTCCGATAAGACGCGTCCCTGCTGTACTGTATGTATATTCCAAGGAGATAACATTGCTAGTAGTTGATTCTCGATGCTGCCTAAATGCTAATCAGATAACCAACCCACGGTTAAGCACGCTCTATATACAGTTACCTCAATGCAAAATAATCACTTACTATCCCAGTGGCCCGTATCCTTAATCGTCGCCACGGTTTTTCTGACATCCTCCATATTCTCCCTCGACAACCGCCCCTTCAGCCCCGCCGGCACCCACGGATAAACAGCCTGGCCCACGAGACAATCCCAACATACGTTGCCTGACTCGCCAACCCAGGCTGCACACTATATTTTCTAGCAAGATGCGCCGGCAACCAATTAATCGTAACCGTCCGGACAACAGGTACAGCCCACGCCATACTCATCGGCAGCGCCATAGGTGGATACAGCTTTCATGCACAAGACTCCGCGCCTCATCGGCAATCGTCAACGTCGCAATATTGTAGTCCCAGAACGCCCAGAACTCATCCAGCGTCTCCAGTCACATTTCTGGCGGCATGCGCAGCGACGTGCCGAAGATGGCGCACTCACGGAATAACCCCTCCATTTCATCCCGTGTCATCTTCCCAAAGAACGTCTCGCACACGCGGATGATCGCCACGAACAGCGTCGCGGCCGTCCATTTATGTAACTCCGGGTTATCGGCGCTATATCCGTCCCCCTTCATTTCCGCGGCTATGGTATTTATGCACGACGCCAAATATAGCCGTCTTCTCCTCGTCCGTCCCGTTTACTGCGACGTTGAGGAAACACCCCGTTTTTCGGAGGCGTTGCTGAAAGCGGTAGGCGAATTGGGAATGTTTGTAGCTGCCCTTTGCGAGTGCTGGATGTGCGAACTGGCAAAGGATTGTGAAGAGCGCGCCCAGGAGGTAGATGTCCTGGTTGATCATCGAGCGGAGGAGGAGGGGTTCGGCAATGGGTGGGTACATGTAGTCCGGGGGGTCGGGTTTCTTTTCGAGGGGTTCAGTCATGGTTGTGGTGAGGATTTCGTGGCTGTTGCTGTTGTTATTGTTGTTGTTGACATGGTGTGTGTGTGTGTGGGATATGTGGTAGGTAAGTAGATAGGTAGGGTACCGGTGACGCACAAATTGAATGAGTCCTCCTCGTCCGGGGCGTATCAGGTTAATATACCCCATCACTCGCCTGTGATTTACGCGCCAGGGCTAGCAAAAGCCGTCCACTCTATGTATTTTTACAGAAATGGCGGTTCGGCCAACCAGACTACGACAAGGCTTAGAGGCGGGCGAGCGATTCATTTTTGACTCGACCGAAATACCCGAAGTAGGAAGCAGGGTACCTGGAATGGAATATTTCGGACGCCCTCGAATGGGAGATTCAACATGGTGCATCGGTTGGTGCGATGATTCCATCATAGTGTGTCGCAGCGACACTTTAGCGGGTGGTGGCCGATCGAAGTGGCTATGTCTGCACCCAGCGGTAGGGCTAAGATTCCCAAAATGGCTACATCTCCGAGCTGAGTATAGAGGCTTGGCTGAGGTAAGAGTAATAGTGCTCGGTATACTCTGTATAAGAGAGAGAGGGGCCGTGTTTTGATGCTATATTTGACAATTCTGGACCCGATTGACAGAATGTTGGACATGTTCTGTGCCGCGGAATTGGTTCGCCTCCACCTTCGACATGGGGACCATTCTCACGCGATACTCCGACCGTATGCACAGCGAGCATGTAGTCAGTCGCACCAAAGATACAAAGTCCTCTAAGCACCGCAGAGATACAGGTTACACACGGAATCTGAGCCATGCTGTCCCCAATCACTCACAGACCACGTTTGGCAGGGATCCTAAGTACTGGCTATTACCCATGCGGCAAAATATGAGCACAGGCAACACGAGCTGTCCTATCACACGGTTCAAAAACGTCAATTTGACACGCCTATCTGATCTGCAGGCGGCTAAACATCCGGTGGGTGGTAAATCCTCCGACGGTTCATCTGGCGCTGCGTTGTCCGTTCCGCCGACGATCCGGAGGTGTGGGGGGCCTGTGCGGCCGGCGCATTATAGTTCTGAATACAGTACTCATTGGCCATGATTCGAATAATGATAGAAGTATAGGTCTCTGGGGATTCTTGGGACTATACCTTTACCGTCATAAATGTTGAGTCTTCGGCTGCGCTGTCCCCCCGCATGAGACTTTATAGAACACGTAGCACAGACACTGCCATGTAGATCAGCAACGCAGCGAAGAGTATGCCCAAATAAAAGTGAGGAACCGGAGAGCCTCGTATACATACCCACCTTGGAAGAGACAATGTCCGCTTTTCGGATGACCTGAACCGTCAGGTTTGTAATAGGGCTGCATGAACTAAGCCATCCAGTTGCCCTGACATTATTTGGTCAGAGCGTCAGCTCAATTAGGGTTGTTCTATGCCAGCTATCGGCGGCGGCGGAGCGGCCAGTGGAATCATGGTGCCCCATGATATATAACGCGAGGCATGGAATCTCGGTACCTAGCAAGATTAGTAAAGAACAAACTAGAAGAGCAAGTAGATTCCCGTACGTAACAACTCCAGTGTCGCACTACAGTCTCAGCAAGACGGTCTTCACATTGGCGATCGTCAAGTAAGCGACTTATCAAGCAGTTTTTGTACTGGGGGTCCTCGCGATTGTCAGAGCCGAGGCATGGATTAAGTCGTACTATCCGAGTTTAAATACCTCCGGTCGCTTTGACAACTAATACGGTCTATGGCTAGCATCGATAGTGCCAGTCGCCTGCTGGGAGAGGCCAAATTAACTCCAGTGAGACACGTCTTTGAATACACGGAGGAGGCTATTGGCGTAGACGATGTGATCCGGGTATGAGGGTGGTGCCCTAAGCCTACAGTAAGCTTTTTAGTGCTGCCTGGAGTCCGAGGTCAGGTTCCTACATCCCCCGAGCAGGAGACCTAGAGGCGATCTCCGAACTTGTCTAATATCGATAGATAAGATGGTGGATATTTCTAGCGGGATCCGTCGGATGTCTTTTCCTTAACAATTTGAATACCTAATACTGACCCCAACAAAAACGACCCCTTTATTTACTCCAACTTACACAACGCCTTTTGATTTGGAGTAGTAATGCCCCTGCTTATCTTTCTCCACTTGTATCCACTTGGTCATTTAACTTAGCAGCCTAGTGCAGCATCTCCGATAAGATGATAAGATGATACGACCTCCTATAAACACAGTCGACGCATCCGCCGTTACCCGAAGGTGACAGCTGCAATTGAACAGACAAGAGACAGAGGGTAGGCGAAGCAATGGTTTCTGCATCCCGGATTAGACTCAGCCTGACAGCGGCCCTGTCGCTGCTTTCCGCCGCAGTTGCCTCCTCAGTCACAACTAAGGGGCAAACTATTACCCTTGAGGGCAGCACTTACTATGTGCCGCCTACTGCTGTCACAACCCTGAAGCTTCCGTTTGGTCGCTTTAGTCGCGAAACGGATCTCGTTCCGCTCACCGTTATAAGAAGTGACCAGAAGCGGCTGACCACTGCGGCGATTAAGGATCTCGTCAATCTCTACGAGGAGCTGGATGATGTTTTCAGCGCTGGGTTTCTTGAGAGTAAGTTCGTCTAGAGACAGCTTTGGATCGGGCTAACCCGAGCAGATATCTATGTCACATACAATGGGACACATCGTGGACCGAGCCACGCGCTTTCTCTTCCGTCTGTCTGGAAAAACTCCTGGCTGGGCTTTGCCGCGGCGTACGGCGGGAGGAATGCAGTACCCTCGTCAAAGGACCTTCCGCCAGGCCCGTACTTCATGAACCCAGTTACCGGAGACGTGTTTGAAGCATACCTCCTCTACTCGGACGTCATGGGCTCTTTCACCGAAGGTCTCATTTCATCAGGTGACGGATCGTACGCTTCTCTCTCAGCAGCCATACAAGGTGTCACCTCCGTGACCATCGGTGTCCCGTCCCGACTATACTACACCAAGACAGACAAGAAGCCCCTCGCCGGTGTCCGCCTAGGCGTGAAAGACATCTACGACATCAAAGGTGTCAAGACCGGCTGCGGAAACCGCGCATACTATGACCTCTACCCAGCAGCAGACGCCACGGGCCCCGCTGTGCAATCCCTCATCGACGCGGGCGCGATCATTGTCGGGAAAATGAAGACGAGCCAGTTCGCGAACGGCGAGACTGCAACCGCTGACTGGGTCGACTATCACTCGCCCTACAACGCGCGTGGAGACGGGTACCAAGACCCGAGCTCGTCTTCTTCTGGTCCCGGATCGGGTATCGGTGCGTATCCTTGGCTTGATCTTGCGCTGGGAAGTGACACGGGTGGTTCAATCCGCAACCCATCTCAGGTGAATGGGTGCTTTGGCAATCGGCCCTCGTGGGATCTTGTTCCTCTTGACGGCGTCATGCCCATGTCCCCTGCGCTGGATACAGCGGGCTTTCTCACGCGCGATGCGAAGCTCCTGCAAACCGCGTCCGAGGTCATGTACGCGGGTGCCGGCTTGAAGTCATATACCAAATACCCAAAGACCATCAAGACAATCGACTTCCCCGAGACCGCCTCGACCGAAGCCAACGCAATAGTCCTCGACTTTCTCGCCAAGCTCACCTCCTTCCTCGGCGGGGCAAACATCTCAGCCCTCGACTACGACGCCTTATGGGAATCCACCAAGCCGTCCACCGTATCCGCCGACGAAACACTCAATACCCTCTTAAACCTCACATACCCGATCCTCATCACAAAGCAACAGTACCCTCTGATCGGCGAACCACTAATCGCAGACTACGCCGCCGCAAACGCCGGTCGACGACCATTCATCAACCCTGTCCCGCTCTCGCGCTGGACTTGGGGGACTGGGTACCCGGATTCGCAGCTGGATGCTGAACTCGAAAAGAAAGAGATCTTTACTGCGTGGTGGAATAGTACGGTGCAGGTTGCGGATCCAGAGACGTGCTCGGATAGTCTCATTCTGTATGTTGGGGCCGCGGCGTATCCAAATTATCGGAATACATATCGCAGGTATGCTTCTACCCTGCAAAGAGGATCAGATGGACTGTGACTGACTTGGATAAATAGTGTGCCCGGTATTCCTATGGGGTTTGGAACGTCCCGAATCGGCAACCTCGCTGGCGTCCCTGACATTGTGGTTCCCAGTACGTCTCCTCCCCCAGCATTCCATCGCAAGACAAGGTTACTAACTTCCACTAGTTGGCGAGGCGGCATACAACTCAACCATCACTCTCCAGCAAGAGTACCTCCCTGTCGCCATAGACATTATTGCGCCGCACGGGTGCGACCTTATGGTACTCAATCTGATCAATGACTTGGTCGCCGAGGGCATAGTCAAGGAGCCAGTGACGGGGTCTTCTATGTATGGGGATGGGACGACGTATTACTGATGTTGATGGATAAGAGCTGGATACAAACTGTAAATATAAGATGGAGCATTGATGTATATAGAGAGTCCAATCCTTGTTGTGGTTGTCACCTACATCACGTTATTGGCATTTCCATAAAGCTCTGGTGATAGTTCAAGAAAGTCATTCTTCTCGTATTTGTTAGAGTTCCTCTCTAGACTACCATGCTCCGTGGCCCATGTTTGGACGTTCTATAGAATTCTCGAAGGCATAGATTGAATTGAAGTTCGAATGAAGGTCCTCCCCAATACATGCAGCGGAGAAGGAAGGGAGCTCACTGGCTTATGGAACCCTTGGAAGGATCCTATAGCTACATATATAGGCAGGCTCGCTTACTTTTTCAGTGCATAGTAACACAGCTACACGCATAATTTGTTCATGGTTTGTTTATAGTAATGTTGGTACAACTTTCCGCAGGAAGCATTTCATTTCTAAGGGCAGAAATGACAGGTATTTGTCGCAGTTTCTGAAAGCGGCAGAATGCTGCGACAGAATCCGTCGGAGCAAGGACGATTTACGAAGAGCCCACCAAGCTTCAGACTGGACAACAGACGGGCTTAAGGCTGGACGACTAACGGCGCCATGATCGCCCTCTAATGAGCGTTGATTCGGGCCGGAGTTCCAACTCCGAATTCCGTCTTATGCGGGAGCAAATCACGACGGGTGAAGGGTTAAGTCCGACAGCCTGCAGGCGTTGCGCACCTGTATAAGACGGTGGTCTTGGTGCTGGTGAGGAATCTACCACATCCCCTGTCAAATATCCGTTCTCAGTTCCGTTATTCTTCATAGTGCTTCTGACGCTCTCTCTCTGCGTTCACTTTGTTCATTCTCCTCTACACAAAATGGCCCCTACCAACCGCGCCGCCTGGCTCACAGCAGAAAAGGCCTACCCTCTCGAAGTCAAGGAAGCACCGTACACTCCACCTGGTGATAACGAGATTGTTATCCACAACCGTGCAATCGCCCTGAACCTAGTCGACTACGCGCGCCAGCTCATGGGCGCTGATCTATTTGCCTGGACCACCTACCCTGCCATCCTTGGCACAGACGTCGCTGGCGAGGTTGTCGAAGTGGGTGCGAGTGCTGCATCACGGTTCAAGATTGGCGACCGCGTTGTCGGCCTGGCTAGCGAACTCAAGAACAACACCCCTCATGAAGGAGCCTTCCAGGAATACGTCGTTCTCCAGCCTCAACTCGTCTCTCACATTCCTTCCACTCTCTCATTCGAAGATGCCTCCGTCATCCCGCTGGGAATCAGCACAGCAGCCTGCGGCCTCTTCCAAAAAGATCACCTCGCCCTGCAGCTCCCAACCCAGCCCCGAGCCCCAGCAACCGGCGAGACCCTCCTCATCTGGGCCGGCTCATCGAGTGTCGGAAGTAATGCAATCCAGCTAGCCGTTGCAGCTGGATACGGAGTATTCACGACCGCCTCGCCCAAGAACTTTGAGTATGTCAAGTCTCTCGGCGCCAGCCAGGTGTGGGACTACCGCAGCCCAACAATTGTCGAAGATATCGTTGCCGCGTTCAGCGGAAAGGTATCCGCCGGCGCGCTGGCGATCGGCGATGGTGCGGCCGGTCCGTGTGCGGAAATCATCTCGCGTGTGGAAGGTAAGAAGTTTGTTTCGCTGGCGAGTCCGGCCAAGAGTCAGCTGGCGGGTGGCGTCTCGTCCAAGTTTATTTTCGGAGGGGATCTGAAGGACAATGAGGTAGGGCCTGCTATATTCGAGGCATTTTTGCCCAAGGCGCTCGAAGCTGGGACGTTCCAGGCTAAGCCTTCGGGCGAGGTTGTTGGGCATGGGCTTGAGGCTATTCAGAAGGGGCTGGATGATTTGAAGGCAGGGGTTTCGGCAAAGAAACTTGTAGTTACGCTTTAGATTGTACGCTACATACCAAGGTCAATTGCAATTTAGTACCTTTTGATCACTTCTTCTTAGTGTCTCAGGCCCTTTAGACAGTAATCCCTTGTCAGTGGCTAAGACTAAAGTAACCATCCAGGTCTTCATTATTCGCACTTTCAGTGTATGTATCGAGTCTGTTCTTGCTGAGTTGAAGCCCTCGGCTTGACCGTTATTGCTTCACCCAACCCGGCCTGTGGCCCTGTTGCCCTGAAGAGATCATCCAGCTTGATGCATCATGATAATAATACGTATACTTCTTGTAGGTAAGTACTCCGAGCAGCCAATCGGCGGTGTCGCAATAAATGAGCTCACGGCAAGTGCTCAGGTTTTGTCTCAACGACACCAATAATTCACAATCATTGCCAAGATAGTCTTGGAATCATCGCGTCGATCAACCTGTTCTAGCTCCATCTGTCTTTGTTCCCTTCTCTTCCCTTAAGTCCGGGGCCAGACGGGCGGCCGAACCCCGAACCCCGACGGCGGCTGAAACATCCCAGTCCTGGTCGACCAAGCCAGAAATCAAGAATAGATAGGGATTCAGACAGGGATCTCGGGCTGACCTGCAAATGGACGTGTATTGAGTTCTTGGATTTATAATATTGTTTAGCAATGGCTTGGTTGATTTCAAATCCTTGATCAAACTTGGGATGTACAGGTATATAAGCCCGTCCCGACCCAGGTCGAAGCAAACAAAAAGCAATCTAGAGAACACCACAACTGACTGTACTACTCCCAGACAGCTTTTCAATCGGCATCTACAATAGTTTGGCCAAGAAAGTTTCAGCCCAAAATGAGCGTTACTTCCGACATCACTCTCTATACAGACAACACCCCCAACGGGGCCAAACCGCCCATCCTCCTGGAAGAGCTGGGTTTGCCCTACAAGCTGGAGCATCTGTCGATCCAATCCGGCAGACATAAGGAAGAGTATATAATCCCCTCTCTATACTCAAGTCACATTCTAACCAACCCAGGTGGTACCTCAAAATCAACCCCAACGGGCAAATCCCCGCCATCACGGATGGCCAGCAGCGCGTCTTCGACAGCGGCGCCATCCTCGTCTATTTGGCCCAGCGGTACGATACGGAGGGCAGATTCAGCTACGCACCAGGTACTTCCGAGTACTATGAGCAGTTGAGCTGGATCTCGTGGCAGATTGGTGGTCTGGGACCCAAGTCTGGTAGGTCACCTGTGCGATTTGAGGTCTTGACACCTATGGTAGGAGTATGTTCTAACAAACGGCAGGCCAAGCCCTCGCCTTCGCAGCCTTTGCCCCGGTGCGCTCCGACTACGCAATCGAAAAGTTCCTCGCCGAAACCAAGAACCTCTTGGGTGTCCTGGAGTACCGCCTCAAGGAATCTCCCTACCTCGCCGGCGACAAGTACACGATTGCCGACATTGCTTCCTTCCCGTGGGTGTTTCAGGGAGCTGATGCGTTGGACATTGATCTGGCCGAGTGGCCGCATGTGAAGAAGTGGGTTGAGAAGATCGGTCAGAGGCCGGCTGTGCAGAAGGGGTTGGCGACGCCTACGCCGCCCTTTACGGCTGATGAGTTTAGGGCGTTTTGTAGGGCGCAGAGGGCAGCTGTGCTTGCGAAGGAGAATACCGATAAGCACTGAGCTGGATATGGCCCGAGTAAAGGGATGAATAGAGGAACAGATTGAAGGCTAGATAGGCAGAATGTGAACCAATTTGGGGTATACTTCAGCACTGAATTCGCACTTGGGGCTTGGATATACCTATATTGAAGGTGATACCACAGCCTTTGTACTTTGATCTTTATCTGGTCGCTCTCACTCCACTGATATAAAGTTTGATTTTTGTGCTTGAGCAATATGCAGCACGTCAGGGAACGGGGTACCACAAGATAATAGACAGTCTTGCAGAGCGCTTGAGCTTTTACATAGTCTAAACAGCTTTCGCAGTAGGATTTACTAACTAAAGCTCCTCCTCAAGAGGTAGAATAGCCAGAACAAGTGCAAGAGGCACAACAACCTCGCCCTTCCGGCCACAGTTTCGAAGGGGAAGCGCCTAATATCCCAGTTTATACCGTCTTGCGGTGAAACGTGGTGGACGACAAATTGTAACATGGATCCCATTAGAGCTCATGTTTTGCAAAGTGGTGGCATTCATGAACAGGCCCCGTGCTCTGCTAGATTCCCAATTAGTGAAGTTATATGACTTGCAATGGTCAGATCAGCCCGAATCCGTGGACTATAATCCCACTTTCCGGGCAGAAGCCCTAACTGGAACAATGAAATTGGGCTAGCCATTACTTAAGACCGCATTCCCAAGTACTGGGAGTTGTTGACATTACTAGGCAGGATGGGGTCCAATGTCTACCGGGCGTGCTCCACCGATACCCATGTCCCAAGTTGGGAAAAGGGACAAAACAGCAATATTGCACCATTGCTTTTTTAGACTTGGGGAGATGTTCGTTGCATTAGCGCCTTCAGGAAAACAGGCGTGAGCCTAACACTGCATTTTTAGGCTCCGGGAGCGGTTTGCTGTCATTTGGCTGGGTAAAATGCTGGGAAGGGTCCGCCGTCCATTGACCAGGTAAAATTGCACTGCATTTTTTAGCTTCGCAGAGAAGCTGGCAAGGCTTTACTAGTAGCGCCCGAACCTTGATTTTGCTTGGTGGGGTTCTTGCAGATGAATGGGGCAACTCTAAAGCAACCAGTATCACCCCAAGCCACGACTTGTCCCGTCGGGCACATTACTAGTATTGTCTTCATTATGTGACTGAGCAGCGAACAAGCCAGCGGCCAGGCGCTGATTTGCAACGGCCCCAAAAATCAACAGATACGGGAAGGAAAGTTGGAACACGCTAAGATCTGGCTGCGCCCTGGCGCAAGAAACCCCAACAGATACTTAATTTACAGGGGTACTGATTGGATAGAAGCTGGAACTCCGCAAGCAGGGGTCGGCTCATCAGTTCAGAATCCTATTCGGCCGCGAGCTCATTGATTGCGTACTTGGTGTCAGGAGCTAAATCGCCGCGGGGGGCGCTGCTGCATTTTCCTCCACCACTCCTTCCCTTTCTCTGTCCTCACTCTTTTGTTAGGTTATTCTTCTTCTGTCCTTCGTTTGTCGCATTCTCTGGTTTGATTATGGATTCGCAGCCATGGCAGCCTGGAAACCACGATCCTTCTGGACCACCACGTCCACCGCAGACCGAGCGGCGACCGCGACAAAGCCCAGGCGCAGCTTGTGAGGAATGTCGTCGTCGAAAGCTGCGCTGCGATCGAAAGACGCCGCAATGCGGTGTGTGTGCTGCTACCAGCACTGTGTGCAAGTTCAGCCACTTGAGGTCGGCGCCTAAGAGGAGACAGATGCAGCAATTGCAGCAGAAAATAGGTTCGTGTCTTTAATCTTCGACGTGTGCTGGTCATTGACGAAACAACCACAGCTGCCCTAGAAGAACGCCTCAACACCGCAAGCGAGAACAACATCGTCTTCCAACAACCTTCGTTCGACCTCTCCAACAATGCGACGGCCACGGATACCCAGGAGAATGTCTGCCTTCCCGTCTCCTTCGAGGCCCAAAGCGCAGCTGCTACCACCCTGGATTTCCACCTTGCTCCAAGCCCACCACAGCAAACTGGAACCGATCTACCTGTCACCATAAAAGAGGAACTGTGAGCGCTGAGATAGTAAGATAGCTGAAACAATCTCTAACTCGTTAGCGACCAACTTTACTTTGACCGGGTGCATGTCTTCGCACCGATGATCCACCAAAGCCGATATGCGTGCTGGAGTTGTCAGCAACCAAAGAGAGAGGCGAGGCAAGCGCTTCAATACGCCATGTGGACGCTCGCGGCCTCGTTCTCAGCGCAGTTCCAGCAGCTCGCCCAATCGCTATACGACGAGACCCGACGGATGCTTGATATGCTTGAAGTGAAGAGTCGTGAGGTAGATACAACCGATATTGAACATCTGCAGGCCTGCCTCCTTCTGGTGATATACGAATATATGCATTCGTACGACCGTCGATGCTGGATGCGCGCAGGATACGCCTTTCGCCTCGTACAGCTCATGCGTTTATTCGAGATCGACTCGTCTACGACTGGCCTCGGGTCCTTTGATTGGGTCGAAGTGGAGGAGAAACGCCGCACGTTCTGGGTCGCCTACTGTGTCGACCGATTCCTCAGTATCCCGAGTCGATGGCCCATTACACTGATTGAGCATCTGGTGAGCACTCAGTGCCCGGTGCGTATATAACAAACTAATTCTTTTAGATCACTACGCGTCTGCCCGCGCCCGAAGCAGCGTTCCAATCTGGCCATTGTGTGGAGATGGAATATCTCGCCGACGCCATTTCCTCTAACGGCCCTGTCCAGGCCTCGCCATTCTCAGAACTAGTCATGGTCACAACCGTCTGCGGCCGTGCCCTCGTCCATCACTACCAAGCCCTTGTCGAGAGCAGCTACAACAGCTCCATTCGCAACTTTCACGACTGACACCAGTGGATCCACAGTACCTTGACTCAGTGGCTAAATATGCTAGCAAGGAGCACGTCAAGTATGAGCGGGAGTAATGACGGGGTCGCCCTCTTCACGCGCATGCTCGGCCAAACTACCATCTTGTATCTCCACCATACTCTCGAACTTAGTGCGTACGATTTTGACGCGGTTGGACTAGTATTTGCTATTGAGTACGACGAGACTGCCTTCCAAGCGGCGCAGGAAATGATCTCGTTGGCGAAGACGTTAGGCCAGCTCAACTCCTTCAAGGTATCTACCACCCTGCTTACCATTGTTAGCTCAAGTAGGAGAGACCACTAACTGACTTAGATCCATCCTTTTACCTCCATCCCCCTCGCCCTCTGCGCAGCCTTTCTCAACACCCACCGCGACCCAAATACTCGATTCTATACAAAGCTCCACGAAATGTTTCAGGCTCTCCGGCACGTCAAAATCGCCAATAGCCTTGGCGGCAAGATCCTGGAGATATTTCAGTTGCTTCGCTACCATACCCAGACAAGCGAAAACCCATCTTCAGGTATAGCCATCGAGAATGTACCGCCATCAAATCGTTGATCAAGCAGTTTGCATATAATAATATATAATAATGTGCGATGACAGTTACGGGGTGAGTAGTCTCTTGTCTTAAGGAGTTACTACTATTCTGGTGGCAATTCCTAGTGCTGGATAGCTTTCTTGTCCATTTTTCCGTTGCCATCACATCTGTTCGTCCCCGCTGTCTCTCTCGCTGGGTTGAGGCTTGGCGTTCCCGCGGTTTCTTGTTGCACCATTCGACCGAAGTGGTTGGTACACTTTGTATACCTAGTAGGACATTCAATTAATCCCGAACGAGGCTATCTCGGAAGAGATAGGATCAACTACCGAATAATTAAATAAGTCCTGCGCTGTATCAAGTTGGGGAGGACGATTGGTGCCTCAGGCCGCAATATGGCCCGGCGAGATCCGAACCATCTTGTTTTGCTCTATACATAAATTGGTTTGTTTAAGTCGTAGTATCTGTGTTGTGTATACTCTTTTGCAATATTTTTCAATCCATGAGGGAACTACGATTCAATTCATGAGTATGAACAGTATCTAGGATTGTTCACCGAAGTCCCTCTTAATTCCATCCTCGCAAGATATATAGAGTTGGCTTAGACAAGGAGGGCTTGTATATAAATCTCATGACAATGCATTATTACTCTAACAATTTGAAAAAATATCATCTACACACATAGTCCCATAAGCCATCAATCTAAAAGATCACCCAAAAACCAACGTCCGCACCTCGATACTCTCTCGTGGCTTCGCATCGGACGGCGACCTCGGATCCACAAAGGCCGAATGCGGCACGTGATGCGCAACCCCCTCCTGCGTATCAGAGCACTTGATCAGAATGCGCTCATCATCGTCAATCCCCGACCAGTACAGCCACTGCTGTTTCGGGTTATATTTCACGCCCATCGTCTCGCCCGTGTAGTGCGGGTATCGCCGCTGGATGGGGATGAGATCTTCCGGCGCGACAGTTGCGGCTGTCGCGAAGCCGAGGGGCATGGACTCAACCTTGCCGTTCAAGGGACGCCAGACGTTGATGATTCTATACCGGCCCTTGAGGAGTTTCTCGGCTTCGGCGGGGTCCGGGATGGAGGCGCGCACGCGCTGTTCTGCAGCCCAAGGGGTTTGATCGACGTGCGCGAAGTTGACGGGTTGTCGGTGGGCATTGGGGTCGTGCTTGCGGACAGTGTGGTCGAAGATGACGACCTTATGTGCGCCTGGGACGTTGTTGAGGATCAACTCTTGCACCTCGGAGTAGTACTTTGATTTGACGGTTTCGTCGGAGTCAAAGTCTGTGTAGGACATTTTTGATGGGATCTTTTGAAGAACTTGAAAGGCATCTTGGTCGAGGTTGTATTCATTCTCATGGCCGCGAATGTCCTTGAGGTGCACCTCGTGCGTGGTTGATGTGTAGTTCTCCTGTGGTTCACCGGCGGGAGGCGTCTCTACATAGGCGAATGGGGTGGAGCCATCGGCTGGGGGGTTGATGAAGCTGATTTGCGTGCTGACGGGACCACTGAGAGAGGACATCTTGAAGATGAGATAAAGATGAGATGCTGATGCTGTTGAAGATGTTGTCAAGGGATGGAGGCGCCTTATATAGAGTTGGAGGGCTGAATAATGCGATCTTGCGGGGATGATGACAAATCGGCTGAAGGTGCTCGAATATCGAATAATACTGGCTGCACGACGCATGAAAAACGCCGCCTTCAAATCCGATATACTGACCTCGTGTGGCAACAGTGAGAGATGCTGACTGTGCAGTCTGCGTGATGACGTGATCGCGAGTGGAAAAGACACCGAGCCTCCCACTCGCCCCGATCGGCCGTTCCTGAACCTGGCAAAACGCCACCACGAGTCTCAACTGCAGCAAGAGACCTGGGTTCGAGGTGGTATTATCCTCAAAAATGGCACGAAAACAGACGTACCGAGCAGATCACGCATCCATCCGAAATCAAGACCCATTGAATTAGGAGTGATGCCGAAGGAAAGCAAAAGTTGGCTCGCATTGACGAATTCTTGGTCTGGACCGATGACGTAGTTCGCGGTGACGCTGCGATCGGGTCGGCTTTTATAGCAGCGTCCTTGCTTTGGTTCAACGACAGTCCCTCTTATAATCAACTGTTGTGAACACTGCCACTCATGAACCGACAGTCTCGAATTATTTTCAATGCCCTCAACTACCAGCTCGAGTCAAGGCCGCGAAGGCGCGCCGCGGAAATACGCGTATAACTGGGAAGGGGCCCGGGAGCGAGAGACGCACCTGTAAGATTTTCTACTCTTAAAGCAACTACTGTCTCGATGTTCGTTTAGGAAGGCGCTCGCCTGACACAGACACCTTTCCAAATACAGGTACCTCCCCTACTGGGGCTTCTCCGGCTCCGAGAAATTCGCCCAGCAGTCCGTCGGCGACTACCCGAACAAGTCCCGCGACAATGTTCTCACCGTCTTTGCCCAGCTCGCCTCGCTACGTATGAATGCGCAACGAGCCCTTATTTCCCTCTTCGATAAAACGTCGCAACATGTCATCGCCGAAGCGACCCCGGATTTGTCTCTTCGTGGCGCCGAGGCCGCTAATTGCCAGGCCTCGCTGTGGCTTGGTGTGCGCAAGGTTCCCCGACAGACGATTACGATGTGTTACCACGCCGTCAATTCATTTATCGAGAAGGGAGGTGATATCTTTGTCGTCGGGGACTTGACGGCCGATAAACGGTTCAAGGACCATCCGTCCGTTACGGATTATCCGCATAACCGGTTCTACGTCTCGGTGCCGATTGTTTCCCCGGATGACTACATTATAGGAAGTGTTGCTGTGCTGGATGATAAGGCTCGAGATGGTGTAAGGCGCGAGCAGAAGCAGTTTCTACAAGAACTTTCGGCAACGGTTATGGACCACCTGCTGGCGCAACGGGCGATGCGTGAGGAGTACCGCGAGGAGAAGATGGTGCGCGCGCTGGGCCTGTTCGTCAAGGGCAAATCCGATCTCAACGAGTGGTTCTATAGTCGCGAGGCGCCGGGCAAGAAGTACGGGGGGAATATCACGCATGTCAACAAACGTCTTGAGCGGCTGCAGGTTTCGGCGTCGCAAGGGGAAAGTCCCCACGAGTCTGAAAATGAGCAGGATGGGGAGAAGAGATCGCAAACTGGCTCGCAGACAGGGAACGCCGGTGACTTTGTGTCGCCTGTTCAGCGTTATAAGACTGATAGTGATGGTAAGGGCGAGGACGAGCAGGAAGGTGGCGAGGGGAAGAAAAAGAGGAAGAATCGGCCGCAGCTCTCGCCGACTACCAGTCAACTGCAAGAATCCCTTGCGCCATCAAATGTCCGTTCGGTAGTAAACCGTGCTGCTACGATGATCTACCAGGCGCTGGATGTCGAAGGAGCGATGTTCATCGATGCCAGTGTCTACGCTCGACGACAGGCCGTCAGCTCAAGCGTTCCCAGCAACGACAAACCTGGGGATTACGATGTCGAGCAGGCTGACGGCAGTGGAGAGGACCACATGGCATCAGGTCTCGCACACCCCGAGTCTGAAACCGATTCCAGCAAGGAGGACGACAACCAGCGATCCCGAAGTCTTGTTGTCGGTCATTATACTTCCTCTACGTCAGAAGCAGGCGTCAATCTCTCCGATAGCCACTACATCTCACTTTCGGGCGGCTTCATAAACCACCTCATTGACCAGTATCCACGGGGCAAAATCTTCCATCTTGAGGAAGACCGTTCTATCTCGTTGAGCTACGAGGGAGTTGCCGATGAGATCGACTATTCCACGTCTGGCAGCCGCGGCGCCATGACAACGGAACCCGACAAGGAAAATATGAAACAGGAGACAGTAGACATTCAACGGTTGACCAAGGTTCTCCCGGACGCCCGGTGCATTGCCATCTATCCTGTCTGGGACTTTCAGCGCGGACGCTGGTTTACCGTTTGCGTTGTGTGGACCAACGATCCCGGTCGAGTCCTCTCGGAGCCAAAGGATCTGACATACCTGGCTGCGTTCAGCAACACGGTCATGGCAGAAGTGTCTCGCCTCGACTTGGAGGCGGCGGACCGCGCCAAAAGCGATTTCATCTCTTCGATATCTCATGAACTGCGGTCGCCCCTGCACGGAGTTTTGGGAACCGTCGAGCTGCTCCAAGAAATGGTGAATACCTACGCACAGCGGTCCCTAGTGGAAACCGTCTACAGCTGTGGTCGGACTTTGCTCGACACTCTCAACCATCTACTCGACTACGCCAAGATCAACACAATGACCCGCTCCGACCATAGGAATGGCAATGGACAAAACCGCGCCGCCAAATCGAGTCCCGAAGGAGCCGTATCCGGGTCTCGACAGGACGAGGATCTCAGCGTGCTGGTGCAGGAAGTGGTTGAAGGCCTTCTCGCCGGCGCACAGTACCAGCGCAAGGGCCAGAATAGTAATAACAATGGACCTCAACGCGGCTCGGAGTCGCGACTAATGACGATTGTCGACATCGAGTGGAAGGACAGCTGGCTGTACAGTGTCCATTCTGGTGCGTGGCGCCGAGTCGTGATGAACCTCTTTGGCAACGCCCTCAAGTACACAAACAGTGGTTACATCCAGCTTTTGATGAAAGGTGATACCTTGATGGTGAGCGGGCAAAAGAAATCCGCCGTTCACATCACGATTAGCGATTCTGGTCGGGGCATGTCCAAGGACTTTCTCACGCACCATCTGTACAGCGCGTTCATGCAGGAAGATTCAACCTCTCCCGGGCTTGGAGTTGGCCTTCATTTGGTGCATCAAATCGTCAAGTCGCTCAAAGGAACGATCAGCTTCTCCAGTGAGGTTGGCAAAGGCACGTCGGTGGACGTTGTTCTCCCCATCAAGAACCCAGAAGACTCTACCCCGCAATCACACTTGTACACCAAGTTAAGAGAGCAGTTGAGCGGAAAGACCGTCTCGCTCTTCACGTGGAGCTCCGACCTGGGCGGTTTGAGGTTTGGCGATAAAGACTTTGCGCCAATGCTCACGAGTCTCGAAAGGTTGATTTCCGAATGGTTCGGGCTGCGTGTTCTGTCGACAGATGAGATGGATAATAACCAGCCAGACCTGGCAATTGTCACGGAGCACGAGTATCGGAACTATTATCGTGAGGGGTCCAAGGTGCCCAAGTCTGCAGATACAGGGATTCAGCCGCACCTGCCGCTGATTGTTCTCTCGGCGGGGACGAGTAGCTGGGAGGCACTTGGTGAGAGCGTGGAGGATTCGGTTATTTTCCTCACACAGCCGTAAGTCTCCTCTTCTCCCCTTCCTGCATGTGATGATACTAACAAATGTAGGATGAGCCCGAGAACCTTGGCGACGGCCTTGTCACACTGCTTGGAACCTAGCGAGGGCTTTGGCGAGACGATGAAAAAGCCACGCTCGTCGGTGCAGTCGAACAAGGAGGAGGCTAGTTCGGAGCAAGAACCAAAGACGAACGGAATCAAAGCGGATTCGGATGGTATCGGAACAGATGGTACTGACGAAAAAACGGACGGCGAAAAGAAGGCGAAAAGAATCCTTTTGGTAGACGACAACCAAGTCAATCTCAAGGTCAGTAACTTTCCGATAGCTATTTTGTTCGTGTCTCATCGTTACAGATTGTCGAAATGTCGGTCAAAGCCGCCGGATTTGCGCACGACTCTGCCGAGAACGGGCTAGAAGCACTAGAAAAGTTCAAAAAGACCAGATACGACGCTGTTGTGATGGGTAAGGCGCCCGTACCCTTTTCTTTGTCTCATGCAGAGCTAACGTGCCCAGACATTTCGATGCCTGTCATGGACGGCCTGACCGCGACCCGCGAAATGCGCGAATTCGAGGACAAGAAGAAGCTCGCACCGGCCACGATTGTTATTCTCACCGCTGCCCTCTCGGCGTCGATGCAGCACGAAGCCATCATGAGCGGGGTCAATCTGTTCCTGACGAAGCCGACGCCATTGAAGCGGCTGAGGGAGATTTTGCGGCAGTTGGCGGAGGGGAAAGAGGTTTCGCAGGATTGACCGAGTTGACTTGTTTCTGACTGCATGTAGACCTGTACATTATACCACGTTCATAGCGATTTGAGAAGTTTAAATTTGAAATGATCCCGCATCCCACCGGCAAAGTGCATGAGATATTCGCCGAGTGGGCGTTCGGCGGGGTTCGACCGACTTCTGTAACAGCAAAGCACAACTTGGCTGCCCCGCTTGATTTCTCAGCGAAGTCGATGATCTGCTGCGCCTTTAAAGAGCTCTCGAGACACCGCAACACCTTGACTACTCGGTATAGACAATCACTGCACAACTTCACACGATGTCGTCCTTTGGAACCCTCTACAGCTACCCGGGCAACCCCCGCGCCGCAAAGGTAAGAGCCATGGAAGCAGCCTCAGCCCAGCCATTGTATCCCGTTAACCCCGCTTGGTACCTGGCAGATCCACGCGGTCGCAAACCTCAGCGGCCTCAGCATAGCCGACGGCGCCTTCACAATGGGCGAAACCAACCGAAGCGACGATTTCCTCTCCAAATTCCCGCTCGGCAAAGTCCCCGCCTTCACGAGCGCCGACGGCCTCAACCTCTTCGAGTCCGGCGCAATCGCCACCTTTGTTGCTGAGAATGGGTCAGCCAAGGACCAGCTGCTTGGATCGACGCCCGCTGAGCGTGCGCTTATCAAGCAGTGGATTGATCTCGCTGAGAATGAATTGACCACGCACTCGATGACGTGTCTTATCCCGAGGCTGGGATATAGGAAGTTCGATGAGGCGGCAGAGGGCTTCGCGATTCAGTGTATGGAGCGTGTGCTTGCTGTTCTCGAGAAGCATCTTTCCAGTGGGAGGAAGTTCGTCGCGACGGAGAGTCTGAGTCTGGCGGATATCACCATTGCGCAATCGTTGACTTGGGGGTTCAAGCTTGTTCTGGACGCGGAGGTTCGTGCGAAGTATCCCGCTGTTGTTGAGTACTTTAAGCGTATTGTTGCGAGTGATGGGGTCAAGCAGGCGTTTGGGGAGCCGGAGTTTGTTGAGAAAAGGAGTGTTCCTCAGTGAAACATCTCACTTGATCGAGAGAGATATAGATGACGAAGTGAATAAAATGGAATGAATCTCGTCAGCCACAGGGGGGTGCTCTTATCATTTATACTAAGCGGGGTAGACTACCAACGTCAGCAACGATGGCGATGGCGCAACCATCCACAAGGATCGAATCCGAAGCATCCGATACGCGACAAGATTGTAGGATGGTAGAAATGGGGAACCGTTATTAATCGCTAATTCGACAAAGCATCTAACTAAATATACACAATGGATGAGAAATCAATCTAATTCCCAGTGGCAACCGCCTGCCGCACACCCAGCGACCCATTCGTCAACAACGACCTCGAGTCGCGCTCCTTGATCTCCAGCCCCTTCGCTGAGCTCACTTCAGCTCCAGCTCCCTTGACACCGTTTTCAGGTGCGCCATACCCACCACCACCCGGTGTAAGGATGATAACCCGGTCCCCAACCCCAAACATCGACGTCTTCCTCGGCCCCAGCGAAACCTGCCTGGTAGCACCCGTAACGGGATCCTTGCGAACCCAGATATTCTGACCGCGCTCCCCCTCACTTCCACCCTCGAGCCCATACGGCGCCGTCACACGTCTGTCCGTGAGGACAGAGACCTGCAATGGCATGCGGAACTCGATGTCGCGGATACACCCATCGCCGCCACGCCATTTCCCATCGCCGCCGCTTCCCCGTCGGATGGAGAATTCGTGGAGGAGCACCGGGTACCGCTTTTCGAAGATCTCCGGGTCTGTGATGCGCGTGTTCGTCATGTGTGTGTGGACGGCGCTCGCGCCGTTCCAGCCAAGTCCTGCCCCAGCGCCGCCGCAGATCGTCTCGTAGTATCCGAATCCCTTGGTGACTTCCCCGGTAACGGGATCCGTCCCGCCGCAGCCAAAGGACAGGTTGTTCATTGTTCCTTGCGAGGCGGCGGCGGCGTTGAAGGCGCGGAGGACGAGGTCGGCGACTTTTTGTGAGGTTTCGGTTGTGCAGCCGACTGTTGCTGCTGTTGGGGAGGGGGAGAGGATCGTGTTGTCCGGGCAGATTACCTTGATGGGCTTGAGGCAGCCTTGGTTCAGTGGGATGTCGGTGGAGATCATGCAGCGCAGGCAGTACTATTTTATTGTTAGTTTGTGGGTAGAGGAAGATTGGATGGGTGAGGAGGAGAGGAAGGGGGGCATACCATAATAACAGAGTACGAGCACGTCGGCGGCGCATTCAAATTGCCCGAATGTTCGGGCCCCGTCCCCGTGAAATCAAAGACCGCATCCCCAGTCTCCTGATCAATCGTAACCTTCAGCTTGAACGGAATCCCATCATCGTTGTACTCGGTCGCCTCAAGGATCCCGCCCTCATACTTGGCCGCAAACTGCTTGAGCAGATCGCGCACAGCCTGGGCAGCATTATCCTGAATTGCGTGCATGTATAGCTGCACGACGGGCCAGGTGAACTCTTTGATTAGCGCGCGGATCAGCTCGATGCCCTTTTGGTTCGAGGCAACCGCAGCCTTGAGGTCGGCGATGTTCTCGCTCAGTGTGCGTGTGCCGCTGCAACCAGGGAACGAGGCAGGTTCGTCGTAGAGATGCTTGATGAGACCGGCTTCGTCAAAGACACCCTCCTTGATCATCTTGAACGATTCAATCGCCGCACCCTCCTGCCAGAGCTCCGTCGAGTTGGGTGGCATAGAACCCGGAACAATCCCACCGATATCAGCGTGGTGTCCGCGGTTCGCAACGAAGAAGATGATCTCCTGCGGATTCTCCTCGTCGTCAAAGACGGGCGTTATGGTCGTGATATCCGGGAGATGAGTCCCTCCGGCACGGGGGTGGTTGCTGATGATCACGTCGCCGGGCTTGAGCGGTTCACCGGAGTTCTTGTACCGCTGCGCCTGGTACGCGATTGCCGAGCTCATGGAGCCCAGATGGCTGGGGATGTGCGGTGCGTTGGCGACGAGGCCGCCGTCCGCGGAGAAGATTGCGCAGGAGTAGTCGAGGCGCTCTTTGATGTTCACAGAGATGGACGTCTTCTCCATGGTGTGGCCCATTTGCTCGGCGACGGTCATGAAGCGATGGCCAAAGACACTGAGCTGCACGGGGTCGACGGTGTCAGTGGTGACACTCTGCCGGTCGGCACGGTCGACTTCGAGGATGACGTGTTCGGGGAGGATGATTGCTTTGCTGAGATGGTCGACGACGATGGTCTGCGTCTTGTCGATGATCATGGCAGGACCGGGAATGTGCACCCCGGCGCGGATGGACTTGAGTTCGTAAACAGGTGTCTCGGTCCACCCGTGCTTCTCGAAGAAGATCTTTCGCGCGAAGAGGGGTGTTGGGGTGGGTGTTAGTGCTTCTGCACTGTTGCTGTATTTCTTGAGCTCCTCGAAGGGGCTGGAGATGTTGAGGACACGCGACTTGCCGACGCTGCGGACGCGGACGTCGTCGATGAGGATGTTGCGCGCGGACTGCGAGAAGCCGAATTCCTGCGTGTGGCGCGCCTCAAAGGCGTTGCCGGCATCGTGGACGTTCTTTTCTGGGAGTGCGATCATCAGAGAGGTGTCGCTGCCCTGGTAGCGCATGTTGAGGAAGCACTCGTGCTCGGTCAGGCTGGCGTCGAAGCCCTGGGCCTCGAGACCCTTGGCGCCGCGGGCGGAGAGCGAGTCGAGACGGGCCGTGATCTCGGGGACGACGGACTCGGAAAAGGTAATGGCAGCAGGTTCCTGGTTCTCGACGACGACGTCCGCCAGGGCCATTCCGTAGGCAGAGAGAATACTGGAATAGCAGGGGATAATCGCGCGCTTGATACCGAGATCACGAGCGACGAAGACGGCGTGCTGCCCACCGGCACCACCGAAACAGCCCAGGTTGTGGCTGGCTGCTCCGTAGCCACGGCCCTCGCTCAGTGTGCGGATGGGCCGGGTCATTGTCGCGTTGGCGATGGCGAGGAAACCGAGAGCCAAAGTCTCGGGTGTAAACGGCTCACCACCGTTCTCCTTCTCTCTGTTGACAATCTCGGCGAGGGCCCTGAACTTCTCCTTGACGGTATCGAGATCCAGCTTGCGAGGGAAGAAATCGGGGATGATCCGTCCAAGCAGGAAGTTGGCGTCGGTCACAGTCAACGGACCGCCCTTGCCGTAGCATGCAGGCCCAGGGTTCGCACCGGCACTGCTGGGGCCGACCTTGAGCAGACCGTTTTCCCAGGCGAGGATGGAACCACCACCGGCAGCGACGGTGTTGATGTCCAGCTGCGGAGTTTGAATGGTGACTTCTGCCAGGGTGTTTTCGAAGATGTGTTCTAGTGCACCAGAGTATCTGGCGACGTCTGTGCTGGTACCACCCTGAACTTTGCGTTAGCATATGATTCGTAGAATGGAAATAAAGGATGCCATACCATGTCGAATCCAAGCACCGGTGTACCATCAGCATCATCATAGCATGTCCTCGACAAACCGACAACACCTCCGGCAGGTCCACTGAGCACACCCCGCAACCCCGTAAACTTGGACCAGCTCGTCAACCCACCGTCCGACTGGCAGATAAGCAGCTTGTTGGCGCTCTCATCTTCCAGCTGACCCTTGAAGTTCTTGCGGAAGCCGTCAAGATATGCAAAAGTCATCGGGGTAAGGTATGCATCCGCAACAGCCGATTGACTCCGCGGCACGTACTTGGCCATCGACTGTAGCACAGACGACGCAGAGACCTTGAATCCCATCTCTTCCGCGAGGGTCTTCACCTGCAGCTCGTGCTCGGGGTAGGTATACGAGTGCATGAAGCCGATGGCGAGGTTCTCGAACCCCTGCGCCTTGAGCTTCTCAAGGTCAGCACGAACAGCATCGAGATCCGGCTTCTTCATAATCCGCACGACCTCGCCGGTCTGTCCCATGACAAGTGCAGGATCTGAGTTGACATCGACAGTGTTCCATTCGTTCTGCGGCGCCTCGCTCGCGCCTTCGATCGTGATCCGCTCGTCAACTTCGATGACTGTCTCATACAGCTGCTCCAACCTTCGAACAGAAAGATCAAATAGATCTGGTCTCGTCTGATTCCCAATAAGCAGAATATCGCGAAACCCCTTCGTAGCAAGAAACGCGACACGATCGCCCTTGCGCTCTAATAACGCATTCGTCGCGACTGTGGTTCCCATACGGATCGACTCGATGGGCTCGAGGTCTAGAAGGGAGCCCTTGGGTATTGATTTTTCTAATGCGGTTTCCAGGATCTGGCGGATACATTCTGTCGGCGCGTCGTCGTACTCGTCTGGACATACGGAGAGAATTTTGAAGACGATGTGTTCGCTGCGCCCCGGGACTTCGGCCCAGGCGTCTGTGAATGTGCCGCCGCGGTCGATGGCGATGCGGATTCCTTGAGGTGCCATGATGATGTTGTGTGTTATGCGTGTTGGAGAGAAATGGCACAAAGGGGGAATAAAAGGGAAAAGAACGAAGAGAGAGGATGGAAGAAGGAGAGAATAATAAGATGTATGATAATATTATCCAACCTCAATCCTCGCGTCCTTGGACCGTTTATATCAAGAAACGCGCAGTTGCGCGACCACCACCGGCGAGGAGCCTCTCTCCGAGGGTGTGGGGGAGTTGGAGACCCGCGGCCGGAGCAACCGCTGGGCGGCCTGGCCGGCAAGTTCAAAGATGCCAGGCTCTCGTTGCTAATCGCCGAGCTTAGTCAGGCTGATTTGGAGTAACTAGTTAACTAACTAAGTAAGTTAGGTGCCCCGTTCCCCACGAATCAGAGACCGCGGGCTGCAGTTGCTCCTTTTTGTTTCGATTTTTTCCCGGGGGCAGCTTCCGCCCGTCGGAGACACGAGGTAATTCCAGCACTCCCATGTTTATCTACCGGGTGATATCAATGATCGATTCCTATGATATGACCGGCCGGGCGAGAGGTACTCGGCCACTATTTTCCAAAGCCAGCACCATTCTTCGAGCCTTCCCTATAGACTATAGTTCTTACAGCGTCTGGCGAAAGAACACTCCGTAGCGCAGTTTACATGATCTGACTATCTTCATCTTATGTTTTCGAGGCTTGGATAACAGTAATGATGGGACTTGAGGGCGGAATTATTTGTGATTCTGTTGAATCGGTTGAGAAATGGCTCGTACTGTTCGAACGTTAGGCAAGGCGCGCCAACGACTCGAGAAGAGCCCAACCCTTCGATCCTCGGATCTAGTCTTTACCGCATAATATCATTATCATGATCACCTATCTCGATTATTACGGCGATGGTTGGATGAAATTCATTTCTTCCTGTTCGTTCAAGACGGCGTTGCAGTTCCTCCGTCGATATATATAACTGAGCCGCTCGTATTTCAGACTCACAACACGGCGCAATCGACCATTAAATACAGTTGTAGCCGTTGAATAAACTGCTGTAGCTCCCAAAATATATACAAATGCCATCCAGACCAAAAACCCCGTCGTCCAACCCCCAACACAAATTACTCAGTACGTATACAAGAACCGCGGGTTATGCTCTCCAAGCTCCTCCGCCTCCTCCTCGGTCATCCCCGTAACCTTGTAATCCTCCTTACCCTCGAGCTTCCTCTTATTCTGGCGATGGAAGAACGCCCAGAAGGCGAGGTAGATGATGGCCGACATGGCGACGAGCCCCATCGAGACGGCGTGGCCTTTGATGAAGCGGGGGCCTTCGTTTGTTTTGTACAGCTACACAGAGTCTTGTTAGTATGGTGCATGTGGATGGTGGAAGGACATAGAGGGTGGCGAGACTCACGAATGGAGCGGGAATACCAGCCGAGTTTCCGATCGTAAGCTGCAACCCCGTTGCGACTGTGCGTTTTCCATAGCGCGGGTTGTTGCTGGGTAGCCAGGCCAGAGGAAGACCGACGATCACGTAGAGTCCCATGGCGGCGAGGAAGCAGCCGAAGTACTTGACTCCGCCGGGAGCAGGACTAACGAGGATCGCGTAGCCCACCGCACACGTCAGACCGAAAATCACAGTAAACACGGCACGTCTCTGGAACCGGTCGGAGAACCACGCCACAACGATATAGCTGATTGCGCCGAGCGCGTAGCAAGGAATGGTAAGAGCCTGGACCTGCGCCGTGCTCCAGTTACCCAGGCCCTTGATGATGGTGGGCAGGAAAGTCGAGTACCCATACAGGATCGTATCGCCACCAAACTGGCCGATGCAGAACAGCCAGATCTTCCAGTCCTTCAACCCAGCATACACATCCGCCTTGTGCATCTGGTCAGACGACTTGGTGTGCCCGATCTGTCGGCGCATGCGGAGGTCAATGAGCTCACGCTCCTGCATGGTCAGGTAGTGCGCCGTATCCGGGGTATCGGCGAGCCACCACCAGATGGAGATGCCCAGAATGAAGGTCGGAATACCCTCGAGGATGATGATCCAGCGCCAGCCGCGGAGACCCGCGATTCCATCCATGTAGCCGATGCCGTAGGCGAGCAGGCCGCCGATCGAGCCGGCGATGGCGGCCGAGACGAAAAGGTAGCCGATTCGCAGGGCGTATTCGCGTTTCGTGTAGAACATGGTGAGGTAGATGGTCAGACCAGGGAAGAGGCCGCCTTCGAGGGCACCGAGGATGACGCGGCAGGCGACGAGCCCTTTGTAGTTTTGGACGATGCCCGTTAACGTAGCGACAATGCCCCATGAGGTCGTGATGAAGGCGATCCAGCGAGATGGGGTGAAGCGCTTGATGACGAGGTTGGAGGGCAATTCTGACAGAATATAGGTGACGAAGAGAATCGAGACGGCGATCTGATACTGGTCGCCCTTTAGACCGAGGTCCTCCTCCATCCCGTACAATCTCGCGTTGCCGATGTTGACACGGTCCAGGAAACTCAGGAGGTAAAGCAGCATGACGGGCGGGACAATCCACATGTCGAGCTTGCGCAGGAGAGCCTTCTCCGCAGCTGGGTCGATGTAAATGTCATGTTCGTCGGCGGGAGGCTGCTGAACCTCCTTGTCGGGCAGTGTGTCGGAGATGGAAGTGGCCTCTGGTATCGAAACCATGGTGGCAAAGGGCGAGGGCGTGAAAATGGGTAGAAAACGACTCCCAAAGAGCTGGTGGGAAGTGGAGGAAATTTCAGCGGAGGACGAGCAACCTTTTAAGCGGATGGGGCCTCCAACTGCCCTGCACCCGCGAATACCCCGGATCCAGAGGTGATAATGAGATAATGAGATTAGGAGATACCATCATGATGATTTCGGAGGAAACAGGCTGGGGTCCACTCCTCCACGAGGCCATCCCAAGCGGCCAAGCCAGGGGTGTTTGCCCCGCCCGTGGGTCGCATTCGGCCCAGCGACGCTTTGCCGGGCGATATCTCCAAATTTCGGCAATCGCAGGGTTTATTATCTGCTGATTGGCTCATAGACAAGTCACATGATTCTTCGCAGTAATCTCGGGCATATCTCGTGTCTATCTTCAGCCTCAGCGTTCGGCAACTCACACAGATGCCATCCTCCCTCGGTCCTCACCGTCCGCTCGACCGTTTACCCCAGACCCCACAGTTGATATCAAGGCAGTTAGCCCGCCCCATCTGCTGCATGGTTCTGGAGTTTGGAAGCAGAAAAGACCATTCAGCATGACCGGCAAGGCCCCACGACGCCCGAAGCGGCTCATCGCAGCGTGAGCATTTTCTTCCATAGTTGTTCTGTTGTGTCGTCTATAATGCCTAACAATATTTGCCGTAGTTGTCATAGATGTCATCGGAAGAAGATCAAGTGCTCCAAGGGGGTGCCTTGCCAGACCTGTCTGTCCATAGGCAGGCCGGAGGCATGCTCATTTCCAGACAAGGAGCGTCTAGTCCAAGTTCCCGAAAAGTAAGTGTTGCTCATACCTTGCGTGGATTAAATAACCCCTAATGAGGAGTTCTATCCAGCTACGTCGATGATCTCGAAGCAGAAAACAAGCAACTGCGAGCCCTCGCCCTCCGACATCAACGTCGAAGCCAGGAGCACGGTATCAACCCAAATCACACCGAAAACGACGACGATGACGACCCACCTCCCCTATCCAAGGAAGAAACGAACCTCTTCAACCCGCTCTTTGACAGACAACCAGAGAACTGGGGTCGCGAGCGGTCGGCGGAGCCCGGCTTCATCGGCGAAGCATCGTGCGCGGCCTTTAGCAACCGGCTGCTCTCGTGCCTCGACGATAACTATACCCCTTCGACGGCCGGGTTGTCGAATTACCTCCGGCTGAATACACACAGTCGTCTGGCGATACCCCAGGGATGGGAGTTTCCTGAGCGCATGCATGTCAAGCTCCTTTTGAACGTGGCACAGAGGTTCATTGGGAATTACCATCCCTTGTTCCTGCAGGTCACCTTCATGAGGGAGATTGATGCCGTGTACCGTAAGGAAGTGGTCCCTTCAATGCTGTGGCTGTGCAAGTTCTACTCGCTCATGGCTTTGGGAGAAATATACACGAACCGCCGCGGGGTGGGAGACAACAACAGGGTGCCGGGGACGAACAACTACATCAGGGCGGTTAATCTGTTCCAGGACAATCTTGACGCTTATGAGGAGCCGTCTCTGATGCAGGTGGAGGTTCTGACCCTTCTGGTAAGACATACTCTTTCTCTCTGTGGCTGGGACGTGACTAATTGCAACAGGCATGGGCCTCGAACATTTTCGGCCGCATCAGAACCGCATATACATACAGCGGTATCGCTACAAGGCTTGCGTTGAGCCTGGGTATGCACCGGTCTGCCCCGAAAACTACCACACTGACCCCGGTCGAATGCGAAAGCCGGCGGCGGACGTGGTGGGTGCTCTACTTCTTCGATCGGTTCTCGGCGTCAAAGCTCGGCCAGCCGCTCACCGTTCGCGATGAAGACATTGATGTAGAGATGCCCAGTATGGATGGCCTGTCAAAGGAAGAGGCAGCGGAGTTTCAGGACCCGTCGAGTCTCATCATCAACATCAAGCTTGGTCGCATCGTGGGAAATATCTGTAAGCATGAGCTACTAGCATTCTTAAAGTCCTCTTCTGACGTCTATAGTGACGCAAATCTACGGAATCCCCAAAGCCACAAAAGGGCGCTACATCCACCAAGTGCACAGCATCCTAAAACAGCTCCGAACCTGGCACGACGCACTTCCCTCTGAGATGCGCGTCAAAGACCGAGGCACGCCGCGTCCCGTTGCAAGCCTCCACCTCGCCTACAACCAGTGCATCATACAAGCAACGCGCCCAGTGCTCCTCCACCTCTTCAAGTCGCAACTGGACCCGAAAGTCCGGGAGGAGGGATCCGCTCGACCGAATATCTCCTCCATCACAATGGCCCTAGCTGAGAGCTGCGTGCATGCGGCGCAGGCGTCCAGTCGGATGGTCGAGTGTTTGTTCTTGGATGGATCAATCGCTACATTTGGGTATTGGGATGCTCATCATATCTTCTCGGCGGCGATGATTCTCATCATGTCTGCCATGATGAGGGCGACGTCTGTGAACTCGGAGTACCTGGAGACATTGCTGAGTGTGCTCCGCGCGTTGAAGAATGACGGGAATATTCCCGCCGTGGACTTTTGCGAGAGGCTCTCGCACATTCAGGCGCGTGTCACGGCCCTGCTGGCCACAGGCCACTTCGGAGGCGACGGACTACACGCCCAGAGACACCTGGTCCCCAGGGCAATGGACGGCCCACTGCCCGCGGAGACCCTGCAGCAGATCATCCAAACACCAACAAGCATGCATGACGAGGCCAGGGAAGCCCCCATGGAGTTTCCTGGCGTAGATATCCTTGGAAACCCTCTTATCGGCGACTTTCTGGATGGAAATCAAGTGCAGTGGGTGGACACTTTGTTCACAGAGGACGGCACGCTGAGAGAGTTTCCGGCGGAGGTTGATGAGCAGTTTAATTTTGTTAATCACTAGGTTATGCCTCTCTAACGCTTTGATGATGAGCCTTATGATGTTACGAGATGATGGGAAGATTGTATCTAGCTGGATTCTTAGCAATTCCATTAAGTGATGACAGCAAAAAAGCCCAGAAGACTACACTTTTTCTAAAATAGGCCGCAGCTTCAAGCTCGCGCATGGTAATGCAGGTAGGCTGGTCCTCGTGGCGCTTCTGCGATGAGCTGTCTTCAGGCCTTTGATCAAGTCTGATACTTGAGGGGTGTACGTCTGCGAAACTAAGAGTAGCACCTGAGTGGTATATCCCCGGCAGCGCTTGACCTGCCAACCATGGTACGCAAGCCAACCGGTAAACCAAGCAGGGCACTTTCGAATAAGGGGCCTGATAAACTGTTCGAACCTAGGAACCTGCATGAACGATATTTTTTTGCTCAATAAAGCTGAGCGCTTGTAGGCACATATCTCTCGGCGGAACGACATTGGAATCGAACAGCTGGAAGTCTTCCGATTGATGGTATTTGCTTCACGCTCAGTCTTTGGAGGCTTTTTGAGTATCTCCTCTTGGCAGCAAAAGGAAGATTACACCAGTGATTAAGCTGCACGACTCAGATTTTAGAGAATTAGGTCACAATGTATTCTGCTTTGTGTAAAGCCGGCTATCCCCAGTATAATATTCAACACCTCCTCGTCCTATACCAAGATGTAGTTCCAAAACCCACCAGAGATCCACCTTCAAGCCCGCTCAACATGTGCCGCCTTCCCGGACTCGCCCACCGCAACCGCCTTGTCGGCATTGACATCCAAGCCCATCTGCCTCATCGCATTAACCCCCGCCAACGCATCTGGTCCGTCGAAGATCTCCGCCACCTCTTCAAGCGCCTTGCCCTTGGTCTCCGGGAAGAACAGGAAGATGATAACAAAGTTGACAGCAATAACGCAGCACCAGACGATATAGTATCGCCATGAAATTGCATCCATCGCTACCGGGTTCGCGAAGCTGTTGTAGAGACCCGCCAGGTTGCCTGTTAGTTGATACATCATCGACGCCTTGGCTCGGAGCGAAAAGGGGACGACTTCCATGATGTATGTGGGTGCGACGGGCGAACACATGTGGTATGCGGCGCTGAAGACAAAGATCATTGCGAGGACGGCGCCGGCGAAGCCCTTGTCTTCAAAGTGCTTCTTTTCGTTGAGGGCGGAGCAGATGGTCCAGATGATGTAGGCGAGGCCCATCCCGCCCATTCCACAAAGGAAGAGCCGGCGCCGTCCTGCACGATCGACCAACAGGGCAAAGAAGGCGGCGGTCAAAAAAGACCAGACGGATAGGCAGGCGTTTATGATTAGCTGGACCTTGGAGTCGGTAATATCAATCGTATTGAGAACCTTGGACAGGTAATAGGATGTAAGGGCATTGCCGGACCATTGCAACATGGCTGGGATGTAGAGGGCGATGAAGAGACGATGTTTATTTCCTTTGGTGGCGATCCATTCCGTCCAGCGCGATGCCTTTTGAATCTTTTCCATCTCGAGGGTTGCCGTAATCTCCGCCATTTCGAAGCGTACAAGGGGTGTCGCTTCACCATCGCCGTGATACTTGGTCAGGATTGCGAGCGCTTCTTCGTGGCGGCCTTGGTAAATCAACCAACGTGGGGACTCCGGGGCGAACACACTCAGCACAGCTTGAACCAGCGAGAATGAGCACTGGAGGACACTCGGGATCCGCCAGCTCCACGAGGATCCAGACATTTTAAACGTGCCGTACGTGATCCAGGCAGCGATCAGGGAGCCCAGCGACCAAGTGACAAGGTAGAAAGAAACGAGTTTGCCGCGGTGGGTTGGATACGCCACCTCTGTGAGCAAAGGGGGTGCCGCGGTAGCAACGATTCCCAATCCAAAACCAACAAAGAACCGGGAGACCACAAACATGCCGTAGTTGATAGCTGCAGTTTGCAGGATCGAGCCGAAGATGATGATGATCGACCCTCCGCAAATCGGCCAGCGGCGCCCGAACTTCTCACAGAGCTGGGAAGAGACGAGTACGGAGATGAGGATGCCTCCCGTCGGGCCAAAGGTCATGGCGCCGAGTCGTGTGCCTGTTGGACTGCCGAAGTATTTTTGCCACTGCGGCAGCGATTGCATTCCGTTGAGCATGCTGCTGTCGTAGCCTGATGCGATCTGTGTGATGAGGGCGCATAGGAGGAGCGTGTTAAGTTTCAGAAGAGTCCAGTCCTTCCACCAAGGCTTGCGATCCTTTGGAATCACATCTTTGAGGGCAAGCCCCTCGAAGTTATCCGAGTGGGAAAGCATTGCGACAGAGGGAAGATGGTTAGATTGATGGAGGTTGTTGAGTTGGAGACCTGGACGGGAGGAGACGATTCAAGCCTTTTATAGACCCCCCGCAATCTGCATCCCGCGTGGAGTCGCTCTCTGGGGTTCGGGGAAATCGGATGGAGCGCCTTTGGGTGTTGACTTGGCTCGGCCTAATCGCGGACGATCTTGTGGACGTCTTTGGCCTCAACCAAGCGCAGGCTAAGGCGAGTCGGATGACTTTGGCTGGACTTGGCGCCTTAATTTGTCTTGGGTTCCCCGCGTCGGGAGAATGTGGCCGGCGCCCTTTCGGCCGGGCAACCGCTCTCCGCCATGCCGCGTCAAGGGCATAAATGGCCTGCTTCTGTCAGAAAATAGCCCTGTGGTCGTAAATCTGCCATGTCGTCGTCAAATTTTTCGGCTTCTATTCCTGCACCCGGTTCGCCCACCTCCAGCGAGCCTAGAGCATCCGATGGGGCCGAGACAAACGCCCACACGACGCCTCCTGGGTCCGAAATGGGCGATACTGGTCTCTCTGAACACGCTGCCCGCACCCGAGCAGTGTTGGGAGAACTGTTCTCGGAAAATGTGATGGCCAAAATGCTGCGAGTGGCGGTCGAGTCACTTGACAATAATGTGACAAGGTTCCAAGCTCCAATTTGTGATTCAATTACTTACACTTACAGACCCCTCCTATTGTTTACCCTGAATTCGTGCCTCAAGATGGTCCAGACGCCGGGCGGTACTTCCTCCGTGACAAGGATTTTTGGACCTGTGGTTTCTTCCCAGGTATCTTATATCTATTACGAGAACGTGCTATTAAATTCCCTCAAGCCTTTCCATATTTTGGGCACGACAAGGGCGGCATCTCGATACCGCATGCTTCCCTCAGTCGCCAGCTTACCTCTCTTTCTCGTACCTGGACAGAACCTGTCCAAGCAATGATGGCTCGGACCGACACACACGACATGGGATTTATTATCCAACCCTCCATTCGGAAAGACTGGGAGTTAACAAGCAACCACGAGAGTCTGGATGCCGTACTTACCGCGGCGCGTAGCCTCGCTAGTCGCTACGTCCCAAGCGCAGGGGCGATCCGCAGCTGGGACATTCTGCGCCAGGCAGATGTCCAAATCAGCAGTCTTACAGAAGACTGTCTGGTTATTATCGACAGCATGATGAACCTAGACCTCCTCTTCTATGCTTCGAAACACCTGTCTGATCCCATCCTGGCTGATATCGCCACGACGCATGCGCGGACAGTCATTCGTTCCCTCCTACGGCCTGAGGAGTCTGAGGGCAGATACCCGCTCTATTCAACATACCATGTTGTGAATTTCGATCCACGCACCGGGGGTATCAAACAGCATCGTACGGCTCAGGGATACCGTGCGGACTCGACCTGGGCGCGCGGACAAGCATGGGGAATCCATGGATTCGCGCAAACGTACAACTGGACCAAGGAATCCGACTTCCTCACGACGGCATGCGGACTGGCGGATTATTTCCTGAACCGGCTGGAGACGTCCCCCGCCTGTGTGGAACGGCCTGTTCCCGGAGAGGAGAGGACAATTGGGCGTTATGTTCCGCTCTGGGACTTTGATGCGCCCATTGATGGTGAGCCTCTTCGAGATTCCTCCGCTGGTGTCATTGCCGCGAATGGGTTGTTGCTTCTGTCACAGTCTTTGACCATGGCCGGTGATGTGAAACTGGCGAGGAAGTACTTTGATGCTGCGATTCGGATAGTGACGGATACGATTGAGTTGTCGTACTCTCAAGAGCGAGCAAGATTGGTCAATGTTGGAGATGATGTCCGTGTGGAGGATGTCGTGCCTGGACAGCGATTCGATGCAGTCCTAAAGAACGCGACAGCGAACCATAACGCGCAAGATCATGATCGCTACAGTGACCATGGTCTCGTGTATGCAGACTACTATCTGTTGGAGTTTGGTAATCAGCTGCTGAGGATGGGTTTGGTTTAGCTGGATATATAGAGGCGTCATAGAATTTGCGCCGGTTCCCATGGTTGGGAGCCAAGATTCAAATAGAATCCCATTATCATTATATTAAACCTAGTTCCAACGTACTACTAGAGCATGGATTAACCCAGCAACTACCAGAGACGTTTTAAGATACGTGTTCTGTACTGGCATTTGGTTTCCGCCCCTTGCAGCTTCACTGCTCATGGAAACTTGTGGTCATCGCCTTCTATGCCCATGAAGAGTACAAGATTATAACAAAATGCGCAGCGACCTGAAACTGTTTCTAGTAGTCGAGATGGCCGTAATTAGATACATTTACTCGTCTAGGATTATAGTATCCCCGCCGCCCACTGCCGACTCCTGACCGCGCACAACCACACTGGGCACATCGAGCCACCTCTCAACCCGAATCTCCTTACTCAGAGGCGTCGACACAGCAAACACCCGCGTCACAAGCTCAATTTCACTTCCTTGTTCAAGATCAAACACCTCGTGCTTGGTAGCCGGAATCAACGTTCGCTGTGCGATTAGATTGGTATTAGAGTCCGGCTTCAACGCTTCGTGTTCCGTGGTGACGTTTTGACCAGTTGATACGCGGGTAGTTCCCACTACACCACTTGCACCGGCAGGCGAAAGGACGAGAGAGCTTGCATTGTCTGCGTAGGCTCCCTCTGCTGTACCAATCTGCTCGCCACTCACTTCCTTCACATCCGAGAGCACCGGAAGGAGTCGCTGGTCTCTCTGTGGTACTCGTGAAATAGCAAAGCCGCCCTCGACGAGATGCAGACTTTGCAAAGTCCCAGGTTTAGTCAATCGGATGCGGTGTATTCGGACATGCCAGTCCGGCCATCGATCCGTAGGCGGGATCAGTGTCGTCTGTACTACGACCTGGCCGTCAGCCCAGGGACGCCACTCGGCGCTTGCCACGGGGACAGTCTCGGACTCTCCCGTCGATGATGCGCTGCGAACGGTCGCGGTCAAGTATCGTACAGAGGAGCACTTCCACTTCACAGCCCATGTTTCCGCGCCGTCGCGACTCAGTGCGAGCATGCTATCCGGAGCGATCTGCTGGATCAATGGACCTGTCGGGACACTAAATCCAAACGCAGACGAGTATGCGAATTTGGAGTACTTGGCCTGATTTGCTTTCATTGGCCAGGCGACGAACTGGCCGGCTGAAAGCATGAAATGGTGGTTTCCTGATGGATGGTTGCAGAGGATCTGCGTGGGCGGTTTGATCAGCGCGACAGAGGGTTGAAACTCTGGGTATGGTGCTTCTTCTGACATCCAGAAGGGATCGGTGGTGCCGAGCATGAGGACGATCATTGATTTCAGGCTCCAGTAGACTGACTGGGGCGAGTTGTAGTCCTCGGCCATGTACATGTTTCTGTATGATCTTAGGATTCATCTCAATGTGGTATGGGTGTGGGTGACAACTTACGGGTAGACGTATCCTATGTTCATTGTGCCATCTGGATAGAATATGTCGTCTGAGTTCGCCATCCACCAGCGAAGGTGTCGGAGAAGGAAACCCTTGATAGCCCCGACTGAAGCCAGTGGCCCCGGCATATCCTCAACACCAGCAACGGCCAGTGCAGCGAAATACGCACCGCACGCGAAACGGTACGTAAGGGATCGGCCGAAGGGGATTGCACGACCTATATAGTCAGCTTATTGACGGACTCCTACAGGGCTAGCAGGAGATAACTCACCCTCTTTATCAAAATACCTCCAAAAAGCGTCCCCGAATTCCCTCGCCTGCACGCGATACCGCTCCGCCCGCTCCGGATCCAGGCCCGCCGCAAACTTCACATACAGAAGCTGGCTAAACTGGATCGCAAAACTCCCTGAGTAGTAATCAACTTGTCTTCCGCATCCAATCCTATCTCTTCGCCTCGTCCGCAGACACTCGCGCTCCTCCTCTTCTTCGGCCTCTGGCGTCAGCCACAGTCCATCGCCCGACCACCCGGCCTCGAGATAGAATGAATCGAGGACAGCAAAGTCACCGTCCATTTCGGGCTTCACTTCGTCGTACGGGATACCCGCAACGAGGACCAGAGCCAGGTTCGTAAAGACGCGGAACCAGCGCCAGTTATTCACGGGCATGTCCTTGCCGTTCATCCCGCGGAGCCAGGCGACGATGTTTGCCTGTACGCGGGGATCTTGGGAATGGAAGAAGTCATCCGGAGCAAAGAGAAGCGCGCACGCGATGACCTCGGCTTCGACCATGCGTTGGTCGCCATTTGCGATTGTCCCCCAGTACTCCTTGTGGGCTGGGTCTGTACCTGTCGTGATACCGTCAATCCAGGGTTGGGCTAGAGAGCGGGTGGCGGCTGCGTGGGCAGTGTCAGATTGAGCGGAGTGAAGAAGTGCGCTGACCACCCATAGTGGGCGGGCGAAGCCTTCGACTTGGGCGGCGCGTTCGTCGAAATGGGCGCCTGTTGAGCTGGGCAGGCGAATAAACGCTTTGTGGGGTGAGAAGTGCCGGTGGAGGGGTTGTACGACTGCCGAGGCGGCGAGGATCAGGTCATCTCGCGTCTGGAGAGGGTTGTTCGAGAAGTTTTTAAGCGGCGGCATCGTAATTACTGTGCGCTTGGTACTCGAACGGACTATGTCTACTATGAGCTACAGATATACACTCCTCGTGTGGTTGAGGAATTGGTGTCGGGCGAAGTCTCGGAGCAAATTACCCCGCGCCTCCACCGTGTCGACTCAATGCGGGGAAACCGGCATCCATGATACATGCTTGGATTACTCTGTCAGTCCATGTAAGGTACATACGCCGCGAAATTCGCGTTGCTCAGACTAATAATGCGGTCCATCTCCGAGTACTGTTGATCGAGAAGAATTGACGTGACTGCTGTTAACTCGTCTGGACTGCCTGTATTGTAGCTCGCGGATCCAGACCCGGCGTTGAGTATCGCTGGCTGCGACGGAGCATGCTCCATACCAAGAATACCACCACCAGGTTGCTGGGTTGGAACAAACTCCGGATGCTGCGTGTTTGAGGCAGTTGCTGTATCATCTTAGTACTTGAGATGTAAGCGACACCAAAAGGAGACGTACCAGGCCCTTGAGAGTGAACAAACCCAGTGTCGCCATGCTGTGGCACATCTTGATCCGTCTCTGAACCCCTGCCATTCCACTTGATCTCATTCGAGTATCCCAGAACATCCATTTTGAAGGATTCATCGTTCTGGCACTTGTGGTAGAGACCCCGGAGCTGGTCACAGTACTTTGCAGCTAGATTCCCACTTCTAGCGTGAGTATGACTGGACCACCGGGCGGACATGGTATCCAGGAAACTCGTCAGCGCCCAGAAGTCGGAGGAAAGGTCGGTCTTGTAGTAGCGCCAGTGGACTATCGATGATATCACATTAGTTAGAACCCCCGGATAGGAATTAAATCACGAAAGACAACAAACCTAAGAGAACTCGCGCGCTAACAAAGACACAAAAAGCAAACTGACTATCGACAATGCTGTCTGCAGGGGAGTTGTCCATGTACTTCTGGGTGATATTGGCCGTCTCTGCCGCAGCAGCTTCGCAGGTCTCGGCGCTGGACAAGATGGGGAGTTTGACTACTTCCAACCACTCAGACGGCGGGTATGCGATGCGTTGGTGAAGCAGGATCATGGACGTGTTATGTGTGATGTGCGCTAGCGTCAGGTTCGGATCCATATTGACGACGGTCGGTTGCCGGGAAATATTCGAGTCTTTCCACCGTTGGGGAAGGAACATCTTCCAGCTACAAACATAAGGAAGGGCTCTTGTGTAGTTGAAAGGAAACATACCTGACCAGACGCAAATCCAGTTCCTTGAAGCGCATAAGCCAACTACCCATCTCCTGCCGATCACGATAATTGATCCTCTGCTGCAAGAAGAACGTCGTGACTCTGCTAAGCGACTCGGTCGCTTCAACTCGATACGCAAACGCCCCAATTGTATTCATGTCGACTCTTTCTTCCGGCGCCGGTAGATGTGGATGCCCTTGACCTATGGAAAAGCGACTGCGTGGAGACTCGACTGTATTGTAATCTGTGGGCTGAAATGCAATGAGGTTTCCGATCTTGCCGGCGGATTTATCCCATATGCCGAAGAAAGGCGTCGTCACTATTTCTTGATTGTGCCACAATCCTCCGTCGGCCGGTAACCGTCTATGAACGTCGTTTGAGGTCAGACTGGTGTTCCAGCTAGAAACTCCTGTTAGTACGTAATCGGCTGAGGGTGTCCTGGCTGATGAATGTACCCTGTAGTTACTGAGCAAAACCTGGTATAGCCGGTTAGCATCGCTTGTGTACTCTGTCTCCATCAAAGAAACTTGCCTGTCGAGATTGAAAATCGTCCAGAACACACGCCGCCGCTCTTCTTCCTCTATCCAGTCCTCCGCCGGCGGGAGACAAGGTCGCGGCTGGAGTAAGGGACCGTTGTCATGGTGTTCGGACTCGACGCTTAATTGGAGGTACTCTACCGTACGCGTAAGAGAGCCCACAATGGGCCATGCTCGAGAAAGCCTGCCTGAGCCGATCTGTACGCCAGTTAGACTACTCTCAATATCCAATCGCGGAACCTCACATCTTCAAAGCAAATAATCGTCAGCGCCTGAAGGTTTTCGACGTGCAAATCATTCATCCCTGTGAGTACGACAATCTTGCGTGACCTCTCGCAGATGGCATCAATATCATCCAGACCAGCTGCCAAAGTGGAATCCACGTGCCTGAGCAATGCGAAGACCATGGCGTGTAAGACGACCTCTAATCGTGCCCTCTCGTTCGGGTCCTTCATGCGTCGGCGGAACCGTTTCTCATGGAATGTAGGGATCCACGGCTGCACCAGGGAGAAGTACAAATCAACGACGGCGTTCAGGATATCTGAGCTCGGCAATGTGGACGACAATTCGGCAAAGTCATCCGGTTCAATCAATGGCCGGTCGTTCACGCGTCTGCGCTTGTTTGGGTTTGGCGAACGAGGGAGCAATTCAGTAGGCGGCGCATCGCCATCTTGCGCATCGCGCGTTAAGGAGATATCAGACGCGGTCGATAATTGTCGTCTGCGCTTGTTGTTTGGTCGCAGCTGCCCTAGAAGCTGTTCAAGTCCATCGCAAAGCGCGGCTGCGACAGCCGTTGGATCTTGAGTCGGGAAACGAGGTATATCGCGCGGACCATCTTCTGCTTGGAATACCGCATCTTCAAGAGCCTCTACGTACCCCAACGTAAGCATATGATTAGATGAAACTTCTCCTGATCAGATTGGAATGGTCAGATCAGGTTACTCACCAACTCGCCTGCGCAACGCCTCCACAGCGCCAGCTTTGAGCCCAGGCTTCTCGCGATCCACATCGTATGAACAAGATGTCCCTATGAAGTGATCAGATAAGGCTCACGTTTGAGGAATAGACAGAGAATACCAATCCTCCGACAATGTGCACACAGAGGTAGCTCACGCGAGCAACGCAATTTCCGTTTCCGACAAGCTCCACAGGCAGGTCGCTCGTCGACTTGCGCCGGAGTCTGTTCCGAGTCCATTTTGCTGACTGGTCGAAATTCAGAGAATACGACCCCGAACAGAAGACGGCGCGGGCGAATTGGGGATATTAATAGGCCGGTGGAATTCCCCCGACCCCCCGCGCTCTTTGCCCCGGATCAGCTGATCTTGCCAATTTGTGCTGGGGAATTCTCCGGCGGGGACCAATCAGAAATCACCCTCGGTACATTGAGCTTGAGTTCTAATAGGGAGTATTAGGCGATGCATTGCACTAAGAAGCTATCCCCATCTGTATGGCAAGATTCATCATCTCTGGGGGTACATGCGGAATCTCCATCTTCAGTTGCACTCCGGCCCTGGCGAATGCTTCCCTCAGCGCTGCTTCGTTTCTCGGCCACTCGGGGCGCGGTAGCCATTCCTTGAATACCGGCGAGTGACCAATTTCAACTGCTCCCAAGTCCGTATACAATCCCTGGGACTTTGCTTTGGCGAGGGCGAAGAGGGCTGGAATCAGATCGCGGCTTGGAAACCAGATTGCCAACTCCCGAATACCCGATGGCAGCAGTTGCGCGACAAACTCGTCCATATCCGAGTTTCCCGTCTTGAGTGTCCACGCCTGCAACATTCCTTCCAAGGAGCGCCCGACAACTTTCAGAGTCCGTAGCTTGGTGAAATCCGACAAGGAAGAGACGCTGTCGGCTGTAAGACTTCCCAAGGGAATATCGCTGGACGCCTCGAATATGATTTCCTCAATTGTGTCCTTCAAACGCGCCAACGCGTCCCAAACCTCGAGAGTAGACCAGTCCTCGTGGCTCTCATCGTAGCCCGTCGAGGACAGCCAATACAGCTCAAACTTCTGCAAGATCTTGCATGCTTTGAGCAACGACGTAATCAAGAACATCCCCATCGCGCTCTCGCCCAGATCCAGTGTCTTCAGCGAGTCCAGGCGCGGAATTGGAGGATTCTCGTGGCCCTCCCAGAAGCCCTCTAAACTTGGAAGAGAGAGATGTTCCAAGTGAGAACTGGCGTCCAGCAACGGCGCAATCTGCCCATAGTCGATCGCCCAACGGTCGCCGGCGATGAAGTAGTAGTAGATTGATAAGGATCTCAAGTGGGGAAATTCGATCTTCGGTGATGCGTCATGGAATGAGGGTAAGAGGTCCAGATTCCATTCTTCGTTTACAGCGAGCGTGAGGGATTCGATGTTGGGCGTGTATGCGAGCAGCGTTTCGACGGGGAGGTGGCGATATGTACCCTCGAGATGCCAGTCTTCGGCGGGGACGGGGAGACCGAGATTACTGATGCATGTGTCGATGAATTCTTTTTCAAGAATGGTTACACCGGTGGGCTTGAGGAAGGAATCGAATGTCACGGTTGTGACGGCTGCTGCGAGATCAGGACGAGATACAATAGCGCGGAGGAAGCTGACCAGCCGGGACACGGGTTCTGAGTAATTGGTGTACGTTCGAAACAGTAAAGGTTGAAATGTATCCCTGAGCGCCTTGCATGTTTGCGTGAGTTGCGACAAGACCTTCTGCGTGTCGCGTTCCTCGACAGAGCAAAGATATGACCCGATTTGAGTTCGAAGTTCATATGGAAGGGTCATGAGGCTCCGTGGAGGGTCCATCGGGGCGAGGCTTGGTTCAGGATAGTAATAAAGGTTCCAGGCTTCTCATTTCTGGAGTATTAGGGGTATTGAGGGCTTTATAGTGCGCCGCTTCGTGGCCACGAAAGGCACCCATAGGCACCAGCTACGGTGGCTGAAGCATCATGTAGACAATTGGTGGCTGAAAGGTCTGTTCAAACAAGCTACCCCTGAAGAAGACAAGACAAAGCCATGAACCTTGGTTCATCCAGCTGTTTTGTATAGATGGCAAGATTAGCCGACGATGGCTGGCGAGCGACGAAGCGAGGTACTCGGGCTTCGTGGCCTCGGGTGTCGAGACGCGATGTGGGTTCCCTGATGCAGGTGAGGGTAATCTTTCCACTCAGCGTTGGCCAATTTATCGACCATCGTTATCTGGGGAATGTACTAGCATGCTTTCATTTCTTCAAGAGGCGGATCTCTGCATTTTCTGTAGGGAAACGGCGTGTCCCGTGACCTCCACAAGTGAATCGATGCGTACCATCCACGTATCCTAGGCAAGACACACAATATCGGCTGATAATCCACCAATCAAGTCGCGTGGTCTAATGGTCATGATTTTCCGTTAACACGTGATCAGTCTTCTGATTACTTCTGCAATTGAGTAGATGCCGGAACGGTTCCCGGTTCGATCCCGGGCGTGACTAGATTTTTTTGCTCGTCTCCAAGAGGGATTCGGCCAAGGACAGGCAAGTGACAGAAAGGATCATGTATTATGACGCGCAGAGTGGGATCGGGGCCTAGGGTCTTTAGGCACATGAGATTGTCCTCCAGCTCCCACATGTGCTATGTACATAGGACGCTTAAATAGTTGGTTCGGCACACCCCATATTCCATGAGAAAACGAAGAAAAACAATAACAACAATCCACCAATCATGACCGACTCACCGGAAAATTGCATCCATTGACGATGCAGCCTGCCAAACGGGGTCGGATAGATCTGACCTGCGATCCGCCCCAGCAACCTGGTTCCGTTCCGGTTGCGGTATCCGTGCCTTACTGCCCACCCACCGCCTTCGTCTTATGGGTGCGCCACGCATTTACCGTAGTCACGCATTTACCGTAGTTTTTTATATCGTCAATATTTTTACTTCTTGAAGCCACACAACATGACGAAATCTCCTGAATTTAATGAATCTCGATTAAATGAAGCCGTCGCTATTGCTACAACCCAGAAAAAACCGAATATCGCGAGAATTGCGCGTGAATTCAACGTGTCCTACACCACCCTCCGAGACCGCTTGAAAAAACCAAGAACACTAGCTACACCAACACCGTCGAAGAAGAACCTCCTACAGCCGTATCAGGAGAAGGCCTTGATTAGTTGGATTATACAAATGCGGAATTGGAACCTCCCCCCGACTGCTTCGATTATACAGGCGTGGGCAAATCAGGCGCTTGCCCGCGCGGGCTCGGAGAAGCGCGCAAGCAAGATGTGGCCATACCGATTCGAATCACGTGTACCAGTACACCTAGGACTCGCGCCAGTGAAGCAAAAGACCAAGGAACTAAGGCGGATACAAGCAGAGGATGCAGGACTTCTCCAACACTGGTACGACCAGCTAAAAGACCTTCTTGATGGGGTTCCTCCGCGCCTTGTATACAACTTCGATGAATGTGGATTTCAACCTGGTCAGGGGCGAGCTCGCAAGGTCCTTGGGTCAAAGTCTTGCCCTAATCTTGCAGAGGGCGAGCGAGGTGAAAATATTACTGCTGTTGAATGTATTAGCGCGGATGGTTGGCTAATGGCCCCGTTCTTTATATTCAAAGCAAGCGGTAGTAATCATATGGAGGCCTGGTATCACGGCAGCGAGGTCCTACCAAGCGATACAATGACCGCGGTCTCACCAAATGGTTGGATATCAGATGAACTATCGCTCGCCTGGCTAGCAGAGTTTAATACAGCTACAAAGGATCGTACAAAGCAAGGCGAGAAGCGATATCTAATATTCGACGGCCACGGCTCACACCTTACGCTTGAATTCCTACAATACTGCGAGCAAAATAATATTATTCCCTTTGGTTTCTTGCCTCATTCAACACATCTCTGCCAACCTCTTGATGGAAAACCTTTTCTTAATTATAAGCAGCAATTCAGGCTTATAAATAATGATTTGTCTTTCTGGGGTGGTAAGCCATATGGGAAGGCAGAGTTCTTGCAGATTATTCAACCAATCCGCGAGAAGGCCTTGACAAAGCGAATTATTCGAGAATCCTTCAAAGATCGCGGTATCTGGCCAGTTGATGGAAGACAAATCGTCCAGCAACTTACCAACCAGCTGGTGATCCCAGATATATCAGTGCCAGAACTCCGCGGAAGCCCTACACCACCTCTATTACTCTCCTCTAGCGTTGAAAACAGTCCTCCAGCAACAATCGAGGCGCTTACAAGGAATCAGGCGAAGATTATGAAGGATATCACTGATATTTCAGAGAAGACGAAGCGGAACCTAGCAAAGGTCTTTCAACACCAGATGCAGAAGCTAGAGGAGCTCCAAATGACCCAGGAAGCAATTTGCAGGATTAGGACCGCGCAAGAGCCTCAACACCGGCTTCCTACTAAGCGTCAGGTAAAACCACTTAGTAGCAACGGGGTCCTAAAGACTAGCGATGCAATTCGATCAATTCAGGACCGAAAGAGGAAGGAGACTGCGAGGGACCAAAAGCGGCTGGCGAAGCAGTTCGAGAAAGTCTATGGATTTCGACCCAACCCACGGTCAGAGGAACGAATAAAGCAGGCAATTGAGAACGAGCTACGTAGTAGAGAAGCGGGAGAGGACTTTTTTATTGATAATTAGTGTTGTGGTTGTTGAATAACTTCAAATATCGAAAAACTACGGTAAATGCGTGACTACGGTAAATGCGTGGCGCACCCATAAGACGAAGGCGGTGGGTGGGCAGTAAGGCACGGATAGTGGCCGCTCCAAGACAAGTTAGCCCCAGATTCATCGTATTGTCTGGAGCTCGGTTGGAGCTTTGGGCAGCTCGTCACGGATCTCCGCCTGCCAAAACACGGCAATTTTATATTACTTCAAGCTCTCGTCCCGCGCTGCCTTGGCTTAATTTGGGGATTTGGGTCAGGTCATGGAGAATGGAGAGATATATAGTCGAAGGAGCGCACCGCTTGTACCCAGGGAATTGACGGTTATGAAACCAATTGACTCACGAATCTAGTGGAATCTAGTGGATTGTCTGCATCATGAGATTCGCAAAAGGTTCCCTTCTAGCTCTCGCCGCGGGACTGCTACCGGCCCTTGTTACTGCTGAGCCGGCAGCACCCCCAGCTTACACTGCTCCAGCAGTGCCAATTGGTCGCGGCGGGGGTCACATCCCTCGGACCGTAGGACGGCTCTTTGAGATCGATGGTAAGGTTCAGTACTTTGCGGGCACAAACTGCTGGTGGCTCGGAAACCTTCTAGATGACTCTGAGGTTGAGCTGGCCATGTCGCAGATGGCAGATGTACGCTATCCCTTCAATCCCCTTCTTCAGCGTGCCCGAGGGCTTACTAGAGTTACGATTTTCTAGACCGGCTACAAGGTCGTTCGCACATGGGGATTCTTCGGGGTCAATGACCCCACAAACCCAGGGCAGCCTACGTTCTACCAAGTCCTGAACGAGACCTTGTACAAGGGCGGATGGGGGATCAACTACGGTCCGAACGGTGCGCATCGCGGCATTCAACCCCATACAAGTCCTTCACTAATACTTGTCGACGTATAGGAATCCACCGCCTCGACGTCGTCGTCTCCCTCGCCGAGAAATACGGCATCAAGCTCGTAATGGTCCTAATGAACAACTGGAACGACTTTGGTGGCATCAACATCTACAGTAACGCATTCGGCAGCAATGCGACAACCTTCTACACGAACCCCGATGCGCAGCGCGCGTATCGCAACTACGTCAAGTTTATCGTTAACCGGTATAAGTCCTCTTCTGCGATCTTTTCGTGGGAGCTTGGGAATGAGCCAAGGTGTAAGGGGTGCGATCCCTCTGTGATCTATAACTGGGCTACGGAGATTAGTCAGATGATTAAGAAGATTGATCGCAAGCATATGGTTACGCTTGGTGATGAGGGATGGTTGTGTCCCCCGGAGGGGGATGGGACTTATGCCTATGACTGCTCGGAAGGCGTGGACTTTGTGAGGAATCTGGAAATCAAGACTTTGGATTACGGGTAATGCTTTCTTTCCTCGTCGCTGATATTTGTCTATGCCGGCACAATTGCTAACGAACGTGTAGCACCTTCCACATGTACCCCGAGTCGTGGGGCTACAACTACACCTGGGGCAACGAATGGATCCGGCAACACGACGCCATTGGCGCAAGAACCGGCAAGCCCGTCAAGTTTGAAGAATACGGCGCTCCCATCAATCATACCGAGATTGAACGACCATGGCAATTGACCGTTCTCAAGGAGACTTCCCTGGCGGCGGACTTTATCTGGCAGTTTGGGAGTGTCCTGCCTGAATCTGGAACCACGTGGGGTGATGTCAACTCGATCTATTATGGGACGGAGGAGTATGAGATTCTTGGGTTCAAGCATGTGGCGGAGATGCGGAGGAAGCGTGTTCGGCACCATTAGACCTTAGAGTGAGAAATAGGTACTCGGCTTGAGTATGCCACGCGTGATGACTATTCACGTCTTGTTCACAATGCTCGTCAAAATGTTTCAGGGCTTGCAACTTATATTCTCATTCCAGAGCTCGCTAAGGATAGCTAGCAAATAGCTGAAACAAAGACCAAGCTTTCTTCAATGACAACTTCCAGCATGCTTCCACCGCGCATATCCCTCCTATCTCGCAGCAATCCTCTCCATGTGTTCCGTAACCAGGCAAGTATACTCATCAGACCCATAATAGATCGTATTCCCATCATTGTGAGTCTGTCCCGTACTCAGGGTATCACCCCACTGCCAGAACAAGTCGCCGGCAATCCCCGTAGTGCCAACGGCCGTCGTCTGCCAGGGCACCTCAATGGCACAGTGGTCGGATGGTGCGCCGTACTCCTCGAACAGGCACGGCTTTCCGGCCGCTGCGCAGGCTGCGCCGTGCGTTCTTGCCCAGAGGTTGCCCCAGTCGTATGATACGCCCCCTGGTTTTGATGTTAGCTTTGATTGTGGAGGGCATAGAGGGGCAGAGATTTGGAGACGTACAGCTGCCTGGGTAGAGGTGGAAGGTGCCGAAATCGATCGTGTCGATGGCGAGGTTTGCGGCGAAGTCGAGCCCTTCGCCAAAGGCAAAGGGATAACTTCCATCGGATCCCTCCTCCAGGCCGAATCCCTCTGAGGTTTTGATTAGCTTCGGTTCAAGGCCAAAGGACGTTCAAAAGGATGAAGTGGTACTGACCGTCACCAATGCAGACCATGTGCAGTGGGTCTAGAGACTTAATGTAAGCGCTCGTGTCCGCAATCCAGTTATACAGAATGGACGTGTCGCAGCCATTGCAGCGGGGCTCGTTGGCCAATTCCCAGGCAAACACAGCGGGAGAGTCGATGAAGCGGCTGACGACCGCCTCGATGTAGGTACGGTAGACAGTCTGGATTTCATCGTTGGTGTACCAGTCGGTCTTTGTGGTTCCACCGTAGGCCTTCAGGTAAGCAGACATGCCACCGTAATCATCCCAGTTGTTGACAAAGTTGATAATCAGCTTGATGCCACGCTGCTCAGCCGAATTGACCACCGCGTCGAGGCGCTGCAACCCATCGGCCCCGGTATTAATGATTGTTGCGCCGTTTTCATGTCGCTGGAACCATACTTGGCCGCTCCAGGGATCCGTGTTGATATCGCTGAAGCCCCAGATACGTAGGATCTTGTGTCCCGACTCGGCGATGTGGTCCATGACGAGATCGACATCCGCGTCGTTGGTCAGCATGCTGATCCAGTACGAGTTGGAGCCTGCGAAGTAGTCGGTTACACCGTCGATGGTAAAGTTCAGTCCGTTGGCCGAGGGAAAGTCGGTTGAGGTAGGGACAGAGGTAGTAGTGGTTCTTGTGGTGGTTGTCGTGGTGGTTGTTGTTCTGGTTGTGGTCGTCAAGGTCGTGGACGAGCTAGCGGTGCCTGCACAACCAATTAGTACAACAGGTTGAAGCTATCTGAAATGTACCTACCTGGAAGGCACTGGCTGTACCAGTCATTCTGATAAACACAGACGTATCCAGAGACACAGGTGGTGGCCCCCGCCCAGTTGTTCCCTCCGCATTGGCCGTACGCACCACTCTGCGCAGCAACAGCACCTACAAGAGAGAAAAGAGACAAAGCACGACCCTTCATCGTGTACAATTGACTGAGGTAGCTTGTGTGACGATTGCTCTCTTCTTCCTCCGCCCGCCTTCTGGCATTTATAGGGCGAACCCTCCGTTTCCATCCTGGATCTCCGCGCCAAATCGAAATACCCCTGCCGACAAGAAGCCGACAGCAGTGTGGTGCAATCTATAGATATATTATCAGCTCATGTAGTGCAATCTAAATTCTGCAGCGCCATTGACCCCGTGGGAAATGAGGGGCTGAAGAATATATCCCCGCCTCCTCCGGCGCCTCTTAATGGTCGAGATACTTGATTCTCCGCCTTGCTCCGCATTGCTCGGGGGCTACTAAAGCTCGCTTGCAGGTTACGGGATAATTTGTGGTGACTGAGTGAAGAGCCAAGAATCAGTACGATGCCAAGCCAGCATGTGGTATCCGTGCTCTGTTCGGAATGGCGTCAAGCCACAAAGTCTACCCCAGACATTTCCCCACGAGTTAGATATGTAAGCCCATAAGACTGATTGCACAGCTGCTTTGGCTATGCAGAGGGGCCTAATTCGAGAGGCTTATCAAAATTTGAAGTGGAAGTATGATGGTGACTTTGGGAGGCAGCACGTATATATATTGTGGTTTCCTCCTTGTCTATCTCCACCAAACTACCCCAGAGCCACCATATCGTCTAGGTGAAGGCTACCTTGCTGTACAGTGCATGGCTAGCGACAAGTGAATGGTACCTTACAGCAAGCAATGCTGGTATCTGGGGTCAATGGCATCTACGCGATGGCAAAAAAAGAGAGACATCCCGGCGGAATGAACGCGGGTCTTTGGAATCGTGAGTGCAGCACCACACCGCTAACCTAAATCAAAAACTCGACCGCGGCCGGGTCGAGAAGCACACATGTGCGCAACCCCTTGTTTGTTCTTCGGCATTCTTACCTCAACTTCATGCAGGAAAGCCGGGGTGGTTCGAAAGAATCCACGCGCGTCAGCCTGCTCCACAAATCGGCTCTGGGGTAGTATCGCATCGGACGAGTTCCGATGGAACATCTCCAATTCTCCGCATTCTGTACCCCAACCCTGGCCGATCTTCATCGTTACACCGTCGTCATTCGTCGGGGCGCAGAACTCCGCGATCGCCAGTTGCTTGTCTCACACCAGGAATGCCAGGTTTTTGTCGGCCCGTCTTCGGGGTGAACACATAAATGTAGGCATCCCGCTGCCTCTGCTGGCTGTGCGTGCACTCCCCTTCGCGAAGATTGGTGGCCACGCTTGCAAGTTCTTATCATATCCAGTCATGGACTCCGTCAGCGATGCGCGACCCAAGGGCGGCTTTAACCTCGTCTTGGAAAACCCTTACCTCTGTGGCGTTGCTTCGGTGTGTTTTTAACAACTCGTGATCAAGACACCCCCTAACAGTACACAGTTCTCAACCCTCGGCGGGTTATTGTTCGGCTATGACCAAGGCGTAGTCAGCGGTGTCATTACCATGGAGTCCTTTGCGGCTAGATTTCCGCGTATTTTTTCCGACAGTGGCTTCAAGGGGTGGTTCGTTTCGACCCTTTTGTTGGGTAAGTATCAGCATCTACTTCCGTTTGTGAAGAATCGAAGCTGAAATTGGCAATAGCGGCGTGGCTAGGCTCGTTGGTCAATGGACCCGTTGCCGACCGGCTGGGACGCAAGCTGTCGATAAACCTGGCAGTCGTCATCTTCGTGATCGGATCCGTTTTTCAGTGCGTCGCGGCGAATCTGCCGATGATCTTCGCTGGGAGAGCAGTCGCTGGTTTCGCGGTTGGTATGCTGACCATGGTCGTTCCGCTGTATATCTCCGAGGTAAGCTATATCGGTCATCCATGGCTTTGCACTCCGCGGCCTGACCACGCATAGGTCTCGATTCCTGAAATCCGCGGTGGTCTCGTGGTTGTACAGCAGCGTGAGCTCTTCTCCTTCAATATCTTCTTGTACAGATACTGACTAGTAGCCCTAGTGTCCGTCACCCTCGGTATCCTGATAAGCTACTGGATCGACTACGGCAGCAACTACATCGGCGGCTCGCGCTGCGCCCCGGACGTCCCCTACGCTGACGGCACGAGCTTCAACCCGTACACTGATGTCCCACCGGGAGGCTGCACAGGCCAATCGAACATATCTTGGCGTCTACCCTTAGGACTTCAAATTGCGCCCGCGGTGATTCTCGGTGTCGGCATGATCTTCTTCCCGGATTCGCCACGCTGGCTCTTGATGAAGGAGCGCGACGATGAAGCCTTGTCTGCGCTGTCGCGATTGCGGAGGCAGGCCCGGGATAGTCTGCCTCTTCAGAATGAGTACCTCGAGATTCGGGCTTCTATCATGCTTGAGAATACGTTTGCGCGGGAACATTTTCCGAATCTTTCGGGTGTCAAACTACATGCTGCTCAGTACTTGTCCTTCCTCACGACCTGGTCTCGGTTCAAACGCTTGACGATTGGCTGCTGCGTCATGTTCTTTCAGCAGTTCATGGGTTGCAACGGTAAGTTGCCCGTATCCCACTAGGCACCCGACACCAAGTATCTGACACCACATAGCCATTATCTACTACGCCCCAACGATCTTCAGCCAATTAGGCCTAGACGGGAACACGACCTCCCTCCTCGCTACCGGCGTATACGGTATCGTCAACTGCCTTAGCACCCTGCCAGCCCTTTTCTTCATTGATAAAGTCGGCCGTCGTGTTCTCCTCATGGCTGGTGCCACGGGCACCTGTATCTCTCTGGTTATTGTGGGTGCTATCGTGGGAGCATATGGGTCTAGCCTGGTGGATAATAAGTCTGCCGGCTGGGCGGGTATTGCGTTCATTTATATCTACGACATCAACTTCTCATATTCGTTTGGTAAGCACCAGGGCAACATCATGTATACTGATTATGGCTAACAAAATAAGCCCCGATCGGCTGGGTTCTCCCATCGGAGATATTCAACCTCTCTATCCGATCCAAAGCCATCTCCATCACGACGTCCGCGACTTGGATGTGTAACTTGTAAGTTCATTGTCTATACTTCTGAGGCATAAAGTGGGTGTCTCTGATAGTTGTGGCTAGCATAATCGGCCTCGTCACCCCCGACATGCTCGAATCAATCACCTGGGGCACTTATATCTTCTTCGCAGCCTTCTGCCTCATAGCACTGGCGTTCACGTTCTTTTTCATTCCCGAGACTCGTGGAAAGGTACGTATAACCACTTCACCTGTTTCTTGATAGCGCCTAATGATATTCGTACAGACTCTTGAAGATATGGACCTCATCTTTGGGGATACAGCTGCACACGAGGAGAAGAAGCGCATCAAGCATATTGAGGCTCAGCTGCGTGGGACTCCGATTGAGGATGATGAGGTTTTGAAACCGGTCGAGCACCATGCGGAGATGGTGGGTGCTGTCTGATGGCTATGATAACATTGCTGCGGCAAGGTTGACGGAAGATATATCTCAAAGCTATGCTGTGAAATAAACAATACCTTCATTCCACGTACCTAAGGATTCGAGAAAGAGAAGAGGAATAGAAAGACATTTGAGATTATCCTCGTCCAAACCAAGCACGCATCATCTCGTCATCACACTAGGAACGTACGGAACAAGTCCCACATCTCACGAAGAACCGCTCTTCTTCCTCTCCTCAAAAACCAACTCAAGCGCCCCCGTCGCCAACGTGAAGGTGTCATGACAACTCTCCAAGAAAACATCGGCTCTTTGCCCCTGTGCAAGACGGACGTCGTATCTGGTCAGAATCTCGGCGGCAACGAGTCGGAGTTCCATCAGCGCCAACTGCTTTCCGACACACGCGTATGGGCCTAGAGAATGATCAGGACTACAAGACCAGGACTAGGAATTGGGATTTATGACAAACCAGCATTGAACGGGATAAACGCAGATGGCTCCTTGATAAGCTCGGGCCGTGTCGTCCATCGCTCTGGAAGAAATTCGTGGGGTTGGGCGAACACGCGCTCATCTAACGTGTGCAAGGTGGATCAGTACTTGAAACCTCGGAAAATCACAGCTAATTCACTAACCTCGAAATAAAGTATGCGTGGGTACGCAAACCATCACATCCCCAGGAATATACCGATCGCCAATCTGAAGACCCTCAGGGGGAGTTATCCGCTGTGTGCCAGAGGGAACAGCCGGATGCAAACGCAGGGTCTCATTAATGAGTGCGTCAAGGACCTTGGCTCCGGTGAGCTGCTCTTGAGATAGACTAGGTAGGGCATCGAGTTCAGCCTGGAGCGTTGTTTGCCAGACGGGGTCGGTCGCAAGGTGGAAGAATAGATTCGTCAATGTCGCTGCGGTAGTGTCGCTTTATCTTGTTGGCCTAGTTTCGTCTGAAATGCGAGGAGTTGCTTACCTTCCTGCCACGATAATTAGATATGCATCACCGTGGAGATCCAGCCAATCCTGCTTGGATCTTGGCCCTTTCTGATAAGCATCCAAGATCGAAGAGAACACATCCGGGATCTTAGGGGGATTCTGATACACCCATATTAGACATGGCTGCGATAGGGGCGACATAGGAGGATGAAATACCTTGATTCTCCGATCTACTTGCTCGCCAACCCAAGCCCAGAACTTGAGATAATCTGCGTTCACAAGCGGAACCCGTTTGAAGAATGGAAAAAGCCATGTAAGATGACTGAACAGACCAATGGCCTTCATGTCCTCGTGCAGCTGTAGCGAGAAGTAGGTGTCTTTTCCGTCGATAAGCATGTTGAAGGGCTTGCCAAATGCGAGATCACCCATCACGTCGAAGCTGTAGTAGTTGAACCACTTGGCCATGTTCATGGGGTTTCCCACGTTCTTGCCGATGGCGTCGATGAGTTGGTTAGTATAGAGCGTCACCCGGGGCTCATAGTCGCGTAGCGCTGCACCTTCAGTTAGAGTGGGATTCTAGCGAAACGATATCTGGTACTTACCCTTTGAACTAAATCCTTGATCCCATACCTTTCTTCGCCGAGCGTGTTCTTTTTTGTCGCGGACCATTTGAAGAGACACACGGGGCTCTAAGACGGTGTACCACGGGCCTTTGCTCACTTTTGCTTGCGCACTATACAGTGCTTTCACGGCCTGGGGATTCGTGATTGACAACTCAGTGGGGCCTGGCCGAATACAACCTCTTAGAAATTCTTTTCTTCGAAGATATTGGAAAATGGGAATATTTTACCTAAGCGCACATAATCGCCATACTGTTGATGCAGTCGCTCAACCTCCTCATGAAGATGTAACTTCTTAGCCGACAGCGTCGTGACATAGAAATTCGACAGCCTGGCCAAGAACGGACCAGGGAAGCTGGACAATCGATGCCAGAACGCGCGATAACAGAGCATGCTAAGATAAATGCCGAGAATGTGGCACCCCACGACATTGAAAGCCCAGCGTGGTCGACTCGTGACGCCGAGGCCATCTAAGACAGTCGTACGCTCGAGGAAGAAAGCCGTTAACGTAATCAATGCATAGGTGACAAAAATACGAGGAGACTGGACATCCCATTCGCCGCGGCGATAGAGGAGAAGGTGCGCACTTACGCCGCTGGCGGCGGCCAAAGTCGCGAGTGTATCCATTCGTAATAGCTCGAATCGCATCGGCTGGCCAACTTATTTTTGTTGCACCAACTCAGTCTTATAATCTTATTTAGGATTCCCCGGTAATACTTCGGGGATCGGGTGTTGGTTGCCGTATTGCCTTGATACCCGAGTAGCCTATAGCAGACCTGCATGGTGTATCCTCCCCTTGCTCGGACCCATTTTACCAATTATTATGCGACCTAGTGTTGTGCAGGGTGTGCAAAGCTAAGCAAGAGGCCAATTGTAGACGGCAGAACACGGAATTCCAATTTCCGAGTGCATAAGCTTTGTTTCAAAACCCGAGCGTACTTTGATAGGCTGTCACGCCTTGCGGAGTGGACTCCGCGTTGTATTGTTGGCCAATTGCGGTGGAATATTGTGCTCTGTAAGCAAAACTAGTGCACTAACTCCCGCTGTCAGGGCATAAATAACTCATGGATCCCCATTTTCGGCAAAGAGAAAACTCGGACTTGGAAGTCCCTGTTTATGACTTGGATGAGGCGAGTATCTGGATCGTAATGACAATGTCCGCTCAGAAACTGTACATAGGACTATAGGGAGGTGTATCAGATCCCGCCGAATGCGAGAAACCCTCCAAACCAGCATGGCTATAACCCACCACGAAGTCACATACGCAGACTCAAAACAATCCACTATCTAGTGACGAGCCCCCAGCACGGCCCCTTTATCCTCTTCATGCACGGCCCGCCGCGTGGAATCCCACCACAGGCGGGACGCCTGCTGGCTTTTTCAGCCCTACCAGAGATTCGGGCTTAGCACAAGCCCCTGCGGAGACTTCAGCCTATGAATGCGGAGGTCTGAGACACGAAACTTAGGCTATATTGGGGATGACCTGCGCGGTTTCTTGTCATCGGACTTGATACATGGAACCAAGTCCTATGATCACCATAATACCAGGGAGAAGATTAGTGTACATGAGACAAGCCAATTGATTTGACATGACTTGCATGGTCGCCTATTCAAAGCTTTGCTTAAGGAGCAAAGGGAGAGCGTGATGCGAGTGAGGAAAAGCAAAGCACCGAGTTGGCGGACAAAACTGCTCTTTTGTCGGTCTCGAGGAATGCAGAATGAAAGACAAGACTGCTTTGGCCGGTAACAAAGCGCATTCATCCCTCTGTAAGACAAAATATCGGTCTATTGTTGTGAGAAATCCTGTTCATTGTCCCAAAAGCTCCAACAATGGTCCTGATAACAATGCCGTAGACCACAAAGCCTCCGTAAGAACATAAATACCACACAGCAGACCGAGCATATTTGTCCTATATCGTTATCAGACGACAGTTCTCAACATGTCCTCCGAAACCACCTGCCCCGTGTGCGCCGACACCGCCCGCTACAGCTGCTTCGAGGATAAACATGTCATAGCATGCAGCACCTGCGCTACCTGTTACTCGCCCAAGAAGCACACGCGCTGTCTGTGGTGTAATGATACTGATGAACCCGACTGGGACCATGAGGCCTGGATGGAGTGGTATCAGGAACAGGCGAAGGACAGCAACGATCCGGAGGTTGCGCGGGTTTTGGAAAGGATGGGTGGTATAGACATCAAGGGTGGGGTGAAGAAGAAGGACATAAACCAGCTTGTTGAGGGGATGGGGGGAACGAAGATTGATGATAAAAAGAAGTAAGTATGAGACTTTTGGTGTGGTGATTTTGTACTTCTGATTAGCTTTCGAATATACAACATACAATGAAACGCTTCTGGTTCGTAAGATGTATGAATTAGTAGAAGATACCCAAATAACCAGGTGAGAAAGGTCTCTTATGGGGTAAAATGCCAAGCCGGGCAGCGGATGATCTCACGTCGGGCTTTTGAACCGTTCGGGGCAACCAGGGCCGAGTTGATAAGCAGCAGCGGAGATACGATGACAACCATCATGTTCTTTCACTCCCCCAACAACCCCTTAGCCACCGCTCACCGTGCGTCATAATCCGACCCATAGCAGTTTGCACGCGGTCCAATAAGCCTGCTTGCTGGTGCCAAGTTTCAGCCTCGATCCCGGAGATAGCGAGCGGATTCCGCAAAATCGTCAATCTGACATGTACATGCTACACGGCTTTACGACGGCCATCGGATGAACAGAGTATACGCTGACAAATTGGTGACTGAAGGAGTGAGAATGTCAAGATGGGTCGAGCAGGGTGTATAAAAGGCATCGATCTCTGCAAGGACAATAACCATCCATATCAACATCATCTCACATACTACTAGCGACTACCTCCAACCACTACCCACAATGCCCAACGTCCTCGTGCTCGGTGGCTCCGGCTACATCGGCCTCGCTCTATCCAAGTCTCTTGTCGCGTCGGGCAACTACACCGTCTGGGGTTCTGCGCGCAGCCCCGAGAAAGCCAAGCTCCTCGCTCAGAACGAAATCACCCCTGTCGAAAGCGATGTTACGAATGCGGAAACACTGAGAACCATCATAATTGAAAACGATATCGACATCGTCGTTGACACGACCTCTGCTTACGAACAGGCCGCTCAAATCCTGCAGGGCGTGACGGATGCCGCAAAAGCCCGTCGCGATGCACTGGCCAAGGAGCAATTTATCGGGCCTAAGCTTGGATTTGTCTACTGCTCCGGAATGTGGATTCACGGTTCGCCCTCCGCACGAGTCAGCGATCTTTCCCCGGTCGGGACCACAATCTCGAAAGGAAAGTCCGCCACAGCAACTGCCTGGCGACCAGCCCACGAACAAGCCATTCTCGCCGCGCAGGATGTGCTCGATGTCGCGATTCTGAGGCCCGCGACGATTTATGGCCGTGGATCCTGGGTCTGGAGTACCTGGTGGGAACCAGTTCTCAAGGCAAAGCAGAATGGAAACAACAGTGACGCCATCCAGATCCCGGCCGATGACAGGGCGCGCAGTCCAACGATCCACGTCGATGATGTCGCATCTGGCTTCCACGCCGCTATTGATCGCATTGATGGCCGACTGGGTGCATGGCCGGTGTTTAACTTGATCACAGAGACGATCGGAGTGCAGGAGATTACCGAGGCGGTCAAGGGTGCGCTCGGGGTTACAGCGCCTGTTGAGTACACCGGGACCCATGGGAATGTGTTCCTTGAAGCGTTGAGCCTAGTGAGCAAAACCGAGGCGTCGAGGGCTCGCACCGTCTTGGGTTGGGAGCCCAGACGGACGGAGTTTCTCCTCAACATTCCGGTTTATCTTCGTGCTTGGGAAGCAGCTCAATAGGTTGGCACATCTTGGAACAAGCAAATATCTGCTCTGGAGTTGATGCGGCTCTCTGTGACGCGTTGCGTATATAGACAAGGAAGAGTTCAAAAATATTTCCATCGCAAACCAACCTGAAGAGTTGTCGAAACCACCAACTGTAGACATCCAACAGTCATCGCGACCCCATAAATATCTATGCAGGCGATCGCGATACTAAACGCCTCGGAAAAAGGGGCGCTGGCATCCTTCGCCCACATGCTGATTGGATACACAACTTACGGCACCTTACATAATCCAAGTCATCTCCAGGCGGGGTTTGTTCATTTATTTCGGCATCATGTATCGGACAAGCGTCCATGATCAAGAAAATGGAACAGCCTTACTTTGTGAGTATACCGTGCTGTCTAAGGGTCCAATAAAGCCTGCATCCTAATTTCCTCCTGTCAGACTGTATCGGCCTGCCATCGATGCCGGAAACGAAAAACGCGCTGCGACGCTCGTAAAGTCCTTTGTGTACTTGATGTGATGCGAGGGGTTTGCTGACGATGCGACAGGGCTTCCTGCTTGTTTGCCATGCCAAAAGATTGGCTCGAGGTGTGAATATAATGATATTCAGACCAAGGTACTTTGCTCGAGAGCTTATATCTGCTCGCTGGAGGCAGAGGTCGACAGTCTTGAGCGTGAGCTACGCTATATGCAGTTTCCTCGAGATCCCAGCTCTACCGGACAAGTCAACGAGCCAAGCGAGGGTCCGCATGAGGGCGACTTGTCGAACCCTTCGCCGGACTCCACGCAAACCTCTCGAGCTCAACCAACCCTTGACAGCCTCGACCGGGGGCATAACACTCGCTACCTCGGAGTATCAAGTGGTACAGCATTTCCCTCGCTATATATCGTATACTGGATATTCGTTTAACTTCAATTACTCATTACTCTCTGCAACAGGTATGCACCTCGCCCGGTCAGTCCTCAACTCAGCACGTCTGAATGACCCGTTAATCGATCACGTACCCCCTGATCTTCACCAAACTCGGACGGAACCAGTGGCCTCCCAAGACCCTGCGCCTTCTGCAAATCTCGCCAAGAGCCCAAGACTTCCCTCGGAAGAAGTTGCGTTAAATCTCATCGAGATATTCCTTGATCAGTATCAACTACAGTATCCGATCGTGTCACAAGAATGGCTTGTTCAGAAGACGCATGAGTTCTACCTCCAGCGATCAAGTCTAGACGGCAGCCTCCCGGGAGACACTTGCACCGCATTCGTCCTCCAGATGGTTTTTGCCATCTCCCTTCTCTCCATATCAAAGGGTGACCAAGGTGACGACGCCCTCAGTCTCGCAGAAGGGTTCTACGCCAGCGCCATGTCTACTCTAACAAATGTGATGGAAAATAAGGGGTTGGAAACACTGCAATGCCTGCTTCTTCTTCTCCTGTACTCACTGCTCCACTTGTCCGCCACACCCATTTGGCATATATCAGGCCTTAGCCTAAGGATGTGTATCGACCTTGGTCTTCAATCTGAGGCCAGCATTAAAGTGTCGCCAAACGGCATTGCATCCGATCTAGAAATCGACTTTAAACGACGCCTTTTCTGGGCCACATATACCCTTGACCGCACATTGAGCATTATGCTCGGCCGGCCGTTTACCCTAGAGGACAAGTACATCGATGTCGCTTACCCGGAGCTGACGCTGCCGGAGGATAAACGAAGATCGATAATCCATTGGATCAAGCTGCAACGGTTGCAGAGTATCGCAGTGTCGCGTTATCACAGTGTATCAGATAACCAGGCTACTTCACAGTCGATATGTTCCAAAGACCTGGCGAACGAGCTGGCGGCTTGGATCGATGAGGCATCGTCATTGACTGATCCTACTCGGTATACACTTGACTGGTAGGAATGCTTCCAGAGGTGGAGAGATTCACACAGCTAATCAAAGTTTCTTGCTTTAGGTGGCGATACTGGTACCACAACACCCTACTCATAATCCATCGTCCTTCGCCCAATAGCCCCTCCCAGGACCTGGACAGCTTATATACATGTTATACCTCCGCGAAAAACGTTATAGAGGCCTCCTTCATCCGCCTGCACACAGACCGCTTGGGTGTGAGCTGCGTTGACATCCACTACCAATTCATGGCAGGCATTACGCTGCTGTTCCTTGTTTGGAACAGTGCAGAGATACGAAAACACGCAGCCAAAGAGTGGGCATCCTTCAAGAGTTGCCTAGTGCAATGGGAACTCGTCCTAGAGAAAATGGCCTCACTGTGGGAGAGCGCAAATCGTGCCAGGGAGGTCGCTCGCAAGCTCTCCACTGCCACCGTTGACATTGTGGAGAGAGAAATTGCGCAGGCTTCCAGCACGCAGACTATGCATAGAGACGGCCGGATCTTGAGGGCGCGAGAGCAAAAGCGTGTCAAATTCATCATGGACCAAATAAGCTCCCCGGGTACGAACAACCTAGCGACCTATGGAAATATTGTCGCTTCTGCGAGGTGTGCTGCAAAGGACACGTACGAGGTAGCCGAATCCAGTCGCGCCGTCCATTCACCTGCTATTCCAAGTAACGACGCGTATGAGGAGAGTAGCCACCAGCAGGCGCAACGGACATATCTTCATCCGGACCCAGTGCTCACATCATTTCCAAACGACCCGATGATGACCGACGAGACAACAATACCCACGCAGGGATACCCGTGGCAGGAAGCGGAATTTGACCAAATCTCCCAAATGTTACGGGGAGCGCTGGAAGATCCCGTGCTTCCTTTCTCCGACCTCTCTGCCATTTTTGGCGATACGTTGTGGTCGACCAGCTCTGGGCCTGAGAATAGCATGTACAACGCGGACAACATGAATGATATTGGCGGATTTTCGAACCTCGGATCAGGATCCGTGAGTATTTTAGGCGACACGTGGCTCGATAATGCAGGTCGCGCAAGGAATATGGCATGGGCGGACAGCGTATTGAACTTTCCAGAAGATTGGGAGAACAATTCACCCATACCCTGAGTCGACGATGTAGATAATGAATCAGGCTTCTTGCCAACTCTCTAAGCTCAAGGCAAGCCCGCGCAGGTTCTGACTCTGCATGTCCGAGAATCTCTTACCCCGATCGGCGGTCCAAATAGTCGTGAAGCTGGAGTAGTTACAGAAACCCCTGACTTCCTCAGGGATGCGCTCATCCCTGCGCTCCCAAGGATTGTCGGCGCTCCTGCCCGCCTCCATGGCCTCGATCACACGCGTACAAGCCTCTTCAAACTTTGAAAATAGCACTTTACCCTCGTTCCACCGCTCCGACAGCGCCTGGAGAACATAGGCGACATCTCGAGTGGCCGTCCAAAGCTCCGAGGGGCGAAGTATCATGCCGCTATTACCATCGCCATTAAGCTTCCAATAACAAAATAGCATTGCAAGTCCCGTCCAATAGGCTTTCTCAGAGGCAATACGCACGTAAAACAGACTATTGGCCTCTGCGAGTGCTCGGTATATCTGCGCAAACCCCTGCGCCGAGCGCCACAGGTCTTCTAGTCCGTCGGAGGTGCGGTTGGGAATCAGGCGGCATGGTCGATTCAGCAGCATCCTACCCATCAGCAGTTCATGCTTTGTAAGACCGGCGGGGTCTGATGATGGGTTATTCTGGGCCCAGTCTTGAAGCTTCTCGGCCATATCGTGAAGAACGGCATATATGTCTTCCCCTGTGCTTGCGGGCTGCTCGTTGAGCTGGTCGTAGATGAGCGATTGGATCTGGAGGATGCGATACCGCTGCAAGAAGCCCGCGATTACTTCTTCCTGGTTTTCCATTGCGAGCCCGATGCGGAAGGTCGGTAGGTGCGCAGTAATGACATTGTCACTAACTTCCATAGGCCGACAGCAGCTGAGGGACATGGACCGGTCGAACGAATACATGCTCCACCAGATGCGGCGGCGCGTCTCGAGGAGGCTGGATGAGACTGAGGAAGTTGGTTGTGGATCCTGGTGCAAGCCGAGGTCAATGCACGTGCGCATTCCAACGCCGATGAGATACCAAGCATCCAGAGACGAGGGATTAAGATTTGCAAACTGGATGAGAAACAATATAGATTGCACACCGGCGACTGTGTTGGGGAGGTTAATGGATTCGCGGAAGCGAAGAGCAGTCTGGAACAGCGAGTCGGCTTTGTTGAAGATGACGCTACTGGAGCTGGACGACAATGAGGAGGCGGATATGGCAAGGACGATTGAGACGGTAAAGGCGTTATAGCCATGATTAGAGTCAGGGGCCAAGTCGCCCAGATTTGGCGTTTGAGCGGACGCTGATGGTGAGCTTGGATTTGACTTAGGTCCATAGACGTACTCAAACTGGGCCCAAAATCCTTGGGTGGAGAAGAATGGCAGCCGAGGGTAGATGTGGTTGAAGTAATGCTCCGCGAGCTTGCGAGCGGCTGGATGAGCTGGTAGCAGGTTTCGAGCCTCCTCTACCGTGGGGGATTGAGCGGGTACAGGTGGGATGGGCCTTTTGGACGCGGCTGCGAGCAGGAGGGTCGCAAACGACGGAACTGCTTTTGATGCAGACGTATAATGGGATGGCCCCGTAATGGGCAGGGTACCAATATCAGAAATAAGCGTATCAATAGCAGAAGGCTGATGTATCTCGGGGGATTCCGCGATGGATGCATCCGAGGGCTCATGTTGGCCGAAATCTGAAGTCCCGTGGCGACGCAGCTCAATCTCTGCTTTTAGTTGCTGAATCTTCCGCCGCAAATGTGTCACATAGTCTCTCGACTGCGCTCCAGCGAGCGAGCAGGACGAAGTGCGATTTAGTTTGACGCACGCTCCACACGGGGCGTCGGAATCGCACTGCGGTCCTGGTCAATTCAAGGTTCCAACCCCCATTTAACCAGAGACTTACCTTTATCTTCCTCGCTTTGCAGAACGCACACGCCGAAGCGAACTGAGCCACTTTCAGATGAACATCTCTTCTCGGGACAGGCACTCGTGGTGAGGCCTGGGAATCCATCGCGGGTGGAGAGGGAGAGGTTGCGAAAACTGGTCCCTCAGACTTTTGCCCCGTTGCCCCCACGTTGGCTGGGGGAGTTCGGAATGCGGGGCTGCTGAGCCACTGCGGAGGAGTTGGGGGCACGTGTGAGGCGTGATACTCGAACGGCCCTAATACAGAGATAGAGAGGAAAAGGGACCAAGTTCATAAATTTATTCTCTAGCACAAGATGATCATACGAAGGATGGTTGTCGTCGAAGAGGTGGAAGGAGCCATACATTCCAGGCAGTCTGCTCAACGGTTACGGACGATACTATTGATTAGAGGCTAACCCAGTATATCCCGAATAAGCATGTGATTTAGCGGCATCAAATGTCATCACACCTCCCAAAGAACCGCGTCTGAGATACCCGAGTAGCTGTCCTTCGTGCTTGCTATCCGGATCTTGACCTCCGTCGTATTGTCAACGTTGGCCAGATTGATTGTCTGGGAGAAGGTGTAGTTTGTGCTCGATGGCAGTGACGTCCACACTCCCGAGCGCGGAATCGCCCACTGGACGCGGCTCTCGACTATTGTCCAGAAAGACCAGCTGACGACGGGTGCTGTAGGAGTTCCAGTGATATTGAATGATCTGAACTCTGGGCCTCGCGGGTCATTCTTGAGGCTTGTCTCAATAACCGCGACAGTTAGCCCATTACCAGCTACCGTGGCGCTCCAGGCATTATCACCGGTCTTGGAAACCGACCCTGCTTTGGTGGATGTATCTCCCCAAGTAGCCACCTTGCCAGGAACCAGCGTGCGGGGGTTCAATGACAGGGTGACTTTCTTTTTGCTCGACGCCTCGTTGATCAGTAGGATGAATAACTTCGACCCGTCTGTCGAACGCGCGGTGATGTAGTCTATTTCTGGGTCGGACACATTGAGCAGATGGCGTGGCTGCCACAGCTCCGCGTCCTCCCCAAACACCGTCCCTGACGCGAACCCATAAGGGACGTGGCTACCGACCTTCGCAGTGATAAAGCCATACGGAAAATCGATCTCTCCGTCGGAAAGCATGTGCGCGCTCGCGAGAAGGTAGTCCATCACCCACCCGATATGCCACCACCCGTGCCAGGGATAGGCCGATCCACCGGTATTTCCCTGGTACCAGTAGTAACTAGGAATGCTGCTCGTTGGATCAACGAAAGCGTCGCGGCCCCTGGCAGCCGTGCGGGCGAGGTCGAGGAAGAATCCATCGCCCGTGAGTTCGTAGAACCTGATGAATGCGCCCGCATGGCTGCTCAGATAGATTGGCCCTCGGACGTTTGCTGTGCCTGTGTAGCCGGCATGCTCATAGGTGAGGCCAGTCTGGCTGAGCTGCCAATCATGGTAGGTAACCCCGCTTCTCGTGTGAGTGTTGTCGTCGACGACAGGATGGTTGAAGACGTGCAAGGTGTAGAACTTGGCTGCTGTTATCGCGGCATCGCGGTACAGTTCGTCATCTGTCTCTTTGTAGAGGTCAAGAAGAGCCTGAGCTGCGAAGACCGTCGCAAAATCTGGATACAGGTACGAGTCGTCGCACACGCCCAGCCATCGACCAGTCTCCAAGACATTTTCGATGAACCACCGAGCACCGGCCTCCGCACCATCGAGATACTTCGTGCCGTCTAGAACTCTATGTGCGGCTAGAAGCCCATACCACGTCGCGCGATTGTCGGTCAGGTGTGGATACTTGTTCTTGGATGTGTTGGATTTGAGGTAGCCGATATCGAATTCACCCTCAGGCTTCTGCCAACTGAGTAGTTTCTCCGCTGCAAGTTTGAACCTCGAGAGCAACAGCTCGTCGTCAGGGTTGAACAAGAGAATGTTTCCCATGTCGGAGAGCGTGTAGAATGTGGTGAAGATGGGCGAGACATAATCCTCGTTGCTATTTCCCAGCCAGATCAACTCGCTGACGAACCCCCCGTTCTTGAAGTACTCTCCCAGGGCAGCGCCATTGAAGACACCTCCGCTGGTGTCCTGCTGTGCCAGTTTGAAGTTGCGCGCGTAAGGCAGTCGCTGCTCCGCTAAGAAAGGATCCCCCGTCAACCGCTGCATTGACCACATGGCGCCGACATCCGACAGTTTCCCGGATTCTGCGCCGAGGGTCAGGTTCTGGTATGACCAGAGATGCCACTTCGATGCAGGGGTTACGATAAAGTCATGGATCCTGTTGAGCCTCTCGCGTAGAGAGACGATGTTCTTCGCACGTTTGTCGTACTCGGAGATGGGATAGATCTCGCTGTGCACTAGTTTGTTCACCTCATACCAGGTGACATCAGGATCCCCAGAGACGAAGTACAGGAACGTTGCGGACACGCTGCTCTCGCCACCAGTCATCTTCGACTGTGCCTGGCCGAGGACGGGATAATAAGCGGTGGGTGAAAGGGTTCCATTGCGGCTCCGCAGACCGAGGCCAACGTTCCACTGGGCCTGGGCAGATGTATCTGTGGATGGGTTCGGATCTCGTGCCAGTGATGGATCCGGCACGACTGCAAAGTTATAGTTTGTCCCGTTGTTGGATAGAATGGCCACGAGACTGGTTGTGCTTGCTTCCATGGAGACGTATGGATAGTCCGGGACGCCCTGCACCAGTTTGTACAAGGTTTCCTCGTCGGAGTTGAGTTCGCTCGACGACCAATAGCCAGGAACGATCCCCCATCCGAGCTGGTCATCGGGGACAGCAGCTAGCCGCGGACTCGGGATTGAGTACCAGCCGGAAACAGCTGGCTTCCAAGTAACATTGACAGCAACGAGATCCCACGAACGACTGGTGTCAATCCACCATCTCGCAGTAAACGTGCCATTCTCCACAGTATTTGTTGTTGTCACAATGCCGGACGTCTCGTCTGGCTGTGTGACGTTCGCTGGGAGAAACTCGGTATAGTCACCGGCCTGCCCCTTCTTCACCCGGCTAGAGTCCTGCGGTGCAGTTGAATAATTTGCTAGCAGACCATATTGTCCTTGGGGTGCGGAGGCAGACTTCCAGGTTTTATCGTCGTCTTTGGTTTGTAGCTGTGCGAGCCAGCCATCTGCAGTCTCGGACCATGTAACTCGAACATTGCGTCCGGTGATGGAAGGATTATCGGCGAAGGACAAGCCGAATAAGGCCAAAATGCAAAGGAGGAAATTCAAGGATAATATCATTGTCTTCGTGTCTGCTTGAGAAGAGTGTAAACATCTTTCACAATGCAACTTCGTGCACACAACTTTTAATATATAGCCTGATATCCAGATGTGGAGGTGAGCATCCTTCCCCGGTTCCCCACGCATCGTGCAATTCGGGAGTTGCGTGCCCAATGTGTGGAGTATCGCCAGTACTCGCTCGGTTTCTCCAAGTTCGGTCAAGCCCAGGAGTCTGTGTGGGCAGTGGGCGTCATCTACTCCAACCGAAGGATCGGGCGTTCCGTTGCGCTGTCAGTCTCCATCGGCGGTTCCGTCCAGTGCGTTTCTAGGAAGGATCCAGTTTTGAGTGGCTTCATAATTTTCCTGCAGGGGCCAGAATACATTAAAACAAATTATTAAAGACTTTCAACGATAGTCAATCTGTGTCATTCTTGTTTACTTCACAGCTCATCCAAGGACACTTCACAACCATGGCGCCCGCACGACTCGCCCACGAGAATGTCTTCATCAACGAGACAGCCGTCGAATCTCGAAACTTTCGCCATGAAATCCTTAATGCCGATGTATGTGTTTGCGGCGGAGGCCTCGCCGGCGTCTGCACGGCCATCACAGCAGCACGAAATGGTGTCTCGGTCATTCTTTTGCAGGACAGGCCAGTTCTAGGAGGAAATGCTTCAAGCGAAGTCCGTCTCTGGATCCTCGGCGCAACGTCGCACATGTTCAATAATAATCGCTATGCGCGCGAGGGTGGGCTTGTCGATGAGATCCTTCTCGAGAACCTGCACCGCAATCCCGAAGGAAACCCGTTGATTCTCGACACCATCCTGCTCGAAAAGGTCGTGGAAGAGAAGAACATCCAGCTCTTCCTGAACACGGCGCTTATCGGCGCCGACAAAACCGGTGATCGCATTTCGGGCGTCACGGCCTTCTCGTCCCAGACCTCGACGATGTTCAACGTGAATGCCACGCAGTATATCGATTGTACCGGAGATGGCGCGCTCTCATTCTTAGCGGGCGCGCCTTTCAGAATGGGTGCTGAGCAGAGCGACGAGTTTGGTGAGCTCTTTGCGCCTTCGTCTGAATATGGACATCTGCTGGGCCACTCGATCTATTTCTACTCCAAGGACGTCGGTCGGCCAGTAAAGTTCGTCGCTCCATCATATGCCCTGCAAAATGTCGAGGACGAGATTCCCCGCTTCAAGAACTTTACGGTCAAGGAAAAGGGGTGCAGTCTGTGGTGGATCGAATATGGGGGGAGATTGGACACAGTGCATGATACAGAGAAAATCAAGTGGGAGCTGTGGAAAGTCGTCTATGGGGTCTGGGACTACCTCAAAAACTCTGGCCGATTTCCCGAGGCTGAGAATCTCACCCTTGAATGGGTTGGCACTATCCCAGGCAAGCGAGAAAGTAGACGATTTGGTAAAGTCTGGCTATCCTTTTGCCGGTGCCGCGGCTGACATTCAGCACAGTTGGTCCGTACATGTTGCGGCAACAGGACATCATCGAGCAAAGATTCCACCCTGATGCAGTCTCATATGGTGGCTGGTCGCTTGATCTGCATCCTGCCGAGGGTGTCTACTCAGAGGTTGATGGCTGTACCCAGTGGCACTCGAAAGGTCTGCATATGCCATTCACTCCATGGACATGAAGGCTCACATGTATTAGGCGTGTATCAAATTCCTTTATCCACGATGATATGTACCCAAGTCCCCAATCTACTCTACGGAGGAAGGATTATCTCCGCCTCTCATGTTGCGTTCGCTTCCACACGAGTCATGGCAACGTGCGGGAACAACGGAAATGCGCTGGGTATGGCGGCGGCTCTTTGCAAGAAACTGCAAGTCGACCCGATCCAGCTCCTGGAGAAGAAGAACATGACGATGCTGCAGCTGGAACTGATGAGATTCGGCCAGTTCATCCCAGGCTACAAGATGGACGACCCACTTGACCTGGTTCGACAGGCGACGTCAGTCAAAGCAAGCTCTACGCTTGAGCTGTCGGAACTACCAGCAGATGGTCCTCCGAAGGTCCTGACCAGAAGTCTGGCACAGATGATTCCTCTCCCAGCTGGAAGTGTGCCTAACTTCACTGTCACTGTGCAGGCTGTCGAGGATACCACAGTCGTTGTCCAGCTGCGAGGCTCTATGAAGGCATACAACTACACGCCCGAGGTTATCCTCGCCGAGAGACAGTACCAGGTTACGGCTGGAGAAAGCACGGAGATCACCATCAACCTGACCGACGTGTCGAACCCACATGCACAATATGTCTTTCTGTGTTTCATGGAGAACGAGTCCGTCGCCATTTGCACCTCGCGGACGCGAGTATCAGGCCTTATGACAGTCGAGCATGAGTGTACTCAGTCCCCGCCATCTGGTGTGGGCGTGGATACCTTCGAGCGCTGGACCCCAGTGCGACGGCCGATGGGCCACAACCTCGCACTACGAGTCGATCCACCAGTTCGCGGATGGGGCGCGGAAAATATCCGCAATGGTGTGGCAAGGCCGACCAAGCGGGCAAACTGCTGGGTTCCTGCCAGCATCTCTGCGCGTCGCATGCTGACCCTACATTGGGATAGGCCAGTCCAAGTATCTCGACTAGTTGTGCACTTTGATACCGACTATGACCATGCTCTCGAGTCTGTTCTGCGAGGTCATCCGGAGCGCCAAATTCCGTTCTGCGTTAGGAGCTGGCGTGTGCTTGACCTTTCGAAAGACGGTGAAGAAATTGAGCTTTTCCAGGAAGATGACAACCACCTGTCTCGACAGGATGTATCTTTCGAGACAGTGCAGGCAACAGAACTTGGGTTTGAGATACTCGAGGTGCATGGCGACCCGAAGGACACTTTGGGTGGGATTTTCGAGATCCGGGCGTACGAATAACCAGTTCTTATTACAAGCCCTCGTCTTTGAATTAACCTATCATCTTTCTGTAACATACACTTTCGCTCGGCTCATGGACCATTGTTTGATCTGGAACTCCAGCGCCTTGCTCCCACAGAATAGCACAGTATCACATTCGGCGTCGCCGTTGGGGAACATATCCTGCTCCGACATGCGCCTGCAATGAAATTTCACCTTAGAGCTGGTCATTGACTGCAACTTGTCTTCCCAGAATCGTATCGTATTACCTGCGATCAATCCATCGTCCTCTTGCCCTGCCGTTACAAACACCGTAGCTATCCACACTTGGGGGTCAATGAGCCCGTTCTCAAGGACGTATTCCACAAGCCTGAAGTCGTCTCCACGAATGCTCCATAACAGTCTGTTCTGGTACGGGTATACCTTCTTGCTGAAAGCCGACAGTGGTAGCTTCTTGTCTGAAGATGTAACAGACAAGAAACACCCTGCACCCGTCCCTCCAGCGACGGCAATGGTGTTGCCCAAGGACGAAGACACACCGAGTAGGTCAGGCGAAAAGCCTCCACCAACATCCAGGACCTCTGCCCGAAGCCCGTTTATGCGAGGGAGACCGAGAAGGGAGGTGACACGTCCGTTGCGCGACAGGATAGAGATGCTCTGCTCGGCGGTGCCGTCATCGCGCTTCGTTGTGATCACACGGCAGGGAGTAAAGCATAACCGCCGCTGTTCGTCATTTAGAATGCGGGGACCGGCTGTGGGATCTAAATCCTTTGGAAATTCGAGGGATATGTGCTGAGTTGGACGGAGCTGAACGTGGTCTGTTGGGTTGACAGGCTGAAATGTGTGAAGCGCTATACCCTGTGTAAGCCGACGGGAGGAAACAAGTTCGAGTGTGGGTGGCATGACTGAATGCACGAAAGAGGTACAGCCTGTGGTCAGAGTGCTTGGTGTGGCCCTGCGTATGTCTCGGGGAAAGGTCTGGAAGTCGTCCCTACGATATTGCACTCACCGGAACCGCCGACGTTCTTTTCGGTGGTCCCGTCTCAGGATTTGTCGCAAGATGCTTGCATGCATCCGATAGGATATCTATGGAAAAGTTGCGACCCACATGGCTTCTCCACCCCCACAGTGTGACCCCGCGAGCAAGATCAATCCATCTCCTGATTCCTGGCCAGAAATCTATATATACGGGGCGCTGAACCTCCTTCGGGTGATGCTCGCTCAACTCTCATCCTCAAGCAATAATGGAGGCTGAAACTCACGCTTCGCCGGCTTCCAAGCCCAAGACCGTGCTCACAGGCCGGGTTCTCTGGTGTATTTCCGTTAGTCAGTCTCTCTCGACAGTCCTGTTTCTGAACCCGACAGCTAGCTGACCTATCTGCAGTCTCCATGGGGGCAATCTTCTGGGTGTGTCGCTCTCCAATCGAGGCATGTCCCATACAGTCTAACAGGACCAACTTAGGGATATGACATCGGCGTCATCAGCACAATCCTCGTCGCTCCCGGTTTCAAGGCTGCACTCAACAACCCCAGCGCATCAGAGACCGGTACCATTACTGCAATCTTCTACCTAGGCCAGTTCGTCGGCTATGGCTTCCTCGCTGGCCCCGTCAACAATCGTCTCGGCCGTCGCTGGGCCGGTGCTGTCGGTGTCGTCATCCTCTGCATCGGCGCAGCTCTTCAGGCCGGAGCCATCCATCTGGCGATGATGATCGTCGGACGAATTATTGCTGGTCTCGGAACGGGAATAGTTTCCTGCTCTGTACCCCTCTACCTCAGTGAAATCTCGCCGGCTCACGTACGAGGCGCGTTCGTGGCGACGAACCAGCTCGGGATTGTCTTCGGTATCTCCATGGCCTTCTGGATTGGTTATGGGTTCTCATTCTGGGATACTGGCTCCGGAGTAGACCTTCAGTGGCGGCTCTCTGTCATCATGCAGTTCATCCCCGCGGTTATATTTCTTATCGGCGTACCTACTCTACCAGAGAGGTGAGTATCTCTTCGCGGATTCTCAGTGATATTGTCAGCTCCATGTTGCTAACCAATGTCAGTCCTCGCTGGCTCGTCTCCCAAGATCGAATGGAAGACGCTGTCAAGGCACTCACAAAGCTCCGAGGAAAGGACCACCCTGATGCTATTCAAGCCGAACTCGACGAGATCCACGCAAACATCATGTGGCATAAGCAATACTCGGTCACCTCGACAAAGGTCTTCTTCACTGACAAGGCCCTTTGGGCACGTCTCTGGCGCGCCTGGGCGATATCCTTCTTGCAGCAGATGAGCGGTGCGGGTGGGATACGCTATTATCTTCCGACAAACTTCCGAGCTGCAGGGACGTCGGAAACTTTGAGTCTTCTGGCTTCCGGGCTTGATGGAACTGTTCAGGTTGGATGTACCGCAGTCGGTATCTTTCTCATTGATCGGATTGGGCGGCGACATGCGTTGGGCGGCGGGGCCATTATTATGGCGTGGTGCCTGTTGGTGAGTTTTCCTATCCTGAAGTACCGACTTTGATGCAACTGGCCATCTAATGAAAACCTGTGTTACCTTAGATCAATGGAGCGCTTCAGCTTGCATACCCGAATCAGTCGAATGCCTCCGCAAATTACTGCAACATCTTCTTTATCTTCTTCTTCACCGTTGGATGTAAGTAGAATATCCTTTTCGCTGTCGTCTCAACCTCTGACACCGTTATAGACAGCATTGGCTTTGGCCCCTGTGCCTGGATTTATTCATCCGAGGTATGCTACCCGCTATATAATCCAACCTTCGGTACATACTCACCTCATTCATCCAGATATTCCCCGCGCACGTCCGCTCCAAAGGCCTCGGCATCTCCGTCACAGGCCAATCCATCGGCAGCATAATCGTCGGCCAGGTGTGGCCTGTCGCCGTCGATCGAATCGGGCCCAGAACGTACTTTATCTTCATGGCCTTCAACATCTTCGCTGCTATCCTGGTCTACTCTACCTTCCCGGAGACGAAGAAGAAGACGCTCGAGGAGCTAGATTCGCAGTTTGGCAGTTGTAGCCTGCATTTCCCTGAAGGTGGTGCAACAAAGGAGGCTGAGCATGGAGGTAGAGAGCATGTTGAGCTCGTCGGGGAGAACAAGCGGCACTAAGTCGGCAAGCTTATTGTCCTTAGAACTATGACGCGCCCCGCTCCTGTCTGATGCGCAAGTTTCAGATTTGGGATGCTGAGTGGGAGGTGTTGGTTTGTCTGGGAATTGGCGCCGAGCTCGAGTTTAGAAAGAACAATCACCGCTTAATTATCCTTAATATATCCCTCTCTTGACTGTAAGAATACACGATGTCGAACAGTGGCAAGGCCATGTCCATTGTGTATTGCGCTATTAGCCTCAACCGTCCGTTGCCACGCCTTCATTCTTCGTGGACTCGACTTACCCATCCGGATACGGAATCTAGACTCTGAGTGCGTTACAGCGTCGGCATGGCACCCATCGTAGTCCGAGCTATCGGTGTCTGTCAGTATAAAGAGCACGCTTCTCATCATATACGACGAGTGTTTCACTCTCTACACGAATGCATTCTCCTTCCAGGCTGTCGTTACGAGGGCCGCGACGCCGCGTACTTGGGCGATACGGCAGCACTCGGACAAGCGCTTGTTATATATTATTAAAAGGCATGATGGCTTCCCCAAGCGGGAGATATATCTTTGATGCGATCGGTGCTGCAATCAATCTACTCAAATATAGGAGCGTTAGCATACTAATTGAGCAATATATATAGACTACGCCACCGTCCTTCTGCACAAAGCAGACTCCGCTGACGCATTCAAATCCCCGGATCAGCTCTGTCAGGTGACGACAATCGCCTAACAGTTCGTCTCCTCTCTTGAGAAGGCCGCATCTACTGAAACACATATTTGTCATTGGTACAGCCAGATACAAAAAAAAAAGAACGGCCCGAGCCGCGGATCGAACGCGGGACCTCTCGCATACAATATGCTAAGGGTGAACCCCTGAAGTTGTGGTTAGGAATTGAAATGGACGGATATTGTTGGTGGGTGAGGCCTACTAAGCGAGAATCATACTGTGGATTTGTTAGTCGACTAGTCCGTTTTGGGTGTTTGGACGCATTTTCTTACCCACTAGACCACCCGGGCTGTGTATGGAGCACTTCCCTCGTACCATGAACTGATATTCTGTTAGAGTCGTGTAGGCAGTCCAGGGTGCAGTTATCTGCAATCAAGGCCAAGCATGATTATTCTCTTTTTTTTTTTTTTCCATAACCAATGATAATAAATGAACGTCTCAATTGGAAAATAGCCGCCTCTGGTAGAAACGTCAATTCACAAAATACACGACCGGGTTTTATGGATCGACGAAACCCGGCGTACGATGGAGGGTTCTAGGGACTCTCCCAAGGGAAAGATCTGGCTCATTTCCGAACCTATTTTGGTTCATATTCTCCGTCAGGATCTGTACTAGTCATCCCTTACTCCACATAAACTCTACCTAAACTCCCTTTGTTCCTATCCGTCTAGTGGTGTATTGGGTGCTGTAGGGACCTTGTTTCAATTTTGGTGCAGAGCAAAGAGAGTCAATGTAGTCAAAATGAATAAATGCTTCAACATAAGTGAATGTGCCTAATTAGGCAATCCGTAGCTATAGCAGACTATTCCGGTGCTATGTGGTGTATACGAGGATCGGCTAGTAAACATATCTAAACGCCGGATTCTTGAGGTCGGTCAGATCTCTCAGTTCATCGTCTCCCTCACCGGTCTCCTCGAGCCCATCTACCCCCAGCCTGTCTCTCTTCACATTCTCCCTGCGCAAATAGACCAATAAGGCAATGCAATCTACGACCACCACCACGAGACAGATCAGTATTGCTTGCAGCCCACTCTGTAAAAAGCGACTTTGTTAGCTCTATTCCGCAATGAACTGCACGAAAGAAATTAGGAAAGCCATACCTGATATCTTGGGGCCTCGCTTTCAAAAAACAGCTGCGGCCCAATAACATTCCCGACGCAGTACATGACAAAGAAGATGGCATTCACCGTGGACCGCTTGGTAAAACCCCCAACATTCGAACTTATCATGGCCATTAATACGGGCAGTGCGGCGGAGTAGGCCCCCATGAGGATTAGGCCGATGTAGCGAGAGGCGGTTGCCGATGTTGAGTACACAAGGGCGCTGCCCACCACACTATCAATCGGCGGCCCGGATTAGTAGGCGGTATATAAATGTGCGTGTGTTGTGTGTGAGCGTATATATGAGCGTACCTTAGGATGGTCATTACGATCGAGACGATAAGGCGACTGTTGCGAACCTTCGAAGCTATCAGGGCTCTGCCAGCATAATTATTAGTGGTGAGAAAAGAACAACAAGAGGAGGAGAGAGACGGACGATGACAGCACAAGCAGGAAGACGACGAATCCACCCGGGATACCCAGCAGAAGTGTATGGAATGTATTGTATCCGAAGCCCTTGAGGATGAGACCTGAGAACTATATGTGTCTCTATTCAGCACTTATTCCTTCGAAGACTGATGCGATACATTTCACTTACCGTAGTAAACCCGCCATTCGGGATATTAGCGGCCAGGATGTATACGGCGAGTAGATATGTCTTCGGATCGACGAAAGCCTCAATGATCTGGTCGCGGTTGATCTGGTTTGATTTGAAGCCCGCTTTATTCGAGGCCAGTCGGTGGAGTGCAATTGCGCGCTCTTCTTCTGTAAGGAACTTGGCATTGGTGGGAGAATCCGGGAGCCGGAACAGCATGAGAATGCCCCATAGAAAGGTGACCAGGCCAAAGATGATAAAAAGCCACTTATGTGAACCGTTATTGATATCCTTTCGGAACAGAATCAGGGAAGTGCATACCTGCCACGGCTTTATACCGCTATCAATCTGCCAAATTCCAACAGCAATCAAGTTGCCGAAAATTAACGAGAGCGAGTTTCCACAGAACCAGATACCGTGACGCAGCGGTTGCTCCGAGGATCGATACCACAGTGAGGTAATCAGACTGAAGCCTGGAGAGATGCTGGCCTCCGTAACACCCAGGAAGAACCGGGTGATCATGATCCCGGTGAAGTTTGTTGTTGCGGCGTGGCAGGCAAGGACGACGGACCAGATGATACTGTGCGGTTATTAGGGGGTGGTTTTGAGCGATGATAGGGGAACTAAGACATACAAGTTCATGGCGAGGTATTTCCCTAGGGGAAATTTGACCAGTAACATGGAGGCGATCGGGCTAAAGAAGAGGTAACCAAAGTAGAAGATGCTGGAAGACCAGCTGTACTGTGATCCCACAAGACCGAGGTCCTCCCTGAGGCCCATGAGAGAGGTGTAGTTCAGCGCCTGCTTGTCGAGAAAGGCCATCATATACGCGAAGAGCATGATTGGAAGTAGCCTGGTCTGTTAGCAGTTCCCTCGGGTAATCTGATAATAGGCATGCACATACATCAAGTCGACCTTGCGAATGAGCTTTTTTTCAGCATCTGCAGAGAAGGGAGACTGCGACTGAAGCTCTTCCAAGGCTCCTTTCTCGCAGGTGGACTGCTCGCGCTCAGCAAACTTCTCGTTTAGATCTGCCATGTTGAAATTGAGATTGAGGATTGTGTAGTGGAGGGCTACGATCTGTTGCTTCGTAGACCTATATATACAACTTTTGATATCAGTGACCTCCCAGGATCCAGTCCACATTGAACCTAGATTGGCTTCCCCGCACAAGATATCGGCTCACCAGCGATAAACAGAGATAAGGGAAATCTACAATTGGCTGCGTCGGCAACGCTAAGGCCTTGGCAATGCGAACAGGCTGTCTTTCCCCAGGTTTCGACCGCGTTGGCGATAGCGGCAGTGTTTATCTCTCAAGTTGGAGGGCCGGAAGCGTAAGCATTCGATCTCGGTCGGCTATATTCCTTTCGCTCATGTGGTTTCTCGCACTAGTCGGATGGTAAGGTGAAGATCTAGCGATGTTGGACCGCAAGGTGAATGGAGGACAATCAAAGAGGCTCGCTTAAATATGTGTAGTTATACTGTCAATTGTTCTTAGAGTGAGAAGGGTTCTATGAATCCTTTGAGAAGTCTGCCTTCACAGTCTCGGCGAATTTATCGTCATCCAACACCTGACAAGCCACCACCGCCATTGCTGCAGCGCAGTCAATAGCCCGCTTATACGACTCGAGCGACCCGGCACCCGCAGTGAACTGGGGCGTGTGGTTGACACCATCTGTCTGGATAGTGAAGATGCCATGGAAGCCTGGCACGGCATAGGATACATTTCCTAAGTAGTATTAGACACATTGGCAAACAAAATGCCCGTGACTCGTACGTACCCATGTCAGTCGATCCTCCACCAGTCTTGTCCTGTGCAGGGACGCTGAAGACGGCTTGATGTCCCATGGAGCGCAACGCCGAGACATAGCTCTCGCATATCGGCGTGTTTGTCTTCAAATCTGCGTAAGACGGTCCCCTGACGCCAAGTCAGCATTGCGAGTCATAGCGCATTAGGACGAGATGTACCATTCAAAATCCACTTTGCATCCGGTGGCAGTCGCTGCACTTTCAAAACACTTGATAACCTTTTCCGTGAGAGGCTTTAGGGTCTTGATAGTCGGTGATCGGATGTAGTAATCCACAGTGGCAGAGGCAGGGATGACATTAGGTCGATCTCCACCATTTAGGATGACACCGTGAACCTTCTGTGATGGGAGCATCTGCTGGCGGAGAAGTGAGATGTTCACATAAGCAGCAACCACTGCGTCGAGCGCATTGATCCCCTCCCATGGCGCGGCTGCAGCATGTGCCGGCTTGCCAGTGAATGTCACCTTGACCTTGTCATTGGCAAGGAAACCACCTGTTGGCGCAGTCGCAATACTCAGCAGTTTCGGATGGTCTGGGGCCATTGGCATGGGATGGACCATAAGGCATGCATCCACGTCCCTGTAGGCGCCGGCATCAAGGAGACGGACCTTGCCACCGCCAGATTCCTCTGCGGGCGTTCCGAGCAGGCGGACAGTAAAGCTTGTATCCTTGGAGACAGCTCGCATGGCTTCGCATGTCGAGATAAATGATGCAATGGAACTTGTAGCAATGAGATTGTGGCCACATGCATGCCCCATTCCTGGGAGCGCATCATACTCGGCGTTGAACGCAACAATTCGCCCGTCGCCAGTGCCGTGCTTGAACTCGATTTCAAATGCAGTCTCAAGTCCATAGGCCTGTCTCCTAACGACATAGCCCTGATCTTTCAACTTGTCAAAGAGGTCACATATGTTTCTATGAGCCTCGAACTCTTCATAGGCCAACTCGGGATTGGACCATATCTTCGGTGGTTAGATAAGAAGCTGCGGTGGGTAAGCCGAACTCACTTTCTGATTGATGTCCAGCAACCGAGCATCATGACGCTGGAGGCTGGCCTGGACCTCGTCAATGAACCGTAATTGGGAGCCTTCGAGCTGCATCTTGTCCTTATCGTGATAAATGGAACTTGGAGCAACAAGACGATCGCAGGTTGCTACTCTCGGGTTAAATAGGATCCTGCTCAGTCATATCCATATTTTCTTCATCCGGAGCAATCGGCAACATCGCCAAAGCAACAGGCGTGTATATTACGATAAGCCAGATGGCTTATTAGGCGAGACCGATTGATACATTCGATTTTTGCCGACGCAGCCAATCAGGAGTGAGCCATCGGCAATCAATGAGCTCTGCCCCAGAAGTGGGCCCAGAAAAGTTGGAGACACGCGGCAGCTGCTGGGTATCTCCGCCTCTTCTGATCCCCCTCGTCCTTTCTAGGCTCGCAGGGTTTCTCAATTTACCCATTTGCAAGTACAAGGTGACATGAATGAACAACGCACACCAGGGTGCTGTCCGGGGAAGGCGATCGAGCAGCCAAGGACAGCGCGTTCAAGGACAGGTAGGACCACCTCCTCAGTGGAGAAACGTCACGGAATAACGATCGGTCCCCAGGGTGTCGCACGTGTCGGATCCGCAAGGTCAAGTGCGACGAGGAACGGCTCCGCATTGATGGTCAGCATGAACCACAATGCCGGCGCTGTTCCGCTGCTCGCATCTTGTGCGAGTGGCAGGGTGGACCGATTCCCCGCAAGAAGACATCCAAGAAAGGCTCAAGCACGATGAGTCAGGAAGGAAGGGAGTGTCAGACGCTTGTTGTGCGGGCACACGCCGGGCACACGGCCATCCCTTCCACCACAGCTCCGCAGCCTCCGCAATCCATCTCCAGCCCGGCAAACACCCTGCAGGCCGCTAACTCTCTTTCGCTATCCACATTCGATCGGCTCTGCTTAGACTACCTGGAAAGCTCCGCTCTAGTAATCGTGCTCGGCAAGCACTGGCCCTGGTCGACGATCTGCTACGCATACCACCGGATCGCTGTAAGGGAGCCAATGCTGATGAGCGCTATTCTAGCGAGCACGGCAAGTGAAATCTACCAGTCCAGACACCACGGCCAGGGCACACCCTCAGGTATCCCTGACCAAAGCGAACCCGCCGAGATTGACGCCAGAGTGCACTATGGCCGGGCACTCTCTGGCCTTCGCGAAGCCCTGACGAAGGAGTCCAAGACCCCTGAACAAGTCGAGGCTATTTTCATCACACTTTGGTTATTGCTTGACTACGAAAACCGCTTTGGGGGTGGTGCTGCAGCCATAAACATTCATATCCGCGGCATCCAAGGGCTGCTGTTCGACCATGTCGTCCCTTCTTTGAAATGTCCACAGCGGTCACTGCCCGCAGCGATCGAGCAGCAAGACGAGGCCATACCGTCCTATCCATCCTCTACAGCTGTGACAGGCATTCCAGAAGTAAGCGACTGTGGCACCGAATACGACTTGTACGATGGACAGCTCCGCCGGACGGCTGTTCCCCTCTTCCTTCTGTGGACACTCTATTTTTACACTCCCGGAGCTGTATTGAACGCGGCTCAATCGTCGAGCATAGATGATACGCTTTTGCGCTCGTTCCTCCTCGCAAATAGAGACCGTGGCGACCTGACCCTGGCGGATCTCTACAGGATCAGTCGGCAGTCGCCAGCTCGATTCTGGGGAGATAGCTATCCAGCAACCGCCAAGCTAGATGACCTCGAGAATCTTCCTGGTCTCAAGCTATATCATAGAAGCCATGTGACTCAGTTCAAGATAACTGAGCTCTTCAGGCGCGGTTCTTCCGGGCTCGCTGGGGAGGATTCCTACGCACGAATACTTAACGAAATCATCGGTATATCAGAGGTAATGTTTCTTCTTGCGACACGGCGAGCTCAAAAAAATGCAGATGAAACTAACTGCCATAGGAATACGACGTTGTGCTCTCTTCCGCAAAGGCAGCTCAATCCTGCGACATTGACGGCTCCGGGCGCCGCGTAATGGAAACGATATACTGGGCATCGATCACCTTTTATGGCACAATCGTCTACTTTTACCTCTGCACAAAGCAGCTAGCACAGAAACACTGCACACAAAACCAGCGGCAACCATCACGACTAATCCCTCTCGAGACCGCCGTATCGCACGTGCTCGAACTATCGCTGAGGCTCTACCGCAGCAGACCGCGCCTGATGCTCCGTATACCGTGGCAGCTGTTTATTGCAGGCATCGCATCGTCAGATACGATATATCAGGACTGGGTTTCTATTCGGTTAAGAGAGCTTGGTCGGTACGGAAGGAATTTTACGCGGCTGAGTGATCGATATGATGAGATTATACGTGGTGGCGATCCCTTTGCATCTGTACGGGGTTTAGGAGTGTTGGAAGCTGGCTAGTGGGGATACTGCTTTCCATGAAATTCCCTTTCCTTATGGGATATGGAGTAAATGGGGCGTTGTCGGAATCTAAATTGTCCAAGATATATCGTCTCATTTCACCGAACCTGACCTAGAAGTCCATGGGGATTTAACTGCTTAGTACTCTCTAGAGGTAATACCTCGCTTGGGGTTCATGGACTAAATAATTCAGCAGAGATGACTAAATGGAAGCAGTTTACTGTATCCCGCGATTCAATGACATAATAGAGCACGGTCACGTCATCACCTTGTTGCGTCTGGACCAAAAGACAGCGAACCGCCACATCCTTTTCGTCAACCAGAGACTATCTTCGGTAACCCTCTTGAGATTCTAATCGCACTTGAATCGTCGCTCATACACTGGGTGAGGGAGTTGAAGCTTGTTCGCTTCCCGCGTTGATGGGACTGGTAGACCACTTTCCACTGTGTCATCTCGATGAGATCAGAGGGAGGCTCGTGATAAAACGATCAGACACCGGGCGAGTCATTTCCGCGAAAAGGCTCTGGAGATGACGCCAGCCATCCTGCATTCAGAGAGCCTTGTGTCCGCTGCCCAGTCGCATATTTCTTCTCTCAACCTACTCAGCTCGTCCATTCCTAGAAGATGCATGGCAGTTCACCGAACTTAGGGCCAACCCCCTCTCCCCTGATCGATCAGACGAATCGACCGCTGGTCCCTCCAACCATGTCGCAGAAATGGCTGCCCCACTGGTGATGCAATACTTTTTGGCCCTCGGTTTCTTTATCGAGATGTGCCCATGGGTCCTGCAGTAATCCTTGGCCAGCACCTTCTTCGTTTAAATAATGCTGCCTCTCACTGACGGCCGGAGGAATCCCTTTCCTACACCATCCCCTGGTGTATTAGGAGCCCTTTCCCTCCTACCCACCTTCATGTTTCTTCAGCGATGCGTTGGTATCTCTCGAAGTCATTACATCTCCATTGGGACCCTTCCATCCCGTGAGCCTCCAAGATCTCCGAGACCTCGCAGCGATAGCCCCATGTTGACCATCCACTTTGTAAAGCGGAACGCAAAATGAAACCGCCTCCTGCGACTCCGACAATGGCCGAGTTTTGGCCAGTTGATCATCTTCGCCACCTTATTGTCCAACCCGCAGATGCCCGCCTGTACCCGCCAGAGGGCTACCTGTATGTTCAGGATGGACTAATCATTGCCTGCGGAGTGCTGTATGCACTCATGTATGTGTTTGCTATGCTGGCTGTTGTGAGAGACCGGGTTCTGCCAGGCTCCATTAAGTACTTGTACGCTTCCTCCACCACCACCATGCACCAAACTGACACTCTATAGATCTTTGATGATGGCGCATGAAGTCTACTATGCTTCTGCAACGACCTCCACTCAACTCGAAAGAATCTGTTTTCTTGTTTGGTTCGAGTGTGACCTGGCCTTTGTGAGTATTGCGCTCTGGCACGTCTACGATCGTAGCCAACGGCGACGCATCATATCCGAAATGGCCCTTTACTTTTCGCTGGCTGTCGCTGCGATGAAGTACTTGGGGGTGCTCTATCCCGATGACCGGGAGCAGATGACAGCTTATTGGACGGGTCTCCTTTTACAGCTTCCGGTTGGGTGGATCTATCTGTACCGGCTGCTGGCGGATCGCTCTACCCGGGGCCAGTCTTTGGAGATATGGTCGGTCAATTTTCCTTCCCCTTTCGATCGTGACTCACTGTTTTTCCAGGATTATGCGGTACCTAGGGTGCTACACGGCTTATGGTGTCTTTGTCTGGCGCTATCTGAATGTTCCACAGAACTGGCCGTATGTGGGATCCTTCTGGAGCTGGGCGATTTTCCTGGCGACACTGCTTCCGGAAACAATATACCCTTTCGTATATATTTGGGCTTGGAGGGGCGGTGCTGGGAAGGTCAAGACTGGTTGAATGGCGGATGTCAATGGGAAAAGGCGATTCGTCTCTTGAGAATTGCGTAGACTTTTAGTCTATTTTATTGACCTGACGTCAGCATTCACTCAAGTCATGTCAGAAAACCGGTTGCATCCCCATCATGTCAGCAAAGTGCGGGGTAGCTACCTTGATAAAGCTTTCTTGTCCTGCTGAGGCCCACTCCGACTCTAGCATATACAGCCAAGCACAGTTTCGGCGAAACCTCCATGTCAAGCCCTGAAGTTACTCCACTCATCCTGACAGGCGGATGCCTGTGCGCAGCCATTCGCTATGAACTGTCTTTCGATAGGAACACTCAGTGGCCACCGCGGGTATGTGTGTACCGCAGTTCCTGACTGTATTCTCTCCCTACGCAACAACTTCTGAATCACCACTAGTCTGAAACCTGCCAATGCACCATATGTCGAAAATGGACCGGTTCCTTGATCTACCAATATCTTAATATTTCCCCAGATCAAATTTCCCCGCCACTCTCCGCCTCCCCGTCGTATAGGGAATTCAACTCTAGTCCGGATCGATATCGCGGCTTTTGTGGGCAGTGTGGAACCTCGCTAACCTGGAGGTCGCACCGCGATGGCGAGGCTGAGAGGTGTGATCTTTCGCTCGGGAGTATAGATGAGCGGTGGCTCGTGGATATAGGAGAACGAGGGGCAAAGACAACGGGATTAGGTAGAGTGCTATGCAAGCCATCTGGGGCACAGTATTGGCGCTGCCATGCGATTGAGGGAGTGACGGATTACCCTCCAGGCGGAACAATTTATCTGGCTGGCAAGGACGATGGTCCTTCATCCTCGTAAGACAGCTAGGTTCGGAGGCTTTGCGATAGCATACAATGACTTTGAAAAAGACGATAGTATACAGTCCAGCCTCTTGCTTCGGCTTACAGTTTGCGATAACCAGACTTCCGGGTTAGTCTTGCGGCCGTTAGCCTGCTTATTTTACTCCCGAGTTAGTCTTCCGGCCGTAAGTGTGGTTACCTTTGTTTCAAGTCAGGTTCGCGGCCGCCACGGTCAGTCGGCATTTGACCGCCGTCAAGCGAGGCTCTGACTGGTTATGGGTATGGTAAATGACCTCATGCGGGGGAAGTCTGGGAGGCATCGTGAGTACCAGCCAGCTGCGACATGCTTTTCACACTCCGGCAAGTTCCGCTCGAATACGCATACGCGACTTAGCCATCGTGTGTGGGGCTTGAGAACGAACTACCATCGACGATCGCTGAGATTCGCCAATCGTAGGGCTCCGGGCGTAGCCTAGACCAAGCCAGATTTGGCCTGACCAGATTGAATTTCTCTTCATCCATAAAAATAATGAATGCGCCCCTCTCTCCCCGAGTCCCCGCAGGCTGACGGCAAAATAAATAAAGCGCAGGCTTGTTTTAAGCCTTCTGGAACCCCTTCTTTCTTAGATTCTTCAACTGCAATAGACGACATTTATCTCGTTCGTTGTAGATTGTTTGCACCATGGCAGCACCAAAGTATCCTCTTCCAGCTCAGCTCTACATCAATGGCAAGGTATGCGTACTCTTCCGTCGTCTGGGGATATAGTAACTAACCGCCCGAACTAAAAGTTCGTCGACAGCCATTCTGACGAAAGACACTCTCTCTACAGCCCTGTGGACGAGACATTGATTTGCGATCAAGTCCAACATGCCACTGCAGAGGATGTCGATGCAGCCGTCGACGCTGCAATTACCGCATTCAATGGACCATGGAGGAAGTTTACAGGCGCTCAACGCGGGGAGGCTCTACTGAAGCTCGCAGCACTCATGTTGGAGCACAAGGAGGAGCTCGCGTGGCTGGATGCTGCTCCCATTGGGAAGACCACCTCGTTTGCTCTCAGGGAGGTCGAACTCGCAGCTGAAAACCTGAGATGTACGATTCCTACAGTTCGCACGTCCTTTGGTCGTCAGCTAACATATTTTGTTATCAGACTACGCTGGCTGGGCCGACAAGTATGCGGGAGAATCGTACCCTGCTGACGATGGGTTCGTCAAGATCGTGCGCCATGAGCCTCTCGGTGTAACGGTGGCGATCAACCCCTGGAACGGGCCGATTGTGATTATGTCGATGAAGCTTGGTCCTGCACTCGCGACGGGCAATGTCATGATTCTCAAACCAAGCGAGAAGACCCCATTTGCAGCCACCCGACTCGCGGCCCTTGCAACCGAGGCTGGTATCGTGCCGCCAGGCGTCATTCAATGTTTGCCAGGTGCGGGAGCTACAGGGGCCCTGCTCGCGAACCATATGAAAGTACGAAAGATCAGCTTTACGGGATCGGTTGCCACAGGGAAGCGTGTCCAACAGGCTGCTGCAAGTAGTAACCTGAAGAGGGTCACACTGGAACTGGGCGGAAAGTCCCCATCAGCAATATTCGAAGACTGCAATTTTGACAATGCAGTTCATTGGTCTGTATTAGCGATCACTTTCAACGCTGGACAGGCATGCTATGCAGCCAGCCGATTATATGTTCAAGAAACCATTGCGGAAAGGTTCACGGCTGTATTCGCTGAGAAAATGAAAGAGAAAATCCAACAAATCGGTGATCCAACCAAGGCTGAAACCCAGATTGGTCCACTAGCCGACAAGGGGCAGCTTGCTAGAGTGGCTTCCTTCTTTGCCAATGACAACCCAACACAAGTACTGGTTGGGGGCAAACAACACGGGGAGAAGGGGTGCTTCTGGGAGCCTACAGTACTTTACAATCCTCCGGATGACGCGCAAGTGTATCGCGAAGAGATTTTTGGACCAGTCGTTTGTGTCCGGACATTCAAAGACGAAGAGGAATTCCTCCGGATGGCGAACGATAGCGAGTTTGGTCTCATGGCAGGAGTCTTCACCCAGGATATTAACCGCGCCATGCGACTATCGGCCGGTCTCGATAGCGGCGTGGTAGGCATCAACTGCGTGAGCTACATCAACATCCAAGCGCCGTTCGGTGGCACCAAACAGTCTGGGATAGGTCGCGAGCACAGTCACTATGCTCTGAGGAGCTACACCGAGCCGAAAACCGTGCTGATCAAGTAAGTCGATGCGTCACCCCTGCCATGGTCTATACTGATACGCCTGCAGCATGAACTACTAGTTGCGGCTGTGATTTCCGAATGAGATGGATGAGATGATGATAATACCCACAACTTTAGTGTAGGCACATAGTATGAATGGAAATTAGGTATGAACCGCGGCTGGATCAGACTATCGAATGTGCGATGTAACTGTAGCGATTGTGAGAGGCGGATTATCGAGATGGGGATACATCGCTTTCTCCCATCTAGTGCAGCCAATGAGTCGCCCTTGCACTGACTTATGCCCGTGGAATTCGGAAGCGGTCATAGTGACCTCGAAGCATTTCATGGGTTGCCACAAGGTTAGGGTTTGATCAACAGCGCCTTAGAGGAGTCGTGGAGTATAAAACTCTAATATGGGGTGGGGGGGGGGGAGGGAGGGTGGAGATATGGATACCCATAACGGCGCTCAACACCGGGAGCAACCACATTTCTTGTGGCCTCTTCCGCTTGTGTTGCTCGTATCAAAGATCCAACCGGCCGGTTCGCCATATTGTCTATGATTCCTATAGCAACGATGCACTTATTGTGGTCAAACTGAAATGCCAAAGGAACATGCTAGTTACAACGATAAATATACATCTGAGCTCTTGCTCGACGATTATCGTCGGGAAAATCATCAGCACTTTCATCATGGTTCGAAATTATATATTTCCGCCCAACGGAAGGCCCACGCACTGTTGATCCCATCCCGATTCTCCCCATCCTCCCACATTCCAAACCATGGTTCGCACTCGCAGCATGGGTACGGAGCACCTGTCGCAACAGGTACGAAGAGGATTCTGCTTCACCCGGCATACGAGAAGCTCTTGGCAGCAAGTGCGCCTTGAATCATGATGAGACGCGGCAAAACGAATGGGATTCGAGCAATCAGCCCGTGTCCAGGATCGAGTCGTACAATCTGCCTTGACCCCAACTCGGAGCTCTCCGACCGAGCGAATGAATCAAGAATCAAGGTTGCATTGACTTATCTGCCAAGAACTATTGCAGCACTTGTCCGCCCAGTGATCTTGGCAGGCGCATGATAAGCACCGACTCAACCAGTAAGAGTCCCACGTGTAGCAGTGCCAAGGGTTTCGCCTCCATTGGGGCGACAATCATGCCGCTTTTGGGGTCACGTATTTATGCGCGTCGCCTGCACATTCACGAAAACTCGGTCATCCAGGAACGCAACGCGCCCCTTGCCAAAACATGAAGTCCTCGCTGTCGCTGGCCGCCCTCGCGTTGGCTGGCACCGTTGCTGCTGACGACTTTCTCTACAGCAGGCGTCTGGCTAAGCGATTCATCGACGAAGAGGGTCACTACAACGTCTGTAGGTGACAGTATCCTTGTGCGCACTTGAATCACAGGTCGCTGATCCGTAACAGCCTTTTTCCACGTCAACGATGTCCATGCGCACCTGGACCAGTTCTCCTCGTCGGGGACAACCTGTGAGGACCCAGAGGAGGGCTGCTACGGTGGCTACGCGCGTATCAAGACCAAGGTCAACGAGCTGCGCGAACAGTACCCGGACAACTTGTGGCTGAACGCCGGCGATGAATTCCAGGGCACCCTGTTCTATTCGTACTATGGCGGTGAGAAAATCGCCGAGACCATCAATGACCTCCATTTCGACGCCATGACCCTGGGTAACCACGAGTGGGATGGGGGTGACGAAGCGCTAGGCGAGTTCCTGCTCAACCTGACCTTCCCGGTCGTGTCTTGTAATGTCAAGAGTGAGGTCCCGTCTCTCAATGAGACGATCAAGAATTACCACATCTTCGAAGAGCACGAGCTTGCTGTCATTGGCGCCACCACTACTACGACACCCTCCATTTCCAGCGTTGGCAATACGACCACCTTTCTCGACCCTGCCGAGGAGGTCCAGAAAGCCGTCTGGGAGATTCGTAACACCACCGACGTCAACCGCATCGTCCTTCTCTCCCATCTCGGCTATGATGTCGACCAGGAGCTTGCTGCGCAAACCGAGGGTATCAGTCTGATTATCGGAGGTCACTCTCACACTCTTCTTGGAGACATGGAAGACGCACAGGGCGACTATCCAACCATTGTCGAAGATCTCAGGGGAAATGAGGTTTTTATCGTCACCGCGTACCGCTGGGGTGAGTACATTGGTGCCATTGACCTCACGTTCGACGACGAGGGCCGGGCCCTAGCGTACCACGGAGCCCCCATCCACATGGACAACAGCACACAGCTTGATGAAGAGCTCGACGAGAAGATCCAGGGATGGACTGAGGCATTCGCCGAGTTCGCCAACGAAGTCCTCGGCGAGACGGACACTGTGCTCGTCCAGGAGACGTGCCAGGACGGCGACTGTCTTCTCGGCCAGGTGATGGCGGATGCCATGTTCGAGTACCGCTTCAACCAGACTGAGGGCACTGACGAGGAGCCGGCTCTGGCCCTGATTAACGCCGGTGGTGTACGTGCTGAGATCAACGCGGGCGAGATCACCCGTGGCGAGGTCCTTACAGCCTTCCCTTTCGGCAACGCCATTGTCGAGCTCGTATTCTCTGGTGAGGATCTGCGCAAGATCCTCGAGGGCGCCGTCTCGTACCAGAACCAGTTCAACGACGAAGAGATCAGCTCGTGGTTCCAAGTCTCGCGCGGTGTGCGTATCGAGTTCAACCCGGACAATGATGCGGGCAGCAGGCTCGTCAATGTGACCCTCAACGGCGAACCCATTGACGATGAGCGTGATTACCGCGTGGTGACGCTGGACTTCCTGGCCGGCGGTGGCGACAACATCTTTGTGGCGACGAGCGACTTCATTACGCTGGATACGCAGGACGAGGTGTTGACGCAGTATATCGAAGCGCGGACGCCGCTTTCGCCCGAGCTTGAGGAGAGAGTTGTGGGGAGTGACGGACAGCCGACTGAGGAGCCGACCGAGGATGAGGTCGTTGAGGAAGGCGATGAGACTGGCAGCGGCGGAGATGAAGAGACTGAGGGCGAGGAAGCACCTGAGGATGCAGCTGGTATGCTGGGTGCTCCCTTCTGGACCGCTGCTGCCGCCGCTGGCTTGGCTCTGATGGCCCTGTAGAGTATCTCTAAATCTTACCTCCAGGCCATGTCAGATTAGTATCCGCTGATGGCCCTCAAGTGGTTTACACCAAGCTTAACATGTACAACTCGTGTGTATTTTCTCCCAGAGGATTGTTTACCCCGCAATTCCTCCAGATCTCGGAACATCAAGCATCCGGTACAAAGATACGGTGTTCATTACAGTACAGTACGCTGTAACCAAAAAGCTCGTCCATCGCGCCCAAACTCGCTTGAGCATAACGAACTCTTCCCCACTGCCCACACACCGTTTCCAGAAGACTCCATTTACAAGGAAGCAGCTATTTCGTATCCTTCTTGACATATCTGAGCTTACTGCTCCACTCTGACGTGCGAGTCCAGGATGAAGTGCTGTGGAACCGACTGCGAGAAAGAGGCGGGGACGTTACAATGCCCGACGTGTCTGAAGCTGGGCGTCAAGGGCAGTTATTTCTGCTCTCAGGACTGCTTCAAGAGGAACTGGGTACGCTGGCTTCATAGAGTTGCTTATCATTAAGGTGCTAAGTTTGATATTTGCAGTCCACACACAAAGCGTTGATGCATAAACCACAAAATGGTACCCATCTTCCTCTTACTCGAGGCTTTTTGCTCTCTAACTATGATGTGGCAGGCGGACCTTACAACCCTTTTCCAACATACCCATACACTGGCTCCGTTAGGCCTGTATATCCACTATCTCCACGACGACCGGTTCCCAAGTCCATCAAGCATCCCGACTGGGCCGAGACCGGCATTCCCAGAGGCGAAATGCGCTTGAGCAGGTCGAAATGGGAGTTGTTGGACGCCAAGGGTCAAGAGGCCATGCGCAAGGTATGCAGGCTGGCCCGCGAAGTACTCGACATAACTGCTGCGGCGATAAAGCCCGGCGTGACCACAGATTATTTGGATGAAATCTGCCACAATGCTTGCGTCGAGCGAGAGGTAAGTTCCTGCCTGGCGTGTGCTATATTGTTTGCTCAAGTGTGAGACAGTCGTACCCATCGCCGCTCAATTACAATAAATTTCCAAAATCTCTGTGTACGTCGCCAAACGAGGTCGTATGCCACGGCATCCCTGATCAGCGGATCCTCTTGGATGGCGATATTGTCAACCTCGACATTTCCCTGTACCACGGCGGGTATCATGCCGATTTGAACGAGACTTACTACGTCGGAGACAAGGCCAAAGCCGATCCAGACTCCATCAGGCTCGTTGAAACTACGCGCGAGGCGTTAGACATGGCCATCGCGATAGTCAAACCAGGTCTACCAATTCGAGAATTCGGCAAGGTTATTGAAAACCATGCGACTTCTAGAGGTCTCGTCGTCATCAAAACCTGGGGCGGGCACGGTATTAACACGGAATTCCACCCTCCCCCGTGGATCCCTCACTATGGGAAGAACAAGGCTGTGGGAACATGCAAGCCTGGGATGACATTTACAATCGAACCTATTCTGGCCTTGGGCAGCAACAAAGAGAAATACTGGCCGGATGACTGGACAAACGTTACGGTGGATGGGAAACGATCAGCGCAATTTGGTTAGTATTATTGATTCATGTGTCGAGTGGCTCTAGATACTAATGTCGTACTCTGATAGAACATACCCTGCTTGTTACGGAGACAGGTGTCGAGGTCTTGACAGCGAGGTTGGAAAACTCCCCTGGTGGGCCGATTCCCATACCGGAGAATGCAACCGGAGGTGAAACTGGAAGTGAGACGAAATAGAGGACATGAATAAAGAACATGGTGGGATCTGGCTGGGAGTATCTGTGGATATTTGGACAAGCGGGTTGCTTCAAGAGTTAAGGGGCTTGACGATGTGCATGAGTGGAGACTATGCCAGCGGAATAGTTTATGTGCCAAGAAAATAGAGCATTCACCGTATGTCTTTGTTCTGTTGTTTGACTTCGTCACGAAAAAAGAAAGGGTCCCCAGGAGAATACTGGATAATGGGAAGAAATCAACTATTACTTCACATAGTGGCTCAAACAGTAGTACTCCATTTTTTAGACACCCATCTCGGATTTCCATCCCTCACAGTCGTAGCACGCCCCCCAGCTTCTTGATTACCTCAAAGCTGTCACTTCTGAAATTGTCCACCAAGATTGTCGACTTGTCCTTGGCGAAGTTGATGAGCTCCCGTCCCTTAGCCCATTGCGGCCAAGCCGGAAGTGCACTGGTCTGATCGCCGTTGGGATCAAGGGAGTGAACAAAGTTGATAAAGTACGTGCGCGTAGTCTTTGCTGCGTAGTTATCGAAAATTCCATAGAAGACCTGCAGAAGGTCGGAGCCGTGGAATGTACCCATCACTGGCGTACCATAGTCGTAGGTTGCCAGGTACGACCATGATGGGACATTGGGATTTGCGTCGTGTGCAAGCTCTAGGAATGCACGTCGGGTCAGAGTAAAAAGAACGTCTCCGAGTAGAGCGGCGCGGCGCTTGAATCCAGGAAAGATGTCATTGAGCAAACCTGTGCGGAATGGACTGCCCTCCACAAGAGCAGCCAGACCACTGTTGTAGGTGTTAACTAGTTCGCTGAGCTGGTCTTCACTAGCACTTTTAAAGACAACGTTATGTAGATATTCAACGAGTGCATCTTTCGAGGTGAGGTTGGACTGGAAGAGACTGAAAAGCGTTCCCTCATCTTCTTGATCTCCGACAATAAACGGCACTGCTGCATACTTGCCTTCCCGAACGAGCACGTCGGGACTGTCAGGAAGGACGTGGCCATCCGGGCGCGGAAGGTAGGAAAGGGCAAGACCTTCGTAGGAAAGAAGACCAGGAGGCGCACTAACAGCGTTGACAAAATCTGTATAATCCAATGCTCTGAGACAGCCTAATGTATCAGCCTTGCCGGCACATCCACCAGCACGAACAACCTTGTCATAGACTGCCTGGGCTCGCTCGCTATCAATCGGTTCAGCAGGGATAATACTTCCGGAGCTCATGATCCCACCGTGAAACAAGGGCTTGCCCTTGTACAAGTGGTCTCCACCATAAAGTACCATGTGATCGAGTACTGAAATGGCTCCTGCTGATTCACCGGCGATTGTCACCTTGTCTGGGTCTCCGCCAAAGTATGCGATATTGTCGGCTACCCACTCCAGGCCCATGCGTTGATCGAGCAATCCCAGGTTTGCGGCGCCGTCTGCAAGAATTTCTTTTCCAGCCAGAAAGCCGAATCCACCGACGCGGTAGTTGATGGCGACAAAGATGAATGGCTTGCCAATTTCAACCCCGAAATTCACGAGCCCTGTCCCATCGTACATGGAAGACCATCCGAGCTGGGAAAAGAGAATGTCAGGTATCGCTGCCTTGAAACGCAAAAAGGTACCATACCTCAAAAGCCCCACCAAATATCCAGTAAACCACAGGTAGCTTCGCACCATCCTTTACCCCAACCGGGCGAGCGACCGTGATCGTAAGGCAGTCCTCAGACTGTCCCGATACGTTATGAACAAACGGAATATTGGCGACAGTGCCAAGGATCTTCTCTAGGAAGTTTGTGCTCTCCGGCGAAGACACGAATTGGGGACAGGCTCCAGCTGGTCCGATACCGTCGAAGACACCCAGCGATCGGTTCAGGCGTTGGGGAGGTTTCAATCGGAGAGAGCCGACCGGCGGCTCTGCATAAGGGATACCGCTGAAGCTTTCGACGTTTTCCTTGATATTGCCCAGGATCGTAGCCCGTGGAAGGGCAACCGTCGCTGTTTCAGACGCACGGTTGACGACCGCTGCAGAGGAGAGGGTTGCGCTGAGGCACAGAAACGCGGCGATTGCAATCATCGTTGTCATAGACTGCGAGGCCAGCAATTCTTGCCGACTCAACTGCGGAAACCACATGGCCTCTTTATACGCTCTGCCAAGTCCATTGTTCTGGGGATTCAGGGGAGCAGTCGAGGGGTGTTGCGTCCAGAGGTAGAACTCGGCTATCATCTCCGGCTCTTATTACAGGTACGGCACCCTTGCACCTCCCGATCATGCATGCCGACTGTGAGCTTATGGTTAATGTTGTGCGTTAGAAAAGTCTGGGGTAAGGCTGGGCGTCGGCCCGAGGAAAGCTGCAAGCTGCCCGACAGGGAAACTCGCTCACCAGTGGCTAACCCAATCCGAGGCAAAGAAACTCTTGGTGTCAACGTGATGAATCAAATAGCGCCTAATTATGGTAGAGGCACTGAGTCAGTGATATCGACACTTCTGTGTCGGGGTGTCATTCGTGGCATGTTCAGGCTTCTGACGACACATATCTGTCCAAGCTCGCAGGGGTGGGCCATGTGAAGGGGTCTCCCCCGCAATTTTCCTCCAGTTTTTGTCCTCCATCTGATCGAACTGACATGTGCTAAGGGCCTAGGTGCATTTCTGAGCCTACAAAGTCGCTCTAACGTATTTCCGCCGAGGGGCTCGACAAGGATTCCGATCCTTCATCGTATACCGCGCGATTTCATTGCATGGTCCGGGCGATCTCCAGCCTGGGACGCGTCGATTGCTCGGTGGGAACGGGAATGCAAGATTGAGACTGCTGCAAACATATGCCGCCCGAAGAATACCCGGAGCGTGTGACCAGAACTGGACAATGCGACACTGAATAACGGAAGTCGATTTGCCTCAATCGAGGCCGCCCCAAGATGTTCGGGCTGGCTTTAGCACTGGTCTTTTGTAGCAGCCTAGAACATCAGGAACTCACACTTCGCAGTTCTCGACCAACCTTCCAGATTAGACGTCATCGAATGACAAGCCTCGGAATTTGCTGCTTCACTGCGAGTAGGGCCGCACTAGAGGCGGCGGACCGCCTGCCAACTCTCTGCCCTCTCCGGGGGCGGTGCCCACGGGAGTCGACATCGCCTTTTGCACGGACTCAACGTCGTCGTTCCTCTTAGTAGAGTCAACATCATCTCTTGCCTTGGCCCAGTCAACATCTCCCCTGTTTTGGCATGGAGTCAACGGCTCGCGGTCCATCTCCATATTATCGCCCTGGCGGAGTCAACGTTGTCCTGGAGCGTGAATAGGTTACCACCACCATCATCTATTAATCACGGTGTCCGCAGCGCCTGCCGGCTAGTGCCTAGGTTATTATAGGAGGTGGATATGACCTGTCAACTTTATTATGAGGCGGATGTTATCTCCCTCTTTTTTCTCTCTCTCTTCTTCCCTTCTTTCTTCCACAATCTATCTATCTCCCTCCTACCACCACCACATCTTTTCCTCGGAACCAACACGGGTTGATCCATTTGTTTACTAGTCAGTCAAGGGGCGCCAACCCTTCGGACGCGATATGAATTTTGATCCGGATAAGCGGGTAGCAGCCTAGTTCACAGTTAACTAGGCGAACTAGGTGGTAATCTACCACTCCTGCAGTACTAGTGTGGGCGCCGCGTGCCTGCCCACCACCTCTATGAGGCCCATACAGGCTCGCCCGCTCACTGAACTCCTTGCCCTAATAGCTATCACCACCATTACCTCGCGCGGGCAGCTCTGCTAGACACCCACTAGCTTCCCCGTACCACCAGGGATGGTCCTGGTGGACGCACTGCTAGTCCTTGACAGGTGGTCGTGCCGGGCGTGCGCCGCCTTTTCGACCACGCCGCGCGAGTAGATACGGAAGGACCTCCGCGAGTAATTCTATAGAGGAGAGGAGGAGGGCCTAGCAGCGCCTAATTCCCCGTTGACCGCATTCACCACCAAATCGCAAAGCACACACTGCAGCGTCTTTCCATATCTTGTTTCTCGTATCATTTCTCTTCCGTGTACCATACCTCCTAGGGAGGTAAAAGGTCCTACCTAACTCCTTATAAGGGACTAAATCTTCTTTATTATAGACCTAGGGTAATCTTCCTGACAGAGGGAGAGAAAGTAAATGGGAGTTGCCCTTCAAGCTTGTCTAGGATAGCAAATACGCACGCTTTCATGACCGGAGGATGTGAGCAGATGGCCTCTTCAATGGCGCCTATACATGTGGTTAGACCAGAAATTTGACCAGGTCTACACGGCATTGACCACTTGACAGTTGGTACGCGCTAACATTCACCACATCATCGTTGCAACCAATCACATAAATATAACGGCCCTGATTAACTTATTTGATATCTCTAGCATCCAGGAAACGAGAGCAAAACCTCTTTAAATAGCTTCTGTAGAACCTCTTCTCACCTAGCTAAAGTGTGTTAAACGTAGTTGGCGGCAGGGGCAGGGCCAGTATATTACTTCGTATTAAGCCCTTTAGGACCTTGCTGCCATGTTTATCGAGAATCTAAATATTAAAATACTGGTATTAGCTTCCTAGCACTGCCTACCTTGAACTTAGCAAGTGCTTGGCCTTTTAGATTATTACCATCTAACCCAAAGCAAGGCGCGATTGCTCGGCCGGTGATTGGGGACCCTGCCTCTGTTGATCACCAGTTAGTAATAGCCTGTGTGTCGTTACCGGCGTGCTTGCCCAAGAGCTCTTGGTACTCGGATATCAGAGTTGGTTCCGACCGCTCGCCCGCGAGGAACAAGGCTTGCAGTGACAGGCCCCCACAAAATCCAACTTCGGGTAGCTGGGCATGAGTCAGATCGGCCTGCTTGATTGCCCGTATCCTGTTGGTGTCGCGAACCCATCGTATTTACCTTGTACTCCTCCAGAACTCTCCAGAATGCAGACGCACCAGCGTTCCGACCGGCTTCCCTTCATACAGGGTGGTCGCTACTCCCGCGAGGAGCGTCGCGTATAGGATGTAGGAGTGGCGAACAGCCCAACCAATATCCAATGCCGCAAATATCACGTCCCCGGCCTTGAATGTTGAAGATGTAGTTGATCGTGAACTGGAGACCAACCGCATGGCCCCCCGAATCACGGGCGCCCTTTGGTGCTGCGTCGTCCCAGAAGTATGCATGATGTAAATCTGCTCGTTACTTCGTACCGCTACACAGTCGGCGCTGCTGCCGCGTGATTTTGCACCGACCACAAGCTCCCGCTACGACTTTTGCTCTGAAGTGGGTGTCCCGCGACGAAGTAACACCAGTTGTACCCAGTGCCGTATATTCCTCCTCCAGCGATTTTTACTACCCGCAAAGTTCCAACATAACTCGTTCCGCGTCCATATGATCGTGTGCAGAGGCTTGGGGCAGGAGAGCCGGATGGCTTCTGCGACGAGTGGCTGGTCGGCGATCGGAGGCCTGTCGCCAACAATACCACATGATGCGGTGAGTAGTACATCAAGCTTGCACGACCCATTTCGCATTTGCTGCAAAGCTCCTAAGGACGGTACAGTGGATGGGCAGCCAGTATCGCGACCAAGGCTGCCCGAAGCATGGGTGTGTACAACATGACCACATCGTGTATATATAAAATAACCCTTTTTTACCTCGTGCTCTCTCAGCACCGCTGCCAGCGTCTACACCTCATCGAGGAGCGCATTATACCTAAGTGTCTCCTTTTTACTGATCACTGGACTGTCATAAAAGATGACAGGTTCCTCCTGGCACCCTGCAGCGACGTGTCTGTCAACGCAATTGTAGCAAGTTGATATTTCGCTGGTACGGAACCACTCCCACGTTGGATGCGCCGTCCCATCCTGGACAGTTTCCTGGAATGTCCGCAGCGAGCGCCTATGTCCTCACCACTGAATCTAATTGAGCGAACGGTGATTGCATGAATGCTCTTAGAAAATCTTTACAGCTGGTAAAAAACAAGATTGAAATTTATATGATTTCAAAAAAGCTAGCTTCAAGAAAACCTGGGCGGCGGAACCGCGGACAATTAGATCAGGGTTTCAGTGTTTTAGATCCCCTATTGGCGTTGACCTCTTAGGACAGACACGACAATGTGCATATCTTCTAGAATGATTAGGTCATCTCCAGAGTGTTCAAATCTCCAGCCAGCGGCTCTTTTCATATCTCGAACCTTTAGTACCTTTAGTCGAGCCATGCAAAAAGTTCTCTGTGCCGAATATCCAAGTGCACTAATTTTAGCCTGGAAGCCTCCGTATGCTATGTTGGCCGCGATGTACTTCCACACCGTCCTTGAGACTAGTTGAGCAATCATAAATCTTGTCCGTCCTAGTAGCCGGATTGAAGTACAAGCTTGCGGCTGCCCCTGTCACAAGTGTAGGGAATTTCACGCCAGCAAGGTATTCTTTGCCGTCCATGTTCTGCAGATTGGAACTGCGCATGATATCTGCATCAATCTCGGCGGAGTTAAATGCCTCTGTTTGCAGGAAGCGTCTATTTTGTTGCCCTCGTGAAGACATTTGCAGGAGAGACACGGATATAGGAAAGAAGTAAAGATCAGATAAGAGGTCCGACTAATAGTGCTCTTCCAGATCGATTTTATCATCCTAAATTCTAAGTCGTGGGATAGTCACAGAGCATGCCCTTTGTTCTGGGTCAAAGGCACCGGGATTTGGAATTCAGCCAAGAAGGGCCATACTCCACCCCCACGACTGCTTTGTGTTGTCTTTTGTGAAATAGACTAGAACGCCTGTCCGTATCTTGGGAATATACCGCATGGCCCGGTCTAGTCATGAATCTCGGATGGATAGGTTACATAATTTCCGCACAGAAAAGTGTGAGCGTTGAATTGCCCTAAGCTAGTGGAGAAGCGAGGGCCGGGGTCGGTCAAAGGCTGCCTCCATTCAGCAAGAAGCCACAAGAGACTTATCGTTACAGACACCTTAGTCTTTAGGATTTAATAGAGATCAGGCCCCGCTTACACCAAATGCCGAAGCTCTTGCCCGGGGTTCCTTTTCTTACGGGTTTTCTAGCACGTCTTGCAGCTTATGTATTGCTAGGAGGGTACGTCTATTTCACGCAAGAGTAACCTCGGGCTCAGACTCATACTGCAGGATCAATTCGTCGGATACCCTGATTGCCACCGCCGCGAGGTCGTCGAAGGCTAAGAGTAAGGTGTCGGGGAAGCTAGTTACATTGCGAAACGCTCCTTTGGCCTCACTCTTGTTGGAAAGTGGGTCAAATTGCCCCCTTACCTTTTATCTAGACTCACGTCCCGTGGGATATATAGACCGGAGGGACTCTCATATTTGGCACAGGCAGGCTCTTCGGAGGATGACAATTCCTAAGAGATCGGCCACCAATGAACACATGATACGGTTCGGAGGGCTCCGTGGCTTGTGGTTTAGTAGATATAACCCGTCTTGGAATAAACCCATGCTCTACATGCCCAGCGATGGCGACGCATAGCGAGGCTGATTTATCTGGAGGCAGGTTCGTAGCTGACTTTGACGATGGCAATCCTGCGGAGAGGAGTTCATCCGGTGGGAAAGCTACGCCATTGAGTCCCAAGGTTTGTAGCTGTGCCGAGAGGGTAATAGAGTTTCGAGAGAGCCGTGGCCAATAAAGGCTCCTGATGGAGGGAGACCTGCGCTGACTAAGCGGAGACACTAGAGATCAGGCGATATCTAAATCTGATAATGGCCCCCGAAGGTGGTGGGGTGGGTCAGCACCTGCAGTCATTGGGGAGTCTATATAAGTAGTACCTACAGAGGTCGCCTCAGAAGTGCTCAAATCGAATTACCTTCAGCAGCATTATTTGACCTTGAAAATGTCTCGACAGATCAAGAATGTCGTTATCGCAGGGTTAGGTTTGACCTTCTGATCGCAATGACTTAAACAGATGCCACTAATCCATGATCTCAGGCGACCGGAAACCTTGGGTCTCATATCCTGGCCGCATTGGTGAGCTATGGCAGCTTCAATATTACCGTCTTGACACGCAAGTCCGGGGCCATATTCCCCACTGGCGTCACGGCCAAGGTGGTGGATTTCAGCTCTCCCGCGGCAATAGGTCTTGCTCTGCAGGGACAGGACGCCTTGGTCGACGCAATTTTGAGCCCCAACCCTACCGTTTCTATCGGCTTGATTAATACCGCGGTCACCACAGGAGTGTGTCGCTACATAGCCCCTGAGTTCAGCATCCATCCTAAATACGACAAGACACGGTCACTGCCCATTTTCCGCGGCAAGGCGCAGATCTACGATCATCTCCAGAAGGTCGCCAATGATCAGAAGATTACATGGACTGCTATCCCGAATGGGGCCTTTTTGGACTGGTGTCTGCGAACAGGATTTTTGAGTCTTGACGTGATCAACAAAAAGATTGTGCTCATGAACGATGGTACACGTGTTTTCCCTTTGACCGTTCTTCCAGCTGTTGGTACAGCCGTTGCCAATGCCCTGGCCCGAGCCCAGAAGACTAGGAACATGCACTGCTCCATCTACAGTGTTCAAAAGAGTCAAAAAGAGATTGCCGACTTGGCAAAGGAGGTTCTTGGAGCCGACGGATGGGAGATCAAAAACCAGGATATGGAAAAGGTCCTCGAAGAAGCTCTATCTGCCGTAGCCATCGGAGACTACAGCTGGCCGGTTGTGGGAGACTTGATCCGGTCTTCACTCGCAACTCCGGGCTATAGTGGGCTGTTTGAGCAGAACGACAATGATCTCTTGGGCGTCCGACCCATGAGCGATGAGCAGGTCAAGGTGTTGATCAAGGAGATCTCTGACGAGCTGAAGTCTGGTCCACAATAAGTAGTTGCCCACCGGAGGCGACGAATCCTTGCTGAAAATTCTCCTCAGACAAACTGGACCACGCGGAATTATGGAAGAACAGCGACCGGAGGGATTAATCACTGAAAGTTCAGATAGATCCACTTTCCCCTAAACCCCCTAACCGATTCCTGTACTTAAATAGTCACTGTATTCGCCATGTCCTCAGAATGATCCTCTCGATTTCTTCAAATTCAACCCCTCCATCCTCCGGCCGACAGTAGTAGTTCGGAGACAGAGAGGAATATATGTTAACGGTTGTAGTATGTTCGGGCGAGCCTCCACTCCGTAGGTTAGTCGATATAGCGCGCTAATGGTGCTATACAGCATGGACATAGCCTTGCCACTGTTGGACATCGCGTATTTCTACAGTCAAGAGACGGACGACCCCTGGAGATTACGCTATAGCCAATAGGCATGGTTCTTACAGCCAGCATTGCCAGGTTGGTCGCACGGCAGCTGGTACTGATCAGGTGGCTGGGCACGGACACTGCCAACATAGACATCGCCGACGATGCCCTTGCGCTGATCGGTGAGGTGGTCCCCAAAATTGATCCGGCCATAGTTCTCAACCAGAAGGTCAAGCACATCGCCGCGTTTCAGATCCAGGTGGACGTCTGTTCGGTTCTGGACGCGAGAGTCAACGATGGCGATGCGCTTCTTGTTCACAAAGACCAAGACCCGATCGCGAGGCCCGTCGTCGAGAGTGAGGGCTCTACTTGTGGCTGTCAGGGCATTCTAGCAATACAGAACGAAGCCGGAGTACTGAAGCATTTGTTCAAAGGTCTATGGAGGGTCAACAGAAGAGTGCTTGGGGGGAAGAGCATCGAGGAGGGAAAGATAAGGCTTCATGTGGATCGGGTGTGTTGAGCTCATGGGTGGCTTGCTTGGCACGTCAGGGATGCCGTCGAATCGGGCGGAAATGGTACCGCGGAGGGCATGGTAAGCCGCGTTGGGGCGGCCGCTCTCGTCTAAAGGCGCGCCGTAGTCGTAACTCGTGGTGATTGCGCTGTAGGCGTTGTTGTCCCAGTTGGCGCCTACCGAGAAGCCCCAGCTGGTGCCGCCGTGGAAAATGTAGATACTAATCGAGTTGCCGTCGTTGATGACTGTGTTGAAGTTGCTGTAGAAGCCGTACTCGTTCTTAATTTAAGCCAACAGAATCAGCCCACCCATTTTGGCAGAGTACGGCTCTAGCCACGACCCAAGCCAGTCAAGGTACTCGGCCGAAGCGTCTAGAAAGGGCTGATTATGGGCCCAGACTTATATGTCATCAATGTTGCCAGCCACCAGGGAATGCCACCATATTCGTGCTCTCCATAGATATACAGGCTGGTTGGAGGATGATTTTAAGGCTATAAGCATCCGCCTTTTAATAAATACCACGATATTATTTGTTCCTTGAGTGTTATGTGCCGAGGCTAGAGCTAGTCCTAGTAGATGTAGGAGAAGATGGTATTTAGGCCTATGACGCGGGCCATGGCCAGCCGGTCATCCCATAGCTCGGTAGGTACACGGTATGGGTCTATTTGCCCACCAAGCATGATAAAATTTTCCCTGTCTAGTAAAAAGTCCGAGCCACTCCATGTCAAGTCGACTGCAGAAAGAGACAACACAGCGAGCGCTGCCAGAAGTTAAGATTGGCGCATAATTAGTATGCGTCACCTTGCCGACGCCAGAATATGATGATGGATGGGCTAGATATTAATAAAAGACGACCTTGGGACGTGAGGGCACTATTAATGGCTTTTATTATTATTCATGCCCTATCCCCCCGTATCTATATTAGCTCTAATGTCGTCCCCGTAGTTATTACGGCTAAAAGTCATTCCCATATTGCAGGGTAGGCATGCGGGGAACCAAAATTCATTCCATTAGGTGCTTATACTAGAATTAGTATTCTTAATAAATACAGGTTAGCCCCGATTTCATCTATATATACTCTGGAGTTGATAAGGAAGATCAGCAATCTACTTTAGAAAAGCCCGGAGGATCTGAAATAGAAAACGTGGGGAAGTAAACCATAATCTCTATCTTAGCATTAGCTTAATTCCCTAGCACAAACTAGCATCATGGTTGGAGTTCACCCCGGGTCCTAACTGCTAACATTAGCATGATTTGCCCACAAAATCTGGAACGTTGTTAGGGGGTTCGTGCAGACATTAACAGGATATCGATAGTCTAGCATGATAGAAGAAGTCAAGTTCGAGCATTCTTTGACACGCCATTGTACAATCACGTCTCTCTAGAACCTTGAATAATAGGTAGTGTCTGAAAGTCTACTAATGCTGACGCGAATGCGTTTAGTAAGTGGGGTGCGATGATTAGCTGAATTCGGCTACCAAGGATCCGGGAACATGCATGAGAACCCCCCGCCTATGCTGTGTGTGCTTCTCACCCAGCACTGAGCAGCGTAGGTATGGTTCCAAAGTCTGCAGCCGCAAACAAAAGGAGGTCCGCGGTCGCCCGCGCTTTCCCAGAGAGGGAACGGAGTTGGAACAGGCTCTTTTTGACTGATATGTTGACTATTTCCGCAGCGTAATAGGTTCATGAGAGAAGTGGCTGGCGCCGACAATACGAGTACAGGCCGTCGTTGCATTTGTGCGTCAACGGATGATTGGCCATTCCCAAATTGAGATACAGGTCCTCGATACGCGAGAATCAGAGGAAGATTGTCATGAAGCTACCCGTCGCCTGAGTCAGATGTCCAAGAAGTAATAAGACATGCGACCGAGAGGCGTAAGCCAGTTAGCGACAATATCATTCTTGTTTCAGCCCTCAAACTGCGTATCCACAGGTGGCTCCAGTCCGATTAAGTGCAGGGTTTTGAGAGGATGGGGTACAAATCATAGGTCTTGCTTCATGAACTGGTCAACGCCGGTATACGGGTAAAAAATTGATAAATTCCATAAATACAACGAGAGACTTGGTGAGCGCTCGATAACAGCAAGTTTAATACTGGCTCCGGAACTGTGGCCACCAGAGAAGCAATCAGAGGCAAGAACAGGAATAACAGCCACAACCATCTGAATGCTTGCTTCGGGTGTGTCAACAATGATCTCGGTGTTCTTCAACCTATCCAGGGCCCTGAATCCAGCCGTACGAGGCGGCAGACTCGATTCCCGAGTACCAGACCTCAGACATCTTATTATATCCCCTGTCGTTGGGATGAAGACGGTCCGCCAAGTCACCCGTGGTGAGACTGTCGCTCATATTGACACTAAGAACCTTCTTGCGCGCGTTAGCACGACTGGAGACAAGACCTGGGATAGCGGCATTGAACTGCTGAACAACAGACTCGGAATGGGAGGAGGCTATGGGCGTCAGCTGTGCCACTATAACAGCGGCGTGAGGGCAGGCATCGGTAATCTCATCGATGAGTCGGCCCAGCTGATCAGGCAGGTCGCCAAGCTCCCCTACCGAGTTACAGTCGTTGGTGCCGGCCATTACCAGAACAACATTCGGCCGCGTATAGAGGATATTCGCCGCGTAGCTGGCAATCTCCTTAATGACGGCCCCGGGGTGCCCTTCATTATCGTTGTCTGCCATGTTTCCAGAGTGCTGAGTGCCAACATAATCAACAAAGTTGTCACCAAGTCGATTGTAAAGGTACTTGCGATAGCCGTTGCCGTCACTGCTCTTGTCACCCCATGTTATGGAGTCTCCAAGGGGCAGAATGCGAAGGTTGACACCATTGGCGAGAGCAGAGGCGTAAGATGCTTTATAGGGGTCAATTATATCCAACGGATGCAGGGCAGTCATTTGGCATACCATAGCTTGCAGTGTAAATAAGGATCACCAACGGTAGAGATTTGAGAGAGATCATTGAGAAAAGCATCCTCGATATATTTCAGTAGCGGAAGTTCCGATCTCGAGTGTTTGGCGATCGAGCGCATCAAGCCCACGGAGCACCGAGCCATTTTGTCAGTCACTCCCAAGGCATAGCCTCAATAATTCCGTTTCCGGTACAAGATACTAAGTCATGACGCGCATGGGACAGAATGGGAACTACTGTCACGGGCCTCCACCCGCTTAGGTCATCGCCACGTGACGATGTTCTGTAAAGTCGGTTCCGCTGCCGCAGAACCTCTTTAGTTCCTCATGCTTAGTATTTTAGTTTAATACGACCTATTCTTTCTGATCGTTCCTTACAACTACGTTGGGCCGGTCATAGGGAAGGACCAGAGGAGCCGGCATGACAACGCGCAAACCACTTGGTGCCAGTCAATTCTGTCTCACTGCGCCAGAATAGCAATGTTGGAGACCCAAAGGGGCACGGAGTTATTATCTGGATGCATTGGAGGTTTTGGTCACTCGTCCCCCCAAGCTTTTTACTAAGCTCAAAGCTATGGCTTCTAGAATCATCCCCCAAGGTTATTTATTATCATATCTTTGCTGAAGCTTATAAGGTGCCTTCACTTCGCTTATTACGGCCAGCCGGAAGAGTTTTGGTCTGATCCCTATTTAGGGCAAGTAAGTGAACTAAGTTAATAAATTCACGCGTAGGTATTGTAGCATAATTATCAAATCTACTATGGAACCTCTACAAAAGATTAGACTCAATGAAATATGCCCATGACAGGCGTGCCATAACCATAGGATATTAGGTACTACTAACATAGGATGTTGAGATTTGCTTCATAATTTCTAAGAATACACGCTAGGAAGGTATAAGGAGGACATCTAAATAAGGTAATAAAGTATTTAAAGCTAGGGAAGATATTAGTAACCCTACATAGAAAAGACTACCATCTATACAAGTAGTAAGGCTACTAATATATATGTTAACTGGGTTACTTACGTTTTTCTAGTATTCCTAAAATACTATATTATATAGGTACTTGATAAACGCTTCGTCTAATATAAGTATAGACTAGAGCAAGCTAAAAAGTATTCCTTTATGCTCTTAATTTCTAATAACAAATAGGACTAGGGACATACTTTCCTGCTCTACAAGCTCTACAAGCACGTCTAGGCTAGCAGGGAAACGTGGGTTAAATTAGATATAAAAGTGCCGGGCCTTCGTACGAAAGAAGGCCAGGCGGCGCGCTGACCGCATTAACAAAGTCCTCGTAGTCTGGCCCTCTTCATCCTCATCGACACACCCGCTGGACTGAACAACTCTGTTATATACTGCCTGCCATCAGTCACTGACAATTGGGAATGATGCTTCTCAAACTCATGACTCCGCCACGATACAATGGTTTGCTCTGGGGGTCAAGCTGAGCAGCTGCGCAATATGATCTGGTATATTCAGAGCTATTATCAAACCTTTTTATACTTCCATTGGTTTACTTTATAATACGTCTTTATTATACGTCTTTATTATACGTCTTTATTATACGTCTTTATTATACGCCTTTATAATATTTATATCAACAATGTATATGCTCCCTCTAAGTAGCAGTATTTTATTTAGTAAACTTCTCCTTAACAAGCTCCTTACGTGGTGCCTATAATTGTTCCTAGTTTCCACACCCAACGCCTACGCAAACTGGTCGGGAATAGGCTTGATCTGGTTTTTATTATCAAATTGGGCGCCGCCACAGTCCAGATGGAATTATTATTAGCTAGTTATTATATCTAGCAAGAGCCTCTAAGCTTATCCTTATTAGAGGGATTCGGTGTGGTTGCAACGCAACTTGGCCATAAATATACAACATCTGTTTAGCATGGCGAATGCTCCACACGTCTCCGACATGGCGTTGGCAGAGATAAACCCCTATATGGTCCGCATGCCTCCGTGGCAGTAACAACTGCACATCTGCAATACAGGGCGCAAGCTTTTGATATGATAATCAGCTCTGATCACAAGCTATCGAAAGTAAGGGCCCATGAAATCATAGGCGGTGTGCTAGATCTGTAATACCCTGTACAAGCTTGGAGCATGTTTCCTCTAGTTTCAACCCGTAATGCTTGGTCAATGCATGCGAGAATCAACGCCATTTACCATTAGAATTACCAAGGCGAATTGTGACGCGTCTCACTTATTAACTGATTATTTAGGATATCCCCAAATTCCGCCAAAAATAATTCATATACACTGAAATGGATCCGATGTTATTATGGGTCCATCAGATGCTTGATAGCACAATCATCGGCGCACAAGTTGGCAACATCCAGGTCTCGACTGAGAAGCCAAGTATGTCAGCCTTGGTCAAGAGCGTAGGAAATGTTGAGGTACCATCATGCTCGGCTATTAAGCCGCGATAAATCAAACACAAAGCTGCGAGTGGAATCCCACCATGTATGAAAACTATATGAATGTGGTTCAGGGAACTCCAGTGTATTACTAGTGATCTTACGAGTCGTCATACAATAACCAGGAATACAAGCCAAGACGGAATAAACAGCCACGATGCGTCAGATCTTTACCTAAGATATCTAATTCCGTCAACTGACCCCGGATCCCAGTACCCCGCAAATCTGGTTATGGGGCAGTCAGAGTGGAGATCCAACATGTGGAAACCTGGTACCCATGCTCTGACTCAAAGTATCTATAATGACCCAGTTCGAGCTTGGAGAGATATGGCCAAGACACGACTCGATTCCGAGCTTCCGCATCTTCGTTCTGGATCACTTGGCAGTGGTGGGGAGTAAGAATATCAGAAATGCCAAGCTCTGAATCCATCTTGCTATTAAAAGGCCCATTCCTTTCAGGCTTATCTTGACAGCAAGCTTGTGAACCCGCAAAAAAGTTCAAGACTATACTATGGAGAAATCCATCGACGAAAGCCTGGAGCAAGTTGTAGAAACTTCCTCTCAAAATCCTAATACAAGTTCCGGTCGACTTTCTATAGCATGGTTGACCGCCGTGGGGTCGATCATTTTCCTCTACAGCATATCCCTGGGCTGTTATATGTGCCTAGTGTCGCTGACCGGGATCATGAACCAAGACGTGGGTCCGCACCCGACCAATTCATGGATTGCCCCTGCTTGGACTGTTGCATATGGGACTGGTATCGTGGTCGCTGGTAGTCTTAGTGACCTTGTAGGTCATCGCTGGTTCTGCATTGGCACAGGCGTGGTGGGAGCGCTGGCGGGCCTTATTAGGGCCCTTGCACAGAACGTGCCGACAGGTTGGTTATGCACCATGCCTGCTTATCACCCAGTACTGTTCAACATACTAAGGTCTTTCAATATTTATAGTGATCGCCGCCTTTGCAATTCTAGGCTTGAACCGTGCCGGTGGAATGAACTCACTCCCAGCCTTGTGCGATCTGGTCTCCCGTAAGCATCGCGGTTACATGGCAGGGATAACAAACATCCCGGCCTTACTCCCTAGGGGTCGTTCCACCCAACCACCCAACCCTCGCCGGCTTTTCTCGCAACCTGATTGGTCCGTCGACTTGTGGTGTTGCCGGCTAGCCCCGTGCGTGCTCCCGTCGCCCCCGCGGTGCGTGTACCATACCATACCGTGCTCCCCCGCGCTTTGCCCGCCTACTGTGGTGCAGGCGAGGTGCGTGCCTAGTCCCTAGTCCCTGAACGGACGGGCGTCCGTTCGCTTTCTTCCGCCCCTGATTGGTCCATGCCCGGTGCGTGCTCCCGTCGCCCGTTGAGTGCGTGCCCCTCTCGCAGGCCCCTATTATAAACTTACCCTGACTAACCAACTCCTACTAGACTCCTACTAGAACCACGCCTCCTACTCCTCTTCCTCCTGCTCTCGCGAACTTCTTGAACTCTATGATACTAGACTAACTACTAGCTACCTACCACCATGCTTACTTCTCTTCTTTTCTTTTTTCTACTACGTGACGCGTCCACGTCTACCTAGACTCCCCCTTGGCCTTTATTTATATTCCCCTAAAAGAATATCCCTGTGTAGGCTTTATGAAGAGAAGCTCCCTACTTAACTCTTAACCTATTAATTAATACACCGCGTGTCCTGCTATGGATCTCTTCCTCTATAACCCTACGTACTAGGTGTGGATCTGCATGGCCACTCGCTGCTAGTACGCGGTGACCCTCTTTACCCTGCTTACCCACCTGCGCACCCGCCATGGCGCCCACCTATCTACTGCGACCCCTGCCCTCCGCGAGGCTGCGCTGGCCGCGATGCTCTAGCGGCCCTGGGCGGACCTGGCCAAGGCGCCTGGCTGCTAGCCCTCCGCTAGCGACCCGCCCGTGCCGGGCCTGCCAGTCTACTAGGGCTATGGCTGCCCGCACTGCCCCTATATCGCCCGGACCCCAGATTCAGTGGACAAGCACCGCCGTGGGAAGCACTAGGACTAGGATGGGGTGTGAGGACAGGGCCGGCTCTTAGTCGCGCGCTATAGGGCCCGGCAGCAGGCCCGCCTCGCGAATTAGGTAGTGTCCTGCTAGCGACTTTATATCACCCGGGCTGGGAGCCACTTCTTTGAGGTAACCTGCACGGCAGCCCCCACGGCGCAGGGCATGAAGAAGGGGCTAGCACTAACCCCCGCGGAGCTTGTCTAGGCCCGTGTGGACCAGGCGCTGCGGGAGGGAGAGGCGGCCGTTGAATGGGAAGCAAGCTAGGTGCTAGTCCTAGATCCACACCCTACCGAGGTATCCCCGTGGCTAGAGCTTACCCAGTGGCCAGAGTACCTGCGCGGCCAGGACCTAACCATGGTCGCCCTGCTAGGCGCCCTGCCTGATCCCCGTGAGGAGCCGCTGCTAGTGCAGCTCAGCGCGAGTGTGTAGTGGCTGATTAACCAGGCCTACCACGCCATCCGTGATGGCCAGATCAATGAGTTTGACCAGGTCCAGATTAACACCTTCTTCCGCCAGCCGAGTGTCTGGAACCAGCCGATCCAGATCCGCCTGCAGCCTAAGACCTACTACTGCTATAGCCAGGTGTGGTAGTGGCTGGTCTGCTTTGCGTACCGTAGCACGCGGCTAGACCAGGTAATCTAGCTACGCCACTAGCTTAATACCAGCCAGCTAGCCGCGCTGGACCGCATGGAGGAGCATGGCCGCGGGCTAGTAGCGCTTACTGCGGAGGCTATAAAGCCCTATATACTAGTAGTAGCCAGCCAGGATGGCCCACCTCCTACGCCACCCACCCCTAACCCGCTGCCACGGCGGACGGTCCCCTGGAAGCGGAAGAAGGACCCAGCTGTGCTAGTAGGCACCCTACCACGGCTCGCACCACGTCTACTAGTCCCCACGGCCGTGCCCCCTATGGCACCCCTACTATCCTGCCCTACCCGCATAGGCTAGGCTCCTGAGCCTCCCTATAGCCCCCATGAGGTAGTGCTCCAGGCCCAGCTGGACCAGGCAACTCTTGACCTCTTTATCACGCTGCTAGACCACCCCCTGAAGGGGGATCTGTTTAAGAGCACCCTAGTAGGCTTCCTCGTGGTACTTGGGGTGGATCCTGCGCGCCAGAGCTTCCGCGACCTGTATAGCTATACCAGCTCCCTGTCTGGGCTGGTGAAGATGGCGTAGATGCTGGTCGCCCTGCGCGCTGTCCGCGAGGCTAAGGCAGGTCGGGTTAGCCACGCCGCGGACGCCCTGGATGAGATGCGCGAGTGCTTCCTGCTCTTTGGGGTACGCGCCCCCTTTGGCTGGATCACGCGGCTACGCACGTATGGCAAGAAGATCCAGAATAGCACCACTAGCATGGGCTATATCTACTGGAGCGACGACGAGCAGACCCTGAGCTATAAGGACCTGCGCCTGAGCATGCGCGGGCTGCGGGAATTCGTCGCGGGGCAGGTCTCGCGCGCTCAGGTAGAGCTCGCGGGCCTCTTCCTCCTACATGAGGAGGAGGCCCGCGAGGAGGTAGTGCCGCGCCTGGCCCTGCACGAGCTACAGGATGACCCAACTAATAACACGCGGGGGTGGAACTTCCTGCGGGACCCATGCACGCGGAAGGCCCTCCCTACCCATAGGGACCACTGGCTGCTGGACCGCGTGCTTGGGGCGGACTGGCTGCGCGAGGAGTTCCTAGAGGTCCGCCAGATTAGGTAGGTAGATGAGGTGCTCTGGCGGGAGGGCCCTGTGGCATAGTACCTGCAGCAGGTGGATAGGTTCCTGTAGCGCCTGCTCCTCCTCGTCCACATTACCAGCGGCCAGCCTGCGCGGGCCACCAAGCTGCTGGGGCTGCGCCACCGCAACACCCTGCAGGGCCGCCACCGGAACATCTTCATTAAGCATGGGCTGGTTAGCATGGTCACCACGTACCATAAGGGCTATTCCATTAGTAACACCACCAAGATCATCCACCGCTACCTGCCCAAGGCCGTGAGCAAGCTGGTGGTCTACTACCTCTGGCTAATCCTCCCCTTCCGCGAGGCCCTGGAGCGGCTGGCCCGGGGCCACCGCGGGCCCGCCTCGGCCTTCCTCTGGCCAGCGGCCGCGGGCGGAGGGGACCAGGGGGGGAGCTGGCCAAGCGAGCGCCTGCGGAAGGTCCTGTAGCAGGAGGCGCAGGCGCACCTATAGATGAAGCTAAACATCCTGTCCTACCGCCACGCGGCCATCGCGATCTCGCGCGTGCACCTGAAGTGCGGCGGCTTCAAGCGGGACTATAGCAGCACGGACGACGCCGCCTTCAACGAGCAGGCTAGCCACGGGAGCTGGATCGCGGGCACCGTGTACGCGCGGGGGCTGTAGGAGGCGCCTGGCCACGTGGAGGCGCGCCGGCGGCAGTACCGGGTGATTAGCCGCGAGTGGCATGGGTTCCTGGGCTTTGAGACGTACCTAGGGCCCCGCAAGCGGGCGTGGCAGCAGGACCAGGACCAGGACATTGGGCTAGCTAAGCGGCCGTGTATTACCATAGATATAGACCAGGATTAGGACTAGGACTAGGATAAAGTTATGTATAGGTTAGTAGGGGAAGGCGCGCGGGGAGGCTAAGCTTATATAGTTCTTTATTTAGGTTAGTAGCATGGTAGTAGGTATTCCTATTTAGCCCTAGATCCTATTACATCTATATCTAATACCTAGATGGCTAGTAGAGCCTATCACCACCTATAGAGCAGGCCTAGCAGGCCGTGGACGCCATAGTAGCCATGGCGGAGCAGGCA